CAACCCCAACCCCAACCCCAACCCCAACCCCAACCCCAACCCCAACCCCAACCCCAACCCCAACCCCAACCCCAACCCCAACCCCAACCCCAACCCCAACCCCAATTAATTAATTAATTAATACTATTTATTATTCACAATTATTTGAATGATAAATAGCTTAAAAATAAAAAATGAACATTTAAAAAGATTTACTTGGAGATAATTAGAATTATTTATTTCAATTTTTAATAATTTTTGATATCGTTTTAAAACTCAGAAAAATATTTTAATAAAAAACTTTGCAATTAATTTTTTCTAGAAAATAAAGGAATATTAACATATATAACAAACAATTAGAAGAAAATAAATGATATTAATAGTTAAGAATAATATTTCATAATAGCAAATATATTTATTTAACACGTACATAAGTAAGTAATTACAGCCTATGCTACTTGAAATACCATTTATAAATCTTTAAACTTATATAAATCTTCTAAATAGTGCATTACTTTAGCAATTTATTAAACTTAATGTCACTTTTTGCCAAGAAGAATTAAATTTTATATTATTCTTAATTTAAATAATTATCAAATTTTTTCAAAGCTCAAACTTCTTTTTAGGTTCCATTTCAGGAGTCATAGCTTCTTTGGTTCTTCTATAAAAATACTTCTTTTTTAATCTTCTCATAACTGAAGAGCAAGGTCTAGCTCCGTGGTTTGCTTTTTTGGGAGGTCTTGCATTTCTATTTGTGAAATCAAATGCACCTTACAATAATTCATTAAGTTTTTTTTATGTTTTGTCCTCAGCAGTTTCTTCTTATAGCTAAAAGCTCATATTTTTTCTAATACCTAATAATCCTAACATTGAGGATGATTGGGAAATCCAATTAAAAAGAAAATTTGTATTTCTGAAAATCAAAGCGTTCATTTAAGACTATAATTAATTTCTACTTATAAATTGCTTTAACAGATTATTATCTTTTCAAAAAAATTTATTTATGGATATATTTTTATATCTTTTTAGTGAATTACTTCAAATTAAATAATGCATATAAACTAATCAAATTAAAAATATAAATATTTTATTCAAATTCTAAAATTTTCAGTCATAAAATAATTTATTTATCAATAGATCTATAAAAAATTTTGCGTTTTATTTCTTATTTGTAAAAATCAAAATGAAAAGTAAGAATCTTTAAGCTTTTAGTTTACAATTTTAATAGATTTTTAAGAAATTAAGAATAAATACACTAAAATCTAAAATTAAAGAATAATTTTTTTAAAAATTAAAATATAATTTTTCAAAAATATTAAAATAGAAATAAACCAAATTCTTTTAACATAACATAGGATAAGATCAATCATTTTAAAAAGGAGAGGATGAAATGGCTTTACTACTTAATTTATAGCATATGTAAATATAAATAGTCTCTCTATCTTGTTAATAAAACTTTCTTGTTTTAAAAAATTAAAGTTACTTGAGTAGTTTTAAGAATATTAAATTATATTATAATTGAATTTATCATTTAATTATTAAACAGACTGTTTATGTATGAATAAATAGTCATTTAATTTTTAAGTTTTAAAATAAAACTATTTTTTATTTTAAATTATATTTTATTTTTCTATAAAAATTTCTATTATTGTTTTCATTATTAATAGACAGACTAAAAAATATTTGATACTCTTTTATTTTTTAATTTATGTTTAATAACATGCAAAAAATTTAAAAACTCTTTAGATAGATATTCATTCTATGTTAATATATCCATTTATAAATTATTTTTTAAATAAAATAATATATTTGTTCAAAATAATATAATAAATTTACTACTTTTTAAAATAAATATCAGCAAACATGAAATTTATAATTTAAGCTAAATTTATTCTTTCTATATAGCCATTAAATTAATAATTTAAATTGTGGTATTAATCAGATTTAACAGTTATTATACGTGGATTGAAGTTTTAAGAGATTTAACAAAGATTTCATAAGCTAAGTTGTAGTAGATGAAGCTTGTTGTTAATTAAAATGTAAAGGGAATCTAAATTAATCATATGAAACCACGTTCTTTATAGATACTAAGTAATTAGTGTCTATATTTTTTAGTATTTAATTTATAAGCAATTGAGAGAGAGAGTAAATGAAATTTTTAATAGAAAGATATTAATTAATTTAAAAAAGCAGTTTTTTACAATTAATTAAAATGTGTTTGTTAGTAATTTCATATAATAAATTAAATAGATTTTATGCATTTTGATTAAAAGATATTGATTGACTTTTAATTATTATAAATTAAAAGAGGAGATTGATATCATATAAAAAATATAAATAAAAATAAAATAAATTATTTGTCTCAAGTAATTAACATCAAAAACAAACAAAATAAATATATCAAAGAAGTCAAGATTTTTAGTAGAAAACAAGGACAAAATATTTTCAAATCAGACAAAAAAAAATAAAATATTAAAAGTTCTATTGAATTTATACAATTTACAGAAATTAAATAAAAATGTCTTGCCTTAAAGAAGTATAGAATGGTGGTATTGTTTCCTGGAGTGATTCTAAGAAGAATAATTTCTTATTTGCAGTTGCTCAAACTCAAGTAAGTTAGGAATTGCATGGTAGCGAGCAATTCCTTTTGCAAATCATGACCTTTGATGCAGCTGAAAAAGGACTTTAACCAAATCGCTTAGGTGTCACTCTTATGCAAGTTCCAGCTTCTTCCATTACATGGTCTACATTTGGTGAAGATACTGGAAATTTCCCTTATGGACTTATTTGTATTGGTCACACTGATGGCTCTTTTGTCATTTATGATGCAAATCAAATTATCACTTAAACCAAAGCCAATCCAGATGCTCTTACTTATGATGTTGGCAGATTGTGCTTAATTAAAGGTATCAAAATTTAGGTCCAAATTAATAATAGTTTATTAGAATTATAAAGACATTTTCAAAGTTTTGAATAAAAATATTTAGAATTATTTTTTAATATAAATAGAATTTAGCGTTCCTGTTTATGCAGTAGAATATAATAGTTATAAGCCAAATTTAATCGCTATTGGTGGTGATGAGGTTCTTGTTGTTGATATTTCAAAAGAGATTGAAAATCCAGATATTATCGCTCCTTGTGATACTAATTTGCATTAAGGTGGTTACATAACCTCTGTTTCTTGGAATAAAAAGGTCCCCCACGTTTTAGCTTCTGCTTCAAGTAACGGTGTTGCAGTTGTCTGGAATTTGAAGACAAGTTAAGTCAGTTTCTAAACTCCTGATATTTATTAGCATACTTAGGGTCCAAAGAATTTGTGCTTAGCATGGAATCCCGAAATTCCTTTACAATTTTCTATTAACTATGATGATGAAAAGAAGCCAGAGTTGCATATTTGGGATCTTCGTGATACAAGAGGTCCTTATGTTTCATTAGAAAATGGACACGTTCGTGGTATTTCAGCTCTTTCTTGGTGCACTACTGACCCTTCTTTAATAATTACTGGAGGAGTTGATCAAAAAGTAGTCTGCTGGAATATTAAAAATAAGGAAATAATTTAAAGCTTTTACTTAGGAACCGATATTGTTAGTATTTAGTGGTCTAAAATTCCTTCCCTTTACAGTGTTGCTCTTTCAGATGGAACAGTTTAACTATATTCCTTGAATTCAGCTGAAATTTCTGCAAATCCTCCTAAATGGTATCAGCCAGTTGTCGGCGCTACATTTGCCCCAAATAATGTTCTTTCTTTCTTCAGTGTAAATTTTATTTAATTTTTGCTTTTGATTCATAAAAAAAGATAGAGTATTTTTGAATAGATCTTAAGCGTTTTTATATTGAAATTAGGAAAAAAATGAACAAATTATAACTTCAAAAATTTATCGTAGCAAGGAAGAAAACTACCAGTCATATCATAGATGGTTCTAGGAATTAGAAAAGGTGATTGATGATAATAACTCAACTGGATTTTGCGATTACAAATTAGGTAATATTTACAAAGAAGATACTTTAGAGTTAGATTAGTGGAGATTATTGAGAGGAGTTGCTTTTGGAAGTAACAAGGAGATATTAGATGCTTTAGGATTTAAGAAATAGGAAATTATTAAGCGTGCAGAAGACTACACAGGAAAGAAGCACAAATATACAATTGAAGAAGACAATTCAAATACTAAAATGTAGCCTAAGTAAAAGCAATCAATTGTATTTGCTGAAGTTGGCGAAAAAGAAGCAACTGATATCTTGGACAATATGACTTCTAATCCTTAACACACTCACAATAATAGCAATCAAGAGTAAAATTTGATTTAAAATAGCAAATAAAAATGATAAAAAATTAACTTTAATTAATTAATTAATTAGAATCAATGGAAGCCAACTCAAAAAGAGTAACACAAATAACATTGAAGAAGTTTATTTGACTGAGTAAGTCAGCAAAAATAAAAATTGGGATGCTGGTGTTGAAAAGATGATTAAGGAAAATATGATTGTAGGAAATTATGAAGGTGCTATCGATTGCAGTATGAAATGTGGTAGAATGGCTGAAGCTCTATTGATTGCTTATAGTTAGAATGTCGACTTATTTAAATCAACTATTGATTAATACTTTACTCAATAAACAGATAATTTCATTAAGTATGTTTTTAAAAATTTGATTAAGAACGATATTGAAGATATTGCAGAAAATTATGATTTGAAGAGTTGGAGAGAATGTGCTGGCTTGGCCATTACATGTTCCAAGAACGCCAAAGAATTCTAGTAATTAATGGATAAACTTGCAGAAAGATTCATTAAAGAAAAGAACGATGACGATTCTGCTATATGCTGTTTTATTTTATCATAGAATTTCTAACGTTTGGTAGGAATTTACTTCAAGCGCATCTAGGCACTTAGAGCTAACATAACCTAACGTGCATACTATATGGTTTAATCAGTTTAAAAGCTAATTATTTTGAGAAAAGTTATGGCTCAAAACTAGTAACAATTCAGAGGGGCTGAAAATGCTATCTAAACTGACTCTAAATTCAATACTATTTTGTTAGAGTTGGCTAACATTGCTCTATGCAATTCAAGAATTTCTATTGCTTATAAAATATTAGATTAAGGAGAACCCACTCAATTGAAAATAGCTGAAATGAAAGACTTAATTTATAACGTTTATTCTGATGAATTAGCAAATAAGTTCCCTAAACCTATCATTCCATACTCTTTTGTTAAATTTAATATTACCAACCAAACCAAAACTTAAGTTGAAGGGAATAACCAACGTAGAGTCTTTAACTAGTAGGTTGGTGGATCGACTGTTACTCCTCCAGTAAGTTAGCCTATTTTAAACCAAAATGCTGGTAGAAACCCTCATAATAATCCCTTTGTCCCAAGAGATTCAGGAAGTATGGTACCTCCTCCTGTGAAAAACCAAATTAAAGGTAATTTTCCTCCTCCTGTCATGAATCCCCCTCCTGTCATGAACCCTCCTCCTGTCATGAATCCTCCTCCTATCATGAATCAACCTCCTGTTTTAGGTAATTAAAATCAATAAATACCTCCACCTCCTCTATATAATTAGGGTAATAATTTCAACAAACCTGAAGTAAAAGACTTTACTCCTAATCCAAATACATTTGGTTAAAAAGATACAAGCCACACTATCCCAGCTAATCCTAACAATAAACTATTCAAAGAATAAATTAAAGGTACCAATGTAGTTCCTCCCCGCCCTAATCCTAATACAGTTAAATCTACTCCAACAGTTCATCAAAATTCTGGTAATAATATACAACAAAATAACAACTTCGATAATAGACCCCCAGTTTTAAGTAGTTAAAGCAGCTAAACTAAACCTCCTGCTTTAAATTAACCTAATAACAATTTGAACGAATCAATTAATAGAGTACCACCAGTCCATAATCCTCCTGCTAACATTCCCCCAAATAATTAAAACCGCTTTGTTCCACCCAATCCAGTAAAGGCTGGAGGCATGGTACCTCCTCCAGTTGTTAATTAAAACTTGGTTAAAAGTGAATCAAACAGCAATCCCCCTCCTCCTCGCCCAAATCAACCTGTTTAAAATACAGGAGGATAAAGTGTCCCTCCATTCAATCCTAACCAAGGTAATAAATTTAATTAGCCTCCTGTAAACGTCATGAGCTAAACTCGCCCCCCAATAAGTATGAATATAAATAATAACTAACCCCCAGTTGGAGTTGTTGATTAACCTCCTATATCTAATGCCCCTCCTCCAATGGTACCTACTTAATCTAGAACACTAAGTTCATAATCTGCTGCCTATATTGCTAGTCCCTAAGAAATTTAACTAATTGAAGGATTTATCAATGCTAATATAGGCTTATTTGAATAAATAGATCCAAAGAAGAAAGATGAACATGGATAATACTTAAACTAATTGCTTAGCCTTTTGAAAAATAACTAATTGAAGCAAGAATAAATTTCTCTTCTCTGCTAAATCAGTAATGAGATGGGTAGCAATAAACAAAAAGAAGCCTAGAATACTCATGGAAAACTGACTCGTGCTTGTACTTCTGACTACGCTACCCATAAACATTGGATTACTTCTCTTAAACGTTTGATTATTTAAAAGTGAAAAAGCTTTTAAAATAATTTAAATTGTTTTTATTTTATATCGTCCATTGACTGAATACTTTCAACTCTATCTATCTATATATTTGATATATCATAAATTTTTAATTAATTTTGTTAGTAAAAAAATTTGAATCACAAGTTTTAGTTTAAAATTTTAATTTGTTTAAACATAAAATTGATAATTTAAACGTTTACTAGCTTTTTTTATATTTATTTAAAATAAGCAAATAAAAATTGAAGTTTAATTTTTAACACTTTTCTTGTTTAAATTAATAAGTAAATAGAAAATGCTCCCCTCTTTTTAGATATTTTTTTAATTTAATAAAATGTTAAAACAATTGATACATATTAATTTTTACCTTTGATTGATAATATATTGATAGAATAAAAGAATTTCAAGATAAAATTAAAATAATTACTTGCTTGTTTATTTTGCTTTTATTAAAAGAAAAATTAGTATACTCTCTCTGAATTTAATTTAATTTGATTTTTTTTTTTTGCATTTCTAGATACTTTTTATTTGATAGATAGGAATTAGATCAGACAAACTAAAAGAAATTTTAATATTTTTGCAGAATAAATTCAAATTTTACTTTCATAATTATTGGCTCTACTAATATTTTATTATTTCTCTCATATTATCCAATTAGTCTTCTTGAAAGACTAAATAAGTAATGATAATAATTCTTCAATTTTATTAGTGTTTGTTTGGTTTTATCAAAAATTAAAAGATACTTTTGATTGCTGAGAAAATAATAAAAATAATAAAGAAAAAAAAAATATATATTTCTCAAATATATCTAGAAAAAAGCAAGCAAATTAATAAATAAAATAATAGAATGGTAAACAATTTTTATGCTTTGAAAAAGCAACAGATTGCAAATAGCAAGCAATGACTAATCACTATTTTTGTATATATAATAGAAATCTTTGAATCAAAATCAAAAGAATAAAGTTTAGGAATTCAGAAATATTACAGGTGCAAGCGAATAGCAAGCTATTGAGCTTTTGAGCAAGACTAACTATGATGTCAATACTGCAGTTAATAGATTCTACGAATTAGGCTATACAGGTACTGCCTTAAAGCAAGGAACTGGTGCATTTGACAAAAAGTTAGAAACTTTATACACTTAATATGCAAGTAGGCTTTCAAAATTGAAAATAACTAATCCAAAATTTTATTAATTTTTGTTTCATATTTGAATAAATTCTTTTTTCTATATTAATACAATTTTAAAATTTAAGGTAAAGAATCTTAAAAGATTGAAATCGATGGTATTATTAAGTTTTTCGAAGATCTTGGATTAGATATTATGGATCCTACTACATTAGTAATTTCATATTATTTCAATGCTAAGAAATCTGTAAGTTTTTATTTTACTTTTTTGACACTTTGTTTGAAAATTTAGTAAAATTGAGTTCAATTAAAAAATTATTTTCATAAAAAAGGGTGAATACACTAAAGAAGAATTTTGTGGAGGCTTATAAAAATTAAATGTTAGCACAATTGCAGATTTAAAGAAGAAAATTCCATCATTAAAGGCTGAGTTATCTACTGATGAAGGCTTTAAGAATGTTTACAAATTTGCCTTCAACTTTTCTAAAGAAAATGCCAGTTAAAAATGTCTTGAATTTGAATCTGCTAAAGGTAAATAACAACTTATAAGAAATACCTTTTTTTTTATAAAATAAATAGCTTTATTATTTGATCAATAAACATTTTTCATAAAAATAAAAGCTCTCTGGAGTCTTTTGTTACCTTTCAAGTTTGCCCATCACGACGAATGGCTTCGTTTCTTAGAAGTAAAATAAAAAATAAATAAAAAAATTAGAATATTGAAATTTTATTTTTTAATTTCTTACAGAGACTTCCCAAGGAAAAGCAAAAAGATGTTAATAGCGATTTATGGAATATGTTGCTTGAATTCCATCTTCAAACTAGAGGAGATTTAAAGAAATACGATCCTTACAGTAAAAAAAATTTTAATTAAGATAGCAAAAACTTACTAGACAAATTAAAATTAAAGAAATCATTTAACCTACTTTTCAATAGCTAAACAAAAATTTTTAATATATTTTTATTTAAATATTATAGGTGCCTGGCCTACTCTTATAGATGATTTCATGCAATTCATGGGATACTAACCTCAAGAATAGGAATATTGAAATATAATTATAAATTAATAATCAAATTACTATATAAAAAAAAGGGAGTTTTTATAAAAAAATACATAAACTGTTTTTTTCTTATTTGCTTGAAAAATAAAAATATCAAATTTAAACAAAACTTTTATTTTAATTCAAATGTACTGCTTCATAAATAATTTTGCATAAAAGGAAAGCTAAATCTCAACAAATTTTAAAGGTTTTACCAATTAAATTTTAAAAAGTTAAATAAATACTTCATTTATCTAAGTTTAATAATATCAATTAAGTATGCATGCATTTATAAATTTATGCAAGTAAGTAAATTGATATATTTTCACTTGAAAAGTAAATATATAAAATTTAAACAACAACTTTTATTTTAATTTGAATGTACATTGAAGTAACTATTTTTGAATAAAAAGAAAGTTAAAAATAAAACAAAGTTTTGAAGTTTTGCCAATTAAATTTAAGATTTCTAAAATATAGAATTTATGAATTGAATAAGTTAAATAAATACTTTATTTATCTATGTTTAATTATTTTAATTTAATTAATTAATTAAGAATTCATCTATGTAAGTAAGTATGAATGAATGAATTTTTGCAAGCTAGTAAGTAAGTAAGTAAGTAAATTCATAGATAAATAGAAATGTAAATTAATTTAAATCAATAAACTAACAAACTCTCCATTCAAAATTGGTTTCTATAGAAGTTACTATTTTACTAATATCCTTGGTTATACTATTATTAATTAAAGCCATTTCCCATTTGTTATTGTTATTATTATTTAGCTTGGAAATTTCCGTTATATGCATTGTTATTAAAATTTCTAGCTTATCCATACTGCTATGCTTATTATTATTATTACTATTACTATTAATATTATTATTGTTGTTATTGTTATTGCTGTTGCTATTATTATCCCGAATTATAATTATGGACTTATTTATTTCCTTTAATAGTAATTAAAAAATGTTATTCTAAAATTTGAAAAAAAACTAAATATACCCAAGCTATTGTCTTGGTATCCATTCTGATATTAATGGCTAGTATTATTTGTCTTTTCTGCAGAGCTGTTATTATTATTATTCATCAAGCCTGTCTCTGTGTCTGCTTTACTATTTAAAAAATATTGTTCATGAATACATATTACATACAAAGTTATCAATTTACACTCTCTGTGGCCATACTACACCATCTCCTACAGGTTAAGCTTTTTTTAAATAAATTATTTCAAAATAGAATCTAAATATTTTTAATTACCATCTTCCAAAAAGAAAGGAAAAGGCCAGTAAACTACATTTGATCCAAAAACTTATACAAAGTTGTAATACTATCCCATATCATACTAATTAAAAAAAAATATATATATATAGTAATTATTCTAACTTTATTGAAAAATTACATTGTTAGGTTAAGGAGATGAGGATGAGTTGTTACGCTTTCTATCTAAATTTTCTAAAGTAGTAGTGTTCATAAAAATTAAATCTAAATGGAATTTAAAGAAAATTCCTATTATAACCATAGCTGTTATATCGAGCCCAAACGAAGCAACAATCAAGAAATCAGAGAACCATGAAATCGTTATTGTGTCATCTCCTCCAAGTTTTTACTGTTAATAATTAATTAATTATATAATTGAAAAAGTAAAACAAATGAATTAAATTTTATGATCAATTTATAAAAATTTTTTAAAAGGGTTCTAACGATAATTAAAATATTCAATAGAGATTAATTTATCATAAATCTTAATTCAAAATTTGCAGTAATTTAAAAAATTAAATCAAATGAAAATTGTAAATCCTTCTATGATTATTAATTTATTTGTTAATTTATAAAAATGAAAAACTTTAAACAAACAAACAAATAAAGAAATAAATAAATTAAAATGTTGTTCTTTTAATTCTTTATTACCTTAATTGACACCATGATATTAAATATTTCTCCAATCATTCCAAACATAGCAAGCCAAGTTGTTACGTTTACGTAGAAAAGGAGCAAAATAAAGAATTTTCTGTTTTTAAATCCAATACAGTTTCCTAACCAAGGACAGTGATGGTCCATATTTAAAACACATCTATTGCAAGCTGAGCAATGATGACATCTTTCTGGCTTAAAAATATGGCAAATCAAGCAATATCTTCTCTTTTTATGCTCATGATCGTCTAAAAAGTAGCCCTTTTTAAATAGCATCAATAAATAAAATCATCCTAAATTTGAAGTTTAAATATTTTTTTTAGCTAATTAATATATTTTATATCCCAATTTTTTAAATTCTATTTGATAAAGACACATGTATCTTCGCTATAATAAAAAATCAAAGAGATTTACCCAATTTTAAGGAACACGACCCTTTTTATTTTAAAAAAATAATTTTTAGTAAATTAATGCCTACTTTATAGTAGTTTTAAGTAGTTATTTGCTAGTTTTTGAAATGTAAATTCAAATTTAAAATATTACTGGATCAGTGAACATAGTGACAATTAGGGACCATGCTAGCATAAATGAGAAAACGTTGAATATTATGAGGTAGAGATATGTCCAGAAATTACCTATTTTAAAATAAATCTTAATTAACTATTTCTCTTTTTTTTTTGGAGTTAGTGATGTATGTAAAAGGAAAAAAATGAAATTTTTTTACTTGGCCTTCTATCAATCCACACCAATTTTACATTGCAAAAATAAATAAAGCAGATTATACAAATGATTAAAACTACAAATAAGTTTCCTTATAGTTTTTTAAGTTTCTAAGAATTCATTTTCGATTAATATACTAACTATATTTTATCAAATAATTATCTTTATTGAGCTTTCTCAAATGATAATGTCTTCGTTTGAAAATTATCCTATTATTATTTTAAACTATAAAGAAAAATAAAAGCAACAACATTTTATTACTCCTTTGCAATGTTTGTTAAAGATGTATTCCTTACTCCTATAACAATTTGTTTTGATTTATTGCTTGCTTGCTTGCTTGCTATCTTGTTTGGTTTGTTAGCTTAAGCAGTTTTAAACTTGTTTTCTTAAATAAAAAAATTGTTAATTTATCTAAAAAATTTGCAATTTATATATTTTAATTGAATTTTACAAATATTTAATAAACAATTCATTCAAAATGAATACTAAAGAACAATTAAAAAAGATAAATTACTTTAGATAAATTGATTGAACAAATAAAATATTCTTTTTTATATTTTAAATTTAGAATCTTTCTACTTATTTAAACAATTTACTTCTTAAATAGATTCAAAATTTTGAATGTATATCTTACTTCTAAATTTATTTATCGTCAAAATATCTTCTTTTAATTTCAATAAACAAATTTATAAATTTCTACTAACACTTCAATTACTGGCTCTGATAAATCAATCATCCTTTAAATATTTTGTTTAGATTAAGGTATTTATTTTTTTATATTTTAAAATATATTTACAAATCAAAAAGTAAAAACTAACTTAATAAAAAATCTTACCATTTTAAAAAAGCTTTTTAACTGTTTATTTTATATTTTTGTAAAATGAAAGTTAAAATATTATTTTTTTAGAACTTAAATCCGAATTTTAACTCAAAAATATTATATAATTGATTTAAATCAAAACAAGCTTTATTTTAAATAAACTAATAATAAACTTTAATATAAAATAAGTTTTTTGTAAAGTTTAATGTTGAAATTCAAACTCAATCTTTGATAAAAAAATGAAAATAAGATAAAATTAATTTATTTTAAATAAAAAAATTGACTTAAAAATTAATATTAATATAAAACCTATATTAATAGTTAAAAATAACATTTCTTAAAAGTATTTGAAAATTCAATTAATCCTTAATAATTATATATTTTTTAGATAAGTTATCTGTATTTTAATTAGCTGACAAATCAACTATTTAGATTATAATTTTTGCTTTTATATTCTGATAAATAATTTATTAGTATTTACTAATTTTATTAAATTGCAAGAATAAATAAAAATATTTTCTTTTTTTAATGTTTATTTTTAATTTTTTACATATTTAAAAAAATTTTATTTTAATTTAAATTTAAACTGATTGATTTCGAAAATTAATTTTAAATAAATTTTATAAAAATATAAGAATATTTACAATTAAACATGCAAAAATTAACCATAAATATCAATATACTCAAATAATAAAATATTTGTATAAATTTAAATAATTGCTTTAAAAATCACTGATTTAATTTATATTGAATATAAATTTACTTTTAGACTTATTAATTATTAAATTAATTGATTGATTATATTTTAATTTGAATATTTAAAACAATAATTTTTATTACTATTATAAATTTAGAATAATTTTGTATTTTTATCTAAGTAGACAATTTAGACTAAATAGACAATTTAATGTTTCCATGAAAAAATTTAGAAACCTCCAATAAATTTTTTCATATAAGATTTTTTAAATTATTTTGAATTTTAAATAAAAATAGACAGGTTTGAAATTAATTTTTTATTATTTATAAAGTAAGAACAAAAGAATTAATTATAATAAAATTTTAAGATATTAAGATTTTAACCAGAATTTATTCTATATATAATAAAGTTTTACAGAAAAAGATATTTATCAAATTAAATGGAGTATAAAATAACAATTCAAATTTATGGAAAAAAAACAAAAGATTCACTTTCTTTAAATAAAAATTGAAAGAATTATTATAAAATAAAACACTATCTTTCACTCTTTAAATGTTATGACTGGCTAACTGATTTATATCAATTTTAATATAAAACGATAATAATTATAAAAAAAACTAACAAAATGAAAAAAAAAGCATAAATAAACTAAAAATTTAAATATTTAAATAATGTAAAATACTAAAATTTTTAAAGTGATTTAAAAAATAAAATATTTTAATTAATCAAAAAGATATAAAATGAAGATTTAAATACTTTACAGAGCCTCAATCTAAGCTTAAAGTATAAATTATTTTTATGAGGAAGATCTTTAAAATTTTTATATGAAAGAAACAAAAAGTTAGGAGATAAAGGGATAGAAGTCTTATCTACTGAAATCGTATAATTAAAAAGCTTGCTAAATCTTAATTTAAACTTAGAGTAATATTTGGTTATTCTTCATAAATTAGTTGCATTTTTATTAAAATAAAATAGATACAATTTGATATCAGAAAATGGACTTTAGATATTAGCATAAAAAATAGCTTAATCATGCTTTTTAACCAATTTATCTTTGAAATTATAGTATAAAATTTTAGATAGTATGAATTTTGCATATTTAATATTTAAACTTGATAAATTTAAAGAGAAAATAATTTTGGAGATACAGGAGTAATATTATTGGGCGAAGAATTATCAAATCTCTAAAAAAGCTTAAAAAAGCTATCTATTAATCTAGGGTAAAAAATTATTAATACTCAAATAACCAAAATGAATTTTTAAAAAAAAGGAGTAACGAATTGTATTCTTCAGGGGTTTTTGGCTTTGTATAAAAAATAGCAAAGTTAAATTAAATATCTGATTTGGAGCTTAATTTTGAGTATTTAAATTTTGATTAAATAACAAATCATTATTTTAGGATAAATGCCTAAGATAAATATGTTTATTTTAATATTCATTCTAACTAAAAATAGATATAATTATTTACTCCAAAACGATGTACCAGAAATTGCAAGTTGTATTACATAATTAGGCAATCTTTAAACTTTAAAGCTTAAATTAGGGTAATAAATTTTAAAAGAAGCTAAGAAAATTAATTTTTTAATTTAAAAAAATTAAAAGGGATAACTAAATAGAAGATTAAGGGTTAGCTAATCTTAGTTAAGAAATGAAGTTCTGGGTTAATTTATAGCATTTGAATTTAATAATAAAGTATATCAAATATTTTAACTCATTTCTAAAGTCTAATAATATTTTTTTAATAAAGTGTGGCAAAAGTCACAGATGTAGGAGTATCAGAGTTGTCCAAAGGAATTTCTAATATGATTAATCTAAAAAGTTTAGAAATAGATTTAGAGTATTTAAATTAAGTATTTTAAAAATAATTAAAATTTATTTAATTTTAATGAAGAAAGAATAACATAATTAACTAAGGAGCAATTTCACTCGGAAATTCTATAAAAAATCTAAAACATTTAGAAAAACTTAGCATAAATTTAACGTATAATGCTTTATTTATCAACACAGTTTATTATAAATATTTTTAGTGATAATGTTAACCTAGAAAAAAGTGTATTATGCAAATTCATAGATGATATATCAGAGTGTATCAAATTGCAAAAGTTAAATCTTTTCTTATCGTAAAGTTTTTAATTAAAAAAACAAATAGATTTTAAATTAATTTAATTCTTAAAAGTTACATCTCTATATATAGTAGTGGAATATCTAGTATCAGTAGATCTCTCTTAAAGCTGTCAAATATCTAATCATTATTAATTGAAACTAAGTAATTATAATTAGATATTCAATTATTTAATTTTTAATCTTTCAATCATTTGTTTATTTGCTTTAATATAATTTTGATAAAAGCTTTTGTTCTATTGGAATCGAAGGTTATAAATAATTAATTTCTGATATGTCAAAATAAAAGAAAATAAGCAGCTTTACACTTGACTTGCAGTAACTTTATCAACAAAAAATTAAATAAATCATAAAAAATAAATAAATAAATAAATAAAAAAGGGATAATGTAGTTGGTAGTTAAGGAGAATAACTAGATCAATATAGTATTAGAAAACAAAAGTATTTAGTATAAAAAAAGTTGTTTTTATGAGATAGTCTTAAGAATAAAATAATTATAATTTAAAAGTACTTTATTTTTATTTATATTTAAAGTAAATTTTTAACAAAATTTTGAATTTACCACCATCCATCCATCCTTATTTATTTATTTTCTTAAAGAATATTCAACTTTATGTTAAAAGAAATAAATAAACGATTTATAATCTCTAAATTTTCAAACAACACAGATTACAAAACATAGAAACTATTAAAATATATTTTTATATCATTTATTTTTTGATAAAGATTAATTTTTATTTTTCTATGCAATTCAATATTTTTACATTACTATTTTGTTAAAATCTTTTGATTAAAATTGAGTAATATTAATTTTTGATTGTCAAAGTAAAAGGAAATAAGCAGCTTTACACTTGACTTACAATAATAAATTTATGAAAAAAAAATGAAAGGAGTAAATAAAGATAACTACATAAGAAGTTAGGGAGAATAAATTTATCTAATTACAGTTTTAAAGTATACACTAAGGAGGATCATTGTAGATCCAAGATTAATGTTGGAGGGAGCCCAGCTTTTAAAATCTAAAATGTATTTTTTCCAGGTAATAAGTACTTTGTACTAAAATAGTTGGTATGATGGGATAATTTTAAAGATTAAATATCTAATATCATAATTTATAAGTTTTTACTTTTTTTTCATTCAGATATATTAATTTTAAAAATTTTTGTTAAACCACAAACGTGATTTTTTTAAATAGAATTCAAATTAATTTTAATAGATATATAAATTATTTATGATCCTATAATACAAACAATAATAATAATTACAAATAAAAGGAACTAACTATACGCTTCAATATTTTTATATTTTTTAGGATTGATTATTTATTCAATATGATAGATATATTTTTAACTAGTTTTTTCAACTTCAACTTATCATTCCAGCCACACCTTTGGCAATAAATTAGTTTCTCATCTTTTTTACTTTATCTTAATGCTCTAATTATTTTATTTAAAAGCTTATTTAAAAAATATGTTAAACTTTATGTTGATTACCTCCGCTACATTTGTAGAACCCATATAAATTCACTGAAGAAAGGGTAAAACCTATAAAGTCTAAAACTCCCTACAATTTTAAATTAAAATTTAGTTATGAACGGATGAAATAGATTTAATTACCCAGTAGAAACCAAAGGATATTATATTCTTTACTAAGAAAAAGATCCAAAATATAGTTATTGCTAGCTGGCTTGTCCAAAAGAAAGATTTATCAACTAAATTTGCTTTGAATTTACGCAAATCAGGAGATTCAAATCTCCATATTTCATTACCTTCTTCATCATAATCACTCCACCATCTCAATCCTACAAGCAATCTTTGAAAAATTAAATGAAATTAATTATATTTATCTTTAAATTATATTTTAAAATGTTCACTTTTCTCCTTTATTGAAAAAAAAGTAAAGAAATCCTTTAGAATAAAAAAATAATCAAGCAAATATTTAAATCATTTTATTTAAAAAACTACCTTCCAGTGATGTTTTTAACAGTCCAAAAATCAAAGCTCATTAAAAGAACAACAGAAATAAATATGAGTTAATCTTATAAGAGAGTACCTCCAAAAAGATATCTATTTTAGTTAAAGATAATTTAATATTTTGTAATTTTAGTTTTGGAGATGTTATAATCTATTTTTTAAACTAATTACAGAAAGGCTGCTCCTGCTTTAAAGGCAATAGTAAATAAAACTGCGGTTGGATGAAGTGCATTTTTAATATTGTATTTATCATCTTCATGAATAGCTTCATCTTCCTCTTCTTCATCTTTTTTTTCTTCTTTCTTCTTTTTGCTTGACTTTTTCTTTTTCTTTTTCTATTGAATTTCTTCTTCATCTTCTTCATCATCATCGTCGTCATCCTCATCATGATGCTTATTTTTTTTCTGTTCCTCGTCCAAATTTGGAGGTTTATACTTTTGCTTTTATAATAAATAATCTACCTATTATACATGCTTTTATATATTTAAGAGGAACAAAACCCTCTCAGTAATGAATCTTTAAATCAACCTGCTTTTTTGATTGCATTTTGGCTCTTTTATTTATTAATTATTCTCCTATACTTATTTAATTGAGTATTATAATTAATAATTATTTGATTTATCTGTTTGTGATTTTCAAAGATTCTTTCTATTTGAAAAACAATTTATTGTTAACTTAGTTGATTTTCTTCTATCTTTCAATCTAATAAATACAAATAATAATATTCTTTAAAGTTAGCCACTTAGCCTTATTGTTTATCAAATTAGGTTACTACCTGCTCACTATTAGATTTTAATTTAATTTATATTTAATTTGAAATTTACTTAATTCTAGATATTATGATTCCATTTTAATTAAACACTAAGATAACTAACTGTAACATTCTAGAAATGGATATAAAAAATTTTAATTCGTTTAATATTCTAAATTGATTTATTGTTTATGAGTATATTTAAAATAATATAGAATAAGTCATACAAAATAAACAAATATTATAAAATATAAATATTTCTTTGTTGTTATTTTTATTTTATAATCAGCTTTCTTCTTATTTTGCCTATCATCAAAATTTTTTAATGATAGTGAGTCCTTTCATTAATTTGATAGTTTAATCTTAATTGATAATTTCTAAATATGCTATTATCTTAAATCATTAAGTTCTATTCAAATTATCCATATTTTTGTTGTGTAAGTATCTAATGAATAGGTTTGTTGATTGAAAGATATATTTTAATTAAAAATAGTAAGATTATTGTCTTAATGAATTATATATGTGTTTCAATATCTTCTTTTTTTATTTTTAAAAAATATAATTCATTGATAAATATCATATTAAATCTTTTATTAAACATTTTTACTTATTTTTTTATTTATTCAGGTTCAAAACCTATTTCGATATCTATTTTATTTTTAAATTTTCTTTTATAAAATAATATTTATTACTCAACTAAATATATATTTTCTACACAAAAAATAATTATTCATTAATAACAATAATTTCAAGGTGGTATAAGCCCTACAAAGAAATTTATAAATGCTTCTAAGTATATCTAATATTGTCATATATTGGATATTCCTAGTGGTAGTTTGATAAAGTAAATCGATGAAACCATTATTCTTTCATTGTTCTAGATATCTGATTTATGATATCCAATCAAAATTGTTCTGATGATTTTGGTATTCTTCAGGTGTTTTAATTATCATTTTTTTATCTATAATTAAATTTGTTTAATATTTAATGATTATACAAATTATATGAATTACAAATAATAAAATTAATTTTTAATTTTAGCTTATTTTGAAATTTATTTACTTGGAATCATATTTATCTCTAATATATATAAAATAGCTTGATAAATTATTTTAAGTTGACTGATGGTTGTATATTAACTAATAAAAAACGATAAATTAGTTTTTTTAAAAATTAAATAAAATAGTATTTTTTTAATTTAAATAATTCCATAATAAACTTTAGATACCACAAAAATATAAATACTTGTCTTATATTACATCTATTTTATATAAAAAACAAAAAAAATAATTATTAAAATTTTATTAGTTTATAAAAAATTTTAATTTTTTTTCTTTTTTTCTGGAACTACATTTCACTTATTCATTTATTTCTCATTTTATTCAACTTTTATTGCTTAATTATTTGAACTACTAACATGGGTTTCAGTTTGTACAGAAGAAACCTTTTTTTGCTTAATTTACTCAGATTTCAAAACCAAATCTGAGACCTTAATGATTGGTTATGAATAGTCTCCCTAAATTTGTAAGGTATCAGGAGTACTTTTGCCATATTAGAGCTATAAATTAAAGTTGGTGTATCTCTAAAAGTTAGAAACATAAATAGCAATTTTAAAAAGATTGTAACAAGATTAATCTGTATTGTACATATTTCCAAGTCCTAAAAAATCCATTAACTTCACATGGTTATTAATATCTTTAATCATTTGGTTAGTTTCTTTAATGAATTTGACTGCATCTTCTTCTGGGATAACTGAATATCTTTCGTCTGCTAATTTATTCAGGTATTCTTTATCCTCAGCAAACCTTTTAGAAGCCTCAATATTAAAAATAAGTAATTTATTACTAATTAATGCTGATTAGAAAACGCTATTTAAACATTATGGGCTCTTATATTCTTTAAGATATTTACTGTAATGTTCAGAGTTTTTAGTTATCCAGAAAATTTAACGGGCAAAATATTCTCTGTATAAAACGTTGATTAAAGAAGGAGTTAAAGCATACTGTGATGCAGTGAGAACAACTAAGAACTCTCCAATATCCCCAAGCTCTTACTTACTACGACTTTTGTCACTTTGAATCATAGCTTTTACTCTTAAATCAACCTCTTTAGCAATGGAAGGATTATCTTCAATGAGATAATGGAAGAGTTAGGTGAAGTGAACGTAGGCTTCAATAGCAGAAATACTTTAGTGCATAGAGTCATTAAGTAAAGCTACAACCATCTTGTTGATAAGATTAGGAAGAACTTATAGAACTTACATCTCTAAATGTTCTGAGTTAGAAATTGCAGCTAAGCACTCTTTCAGGATGTGTTTAGATTGCTAGAAATGCTACTTATTCAAAAAGATTGGAAGAAAAGCATTGTATGCTTCTCCCATACCTGTTTTAAAAGTAATTCCATGATTGACATCAAAACCTTTAATTCCATACTACTATAATTGGCTTTGGAATCCTTCCAAAGAAAGAATTTCTGGAATTGGCTTTTGTTGAAGACGATTAAACTTATCTCTTTGTACAAAAAGAGGATATCCATAAATTCCAGTTGGGTTTTCAACTATATTTTCCTTCATAATGAAACAGGAAACTCTCTCCTTTACTTAGTTCAAAAGTGTGCTTTTTAAGTCAACTTATTAATCTTCTACTATCTAGAGAGGTGGGTATGGCTTCTAGGTTGAATGAACAAAGGTTTAATCTCCAACTTAGTGAGTGTAAGAGTAAGATTCAACCTTTTTAAGAATCTATGGTGCTCTAGCAAATGCCTCTTCATTTTCTTCTGGAGAAAAATCAGGATCAGCTAAAAAGTTCTATATTTACATGAGCAAAGTGCAAAATGTATAGCCTGGACTCCAGCCACTTCCTATTGCATCTGAATCCATATAAGCCTTATCGAGAAGGTCGATGCAAAATTTGTAATACCCATCATTTTCAGGGTATATATGATGATGGAAGTCATGATCGTAAGGTTGTCCAGGAAATATTAGCATTCTAGGAGGTTTGCATGGATACTGCTCAGGTAGAATTAACAGTAAATGAAAAAGAAGATCCTTGTATCCTCCACTCATGACTTTGATATTTACTAAGAATTAGAATGGGTCATTTGGGTCTAATTAGCAAATACCAACTCCGTTTACTGGATTTTATTGTATTTCCTTATAATCTTTTGTGATTCTCTTAAGAGCAAATTATCTGGATTTAGACATTTTAAAGCTATTTATTTTATTTATCTTCTATGTTTTTAGGTAGATATTTAATAATTAGTGTTTGATTTGTTTTTATTTAATTATTTATTATTTGATTTTGACTGCCTATTTTAAAAAGATACAGCTTAATACAGTGTCTATTATGATGATTTATTTATTACGACTTTAGTAATATTATAAAATACTTTTAAAACATGTAAATTAATATTTAAAGTAAAATTAAATAAAATAGAAGAAATAGATGAAACTATTTTATTATTGATCAAATTTAAATACTCTACTTAACTAATTAAATTGAATAGTAGACATGAAATTAAATAGACATAATAATTAATAGAATTTCAATATAAAAATTAATTTTACTCTATTCTTATTTATATTTAATTTTAGATTAATAATAAAAGATTATGATGCTAGGATAGCTTCATCTAGAATGATATTAAAAATGTTATCTATCATTTAATTATATATTTGTATTTTATTATTCAAATATTTTTTTTAATTATTTAAATATTAATAATTAATTAATTTAAAAATATTTCTTTAAAGAAAATATTTATGATTTTTATATTAATTCTATTTACTATATTAAAAATTTAATATATTAATTATGGATCATTTATTTAAAAATAAATAAGTTTCTAAATCAAAACATCTAAAGAAAGAAAATCAATCATTAAATATTTAGTATATAATATAAATAAATAAGACTTACATATTAAAAATATCTTAAATTATACATTAAACCTATATTAAAAAGCTTATTTTGAAATTTATTTCTTGAGGAATCTATTTATATACATGGATGCATATTAATCTCAATTATATATAAAGTAGCTTGATAAATTATTTTAAGATGACAGATGAGTAAATATTAATTAACTTATTAAAAGCTATAAATTAATTTTATTAAAAAAATTAAATTTTAAACTAAATAAAATAGAATTTTTTCAAATAAATAATTTCTAAATAAAGTTTAATAAATTGATTGAATAAATTTTAGTATTTTGGTTTTATATTAGATACCACAAAAATATAAATATATTTGTCTCATGTGACATCTATTTCATTTTGAAATAAACAAAAGGTATTGATATTAAATAATTTATTTTATTAGTTTACAAAAAATTTCAATTTTTTTTCTTTTTTTCTGGAACTACATTCCACTCATCAGCTTCATTTTTATTGTCTTTTTTCACTTCTTATTCAACTTTTATTGTTTAATTGTTTGAACTACTTACCAATTTATTTTATTTAACTATATTTGAAGTAGTACTATTATTTGTTTATTTTTAAACTTTCAAATCAGGTTTTACAACTTACTTATTTGTCGTCTACTATTCTGTTTTGTTAGTGTTAGATGCTTTACTTTTTGAATTAGAAATAGTGTGCCATTCATCTTCTGGTTCTTCTTCTTCCATTGGCTCTTAATCCAAGTTAACTTTTTCCTCTTCTTACATTTAAGTTTTATTGATTTGTTATTTTATTTTTTGAGATTGATTTTCATTATTTTTGGCTTCAGTTTGTACAGTAGAAACCTTTTTTTGCTTAATGTACTCAGATTTCAAAACCAAATCTGAGACCTTAATGATTGGCTAAGTATAATCTCCCTAAATTTGTAAGGTATCAGGAGTACCTTTTCCGTTAGTGAGCGATATATTAAAGTTGGTGTATCTCTAATTGTTAGAAACATAAATTGCAATTTTAAAAAGATTGTAACAAGATTAATTTGTATTATAAATATCTCCAAGTCCTAAATAATCCATTAACTTCACATGGTTATTAATATTTTTAATCATTTGATTAGTTTCTTTAATGAATTTGACTGCATCTTCTTCAGGAATAACAGAATATCTTTCGTTTGCTAATTTGTTCAGGTATTCTTTATCCTCAGCAAACTTTTTAGAAGCCTCAATATTAAAAATAAGCAATTTATTACTAACTAATGCTGATTAGAAAACATTATTTAAACTTAATGGGTTATTCAATTATTTTAAATATGCAACATACTGCTCTTAATTTTTAGGAATCCAGAAAATTTAACGGGCAAAATATTCTCTGTATAAAACGTTGATTAAAGAAGGAGTTAAAGCATACTGTGATGCAGTGAGAACAACTAAGAACTCTCCAATATCCCCAAGCTCTTACTTACTACGACTTTTGTCACTTTGAATCATAGCTTTTACTCTTAAATCAACCTCTTTAGCAATGGAAGGATTATCTTCAACGAGATAATGGAAGAGTTAGGTGAAGTGAACGTAAGCTTCGATAGCAGAAATACTTTAGTGCATAGAGTCATTAAGTAAAGCTACAACCATCTTACTGATAAGATTAGGAAGAACTTATAGAACTTACATCTCTAAATGTTCTGAGTTAGAAATTGCAGCTAAGCACTCTTTCAGGATATGTCTAGATTGCTAGAAATGCTACTTATTCAAAAAGATTGGAAGAAAAGCATTGTATGCTTCTCCCATACCTGTTTTAAAAGTAATTCCATGATTGACATTAAAGCCATTAATTCCATACTACTATAATTGGCTTTGGAATCCTTCCAAAGAAAGAATTTCTGGAATTGGCTTTTGTTGAAGACGATTAAACTTATCTCTTTATACAAAAAGAGGATATCCATAAATTCCAGTAGGGTTTTCTACGATATTTTCCTTCATAATAAAACAGGAAACTCTCTCCTTTACTTAGTTCAAAAGTGTGCCTTTTAGGTCAGCTTATTTATGTTCTACTATCTAGAGTGGTGGGTATGGCTTCGAGGTTGAATGAACAAAGGTTTAATTTCCAACTTTATGGGTGTAAGAGTAAGATTAAACCTTTTTAAGAATCTATGGTGCTCTAGCAAATGCATTTTTGTTTTCTTAAGGAGAAAAATCAGGATCAGCTAAAAAGTTCTATATTTACATGAGCAAAGTGCAAAATGTATAACCTGGACTCCAGCCACTTCCTATTGCACTTGAATTCATAATAGCTTTATCAAGAAGGTCGATGCAAAACTTGAAATAGCCATCATTTTCAGGGTATATATGATGATGGAAGCTATGATCGTAAGGTTGTCCAGGAAGTATTAGCATTCTAGGAGGTTTACATGGATACTGCTCAGGTAGGATTAACAGTATATGAAAAAGAAGATCCTTGTATCCTCCACTCACGACTTTGATATTTACTAAGAATTAGAATGGGTCATTTGGGTCTAATTAGCAAATACCAACTCCGTTTACTGGATTTTATTGTATTTCCTTATAATCTTTTGTGATTCTCTTAAGAGCAAATTATTTGGATTAAGACATTTTAAAGCTATTTATTTTATATATCTTTTTTTATAGATAGATGTTTAATAATGAGTGATTGAATTGTTTTTATTTATAATTAATTATTTATTATTTGGTTTTGATTGCTTTTCAAAAAAAGATACAACTTAATACAGTGTCTATGATTTATTATTGATTACGACTTTTAAATAGCGTCTAATAGAAAATATAAAAAATTTGCTATCAAAGTCTTTTAAGATACTTTTTTTTTTAAAGTATTTTATAATATGTAAATTAATTTTTTTAAACTACAATTAAATAAATGAGAATAAAAAACAAACAAAATCTTTTATTATCAGTCTAAAATTAAATATAAATAAATAAATATAAATATTTAAGAATAGAGAGTAAAATTTTTCATATTAAATTTTATTAATTATTATGTCTATTTAATTTTATGTTTACTATCCAATTTAATTAGTTAAGTAGAGTATTTAATTTGATCAAAAATAAAAATAATTCATCTGTGGCTAAGATAGCTTCATCTAAAATTATATTTTTAGCAGTGCTGTATATGAGGGAGTATAAATTTTAGGTTTGGTAGAATTTTTAATTCCTTTGAATCTACTAATATAAGGACTAATGCAATTAAATTGGTGAAGTATCTTGTTTTCATGTATTTCAGTAATATGGATCAAAAAATACTCCATATAAATCATTTATTTTTTACTGTTTCTAATTTGCTTATATATTCTCTTAAAGAGTCTAAAACAAATATCTCCAAATTATATAAATTAATTTGAAATTCAAATATATTAAAAATATTATCATTTAATTATATATATTATATATTTTATTATTCGAATACATTGTTTAATTATATATATTATGATCAAACCGAGTTTAAAAAATTTCTTTCAACACTAAAAATTTTATTTGTATGTTTTCATTAAGTATTTACTATAGTATATAGAATGTTTTAAATAAATCATATATTAATCTATTTATTTATTTTAATACTTGTTGTTGTAGGCTTAATAAATTTTATGATTTTTCAAACAAAATTGAAATTTTAATGAAAGTAACTTAAAAAAATAGATATTATCATATATTTTTTCATCCATCAAATGCTTTTAATCTTTAGAATGCTAAATTTTAAACTTTTAGAAAATTATTTATATTATCTTTATTTTATCAATCAAATAATAATATTTTATTGCTTTGAAATGTTTTTAATATTTAATATAAATTTTAATTAATTATAAAAATAATAAATAAATGGATGATTATTTAAACTAATTTAAATATCTTTAATTTAAAATATTAGTTAAATTATAGGCATAAAATTAAATCTAATCAGCTTATAAATCTTTTGATATTTATCTATGCTTTTTTGGTACAATAACACAATTTTAAAGGCAATCTAATCTAATGCTATAAAGATTGAATAATATATTTGTATCTAAAATATTTTATATAATAATCTAACAAAATTTGTAGTTTTTAGAATCAATTAAAAAAATATTTCATATAAAATATTTTTTAGAATTTTTTGAATTAGGAAAATGTGTGAAAATTACATTAAAATACTTATCTCCTCCCAATTGTATTTTGTTTCAAAACATAAAATTAAGTTTAAAAATTAAAATTAATTTAATCAAAAATATTTTTCTATCAAATTTTATATTTAAATTATGAGTTAATGATACGATTTAAATATTATTAAACGTTTTTTTTAATATTTGGTTTAAAAAAATATTTAATTTTTTAGCTCACAAAATTAAAATAAATAAATTAATTTTCTCTGGAATTTGATTTTATATTAAAATGACTTATATATTGAATTTTATTTATCTATAAATATCTAAAATATTGAGTAGAATATTAAAGTTGCTTTGGTTTTATTTTGATTTGATGAAGAAAAGCTATTACAAACATCAAGATATTTAAACAAGAATTCTACTTTTAAGGAAACTCTTTATTAAAGATTAAATTTGTATATTTCGCTTTTCAATTAAACCCATTTTACTAAGTGTGTTTTAACCTATCACTTTTACATTTAGTTGTTAACTTTGTTAGATTATTCAACGAGAGTCTTGATAATATCTAAATTATTAAAACACAGCAAATAAATTATTTTATTTATTAAAAATCTAAATTTTACTTTCAATTTCAGCTTCGTTGTTATTAGCAGCAAAAGCCTTCTTTTCAACACCATATTCTGTTATAATTAGAATAATAATTATTTTTTGCATAATTTATTAATTAATTTTGTTTTATAAATCTCATTTTCATTTAATGCTTTTGGGTGATCTTAAATCTAAAACTAATCAAATGTTAATACAGTATCTGGCTATAATGTAAGGATCAGCTTCTTCGCATTCTCTAACAATCAAAGGGAAGTTAGGATTTTAATTTTTTAAATTCCAGTAGTTTTTAGCAATGTAATTTCTAAGATATTTTTATTGAAAGAAATAATGAATATATATTAATTAATTTTAATTGAAAATGTCATAATATTTAATCTAATTATATTCATGTGATAAACATAATTTATGCATTTAAAATTATTTTTTTCTAAAAATAAATTTTTATTTTATTTGTTGCTTGTTTGCGTATGTAAATCACGTACCTAAGACCTAGAGATCTTTAAGAATTTTGGCAAAAAACAAATCTAAGTTCTCTTAAGTTAGTTCCAATTAATTTTTACCAAGAGCTCATTCCTAATAAAGCGCTATTTATTTATTTATGCTTCTTTTTCTTAATGATATTTTCTTTATTTTTAATAAATTAAATTAATAAATAAATTTTCCTATGATTTTTAGAAGTATCTTCTTTCATCCTATCTTTCAAAGCTTTTTTTTTAATGAAGGAATGAATAACAATTTATATTCTATTAATTTCTTTAAATACAACATTATAATATTTCTTTATTGATTAAATAATAATATCTTCTTAATTTATTTTTTATTGTTTTGCATAATAATAGATTTTCTTTCAACAATTAATTTTTAGTAAAAATATATTTTTATTTTAAATAAATTAAAAAATTAATTAAATAACTGTTAATTTTACTATTTAAATTAAACTAAGATGATTTCAGTCAAAAAGCTTTGTTCAAAAGTTATCCAAATCAATCTATCAATCAATTGTTTTAATACAAAAAATCAATCTATCAATGAATCAATCAATTATTTTAATACAACACAAAAAGGACCAGTTGATTTTACTTGATTTAATGAATGATGATTTTTTTTTTTTCAAATAAAATTCTATAAATTTATTAAAATTTTCGATTCAAAAAAAAACAAAAAATTAAATATTGAATTTTATAAAATAAGTAAAAGAAATTTGTTTATCAAAATAAATATAAATTTTAGAAAGATACAGCAAATAGTTAAATGATTTAAGAAGCATAATATGATCATTTAGATCCTTAAAATAAGCAAAATAATGAAGGAGAGGCTGATTAGCAATATGAAGAATCATATGCTTCAATAAATTTAGAGAGTTATCAATCATACTTTGACAAAATTAACTAAGCATTAGAACAAAGTAGCTAACTTACAAATTAAATGTTTTCTGATTAAAAATTTCAAGAAAGTGATGTTACATACGAAGAAATTTATAATAAATAAAATATGGAAGATAAAGGAATAGATGAAATTTCCAAAAAACTTTTGGAATATTAATTGTTCTATGGGATATAGAGCCCTGATATTCAATAGATTTAACAATAAACTACTATTAATGAATAAAATATGAGTGATTAAAATACATTTTAATAGAATAGATTTGAATAACTTAGTCAAGAAATAGCAAACCGAATTTAAGAAAGAGCATTTGTGACTACAGATTAAAGCAACTAGTTTAATTTGCACACAATTGAAGAAGAGGATATTAATGAAGAAGATTTAAGCATAGACAAAAAGCATAAAATAAAAAAAATTGAAGTTAATAATTAGCAACAGTTAACTGAAAGCATTACAGAGGAGCATTAGAATTCTAATTAATAAGATTAAAACTCTCTGGTGTAAAATACATCAGATTAAATAAACTAAGAAAGTAGTTAGTAAGAGGAGGATGACGAGAGACACAATCCACCTATTCCTATTCCTTAAGAAGAAGGACATAAGCCTATGATTATTGTTAAAGGAAATAAATACCTCATATAAAATTACAACAGTAATCATGTTTAACATGAAGAATAACCTCGATTTTACAGTTAAAGTAATAAGCAGGAAATTGTGTTTAATCTGAGATAACGAGAAAATGAAGAAGAAGAAGGAGAGGAAGAGCTTAATTAATTTTAAAATTTAGAATAATAAATTAACAATTAGTAATTGTATGGAAATTAAAAAGAAGAAGAATATGAATAGGATTTAAATTATCATCAATAATTATAGGATCATGAGCAAGAAGATTTTGTTAATAGAGACAGCTAGTAGGATGATAATGAAAATTTGTAATGCGATGAATCATAAGAGCTAGAAAATGAATAGCAATATTAATTACAAAAATAAGCTATCGAGGCATTTGTTTAGAAATAGAATTAATAATAACAAGCATACAAAGAAAGCTTGAATAAATAATTAATAGCTCATGCTGAATAATAAAGTGGGATGCTTTAACACATTTAAGAATAGGGTTAAGAAAATCAACAAAGTAAAATTGAATATTAATATGATAATAAACTAACTATGGAAGAGTTATCTGGAAAAAGTTACTAGAGTTATAGATAGATTAAAAATTAGAAGGCTTTAAATCATCCCAATTCAGATAGAACAATCACAAAATAAAACAAGGTTAGGCCACAATCTCCAAAAAACGAAGAAAAGCTTGAAAGGTTAAACAAGCAATAAAACCTAGCTAATCAATAAAAATAAGTTAATAAAAACCATTTTCTTTCCCCAAACAGTTATTCAAATTACTAAAAAATAGACAGGTTTAACTAACAAGAATAACTTAGTCATTATCAAAAAAATAAAAGCCCAATTTCAGTTTCTAAAAATAATAAAAAAATAAATAATTAATTCACTAGTTAACAAAAAAATGAGATATCTTCTTCACCATTAGCTAGCCAAAATTTAAGTAAAAAGAATGTCTAATAAAATGAAGTAGAATCAAATCAAAATTGTCATAATGGGAATCATATTTATGAATATAATTATGAGTAAAATATATAACAGGAATAAGATTAGCAATTTAATCCTAATAGTTACTTAAGCTCTTATTCATAAAATTAAGCTTAAAATCTTTATGATTATCAAAAAAGTTAGTCTAATCAAATTAATCATAACCAAAATTATACGAATGGCTAAGAAAATGAGTATTACTATGAATAAAAGCTATAAAACAACAACAACAACAAATTCTAAACTCTTTAAAAATTACAGCAAGAAAAGCTAAGGTTAGAAAAGATTAAATATAAAAAATTGGTTTAAGAGCAGTAAGAAGAGAGAGAAAAAAAATACATTCGACAAAATAAACTCATAAATAAAGAATATTCTTACAATAATTCATCTAATCAAATTACTTCTATAAGCAATTAAAATGAATATTTCCCTACTAAAATGAAAACATAGTAGGAGTACTCTACTCTGAATGGCAATAAATATTATTAAAAGAATATGTTAACTGAGCATTAAAATAATTCTGCCTACCTAGAGTAATAAAGTAATTACACATATTTAAATTCCTTCAAAATGAAGAAAAAGTAAATGAGTTTATCTAATTTGAGTAACTAAAGTGAAACTTAAACACAAAATATGTACTAAATGCAATAATTGGCTGCTTAAAGTTCTAACAAAAATTTAAGTAAAATTGCGTCTCCTTCTGGAAGAAGATCTGATATAATAAAATCACCTTAGAATAACTATAACAAAGATCTTTTTATTTAACAAAACTAGCAAAAAAATTCGACAAAAAACTAGTAAAATAGTATTAGAAATGAATAAAATGTTGTTAATATAGAAGTTATGAAAAAAATTGCTTAAGATATCGAAAGACAACAAGCCCTTAAGTACTAAAATAATTTTTATTAAAATAAATAAATAAATAATTTTACTTAAAAATTTTATTTATAGGTAAAAGAGAGGATAAATAGATTAAAATATGCAGAGAGAAACTAGAGTAAGTTATTTAATTTTAATTTATATCTAAATTTATCACTTATATGCAATAGGTTCTAATTAAAAATGGTTTAGTAGCAGATGCAATTAACGAAATAGTATTAAAAACAGAAAAGAAATCTAGATCTACTTCGAGAACTCCTTCGAAGAATAAAAAGAGTGCCCCAACTTCAAAAATAATAAGCTAAAAAGCAAAAGAATAATAAATGCTTAGGTTTTAGCATGCAGTTGTTGAAAGCACAGATAATCTTAAACCTAAAAAATCCATTTAATAAACAAAGAATATAAACAATAATTATTTTGCAAATTACTTCAACGAGTCTCCAATAAAAAAGAAATCCACTCCTCAAAAACAATCTGCTAAAGATACAACAGGGTAATTAATTGTTTCAAAAATGTAAAAAATATTAATTTAATTTTATTCTAAAATAAAAAGTGATAGAGGAATTTTGATGATTTTGGAAAACTTTTCTAAAGTAAATAAATTTTTATTTCATAAATAATTTTTACAAATAATTTAACAAAATTTAAAAATAATTTAGAAAAATTAAGTAAATGCTAAGGATCTCAAATTAAATACTAGTAATCAAAGTATAACTTCTAGAAACTAATTAACAAATAAAAATTCATCAAATAATAGCAACAATAGTATGCAATTAAAGACTTTATTATTGTGATTATATTTGATAACTTATTTATTAATTTAGTTTTATTTTATTTTATTTTTAACAAAATCTAAATAGAAATATTTTTATTTTTTTAAATTATTAAGTAAGTTTTTTAAGCTAAGATTCAATTTTTTTGGTTTTTTAAGAAATGGGATATTTAACTTTAGTTGCTTTGTTTAAAAAGCTAAGTTTATTATAATTGTTTGCTTTTTTATTGCTGATTATTTTAATTATTATTTGTTTTTTATTATAAAAATTATTTTTGTTAATTTTATTAAAAAAAAGTTTTATTTTATTGTAAATCAATTTTTTACTCTTTAATTAAACTTTTATTTTCATTTTCTTCTCTTTATTAGAATAAGTTATTCTGATTAAAAGAAAACCTATTTTAGTCTTAATTCTGAATGTAATTGGTGTTACTCATTCCATAGTTTGTTGAGCTTTATTCTTTGATTTGTGCAGGTTACAAAGAGCTTTTTTTGCTTTATTGTTGTTATTAAACGCACTTATAAAATCTTTATGCAAAAGTTATGTTTGAATTTATTATAGAGTCAATAGGGATCATTTCAAAAACTTGAATTGTTATCTTTTAAAGCAAGAGATTCTAAATTTAAAGGGATTTAAGCATTTGGAAACACTCTGATTTTAATAGGTCAAAATAATCTGAATCTATTCGAAGTATTTCTCTTTTAACTACAATATTTGTATGGTCTATTTTCGTTAATTAAAGTTTAGCTATCTTAGCTATTCTCTTGTAGTGTTTCATATCCAAAGTAATTTATTCTACTATTTGATCAACTAAGTATTGAAGTTATTATATTGAATACTCTCCCAACTTAAGCATTCTACTTACTTTCAATTAATCTATTTCAACTTAAACATTATGGTAATCTATTTTAATTTCAAACAAAAATACTTTAATTAAAAATTAATTATTTATTTTAAAAAAATAAATTACTTCTGCTTACTCCATAGTAAATCTACAAAAGAGAATTTGTAACATTTTATGGAAAAGTTTGATATATTTAGATTAAATTATTATTAATATCATTTATACTCATGATTCTCATTTTTTCAAGAGAGGCTAACAGAGATTCTGATAAATTAGTCATCATTTTTATATCTAAATGAAGATGAGAGACAAAATCTTTAATTTCTTAAATTCTACTTATACAAGAGTTTTACAAAATGGAATGAAAAGACATTTAAGCTGCAAGGAATGAGAGCAGAGTATTTGCTCCTATCCCACAGAATGATTCTACCTTAAATTCATTATGAATATAATTTGCAATTGATGAAGCTATATCAGCTGGATTCTCAAAACCTTTTTCAGTCATATAATTGGTTACATCTATGAGAAAATAATATATATTTTTATTATTAAAATCCACCTCTACATCTTTATCAATCTATTGTAAATACCTTAAGATTGAATTAAAAACTTCCTGTGAGCTCTATTAATTCTACATTTTAAGTATAAGGATGTTTTAAATAATATTTTCTATCTCAGAAGTATTCATTCCAACTCTTATTCCTAGTTAGAATGCCTAATTATTCAATTGGCAAATTTGATTACTAGAATTGATCAATATGCATGGCTGATTTTTATCTTACTGTCTTTCAGAAAGCAAAACATCTAAATGAAGAGAGTATAAACCAATAGTCAACCATTTCCTAAATGAGATTTGCTACTTTTAAACTTGTTTTCTTAAATCATCAAATAAAATATTGGTATTTTCAATTTGGGGATATTTATATTGTTTATATTCTTCTTTTTTTTTAATATCTTCTTCAATGAGAACTTCTAATTATCTCTAATCCATATTAAATTAATTTGTTTTGAATTTTTAAATATTTTTTATTTAATTAGATAACATTAAAATAATTTGGCGCAAACAACCAGCTTATTATTAATTGTAATATAAGAGCTAGTTTTTAAAACTTTTGAAATTAATAACAAGCTTTGTTAAAAATTATTTTGCTATTCCTTAAAATGATTGAATAAATTTAACAGATTATTATAAAAAATTTGGAATTTTTAATTTAAATTTCGATGTAAAAGGCGCAGAAATTCAATTAAATTTTTTTAATATTTACAAAAAAGTAGACTAAAAGAACAAATAAATCAAATGATTAATCAAAAAATTATCTTACAAATTACATCTATCCCATTTATTCATTATATAAGTGCTCATTTTTACTCTTACAATTTATTTTCTTTGAATACATTTTTTAGTTTAAAGACATATAATATTATTTGAATAAGAATAAAATAAAAAAAAGAATTATTTTTCATTTTACTTTTATTTAAAAAAATCTGCAAAAAATACTTACTTTTGTCATAAAATAAAGTAGCTTAAAGATAAACTTAAAAAAAATAAAAAATTTTACAAAAAAATAATTTATGTCAAAAAATTCGTTCAAAAATGTTCTAAATTAGCAGTTATTTTTTGTTCTCATAAAGTATTATTTCAATAAATAACTATATGAGCTTTTATTTTTTTATAATTTAAAGATTATAACTTCATTAAAATTAGATTTTATCTTATTGTCTAAAAATAAAACATTAAACAAAAATATTATAAACATTTGTTCTTCTTCTTTTTGGAAAAACATAAATATGTTCTTAATTTAATTTTATAAAAAGAAAAATTTATGTTAGAAATAAAAGATGAGTTAACAAATAAAAATCAAAGAAAAAAATACTAAAATGAATTAAATTATATTTACAAATGATTATTATTATAATGATAAATTTTTTTAATTATAATAGAATGACCACCGATTAAACTAAATTTTCAAATAAAAGAAATTTGAATTAATGAGGTGTAAATTTGCAAAATAAGTTGAGAAAATCAATCGTTTGTTATGAAAAATTTGTAAATTATTGTTAAAATTAAAAAGGAACTTCAAACAAAAATTTTGCTTTCAAAAAGGATGGTTGCATCTCACATACATACATTTAGAATTTTTGGTTATGTTGGAATTAAATTGATTGAAAAGTAAAAAGAAGATATAATAATATAAGACGTCACATTCGGCTAATTAAACCAACATATATAAATTAAATTTTTAGGGAAAGGAATATTATATATTTGAAGAGAGTTATTTATTTATTTAGTAATTAGATTTGAGTTTTTTTTATTTCATTACATATGCTCATCAAAATTAATTGAAATATCTTTGAAATAGCTTTATTTTTCATTCTAAATTTTACTTTTATTGTTGAATAAAGTCGTTTATAATTTTTTTTGTTGAGTTATTGGCTATGTCGAAAACAGTTTAGCCTTCATTATCTTAAATGTTAGGATCAGCTCCTTTCTTTAACAGCTCTAGGACTAAATGATTTTGTTCGTTTAAAGCAGCAACATGAAGTGGAGTAAAGCCATCTGAATCTTGGGCATTAATGTTAGGAAATGATTCAATAAGAGTATGGAAAGTGTCTAGAAGCTCATTTTCTATGCAATAGTGTAATGCGGTGCTACCTTATTCATTCTTTTGACATAAATCAAATCCTTCTTTGATGCTCTTTTCTATTTCTGGGATGTTTTATTCATCTAACAAACTAAAGAAAATTTATGTTTCTTCAGTTACTTCTTGTGCTTCTTTTTAGCCCAAGAATTATTCTCCTATATTTTAGGTCATTTTGCTTACAGATAAGCCAAACCCCCTTCCTACTTATTCCTTTTTATTTTTAAAGCTACTTTCTTCGCCTTCATTAGCATCTTAATCAGACTCTGTTTCAAATAGATCTTTTTCGCTAATGTTATTGTCATCTTCGCTTTCCTCTTAGTCATTTTCATTGGCACCTTGAGAAATTTTAGCAATTTATTCTTCATACTTAGGGAGCATTTAAATTACATATTCAACATAGAGCATCATAGCATCTTCTCTTGGTAAACCCTTAAATTTGGTCCAATGTTCATACTTCAACTTAGCTTCATAATTTAAACTTGATGGTTAACTTATATTGCAGTCGCCAACTAGAGCTTGTTTATATAGACCGTAGAGCTATAGAGAGTCTTTGGGGTCAGTGTTTTATTCTTTTCTGATAATTTTACATGCGGCTTTAAATTTAAGCAAGACATCTTCTTTCACAGTACCTTACATTTAAGAGAGTTAATCCTACTATTGGGTTGCTGCTGTGAGCTAAACCTTAGTAGGACGTTTACACTTTGTATAGACTAAATTAATGAACTTTTTAGGGTAAGCTAAAATTAGTCCAGTAAGAATAATATTACTATATTTAAGTGTTTATAACAGTATGTCTTTTGCTTGCTAGGACATTATGTAAATAGAATTTTGTTTTCTATGATCTAAAAAGAATTGCTAAAATGATTGAAATGAAGTGATTCTTAGTAGTTTTTGGCCTAAAAAATACAAAACTACTTTAAGAAGATTTTTTTAATTTTTTGAGAGGTTGGCTAAATATATATTTCCTTAAGAAAACTTACTATTTAGTTATTCTATAATAGGTTTATTGCTTTCGAAATCTACTTTTAGAATTTTCTTATTATCAAAATATTTAGATAATATTTTAAATATTTTTCACTGTCAGAAAAAAAACTTACTTTTTATCTTTTCTTTTATTTATTTATTTAATTGCTTTACTTTTTTACTTTGCTTTCTTTTCTTACTTTAATTAACACTTTTCTTTTTCTCTCTTTGATAATATAATTTATTTATTTTCAAATAATAATCATTAAAGTATTATATAATTTTTTATAAAAAATAATATATGTATATATATCCTTATCTGTACTACATAAATAAATATACATTTATCTTGCTTGTCTTTTCTTTCCTTATTTAAAATGCTTTGAATTTACTATTTTAATGTTTTGATCATTTCTTAGTGATGTGTCTTGATTTTCTATCACCAAATCAATACCTTCTATTTTCCATTTTTCTTTTTACGTTATTCATTTTCAGAAAGTTTGAAAATATTAAATTGTATACATAAAAGTTTTTTATTATACTAGCATTTAAAAACAAGCCACAATTTATTGATATCATATTTTGAATAATCGAAAATTACACACACTAACTCAAACATATATTTTTGCTGATTTTTTCTAAGATGAATTAGAACTTGTGTTTTAATTACAGATTAAAAACCAGCTTGAGTTTTTGTATTGATAGAATAAGAAATGAGTTCTTTTTCATTTAAATAATCTAATTATTTGATGATAGTTTTCAGTACTTCTCTAGATAAGATTGAAACTTAAATAAGCTTTTGGGTTTCTTATTTATTTCAAATTAATTTTTTAAACATGAATTGGCTTTTTTAAAATTTAAAAGTGAAAAAATCTTATTTTAAAAATAGGCTACCAAAATAAAAAATACTTTGTCTAAAAAATATTACCTAGAAATTGATAGGTAATTAATTTATTAAGTCGAATTTAAATTAGAAAAATATATTTTTCAAACTGAAAAAAAATAAAGCAAATTAATAAAAAATAATATTTATTAAAATAAATAATTTTCTGTTTAAAATTAAAAATTTTTATAAAATTATTTCAAACAAAAAATGTGAAATGTTTTTTTTGAAATTAAATAAAATTAAATTTAAAATATTCAAAAATACTAAAATATGAATGTATAAAAGATGCTTAATAGCCAATAGTTTTTGATTTATGATTAGATTCTAAATAAAAATAATATAAAAAAAATTATTAAATATATTAGGATAAAGGAATGGTAATCTGTATAATTAACTTAATTGTGGTTGTAAGAAATTTGTATTGGAGGTATTAAATTTATTAGTAACTTCGTATACCAATAATTAATGAATGCTAAGTGTTTGTTTTTCTTGTGTTATTGGCTTTATCACTTTGATTTTTAATTGAATTTTTTTCACGTTAGGATGCATAATTGTTATCATTATTACCTTTTCTTTATAATAAATTTCTTTCAAAAGAATAAATTAATAAATTAGTTAGTAGTTTGTTTATTTGTTAGTTTGTTGTAGGTTCATCAAATTTGAATGCAATAGGCGCAAGTTCGCTCTAATCTCCCGAAACCAATTTATGGTTTGCATAAAAGATTAGGAGAAGAAAATGTTGAATAAAACACAAAAGCAGTCATAGAAAAATATAAAACATATACTTGGGATAAATCGTTCATTTACAATTATCTTGATACTCGTTTATTGAAATCAATATTTTTAGATGATAATTAATACTTTTAAGATTGCATTTTTCTAATTAATGAATATAATGCAGAGGTAGAGAAAATCAAGAAAAGCAAGGAGGAAATGAAAAATGGGCCATGGAAAATGCGTTTTTTTAGCACTCTATATAATTTACTTCGTGAGGTCATTTTTACAAGAGACAGAATACTTTAACGAAGTTTCGCCCAAGATGTTAATTAATGGGCGTATAAGCAATTAGAAGGTTTAGAGGCAGATTAGAAAGAAATTAAACCTTTTGAAAATGATCCAGCCTTTATGCTTACAACACTAAGAGGAGTTATGAAAGATTTTAGCAAGTATCGTAAAACCTCAAGCTCTAGGGAGAGACCTGTAAATAAATCTCTTGAAAAATAGATAACAGTGACCTTTACCGCTAACACTTTACCTAATTTTAACGACGAATCAACTGTAATAGGCAACAGAACTTTCCTTGATGAAAGCACAAGAGATTAAACCATATTAGATAACAGATAATAATCCCCAGAAAAAGAAGAATAATCAGTTTTGAGTTAAAGCACAACTCATTTTAAAGTAACTTCTATTTTATCTTAAGCTGGGCTGCGTCCTAAGATGAAGATGCCTTCAGAATATGTACAAGAAGCTTTAAAAGATTATAATATATGTGCTCGTACTAAACATCCTGAATATGAACCTCCTGCTGTAAGGTATAAAATAACTTCATAATATATATATTTTTACTTAAAATCCTTATTAAACAAAACTAAAATATTATTGAAAAGTAAATAAATAAATTCCTAAATAAATAAAAATGGCTTTAAAAGATACCTATTATTTTAAGAAATATAGTGAAATTTTAGATTAAGGAAGATTCATAATTTTTTTTGATATAAAAATGAAACAGAAAATATTTACTTATTTAATTTTAATTAAACAGAAATAAATATTTAAATAATTATCATTAAATTCTTTAAAGCTATTTGACAAATAAATTAATTTTAATTTTACTAATTTTAAAAAGACTGAAAGAATATAAGAGAAGAGTTTTAAGCTTTGATGATCCTTCTAAAGTGTTAACTAAGTTGGCTGATACATAAAAGAAAGATTCTGAATTTTCAAGAGTAACTTATCCTAAGCCTTTAACACTCTAGGATATGAAAAAAAAGAAAGAAGAAGAAGAATAGTAAGCACTTGAAGAATAGAAGAGAGAAGAGGCTGCAAATAGAGCAGAAAGTGCTGCTGGAGAAATTAAACCAGAAGATGGATAGGCCCCTGCTGCAGCAACTCCTAATTAGGAGGGAGAATAAAAAGCTGATGATGATAAGAGCTAAAAGGAAGACTTGGATTTAAGTGGAATTCTAGCTGAAAAGGATGATGGATAACCCAAAAAACCTCCTCTTTAACCTAATATTAAAAATTATACGAATGATGAATATGGAAAGGAGACTTTTATTAGAGATTTAAATAAAAAGTATGATCACAGAAGCAACTATATTTACTATGAGCCTTCTGATGATGTACGCGAAATAAGAATGGAAAATAAGTGGAATGAAAATAGGTAAAAGGAATTAAAAGAGAAGAGAGAAAATGAAGAAATGATTAAATTGGTTTAAGAATGGTCTATTGCAAAAGGCAGATTAGAAAAAGAAATCAGTAGAAAAATAGATTCAAATATTTATGGTTCGAAATTTAAGGATTGCGAATATCGCTTTAATAAAAAAACAAATGAAGAGCTTTAAAAGCTGGATTAAGAAACTAAAGAAGCTGCTCTTAAGCAAAATGCCCTCTAAGAAATCAGGGAAATAGAAGACAAGAAAAAGAGAATCGAATAAAAAAAGAAGGAAAGAGAGGAAAGAAGAAAGGAAAGAGAAGAAAAGAAAAATAAGAAAAAAAGACATGATTCTGACTCAGATAAAGAAAAGTCTGATGAAGAGTCTTATGATGAAGAATTAGATGGTCCTTTTGATCCCAGCAATCCTAAATTTAAAAATAAAAGACGTCCTCATTCATTGCATGTCTAATCAAAGCCTGAATAAAAAAGTGTTGATTTCACTTCTACTCTTCCTCGTATAGCAAAAGTGTAAAATCAAACTAATTTGCATCCCTTCAAAGGACTAGAATATGATACATAACGTTAAAAGATTGAAATGATAAAGAGACTTCATGGTAATTTAATAAATATTAAACCTAATAATCCAGCTAATAACAATGAATTATCAAAAACTCAGTAAGCTGCTGTTTAATCTGAGTCTTCATAGTCATTTTACTATGAAAGTTAAAATAGAAACTAATCTAAGGAACCTATATAACCTTCTTTATCAGTGTATTCAAGAGATGTTATGTAAAAGCTTAGACCTTTTTCAGCAATTTTTGAAGCAAACGACCTATCAGTAATTTAAAAGGAGCAACTACTGGAAGTACACGAAGTAAAAAATAGAATGGCTAAGTATAAACTTTCAGTACCATATAAAAAATTAAAAGATGCAATAATTGTCCCAGAAGGCCTGACAAATAAAGAGGATTTAGAGCTTATTCCAGATCCTGGACAAGGATTAATAAAAAATCCCTTTATGAAGGATAAGAAGAAAAAAAAGAAGAAGAAAAGAAAGTGAAATAAAAAAAATTTTTGTTGTTTTATATTATATAAATAAAAATAAATTTATAATTCAAGTAAAATTATTGGTTTCTCAATAATAAAAATATACAAATAAGTAAGTAAATAAATAAATAAATGTCTTATAAAAATTAAGTTTCTAATAAGATACATAGTTTTAAATTCAAAATTACATTTTTTCTAAGATTTTTGTAAATCAACTCTAAAATGATCGATCTATTATTATATTATATTTGAATTGAATTGTATCTTTTTAATTAAATAAATAAGAAAATCAATTAATAAACTAATTTTATTTAATATAGATAGAATCTATTATACAATATAAGCCATATAACAATATATATTTAACTTAAAGTAAAAAATAATTTATTGAGAGCAAATATAGCCTTATAATTTTTATATTTTAAAGAATTAAACCTTTATTTTTCTTTCGATTATTACTAAAAGAGTTTTTGAAAAATTAAAATGATATTTATTCAAAAATAGTGAAAATAGGTTTAGAATTTTATTTTATTTTTTAATATTTTTAGGACTCGTTTTTTCGCGGGAAAGAATATAATAATAATTATTACAAGTTACAATAATTATTTGGTAATTTATGTAATAAAAAATATTTGAATATAATAAGAAAAAAATATACATAAATAAAAGTAACATGTCTCTTTCATTTATTATTTAATCAACTACTACTTTTTGAGTTTTTATTTTTCATTTTTTTAAAATTTAATCAATTAATGCAAAGTAATTTTGCTATCTTTTTATATAGTAATACTTCGATAAAATGAGTTTATCACTTAATTTTAAGAAATTTTCATTCAAGTTTGGAAAGTTTAATAAAATTAAAAAATATTAAATCATGAAAAAAGCAATAAGTAAATGATAAACTAAAGTATTTACATAAATTTTTTATATTCTTAAGTAAAACTGTTAAATTATTAAAAATGAATTTATTTTTTATACTAGTTACTCATATAGTTTAAAAGTTAAACATAAACATAAAGAAGAAAACTATTAATTAATTTTAATTAAGAGTAAATAATTTGTGTGGTTATTTAATTACTTAAGTAATATTAGTTCATCATTTAATACAATTTTTTGATAATTATGGAATGGATTGTAACCTAAAATAAAAAATATCAATCTTTACAAATTTTAAAGAATCCCTAAATTTAATCTCTAAAAATACATTAATTAGAGAAATTTTTTCTCTAGAAAAAATATAAACCAAAGATACGAGTTTATCAAGATCAAGAACTTTTAGAAAAAATTTTAAAGTACTGTCTTAACTTTATCAAATAGTTAAATGCATATAATAACTTCAAAAAAAAATTATAATTTTGCTAAATAGCTTAATTTAAGATTTAATAAGGTTTAATTAGGTTATGATAATAAAATTAAAGCTAATAAAAAGAAACTAAAAATGTTAAACAAAGATGAGTTGAACTTTTTAGATTAATAGTAAATGAAAATTTTAAACTAGGTTATTAAAAATCAGTTTGAACAATTACGCTTGAATATAAATATGATAAGAATAATTTTCCAATTAATAAATTGTTAATAAAACAAATTATGTACTTTTTTATTTTAAAACTTCAAAAGAACTCAAAAATATGACTAATTATTTATATTTGCAAATTAGAAACTTATTAATTTATTCATGTATCAAAAGGTTTGTTTTGATTTTTAAATAGAATGATAGATATATAGATAACTTTTACATAAGTAATTAATTAAACATCTATAAAAATAAAAGATATGTCTTCTTGTACAAATAATATTTATGATTAAATGGAATAATATAGATAAAATAGATAATATTAAAATTATTTTGAAGGTTTTTTTAAAGCTATTATTTTTTTTTTATTAAATAAAAAATAGTTAACTGTAAGCAAAGTTTTTATCTTATTTTAATTAAAAGTAAATTTGTAATTAAAATTGTGTGATTAGTGGATAAAAAGGAAAAGATAGAAATTTTAAGGTAAACTATTTCACCAGTTAATTTTTATAGAGATATATGCTAAATCACTATAAATTATGTACTATAGTATTATAATTATTTATCTTTCTCATAAATTTTGCTTAACTTATACTCATTTTTTTAAATATATTTGGTGTGTTTTATAATTTTTCATTTGTGGATAAAAAGTATCTTTCTATTTTCATCAATAATAAAGCTTCTTTTCTTTAATGAAAAGCTGGTTTCTTTTTATTTATATTAATCAAATCAATTTTTATAATTAATTTAATATCACAAATTTTTAAAAAAATAATAATAATTAGAAAGAATATTTTAAACCTATTCTGCTACAATGCATAAACTGTTTCCTTGCAAATGTGGTGAATTTGAATATGACAGTAACTCTTCACTTTATAACCACATTAGGCTGAAGCATAACAATGATATAGAAGGATATAAACCTGAAAAAAAATTGGGAAGACCTAAAGGTAAGAGAAATTAAACTATCATAAAAGATAAATCTAAAGTACTTCCTAAGGTTTTAAAATGTAAATGTGGAACGACTCTAAAAAGCGAAGGTGCTTTATCAAACCACATAAGATTAAAGCATAAAAATCATCCAGATTTTTAAACTATTAAGAAGAAGCAAGGTAGAAAACCCAAAGATGTTACTAAATAATAAAACGAAGTTTAACAATAAGAGATAGACTGTTTAGAGACTCAGTAATTCACATCAGAACATAATGAAATTATTAATACAACCATTGAAGGCCCAACTTAAAATATTTATTAAAATCCAAATACTACTAAATCGCTTTAATAAATTTACTAAGCACATGAAGATTAAGAGTCAGAAATAGTTTAGGATTAAACATAATAGTTTAACCATATTGAAGTTGGTGATTGCTAACTAGAACAGGGAGATGAAGATAATTACTTCCCTTATTAAGACTAATTTGACTAAAACAATTTTGAATCTGGCTTTTATGGAAATTATCAACAAGAAGATTTTATGGAAATTCAACATAATCTCTATTTTTAAAGTGAATAATTTACTAATTGAATTAGTTAGTGAGTTAGTTTTTACTCATTTGAAAAGTAAAAAGTATGAAATACACCTTTTCAAAATTTTACTATTATTTATTTGCCGAAGTTTTAATATCAAATAAAACTTTACTTTTTATAAAACTGTGTTTACATATATATTAATATGCTAATGATATCAAATATTACAATATTAAAATTCGTTTTATAGCAAATTGTTTTTTTATTAAATTGAAACCAGTTTTTTTGTTTGATTTACAAAAATTTACTTTAGTGATTTTTTTTTGATTGAGATCATTATAGATAAATCTTCAAAAATAATTGAAGTTCTTCCTTGCTTCACATCTTTTAAAAGATTTGTTAAAAGCTCTTAATAAATAAATATTGATAATAAAAATACATATTTAGCTGCGAATTAATGTAATTTAATTTTTAAAGCCATAAATCAAAAAAAGTGAAGTTTTTTGAAAAATTCTCTTAAATAAATTTTATAACAGCATTTTATTTTATAATTTATAATTTTTAAAATTGTTTACATTAATTTTTATATGATAGTTATGATTTTTAAAGTTCCTGTTAGACTTTTTCTAAGTTTTAAATAAACTTTATCATATACCTTTATCAATATTTATTTAATTTATCTGGCTATTATAAATATATTAAACATAAATATTCATTTAAAATTATTCTCTACAAATGCTGCTATTGATTGTTAAAATTTTTATTGGTTTATATACACTTTTATACAATAATTAATAAGCTCTCATTTTATATAACAAATGATGAAAATCATATGGATTTATGCTAATATAAGTATATAATAAGCACTATCCAATCAAGTAACTAACCAATATTAATAAATGTTAGCTAAAACCTTCATGCTTTATTGATTAAATGTAAAAAGGTTTTTAAAGCAATAAATGAATTAGTAAACGTGCAAAAATATTTAAATTATTTAAAAATGGCCTTTTCAATCCATAATAATATCTATAATAGCAAATTAAAGCATAAATGAGATCAGCAAAATAATTAATAAAATTAAGATAAATTAAACCAATCATTTAGTTATTCTTATATACAATCATGTAAATTTGATTTTCAGAATATAAGTTTTATGTTGTTAAAGTTCTAAAGATGTTTTTAAAGTATTTAATAAAACTAAATTACTTAGATTTAATTTATATCAAGCTATTTATTGTACTTTCGCTTCTCACGAAATTTACTTCAATGTAATTGAAAATTTAATTATTTATTTTAAGAAACAAAATTATAAAATTTTTAATTACTTTGTTTATAAATTAAATTTGTTTGATTAACAATTATTAACCAAATAATTTGAATGAGCTTATATCTTTCTCAATCGATAATTAATTAAGATATTATAATATAATTTGAGATTCATAAATAATAAATATGAAAAAATATTAACTTTTTATATTTGCATAGTGTTTATAATAAGTGTTGGAAGCATCATATTTATATCTAACTTTATTTTAGATTGATAGTTTTTATAATAATATTGAAGATATAATAATTGTTAAATTAAAATGGAGTTAAATATAGAAAGATAAGTATAATTTTGTTAATATATACTTACCAAGTAAAATAAATATTTTAGAGAGATAAAATTTGAATGAAATTTTGATTTAAAAGTTAGAAATTAGTAATAAATATAATAGCATCTTATTACGATTTATTTTTGTTGTAAACTTAAAATAAGATTGCATTTCTAAAGCTAAGAAAAATCTAGAAGCTAGGTTTAATTTTAAAAATACAAAATTAATTTATAAATAATATTTACTTAATTCTGATGGCTTACACACTAAGCTCCTTAAAGTTTTAACAGATTTTGTTAAGCTGAAGGAGAAAATGTTTTAAATATCTATGATTAATATAGACTTTATAAGTTGAATGAAACTTTATCAGATATACTATATAAAAATGCACAATAATAAAAAGCCTTTGTAATAGTTATAGCCAAGATATTTAATTAGACATTAGTTCTATCTAGCATTTCAAATTTCAAAAATGAGATAAATAAATTTGTGATTAATAGTATGGATTTTTTTTTTTTTTTGGTTTAATAAAGTAAGAGTTAACAAGATATTGCCAATTGTTATCAAAAGAATCCTATCCAAAATATTATCTATTTATTTATTTTTATTTATGGTCTAAAATTTAATGTGATAGTATCCTAGATGATGAAAAATTAATCCTTCAAATTAAAAAAATAAAATTTTAAAAAGAGTAGATCAAATCAACTGTATCTTTGATTTTGCAAATAAAAAAGGCTAATAAATAATATTTATAACAATTGGCTTGTTTGTTTATTTTTAAAGTTGGGAATATTTTTTATTTTTTTAATTTACTTTTGTTATTTTATTTTCCCACATAGAAGGTTAAAGAAAAATAAAATTTTAAAATAATTTGTTTGTTTGTTTGATTTATTTCTTTCTTTCTTTCTTTCTTTCTTGCTTATTTTGTATTTTTTATATAAATTATGAGAAAGGGGATTACAAGTAAATAAAATAAATAATAAAAATGATACACTTAATGTTATTTATTATGAGAGATAAATTATATTTATGATAAATTTTAAAGACATTTGAAACTAAGTTTATGTTTGTTGTTTAATGTGGTATAAATAATATTTATTTGTTTGATTGTAAGTTTTATTGATTGATTATTTGCTTGTTTGTTTTATGCTATTTATAATATTCTTTTCAAAAATTAGGAGAACTCACTTATTCTTCTTTTCTTTAAATGATGATAGCAATACAATTATTATTAAATTATTGTTTGCACTTTATTACTTAGTTACTTGAATGCCTATTAATTTTATTCTTCCTACTTATTTATATCCTTTGTTTGTAATTATAAAATGTTTTTAGATTATCTCTCTCAAAGAAATGTTGTTTATCCTCATCAAGCACACTCAAAGTCTTGACTAAGTGGGGTGAGAGGTACTATGTCTACCAATAAGTTAATCAAGATTAGTAATGCCATATCTTGAGGGTACACCAGTTTCTGCAAGAAGAGATTGATTAAGTTCATCGTTAGGGAGAATGTATTATTTATTCATAAATTACTAGTGCCATCTAATCATTCTGTTGATGTTGGGAGTGTGGACTCCAACAAAGTCAGCGATTTGGCGGAGAATCATGAGGCCATATGGGACATCTTCCCAAAAGATACGTCCATCAATGTTAGGAATGACACCTCCTTAGACTTCTTTGACAGGGATTCTAACAGTCTTATATCCTTAGTTGGTACGGAAAGTAGTGTACATATTTGTAGGATCTGAAACCTACTTGCCATATTGCTTGATAATACGTTATCTTAAGGGAAGGACATAAGTAAGATCGTATTAAGGGTATTTGCCCATAATTCCTTCTTTAATCAATTATATTTCGCTATCTAATAACTCGAGTTGATGAGCAGAGTATTCATCCATATCTTCATAGAAAAGGGGAATAGACTTGGGGTCGTAAGGAGTCTTACCATCCCAGTTTTAGAAGACACCATAAATACGAGCAGGATGAATAATTTGATTTGAAGGAGTAAGAGTTAAAGTTAAGAAATTAGGAAGTGTTACAGTAGGAATAGTCCACATCTTTTCAATGAGCTTGACAGTTTCAGTCATTCTAGTAGCAGGTTCGATAGCGACTAAGAGCTAATCCTTAGGGCCTATGATACGAACACTTTTGCCATATTCGTCTGACTTGCAGATGAAAGGGATGTTGAAAAGACCAAACATAGTTAACTAAGATAAGCGTTATCCAAAAACTTCTCTGCACATCCACTCAAAACCACCTTAGGCGAAGAGTGTTCCTACGAAGGCACCAGGCTTAACGTAAGGAGCAATGCTTTTTAAAAGACCATAATGAATGTGAGCAGGTCCACTAATAATCCAGACATCAGTAGTAGAGATTTCTGATGGGTTATTTGTGATATTATTCAAATTGGCTACATAGTTACCTCTTGACTCCCAGCTTGATCCCTTAGTTATACCTACTAAATTTTTGCTCCATTCCTTAGGACGACGAGTGAAAACATTAACCTTAAATTCCTTGGTTCTGCTAATAACAGCAGCAGAAGCATGTGTTCCATTGCCACCACCACAAATTGTGACCTCAATAACTTTTCCAGTAGACATTTATTTATTTTATTATCTTTTTTTTATGTTGTTTTTTTACCTATTTTTAAATATTGCTTTAGATTTTTCTTTTTATTTTTTGTTTCTTAAATTATTAAATATAATTTTACAATTAATCTTCACACAACGTTTATAAATGGATATATTTCAATTATCTGGAATATTTTCAAAAATATTATCATTTCTTTCAGTAAGATTTAAAACTTGCTTAATCTATTTGAATTACTGTTTTTATTTAATTCCTTCCTTTGATATCTATAATATGCAATCCCAATAATATTCTTATATTTGATTGATCTATTTATTTATTCTTCCAAATTACCCACCAAAAAGATTTAAAGCTTATCAACAAGAATCAACTATTTAAAAATTTTGATTTAGTTTTCTTTGACTTACAAAACTTTCTATATTAATTTCCATAAAAGCTATATTATCAATCATTAATCTTGATTTCTGATGCAAAGGTCGAATATGATGACATCAATATATAAATAACTATTTTGTGTGCGATATTTGTCATAAACACTAAATTGCATCAAATATATAATAAATAAACTGAGTTTCAGAAAATATTCTCGTCATTCATTAAATTGCGCAAAAGCGAATAATCAAGGACATTTTCCTGTCAGTTGCACAGTAACTTTCTCATTTTTTCAAACAAGGATTTTATATAAAAAGCATGGAATAATACATATCTCTTTTTTTTAAAATTATTATAAGATCAGTAAATTTATTTATTTATTATTATCCTCTCTATTCTAATGAAACAAATAATGGATTGTAATAATTTAAATAATTATCATATTTATAATATACTTTTATAAAATAGCCCTCCAATTAAAATAAAATTTACATGAATCGCTTAGAAATGTAATCATCTATTTTTAGTGATCTCACTTAATATATATTATCCACAAAATACTTAATACTATAAATTATGTTTTGAGTTCACCTTTTATCCTCTTGCTAACTAATTTTAGAATTAATTACGTTTTGTAAATATTGTTTTAGCTAATTAGCTATTGTTTAGGTGAGGATAATCTTTTATTATATATTTTTTTAAACACAAGTTCGTATTTAATATTAACCATATAAAATTATAAAATGAAGGATAAATTAAATTACAATTCTTACACTAAATTTTTAGAAATCCTTTTGTTTTTTTATAATTTTATGCCTGAATTGAAATTATAAATAGAAGTAATATAACTTAAAAAAATACTCTGACGATGTTATCAGAAGTTATTTAAATAAATAGACAGCTATTTTACGTTACTAATTTATGTATATTTATCTATTTCACAAAAAATACAATCTTCTCCAATATTTTCTTCAACTAATAAATTCATCCTTTAAAAATAAAAATTTAGTTTATTGATTTTTTAATGAATGATAAGCAATTTATAGAAAAGTAAGTAACATCTTTTTAATTGTAAAATTAATTTACATTTTTTTAATAATCCTTTAAAAATTTATTATTTTATTTTGCAAAATTATCAAATTGAGAAGCAAAAAATAAATATAATAATTTTATAAATAACAAAAAAATCTTATGCAATGTTAAAAAATTAGTAATCATACCTGATATACCTACCATTTTAAATTTATATTTATTAAATTTAACCAAACTTACTTGAAAATTTATAAAAATAAAAAATTGAAAATTTTTTTTATTAGTTTCAAGGATATTTTTATTGACTTAAATAATACCTTAGATTTAATTATAAAACATTTCTAATATGATGTCACTAGAGGCTATAATTTTTAAAGGTGGATAAAAAATAATTTTGATTACTAAAAAATCCCTACATTTGGCTGTATATCAAGAACTAATAGTATGAATAAATATTTTTTTAGATAAAAATTTATCAAAATGATAAAATAGTTTTCATTTAGAAAATTCAATTTCCATATAATGGTGTTTTAATCAAATATTTATTTAATCACTAAAATAATAAATTATATCTTTAAAATATTAAATAATTTTATCATAATTGTTCGGTTTTATCGATTTCTAATAACTTATTTCTCCTTAAGCTTTTTAATAATTAAAAAATGGATAAATTTAAATGAAAAAATAGTAAATTTGTATTACTAACTTCTACTCAGATTATGAGATAACATACTTGGACCTGAATATTGTCTAAAATCATATTTTTGCATATTATCATTTGAGATAATATCTTCTTACTCTATATTAAAGGTATCATTATCTTCTTCTTAAGTATTGATATATCTTTTTAGATTAAATTGGCTATAGTTTCTTTACATATTTTACTATTTTACATTCTTTTATTCCTATTATAAATTGCTAAAGAATTGATATTTTTTTTCATCCAATAAGTTAAGTATACTTTAATCTATTTTAGTTTATTTTTCTTTGGCAAAAATATTTTAAAAACTTTATTTAGCTATTTTATATTTTTCAAAACAATTTTAATTTTAATTAAAAGAAAAAATTTAAGATTTCTCAAATTTCATTTCTTAGTTTTGCTCTATTTTATAAATTATTTTAGGCTTAGGAATATAATCAAATAAATTAAGCTAGTCATCGTTCAAAATTATTCTTTTAAGTTTATCTATTTCCATCATTTTTTTCAGTATATATTAAATATCTAAATTTATATTTAGTTACTCAAACCCATAATCAATTATTTTCTTTTTTGTCCTAAATTATTTAGAAATACTACTAAAAAACGATAGCATATATGAAAATATATTGAAATTGAGTGAATTACTATTATTTACTTCATTTAACTTTTAGAATTGATTGTAAAGTAATGAAGAGTTTGTATTATCATCATTTTATTTATTAACAATAGTTTATTAAGTCCCCTAAAACTCTTTATTTTACTTAAACTGCTCTAATTAAACAGAATTGTTATTAATTGTATCCATTTTTTAATTTTACGGGGAAATTAATTTCTATTGCTTGATTTAACAAGTTGATAACTATTTTTTATCATTAAAGGCTTTTTCTTTATAAATGCAAGTTTTTGAAAATATAGAAAGCTGCTTATCAACTTTTTTTTATTAGTCTAAATCTAAAATACTATTGTTAATTTTAATACTCTATATTAGTGGTGTACTAAAATTAGTTTACTCTGTTTTGTTAGAGGCTTCTTAAAAATCGTATTACTGATTTATTAAAGATCGATTTAGATCTATTTGTGAATATTTTATGCATACAAATGAAAATATTGTTAGAAGTATTTAGGTAAATCCACCTATTTAAGACATAATTGTAAAAACAGTATCATAACTCCTTTAATATAAATTTTCTTTTTATTTCTCAAACCTAATCACAAGGTGAAAGAAGAAGTTATTTGAGATATCAACAATCTAATTTTAAAAAGTGTAAATAAAAATAAAATATGAAAATCTTTTAATAAATTTTAAAATATTTCTTTAGCATAAAAAAAATAAATTTAAAAAAATTTTCTTTTCTCATAAATGTATGTTCTATCTATCTAATTAATAAATTTCGATAAAGTTTTTTAAAAATTGACTAAAAATTTATATCAAAATTAATTTTTTAATTTGAAGATGGCGGCTGTCCTAATTAATGAGGAAAGACAGCTTATAATTAATCTTCTGTCAATAAAAAATAGGTTTTTTTTTTTTTAATTAAAATAAAGCAAGCTTACTCTTTCAATTATTGATCTTTTTGATAATGTATTGGAAAATAAAAAAAATAGTTAACATTACTCTAAATTTATTTTCTCCTAATTTAATTAAATAAAGTAGAAAAAAACTTACTTGGTTATCATCGTAACTGTATTGTGGAAAAATATCTGTAACGATATTAGGAGTAAGCCAGCCATAATCAGTTTCAACATAGTTATTTCTCATATACATGTTTACTTCTTTAGGTAAATTTTAGCTTGACTACCAGTATAAATCCCTTGAATATCTATTAAAAGGATAATTTTTTGTTTGTGGTGAGAAATAAACATCAGTAAACAAAAGTTCAATATAATGTTTATTAAGTAAATCAGCTATATATTTCTAATCTAAGCATCCATTTCCAACACACTTTTCAAAGTAAAAATTTATTTCCTAATAATTATCAGAATTATACTAACCTTCTATTTCAAGTTACTTATCTAGTGGTAGACATAAATGTGAGTAAAGTTAAGATTTTTCAAAATATGATCTTAATTTATCATCAGGAATATGGTCTTTTGTACAATTAACAAGGTCAAAATAGTTATCTGTAAACACTTCATCATATTAATTTGTTGTTTAATTGAAAATATTTTATTTAACTCGATGAATGCCTTAGATTGTAAAGATTCTTTCATCTACAAAATATGTATAATTAGTATTTAAAAGTCCTATAGCCATCGAAAAAGTTTGCGGTGATATAATGAATGCTTTGGGATTGTCAACTTATCTTTCTTAATACAAAACTTTTGGGTTTGATCCTAGAATAACTTAAAAAATTAAGAAAATTATTCTATAAACTATAATTCCAAAAAGTAAAATAGTAAAAAATGCCCCAAATTTAGTTTTGTGTTAGACTATTCCATTAAGCCTAAATGAAACTTGGCTTCCAAAAATATCTACTTTTTTCATTATTTTGATATTAATTTTTTTTTTTAATTAATTAATATCCAAAATTTTACTAATTTGTATTTTTTAGTTTGCAAACCAAAATAACATCTCCTCTAAAAAAGTCTTTATATTATTTTTGAAAAAAGAAGTAAAAAAACTATAAATTATTTATTTTAAAACTGTAAGTTCCATTTGAAAGCTCTTAATATAAAAAAATTGTTCCTAATTCTTTTAGTAACAAACACTTTTAAATATAATTTTTTTAACCTTATTTTATGTTTAAAATAATGTTTTTCTGATTTTATTTCTTAGAATTAATCATGTATCAAACAACTTAAAATAAACAAATTTCTAAAAGATTTAGCAAAACTAAAAATGAGATTCTCAGATATTTTTAATAGCTTAATAAAGATAGATGAATTGTAAAGTGAGATACTTAAATTCATTAGTTAATTTTAAATCCATCTTTCATATTTTAATGAATAAAAAAAATCATAAATTTATGCCGAATTAGAAATAGAAACTAAATAAAATAAAAATCTAAATATTTCTATCATGTAAGATGATAAATAGAAAAGTTTTGTATAGATAATTTAAATATTCTTAAAATTTACTAATTTCTATTTTTTTTTGATAAAACTTTTTTAAGTTTTTCAAAAATATTTTTGAAAATCTTACTATTAATTTTACTTTAAAATTGGTTAAGTTATGAGAAAAAAATAAATTTTTGTTTATATAATATTTCTCTGAGACTTTTACAATTTAGGTTTGAGTTAAAATAGAATAATTAATGTGTATTATATTTATAATGGTAGTAGCTATTTAATAAGAATGAATAAAAAAATAATTTTATCTATAATTTCTTTAATTTTTTTTGTGTTTTTAATTTAAAATATTATTTTTTTATTGAATATAAATGCTAACTTTTATTTTAGTAATTATTTTATTTTTTTTATTTAGAAAGTATTTTACGCATTTATGAAAGATCTAGAAGGAAATGTAAAAAATAATTATAATAAACTAAATTAAATAAGTTCAAAATATTAATGAACTTTAATGCTTATTTACAGAAATGATAATTTTTTTTCACCAACTTTTATTTCAAAATAAAAAAAAAGATAGAAACAAAATTATTGAAAATAATAGAGAAAGATAATAATTAAATAAATGAAAATATTAAACACATTGCTAATAATAATCTCTATATTTGTTTTTATACTTCCTAGCGTGGCTGGAGATAACTATCTATAAGAGAGAGTAGTAGATACTTAAAATACAGATGAAAATAATTTGCTAGGGTGCCTAAAACCATATACAAAAGTGAACACTTCCTAGTGCTCTAAATGCTGTTCTGGCTCTTGTAAAACTCTTCTTATTAGAATGTCTAAATGCGATTGAAAAAACTAAAAATATAATCATTCAATTTTTCTTTGTATTTCTAAATTTTTATCTAACTGAACATAAAATTATTTTGTAAAATGTCTTTTAATTATTATTTCTTTATAAAAACTTATTAGTTTTTTATTATAATTAAAGTTTGTCATGCCATTAATTTGTGTTTAATAATAATTTTAATTTTTTTCAAAAGCTCACTTTATATTTATTAATTTTTACAAAGATAAATAGTAAAACAAATATAAATTTATTAAAAAATAAAATAAAATAATTAAAAAATATTATTTTGATAATTATAATAATCATCTGATATTTCAAAAAAGGCTAATACAAAAGGGAATATAATTTAATCAAACATTGTTGGCGTAAAAAAATTAAAAAATTTTGTGCTTTAATAAAATATATTCTTGTTTGATGAAAAAAATTAAAATGTAAATAAATGGAATTTCAATAAAACATATTTAGTTTATTTAATAACAAATATAATTTTTTATTAAAAATAACAAAATATATTTTATTTAAGTTAAGATACAGTATTCTTAGGTAATGGTGCTTTAATTTACTTGGCTAAGTTTAAAAAAAAATAAAACAAATCATTTTTTAATTATTTTTAAATATCAATTTTTATATCTTATAAAATATTCTATAATAATTATGTGTTTATATTTAGGCATTTTATGATTACATTTACTGCTTATTAAGTTGGCACAATTTTTATCTATTTTTGAAAAATTTATAGTTTTGGTTAGTTCATTCGATCTTTTAAATTTACTGGTCTTTTAATTATTTTATGAGCAATTTATATCTAATTTCTAATTAATTATATCTCAAAGATTGATTTTATAAAAAGAAGTACTATTACTTAAATTAACAAATCAATCAACCAATAAAAAATTTAAAAGTTAAAATATTAATGTTAGGTATTGATTTATATAACAAACACCAACATCACTCATTTAATAAATTAGTTCAGCAAATCATTTACAATATTTTTATTTAAAATTTTATATAAATCCAGTAAATCAAATTTAAATAATTACTATTAAAAACAGAGAATTAGAACGATTTATTTGATTTTAGCAAGTATAAAAATAGATTACGCTATTTTTAATACTTATAAATCTTTAGTAATATTAATTTTTATTGCTATTTTGTTATACCTTTAAAATATTTAATCAGTGGAATAGTACATAGATTATTAATGGCCTACTTACATATTTCGAAAGATTTAAATAACTTAGATTTTAATTAATTCAATTTAATTAAATAGGAGTTGGTAGAATTATTAAACATAATAAAGGCCAAAAAAGTTCCCTTAAAAATCTAAAAAGAGATCAACTTTGTAGATTAAAACTCGTGATGAATGAATTATCAAAAATTAATTGAGGTAAATAGATTTATTTAAAATTTGAATAAGTCTTTTGAACATGGATTAATACAAATATAAGAAAAGCAAGATGTAACATTATTGATTGATACATTAATATTATATGGTTAGTAATATATATTATTATAATAATAATTATATAATTCTTTAAATAGATTAATTAGAGTAGTTAATTGATTATTGATAATTACTAGTTTAAGGAAAAATTTCTTCTTTTTTTTGTTTTGGTTTATTGATTTTTACCTTTGAAATTTCAAGTATTTTTAGAAATGATAAATGGTTTGGTTGGTCATAAATCTAATTTAATAGTTCTAATGGCATTTTTTAATTTAATTTTTAGATTTGTTAAGGTGAAATAGATTTTTTTAATTTAGTAGATACACAAGTTCATTTTTATGATATTTTAAACTTATTATGTCAAAAAAATGAAAAAATGCTACAACAAGTTGAGGATTCTCTTGTTATTCCTTCCATTTTACAAGCTTCTTCTTCAATTTTCACTTTAGCATATGATTTCTTTGTACCTTCTTTGGAAGTAGTATCAGTAGAAATTTACTGTTTATCTAAATCAGACTCACTCTTCAGTCTTTTTACTGTTGAATTTTTCATCAAAGAAATGATTTATTCTTAATTTTGATGTTTTTCAAGTAACTAAAAAATAGATTTTCCCTTTTTACTTAGTTTAGCTTAATTAGCTCCATTTTCTATTAAATATTTTATGCACGACTTATTTACCTCCATCTCTCTTGGATTTAATTTTACTTTCACTGAGCAGAATACCATTAACATTGTATAACCTTTCTTCTCATTAATAACTTCATCAATATTAGCACCATTGTCAAGTAATAGGTCTGCCAATTTTAGACACAGTCTTTTGTTTTCAAAGTAGTTGCTTTCTTCTTCTAAACGAGCAAAGCAGTGATAAAAAGGTGTTTATCCAAGGCTATTTTTTTTATTAACATTAGCTCCTCTTTTAATTAAAAACTCTGCTATTTCATAAAAGCCACTCATACATGCAGCGCTCAGAGCTGTAAAACCTATATCATCGCTACATAAATCTATATTTATTGATGTATTAATACACAAAGTCTTGACAATTTCGCAACGTCCAAGATAGCAAGCTAAAATAAGCGGAGAAATGCGATTGTCCAAAGGAATGTGCTTAAATTCTTCTAAATAATTTAAATTCATTTGTTTTAAATCCATTTTGCGAATTTATTCTAAGGAGTTATCGTATACATAATTCATAAGTAGCAAATTTTTATTGATTTCTTAAGGCAATACTGCACTCTTTTGCTATTAGCTTGTATTCTCTCCTTTTTTATCTTTGCTTTCTGATGTTGACATTTTTTCGTTAGCCATTTTTTTATAATTGTTTGAAAATTTTAATGAGTAAATTTCTTTCAGAATATTTGAATATTAAAAGAGCTAAAATATTGTTTTTATTCAACTTAATCAATCACAATAGGTGTATTCTACAATTAAAACTGGTATATCTATTCTATTTAAGAGTAATAGATTTTTTATTTCACTTCAAAATATTACCTTACTACTTTATTTATTTATTTTCTTTGTTGTAATTATTTTTCTAGTTAATATTTTTTCAATAATTTATTAAATCAATTTTTTATTCTTTTCAACGATATTTGTATGATAAATTAATAATTTATTAGTTTTTTATAATCTTCAAAGGTTATTAATAAACTTATTATGTATTTTTGCGAAATAAATTACATACATTATTTGTTATTTAGTTTTAAATGAGATGAATTTAGTATTTTTCTCTGTCCAATAGTTAGCTAAGACTTGATTATTAATTTCTTTGAAGTATTAACGACATAAATTTTAAACATTACTAGAATATAGCCACTAACAACAAATCTTTATTTTAGAATTGAATTTTAGTGCTACTTTATCAAAAATATCTGCTTAAAATAATATAAATAAAAATATTATGTAATATTCATTAAATTTGCAAAAAGTAACAAAAATTATTAAAATTACAAAGCTGTTTTAAGCCAGCACGTAAAATAAGCTTACTAATTAAATATAAATTAATTTCTTTAGAGTTTTTTACTGATTGATTGATTTAACCATCAATTATTTAATAGAAATAGAATTTTATTAAATCAATAATCGGTTTATAAAAAACTATCAATAAAGTACTCAGTGTAAATATTTGTTCAAATTATTTTTCTATTAAAATTAATTAAATTTTTTCATAATTTTCTATTTTTCAACATAAAAATTATCCTTTTTTATGATAGAATAAGCTAAAACTTTTTTGCAACCAGTTTCATGTAAGGATGCTTGATCAATCATTTAAAATAGAAAAATTTAGAATATTTAATAGCTTTAATAAATACAGAATAAATTCTGGTGAAATTCCTTGAAAAATAGGTAATAATAATACTGACCCAAAAAATTTTTTTAAAGAGAAGAATTAGTATAGAATATTAATAAATTAATTTGGTGATAACTTTTTATATTAATTTATATATTATTAAATTTTTTATTCATCAATAGCTTTCCTTAAATCAGTAAAATGACAAAAGAATATATAATTATTTCAAAATAGAATTTAAATTAAATTACAAATAAAATATTATGAATTTTGTCTTTAAAAATTAAAAATAGAAAATATTCGTTTTTTTAGATTTATACTTTTAAAACTAATTCAAAAATTAATGAATATAATCTTCACAAAATCACTTTTAGTAATTTATTTTGCATTGATTTTTTCATGTTTTAAAATTACTCGATATTAGATGATCATAAGTTGAAACATGTAAACAATATTTGCTTTATTTAAATCTGTTAAATTACTAATTATTTTATTTTTTGGTAACTCTTTGTATTTAAAAAAGTAAATAATATAATTAATTTAACTGTTAAAGTTTTCAATAAAATAATATTGTAAAATATTAAAAATTTAATTTTTATAATTATTTAAGGTCTAAATTTTGTTTATTTTTTAGTATTTATCTCTCATTATTTTTAAAATTATTATAAAAGAATTCAATTTTAAGAAAATATGGAATATAAAATAATAAAATTAAAAATAATTTAATTATAAAATATTTTGAAAAGTTTTTGTAAAATTAATTGTTATATTTTTATAAGAAAATTCTCATTTTTAATAAACAAATAATTTAAATATTTGAGTTAAGAATTTACTTTATTTATTATTTAAGAATAATTTAAAATAAATGATTGCTTGAGATATTTTTTGAAAAATATACATTTTACTAACTTAAAAATAATATTATTTAAAACTAGGCTTCTAAGTAATACATTATAAGTTGATATGTAATTATTTGTTGTAAAACTTACTTATGATAGCGTATTTCAGAACATAAATCAAAATTAATTACAAATGAAAATTAAAAAAATAGGTTTAAACACAAATTAGAGTTTTTAATTCTTGTTAAATATTAATTTATATTATTTTTAGATTTTTATTTTTTTACCCTAATTAAATTTTAAATATAAATTTGAAAGTATAAAATCAGAAATTTCCAAATAATATTGACGAAGTAGATTTTATTAAATTTGTTTGAAATTATTCAATTGAAATAGATGAACAACCAATAATAAAATTTATTAAAAAAGATAATAATTTTTTACTTGTCAAATATTTTGCTTAAGAATAGCTTACAAGTATTTAATTTCAAGATTAAAGATTTAAAAATTAGAAATAGAATTGAAGTCTCAAAGTATGTTTCCTACTTATAAAGTTATACTATCACTTTTAAATTATAAAATCATGTTACTTAGTTTGAAAAATTTCAAAATGTAATTAAATCACAATAATAAGTAAGAGTGGGGAAATTTATTTCAAGCAATTTATTGTCTTAATTGTTTGTTTTTCTTTTCAGAGATGAGATTGTTATTTTTTACGCTAAATATCAAAATTTATAATAATAATAATAATCATTTGATATTACTGATGGTTGTGCTAAATGCGCAAAAGAATAATAAATGCTAGCTAACTTAGATTATATAATATTGTAAATTACTTTTGAATAATTTATCTTAGGCCATTAATTTATCATATTTTCTATATTGTTAATGGTAAATAAATGAATTTAAATAGTTTATTAAGGTAAATGATTTCATTTTTTATGAAAATTTTTTTTTGAATTAAATCATTAAATTTAATTTTCTTAAAGCATTTATTCCAAAAACACTATAATATTCACAAAAAATAGTCTAGCCAATATGAATTATGATATTTTAGTTTTTAAAATGTGAAATAGATCACCAAAAATAGATTTTTATTTACTAAGCTTTTTATGATGACCTAGTACCATCTATTTTTGAAAATTTGAAGTTTAAAATAAAATTATTTATATTGGATTTTTATATAGTTAATATTTATATCATTTATTTGGTAAGAAGGGATATTAAAATATATAACTTAGCATTTTTATTACTCTGCTAACTAACTAAGTTGGTATATGAAATTTCACAAATTATATTGTTTCAACAAATTAATTTATAAAATATAGATAGAAGATAATAAAATTCTAATTTTAAATTAGTTATAATTATAGATTTTAGAAGGTGTTTGTTTATTTGTTTAAGAGTTTTCAAAGTCAAATAATAACTCAAAAATGTTTTTTGTAATTATTAAGAAATTTTTAATATATCAATAAATAATTACACATTAAAAGGATATCTCTATTTGATTTTAACAAGAAATGTGATTAGTATTTAAACAAATATAGGAATTTGTTTTTAAAAAAATCAGTATTCATTTCTTAAGTGATCTTTGAAGGCTTAAGTTGGGAGTGGAAATATATTACGAGTTATTCGTAATAAATGAAAGAGAACTTACAAGCAATTATGAGATAGAATGAACTTAGTTTTTTTTTAATTTGAATAAAAGTGCAAATTATTTTGAAATTATTAGTTGTAGTGTGCGAAATAATTCCTTAATTATCAAATTATTAGTAGGTAAGTAAGTGAGAAAATGAGTGAGTGATAGGCCTAAATATAGTCGATGAATGTGTATTTATTAATTAAATAATAGGAGTGCGAATATTATGAATTGAACAAAAAAAATAATACACTATATTTGAATTTGAGTATTGTGAACTAATAGATTTTTTTGTTATCAAATCATATAATATTTGATAAACAAATATTGATTGATTATAAATGATTTTTAAGATGGTCATCAGATGGGAAACCTTAGTAGGGGAAACAAACACATTATTTAAAAGAAATAATATAAGCCAATTAAATTCAAAGAATTTTTGAAAACTCATTTTGATTAGTAATTAATAATAAAAGAAAAACAAAAGTTAATAAAGAAAAATCTTAGTAGAAACAAGCGAGCTCCCATCTAAAATCAAAATCAAACATAATTAATAACATTCACATATCACAGATAACAACTAATTAATCAAGAGAGTCCAGCATATAAGCAAAAAACATACATACATACTCGCTAAAGCTAGAAATTTCCAACAATAAAAATAAAAATAGTTTATTGAAAGAGATCCCAGCCTATTGAAACAAATGTCAACCACACCTTAAGGCTATAATCCTGCAGTTGCAGGTAAGAGAAAGTAGAGAGATATCGCAAAACTCTTGATGAGTGACTACAAAGTAACTCAAAGTAAAACCAACAAGAATGATATGGCCATTGAATTCCCAGGTCCAAAAGACTCACTTTATGAAGGCGGCGTTTGGACTGTGCACGTTCTCCTCCCTGAGTAATACCCCTACAAGTCACCCTCAATCGGATTCATGAATAAAATCTATCATCCTAATGTTGATGAAGCGTAAATAGACTTCTTTTTTTTTTACAATTCTTTCTACTCATTCTATTATTTGCGCTAATACTCATGTTATTATTACTACTTATTATTACTTGAGTTTTTTGATTGTATGACCTTATTAGTAAATTTCTCAAATATATTGATTGACATTAATTAAATGCTTTAAAATTTCCCTTTTTTTTTTCGTTTTCACATTTGCATAAAAAATAAATGCGCAAATATAGCATGCAAACATATATATTCATACATACATACATACATAAATACTCTTTCTAGTTATGTTTATTTTTTCATTTTACATTTTTAAACACTAAATCAATAAATTACTTTGAAGAGATTTTTTAATAAAGCTTTTGCATTTCAATGACAATTTTTGCTTATTTGTTTGTTTGTTTTATTTTACTTTTTAGATCGTTCTTTAAAATTTTACTTATCAACTCTTTTTAAAATATAAATTAGATCTGGAAGCGTTTGCTTAGATGTCATTAATCAAAGCTGGTCTCCTATGTTTGAGCTAGTAAACATTTTTGATAGTTTTCTCCCTCAGCTATTAAGTTATCCTAACCCCCATGATCCCTTAAACCCTGAAGCAGCATCTATGATGAACAAGGATTTAAAGAGATATGAATAAAAAGTTCGTGATTATGTCAAAAAATATGCTATGAAAGCTGAGTAACTAGCTAAAACACTCTCAATGGACATGGAAGAAGAGGAATCTTTAGTTAAGTAAAATTCTATAAGAGAGCCTGCTCTCTCTACAGCTTTGTCTACTGCTACTACTCGTAGAGATTCTTAGGCAATAGATGAAGAAATTGATTCTAGTAGTGGTAATTAATTCAGTGATAATGAAGACGAAGGAAAACAAAAAGACAACTAAGAACAAATTCAGGATGATTAGCTTAGCTAAATTTCACTTGAGGATGTGAGCGATTTAAGTGATAACGAAGATGTTGACAATGATGCCATAGAATGCTATGCTTGAGAAAGCATGTGCAACCAATTTGTGATTACTGATGGAATTAATATAAAAACTAATTACTACTACAAAAATCCATCATCCCAATCACTCACAAAAACACAATCAGTAGTTCTAGAAAATGATTCAAAACATTTTTATTAATATTTCTACTGAATAAATTAGTAAACCCTCTTCAACTATTAATTTTGTTTGATATAAATTCATTCATTCATCATTGCTAAATTATAGAGATGATTGATAAAAGCCAGTTATTAAATATTATTAATACAATCTTTAATTCATCGAATAGGAACGAAACAAATAGATTATTTTTGAGAAATATCAGACAAAAATAATGTCTTTTCAAATAGTTTAATTTGCTTTATCTACCACCTATATTAAACTACTATAATTACCAAACCTAATTTAAATAACTAATTCATCATGTGATTGCATAGAAATAATCAAACTGCTATCCATCTGATTACTTTCAAATAAATTTAATATATTCAGTATATTAACCACACTTATCTATCTATCTTTTCTTTCTTTTAATTTCCTAAGCAGTCAGTCTTGCTATAACTAAAGAAAAATATACTTTCAAAAATAGTAATAAACCTACACTACTCATTTTATTTTATAATTTAAGCTACAACGAACCCTTAATAAAGAAAATGAAATAATTCATCACTTGATGAAAATGATTACTATTGTTGATTAACAATTAATTTAAGAGAAGCAATTTAATTGCATGTATCACTCTTCAACCACTATGGTAATATTATAAAAATGAAAAAGTAGTTTTCTATTTAGTAGGAAATAAGTAGGAGAATTAGAAGGTGTTATCAAAATCAAATAAGCAAGGAAGTAATAAATAGTTTGTGTTGCAAAAAAAAAAATAACTTAATAACTAACTAAAAATATATAAAACTATATAAGATGAATATATTAATTAAATAAATTTATTATATAAAATAATTATTCTTACTTTGTTAATTACTCTTTATATTCAATATATACATATTATATACATATATAAATTTATATAAATACTATTAATTCTTTTTTATCTATTTTCTAACACTAAATTTTAAGACATCATTTTATATAATCATTTAAATAAACTAATTCTTTAATTTAACATTTATGGAAGAAAAAGAGTCAAGTAAAAATTAAAAAAATTTATTTAATTTCAACAATTTTTTATTCATTTTAAGAAAACAAAGTTATATTTTAAAATTAGATTGCAAATTATCATTTTTATTAACAAATAAGTAAATTTTTGGCTTTTAGTCCATCAGAAATTAATTAAAAATTTAATACAAAGATAGCAAGTAAGTCTGTAGTTTTTATCTCCCACTAGTTAATTTATCTAATTTAATTATTTAGCAAGTTTTCATGTACATAATCCTGATTTATTAATAGAGTACTTTTACTTTATGATTGAATTTACTTTAGTTAAATTTTAATTATTCTAATTTTAATTTAAAATATAAAAATATAGCGACTTTTATTTTTTTATATATTATGTTAGATTTGATATTTAAAATTCATGAGATATCAAAGTTAGTGTGAAGTTTTAATTAATCTTTATGAATTTTATTATGAATATGAATGGAATCTTTAAATTGTTTAATCCTTTTAATAGAAAAAAATAAATAAAAAGTATTCCAAATTCTATTTATCTTTTTTGATTTTTTATTAATAATTCATTAATTCCTAAAATATTCTTTTTAATTATTAAAATTTAGATATAAAGAAAAAACAGATTATTAACTATTAAAAGGTTTTATACATCAAAAATGGATTTTGAATACGATTAATTCGAAGATGAGATTACTAGTAAAAGTGTAACTAAATAAAATGAAAAATCATAGACGACTTCATAGAGTATTAAGATGCTCTAAAAGGATTTTTAAAATATGTAAATAGGCTCTTCGATTACATCATAGGATGAATAAGAAAAGAATAGAAAGAAATCTGTAAGAATTGTATGCGTAGGGCCAAAGAGATTTAGTGATAATTATTTTAGCAACTTAGAATTTAATTAAATAGATTAAACGATAAAAAACGAAATGCCATAAGAAAGCGAGTGCGATGCTCTTTTAGATGCTTGTATAGGAAAGAATATTTTTAGTATTACATATGAAAAGAAGACAGATTAATATTATTTGATCCCTTAGTAGAAATTCATAATTTAGAAAGAAATTGATTAAGAAATTGAGTTGACTGCTTCTTCTAAATTTTTTATAGGTGACACTTTATTTGAGGTTCTTCAAATAAGCGAGTAAATTTGTCTTTAATGCCTTACCATAAAAGAGTAAAATGCCGTAAGTAATAAAGTGTATACAACATTTTCTGACAGTGTTAAAGTTTTTAAAATTGGCAGAACTTCAATTCAATTTTTAAAGGACGATAAATTTATTAGTAGAGAGCATGCTGAAATAGTTAAAAGAAATGGCAAATTCTTCCTTTATAAATCAAATCAAAATGCCAATAAGATTTGGGCTTGCATTTAACCCGAAGAAAAAATAATATTAGATGATGGACTAAATATAAGAATAGGATTATCTTGCGAAAGACAAATAAAAATTATTTACTTATGATAAATATTCAATTTGATTTTTCCTTTATATCCACAAAAAAATTTATTATCTACTTGATGATGTTTATAAAATTATTTTAGTTTTTTAAATTTATATTTACTTTATATTTTAGAAACACGTGATAAATTAATTGCAAATATTTATTAGAATATTATTATCTGAATTATATATTTCTTCTTCTATTGATTAAATTAAATTTTAAAAAATAAAAGATTTTTATTAATTACAAACATTAATAAAGAATGTTTTCAACAAAAAACAAAAAAAATTAAAAATAACAAAATTGAATAAAAAGATATAATAATAATGACCCAAATAAAAAATCATAAAATATTTTTTTATTTAACCCATATAAAATATCTGAAAGATAAATTGCAAAATAGCTTTTAATTAACTTTTATAAATTAATTTACCATTTCTTTATATTTTGAAAAGCAAGGAAAATTGTTGAATTAAAAATATTATTTTAGAATTATTTATAAAATAAATTTGTATTATTAATGCTCTTAAATAAACTACTTAAAATTAATAAAATATTTCTACTGTAAATTGAAAATCTTGCAAAATAGATTAGATAGATAAGTAGATTTAGCCAAATTAAATTAAAAAATTAGTTTAAGGTATTTATTTTACAAATAGAACTTATTCTTAACATCAAAATTAACTATTTAATTACTAAATATTAAAATTCTTTCAATATTAAAAAATTACTTTTAAACTTATAAATGGCAGAGTAATAATAATAATAGGGCTAGTAAGCAGAACAAAATGCTGAAGAATTATCAGTTAAATAGGTTAAATAACCAATTAAAAGGTTTATTAATCAAGTAAAATTAGATTATATAGAATATTTAAAAAATTTGATTGTGCATGAGGTTAATACTTAATATTTATAATCTATTAGATTCCTCCTGAAATTCTTGATAATTAGTTATTAAATGAAGCTATTAAAATTCTACCCTCCCATTATAATTTTGAGATTCATAAATCAATCTGGCGTATCATCGAAAGAAAGGAATAACTTGGAAAAGATGTATTTATTATTAATATTTAAACTTTTTATTTAGTTAATATAATGATAGTTCATATGTAAATATGATAGTTAATATTTGATTTATCAATTATATTTCTGCATAAATTACTTTAAAATAGAATATTATTGTCACTTTGCAATTCCCTGAGGGACTTATGCTTTTTGCTTGCTTGATTGCTGATATCTTATAGAATTTTGCTTAATGTGAATGTATTATTATGGGTGATGTTACATATGGTGCTTGCTGTGTAGATGATTTAGGAGCAAAAGACCTTGGATCAGATTTTCTTATTCACTACGGTAAAAGATAAACGAGAAGTATATATAATGAAATTATTTTGAAAATTAGGCCATAGTTGTTTAGTACCAATTACAGATACTTGTACTAAGACTCTTTATGTCTTTGTAGAAATAGCTATTGATATGAATCATTGGTTGGAAACAGTTCGTTTGAATTTCCCAAACAAATCTGATATGTAAAAAAAAATTATTTTAAGATAAAGCAAGTTTCTTAATGAAAATTTTATTAAAATCAAGTATAAATTTAATGGGTACAGTTTAGTTCAATACTATAATGTTTGAAAGTAAAAAAATTCTTGAATCTGAGGGTTATAATATTGTAATGCCATAAGAAAAACCAAGAAGTGCTGGTGAAGTTTTGGGATGTACTTCTCCCAAACTACCAGTCAACACTTCAGGTAAAAATATTGTATTGTTTTTATGTGATGGTCGTTTTCATATGGAAGCAACTATGATAGCTAATCCTGAATATCAGTTCTATCAATATAACCCATATTCAAAGGTAACAAACAATTTTAAAGAAATAAAAAATAATATTTTTAAATAATATGCTAAATTTATTTAGGCATTAACTATCGAGAGTTATGATCATAAAATGATGTTAGATATTAGATATAAAGAGGTATAAAAATCATAAAAAATAAACAAAAGAGTAGGAATAATTATGGGAACTCTTGGAAGATAAGGGTCTCCTCATATCTTAAAAGTGATATTTATTTTTTAATATATTTTATTTTATTAATTTATATATTATATCTAAAAAAGAGAATTGAAGACTTATTGAAGGAAAAAAATGTAGATTATTTTGTTTTGTTAGTCTCTGAACTTAACTTTTAGCAGCTAGAGTTGGTTGCTGAGTAAATATAATTCTATTTGTTTTGGTATAAAATATAGTAAATAATTATTAATTTTAACAGCGAAGTTGATTTCTTTGTTTAAATCAGCTGTCCTAGATTGTCTGTTGATTGGGGAGCTGCTTTTAGTAAACCTTTGTTGAATCCATATGAATTTTTCGTTGCTATGAAATAAATAGATTGGAAGAGTATTTATCCTATGGATAATTATTCTAACAATGGAGAAATGTGGACTAATTATTTCCATAAGAATAAAGGAAAAAGTAAAATTATCACTTAAATTATTTATTTATTTATTTATAAAAATTTTATAAAATAAATGATAAAAAGAATGCAACGAAGAATGTCAATAAGGAGCATGCACTTGCAATAGTAAGAAGAATAAGATAAGAATTAAATATGAATGAAAGAGATTTTAAAAATAAAATTATTATATTAAATTTAAATCAATTAAGTGTATTTGCTTATCTGTCTGTCTAACTATCTATCTGTTTATAATAATTCTTTATTATTTAATTTATAATATAATTTTTGTTTGTTTTCACAAAAATAATTAACTTGAAACTCACAAAAATTATTAATTTGAAAGGTAATTTAAATCTAAAATTTAACACCACTGATAATTTTTCCATTGAACTATCTCACTTACTTCCAAGTTAAATATATTTTATTTTTTGGCATTAAAATTTATAATTGTTTTTTAAAAAAATTTTTTAGGACTTTAGCTGATTCCATAAATCTTAATTAAATAAGTGTTAAATATTGCAAATATTTAAAAGATAACTTTTTAATTAATAATTTAGATAAGATTTGCATGGTTGCATATTTAGAATAGCTTATTTCTGCTGAAGAATATTGAATAAAATGTTAAAAAAGTGAATTGCATCAAATGAAATAGAATACATAGTGTAGAATTGATAAAATTAGGTTTAAAAAAACCATTAAAGCTAAGAAAAATAAACAACTTAATAGGATAATTAAAGATTAATAAATAAATGTAAAGTAGCAAGTTTAAAATGCATTTCATTTTACTTCTTGAAATATACATTCTCTAAATAAAAAATATAATTAAAAACATTCAAAATCAAAAACAAATAAACAAAAAAAAAACAAATAATTAAATAAATTAATCATATTCTATTTGATTGTGTTTCAATAATTTGTTTGCTTTTCATTCAAAAATGATAGCAAAAAAACTAAATTATTTCATTCTTGGCATTTTATATTCTTAGTTGGTTTGCTATTAAGTTTTAATACAAGCTAATTGATAAAGGAATAGGACTCTCATGCATGCTGACTCAAAGATTTTACATGATTCAATTTACTAAAGAAGAATAATCTTCTGAAGAAAAGTACTTAAAAACAAGAGAAAGAGAAGAAGATAGAAAGAAAGAATTGATGCATCCATAGAAAGTGTTAAATAAAAAAGAAAATAAAAGAAAAGCATTATTAAGTAAAAATTAACAAAACAAAAAATTAATAAAATATCTGAATCTTAATAAAAGATAAGAAAAGTTAATAAATATTAATTAAGAAGAAATGTCTATCTTACCTCCTCTCCAATATACTTACTCTAACGAAGAAAGGTAATTATTCAGTTCGATTAATATTATCCTAGAGGCTGAATATTAGACTTTATTTTTTATGTTGAGGAAAATCTTTTCATTTTTTTACATATAATAGCTTAGAACTTTTGATCCACTCCATTAAGGGTAATAAAGACTGTAATTCTGAAAGAAAGGCCTTCAACTTATGTAGATCTACCGTCCTTGGTAAGCACGTAGAACCTGAAAAATGTCTTGACAAGGCTTTGGTTTTTGTTAATTGCTTCTAAAAAGTGTAAGAATTTTAACAACAATCCCTAATTTAATCACCTTGACCTAAAACATCAAAAATTTATTAGTGCCTTAAATTTTTTAGCTTCATAGTAATAATACAAGCAACCATCAGATCATTTACCCATCAGAAATAGCTAGATTCTTAAATTTTTTTCAAGCAAAACCTCAAAGCAACATAGCAAGCTGGTTTATATACTACCCAGCCAGCATGTATAATCGAAAATTAGCTTCAGTATATTGCTAATACTTACGTATTTTTAAAAGTTCTTACAAATTTTCGTTTATAATTTGCTGAAGTTTATTGTATCTAAATCAGGGTTTGTTAAAATAAATACTAAAATAGTAGCGTTCAAAAACAGCATCAAAATAATATTAATGTTGAATAAAATAAAATAGTTTTCACCCGTCTACCTCTTAGGTAGCTCATTGTAATAAGTAATAATAATTTAAAATATCTAAAAAATCGATCAGCTACTTATAAATTGCCAAATATTGGAATTATATTCATATAAATAATATACTCTGTAGTTGAATAACGATATAATCTGAAATAAAGATTTTCTTTAACAAGAATAAAAGATATATAAGTATCTTAAACATATAAATTGATTGCTTTTTTATTTAAAATAAAAAAATAATCTAAAATTTAAAATAGGTCAAGAAAGCAAATAAATAAACAAATTCAATTTTGATGCAATTTCTTATTATAATTTTCAAATTATAGTAAAATTATTTTAATTAATAAATAAATAGGAGAAGAGACGAATCTGCTGCTTGCTAATCTGCTTTTAATTCTACTTTAGAATGTGGTAAGAAGTATAGTGAATCAACCATTTCTTTGGGTAGCTCTTGCCAATCTTAATTGGATGCCTATCTTAACTGCAAATGAAAGAACATACAAAGTTAACAAAATAAAAATAAAAATTAATTCAAAATCACTTAAATACTTCTTCAACAACCAAAAAAAAATCACTCAACATCAATAAATTCATAATTCATTCTCTCTGTTTCAGATAACTTATTGTTGATTGGAGCAGCAATGAATATTAATGAAATTCTGATTGATAAATACATAAATACATACATAAAAATCTTACTAAACTATCTTTAATATTAAGAATTTATGATTGTAAGGAGGTTTATAGCTGCTTTTTGAATGTATACAATTAATATTGCAATCTAATTCTTAATCATCTCTAAAGCACTAATTAACAATGTTATTTCTCTATTAATGCACCAATTTAATTCCACTGTTTACATTTATATCATTTTCTCATAATTATTTTATCATATTTTCCTCCTTTTAATTTACACTGATTTTGTATTTAAAATACCTTAATTTATAAATTTATTAACAAACTAGCAATTTTTTTTAGTGGTTTAGGGTTACCTAAACTAATTTGAATTTTATTCTAATATTAAGAGTGCTTAATTTTATTTTTATCTACTTGAATTTATGTGAAAAAGAGTGGAATGATTAAAATGAATTATTATGTAAATTAAAAAAAATATTATAAAAAAAAATTTTAACATTTTTAAATATGCTCTTTTTAATCAACACTTGCTTTGTTTTTGGGCATATCTTTCTTTGATTTCTTTAATTGTTATCTGACAGAAAGATAAATATTCCATTTAATTTAACAAATTAATATTTGCCTTGATTTATTATTTTGTGAATATAAAATTTACATAAAAAGAAATTTAAAAGAAATGGACATTATTTAGCAAATTGATTAATTGTAAGCAAAATTAAATATCTAGCAATACAAGGATAGTCATGTTGATCTTAATTAGATAGATGATAAATAATTCAATATCATTTAGTTCTTAAGGCATAATTTTTTGAAAGATCCTAAGGATAATGATGTAGAGCTTGATATGGAAAAAATTAATAATACAATTAGTTATATTTACGAGTTGTAAAGAGAAACATGTGAATAAATTGCCATTTCAGTTGATATGAATCTTGATAAGTATGTAGCTATTAGTAAAAAATTTGATGATATGAAGGATTACTTTTCAAAAACGGATAATCTTTACAACCAAATTGCCAGTGAAATGAAGATTTCAAGAGATGCATGTACTTAAAAAATTGAAAACGTTAATGAAACTCTTGAGAATTATCAGTATATTTGCAACTTAGAAGATAATTTAAAGATTTTAGAAAAAATTGTTGCCCTTTTAAAGGATATAGATGCAGGAATTTTGCAAATTAAAAAAAGTAGTTCATTTTAAGGATTTAAAATATTGAATGCATGCAAGTAGTTGAACACATCTAAAAAAATATACAAAGAAAAAATAGAAATTGCTCTTCAAACAAGAGAATTATCCTAAAAATATAAGCTTGTTTAGCAAATTAATGACATGTTTGTTTCATTATCAACTGAAATAGATAAGTAGTTTAGATCTCTTCTGACTGGTTATTTGGAAAATAAACAACTATTTTAAGAAGATCCAAACAAAAAAAGACAACTTTCTGTATTTCTTTCAGCATTCTCTTCATTATCTAGCAAGTAAACTGCTGAAAAGTCTATTTAGGATATTATAATAAAACCCTACTTTTAGAAAGTTTTTAAACAAATGGCTGAGTGTAAAAAGAATATAGTAGTGGCAACAAAGTAAGAATATTTGCAATAATCATAGAATATGAAAGTAGGTCCATTCTAAATACTATAAAGCAATCTTTCAACTTTTATTTAACAAATATATACTCCTTTATTAAATCTAATTTAATACTCTTAAGAAGAGAATAGCTAGTAAGAAGATGTAAGCATTTTTGTATAATAAAAAATATAAAAAAAATTATATTTTAATTGATAATATATAGGAGGAGTTTTACAATTACAACATATATGGATATGATATAATAAAAGTTTTACTCGATACAATTTGTGAATTTTTTAAAGCTGATGACATGAATTTCATCTTCTCTTTTGGCTCAAGTGACATATTCTTCTAGAATTATACAAGCTTTTAACAAATTCTAATTGAGATAAAATAATTATATCAAGATGAAAATAAAATCAAAGAATCTTGTTTTGAAAATGAAAAAAAAATTCAAGAAAAATGGAATGTAAAAACATATTTTTATATAAGATAGTAGGAAATAGTAAAGGAATTTGAATCTAAACTCTCTAATATAATTTCAAACCCAATATAAATTAATTCATTTTATTAATTACTTACTGATTAAGTAATGAAATGCTTTGATGAAAATATTATATTTATTAAGAGAGCCTCAGCTCTATTCTTAAAGTTAAGTTTATAATTGATAGCAAGATTCTCAGCTAAAGTTCAGTAGTTCACTTCCTAGGGTAAATTAATAACAAGCAGCTATGAGTTATTTAAACCATTAATTAATAAAATATAGAAACCAGCAAATAGTATTAAAATGAGATAGTTGACGATCTTTGCAGATTAGAGTCTCATCTACCTGATTACTATAAAACAGTTGTGTACTCTAAATTTAACTAAGAATCATAAAAAGATTTATTTAATTAAATTGTTTTAGAAGTAAAAAAAATTCTTAGAACTGCTGCCTCAGCTTATTTAGATTCAAAGATATATTAATCTAAGACAAAAGCACTTAATAATAGTTGAAAAAAATAAATTTTTTATACCATTTACATTTTAATTATTCAAGTTAAATTTGTTTAGTTTTCTTAATAATTAATACTTTATTTTAAAAATATTATTCTATTTGCAAACATTCAATTAATTTAAAAATAAATGAATTATATGTTTTTAAAAAGTAAATTAAATTCGATATCTTTTTCAATAAAATCTTTACAACTTATGCAAGTAAGTAAGATTTTTCTACATTCTAATTCAATAATATTTTATTTTATGATAAATTTTAAAGAATGCTATCAAATATGTTTAAAAAATAATAATTATTTAGAATTAAAGATAAAGAGAGGATTCTAATTCTATTATTTTTATTAAGATTTTATATTATTTTATTTTGCTTACTTTTTATCTTTATTTATTTAGTTTTTTGTTTGTATAAATAAAAATCAATTAACAGTTTAGCAAGTTCAAATACATTATTTAAAATCGAAATATTTTTGGTTATAAAATAAGAAATATTAAGAAAAAGTCATTCATATATATACAAATACATTAATAGATTATAAAATATTTTAACTATTTGCAAATATAATAAATATTATAAATATTGTAAATAGTCAGAAATTTATTTACTGTTGATTTTTAATATTTTTAATTAATTTATATTGTCTTTTATGAAAATAGTTTTATATAATCAAAAAATCTAGCAACAAGCAGATTATTTAGAGGTATTTTCATTCTTATTAGGGTATGGTATGTTTAATAGCTAGTCTACTCTTCTTTATTCTACCAAATCTACGAATATCTTAGAGATATCATACTCCACTTAAACTATTTAAGAGCTGTAGCAACACATGTAAGATATTAGGAGAGTTACATCTCTCAAAGCTAACTACACTGCAACACTATTTTTGTTTTCCAACTCTTTTTTGTCAAAGAAAGAATCATTTATTTTTGTTAGCTCATTTATAATTTAAGAACCAAATGACGTTTAGTGAGTTTCAACCTCTGGATATATAATAGAGTTTTTCCTGTGTTTGGTTAGTTCTAATGCTGCTTGTGCAAGTTTTATAGAAATTTCTTCTTCTGAACCAAATTTTTACTAGATTATCAAATTTATTTGTTTAACCTTATTATCGAATTAGGCTTCTTGTTTTTTTTCTTTGTAAAGCGAATAGGCATTAAAAATTTTGTCTACAATGCTGTCAAGAGCACCAAAAATATTTCCTATTATTGGGACAGCTTTTACTACATCTCTGCATATATCTAATCCTACTTTCAACCCGGCTTTTAAGCCATCTTACACAATACCCTGGTTGCTATCTAGTATTGAGCTAGCAGAAGATTTTTTATAGTTTACTTAGATCAATCCTGAAGAAATAATTCGATAAGTTTAAAACATATTTAAAGATGTCCAATAGAAAGTTTTATAGTAGTTAAAAAATTCTTTGCCCATTTTTTAAAGCTCAATCAATTCTCTATTTAAACGAGCTTTTTCTTAAACTCCTGCATCTTACATATCTCTATTAATTAAATAAACATTATTCCATAGAGTATTAACTTCTGCTTGCTGGAATTGCTAAGTGTTTTTGACATTTGCTAAATCTTATTGCAAAAGAGCATACTTCTATTCGAAAAATTAATAAATCTAATTTAAATTTTATTAATTTTAGTCATTAAACTACGACTGTAAATCTTTTAATTGATCGCTGTAGAAGCTAAAACTTGAATTTTAAATGGAAGAATTATCAAACTAAGTAGAAGAGTTGCTATCGTTTTTTTCTTCACTTGCCCTTGTAATTTATGCAACATCTTAAATTGCTTGCTTCTTAGCTTTTTCTTTCAACAATGAAACAAAATCATTAGCTATTTTTTAGACTTTTTCTTTTTCTTCTTGGTTGCCTTATAATTAATCTGTTTTCTTAAGTATCTCACTTCCTTATTATTCGATTTCATTAAGCTTTTAGATAGTATTTTTTATATGGTTAATATTTTATTGACTCATATCTTTTAAATGGCCTTATTCAAGTAGCTTTGATGCTTATTTCATGTCTTCGACAGCCTAATCCTTATTTCCTAAATTAAAGTTTACTAAGGCTCTATTTGCATATGACAGTGTAAAAAATGGATCAATTTAAATTGCTTTATTATAGCAATCTAAGGCATCTTAGCTTTTACCAAGCGCTTCTAAAGCTAACCCCTTGTTGTTTTATATTTTGCAATTATTTGGGTCTAACTAGATAGCTTTATTGTAATTTTCAATAGATTCTTGATATCTACCTAATGCTTTTAGGGAAATTCCCTTATTATAGTAAACTTATTTATGATTAGGATCTAATTAAATGACTTTGTCATAATTTTTAATGGCTTCTTCATATTTACCTGAAAATAAAAATAAGCTGCCTTTATTCAAGTATGCATTTGAGTAATTTGGATTTATTTCAATGACTTTGTTATAATTATTTAAAGCTTCCTAATTCTTTCCTAACTATTTACATAATATGGCTTTATTGTAATAAGCTAGAAATGCATTTTTATCAATCTAAATTGCTTTATCATAATGCTAAATTGCTTCTTGATTTTACCCTAACTGCTAGAGCGTTAATCCAACATTAATGTAAGCATTAGTAAACTTAGGGTCGATTGCAATTATTTGTCTGAAATCTTACAAAGCCTACTATTTTTGTCCTTCATTCATATAAAGCAGACCTCTATTTAAGTATGCATTTTTGTAATTTGGATCTAAATTTATTGCCTTATCATAATAAGTTAATGCTTATTGTGATTAACCTAATTTTTAATATGAAAGTGCAATATTGTAACAAGCTAATGAATATTTAGGATCGCATTGTAAAGCCTTATTGAAATTATTTAGTGCCTCTTGAAACTAATTTAAATTAAAAAAACATAGTCCTTTATTTAGGTGTGCCTACTTGTAATTTGGATCTATTTCTACAACTTTAGTATAGCAACTTATAGCTTCTTATAATTATTTTAAAGCTTGCAGAGATATACCCTTATTATAATAAGCTAATTTGTAATTTGGATTTATCTCTAGTGCTTTGTTATAGTTTTTTATAGCCTCTTAATATTGGTTAAGAGAATTTAAAGCAACACCTCTATTACAATATGCTTCTGTGTATTATGGATCTAATTCGATAGCTTTACTGTAACTATTAACAGCTTCTTAAAATTTTCCTTAAGATTACTAAGTTAAACCTGCTTGATGATATTTCTATTAGCTCATTTAAGAGTTTGAATTGGGCTTCTATCTAAGGAGATTATTTATGTGTTTTACAAATCTACTTTTGAAAAAAAAGAATATATTTTTATAACTTTTTAGAATATGCTTAAAAGATTATTAATATAATCAAAATATAGTACAATATTTATTCTTTGAAATTCGATAAAATCAATAAAAGCTAATATCATTTATTTCATCAATATTTAATTAAATATGTATATTATAGAAAGAAAAAATTATGTTTCTATAACTAAGGCTCAGAAATAAAAATTTTAAAACCATTAAAACCAAATTTTTATAAAAAAAGGAATTTTATCTGATCTTAATTAATGAGGATATAGAGTATTAATTAACCTCTCGAAATTCCATTCACTGAATAGATAATATTTTCAATTATTGGATTAACTAAATATAGTTATAAATTAGAGTATAAAAAGTTATAATATTTAAAAATGTTAATGATATTCAGTAAAATTATAGATTATTTATATATTTCTTTTTAATTTATTAGTAATTAAATTATTTTATAAAATATTTTCAGTAAATTTGTTTGCTTTTTTTAATTTTTTTATTATTTTGTTAATTTGTTATTTTATTTTTTAATAACAGTATAAAAAATAATATTTTAATTGGATGAAATATTTTTTTCAAATTAAAATCTTTTTTGGTTATAAAATATGAATTAAAGATAATCAAAAATATGAATTAGGTTATAAAAAGTTTGAATTATATAGAAAAATATTAATAAAATTCAGTAACTAATAGGTTATTTATATATATTTTTTAATATGTTATTAACTAAACTATTTTATTAAATCTTTTTTGTTTTTTTATTTATAAATAAAACTATAAAAATAATAATTATAAGTATTTAGTTGTTTCAAATATTTTATTCAAAATTAAAATCTTGTTGGTTATTAAAATGATTGTTGTAGTCGTCTTCGTGGTGTAAATATTAGTATGAACTTTCATCATTTTTAAAATTCTGTTGATCTAACTCAGAGACATCATTTTCTTGATGTTAGAAATTATTGGCTCTAGTTTTGTTTTTTGCTTAATTAGAATAGCTAAATTCATCGTTGGCATTGTTAAATTGCTAAAGATTTACTTATGGAGTTTCTTAGATGTAAAAATTATTCTTTTTAATTGGAGTCTCCATAAAGTTATCTTAGCTAAATGGAATTTAATCTTAATAAATAAAATTAGGGGGATCATTGAAATTAAAATCCTCTGGCATATTGTTTTTATTATAGTCCAATTCATAATTGTATTCTTGCTATCTTTCATCAGAAGAAGTAATTAAATTATTATTTTAATTTGTTTGATTTGGAATAAAATCAGGTTGTTGATACTCGTTTTAATAGTATTAATCACCAAATTTAACTTCGTTTGATTAATTTTTGAGTAATTATTCACCTTATTATTGATTTTCACTAATAAAATTGTTTTCTTGCATTTATTTTTCAGCAGGATTAGAGCAAATTGGCTCCTTATTTTAAGCTACTTAATTTTATTAATCAATAATTAATTTCATGACTCTTTCAGCATCTTCTTTATTTTCATTCATATACTATTAAATATTTTAATCTTGAGAGATTGATGAATATCCTTGAGAATCATTGAAGTTAAGCATATCGCTTTCATCATGCATTTGCTGGTTGAATCCATAGTCTTGATCTTCAAATTCTTGATTATTTTCTGACAAATTATACTTTTCTTCTTCATTAATGTATTTATTATTGTTGTAATCATTAACTCTCTGCAATAAATCCTCTTCATTTAAATACTCCAATTATTATTATCCGTCTTACTGTTATAACTATTAATCCTAATTCTAATTATCTGCTTATTAATTAGATGGTACTTAATTTTGATTAACCTATTCAAAGGAAACTTAAGATTGTAAATTTTAATTAGTATTGTTATTATTATTTTTTTTCATTTAGTACTCATTGTTTTAATTGGTATTTATTAGGCAATATTACTCACACTCTAATTCATTTTCATCTAATGTGGCATCATAATCATCCAACTCATCTTCTTTCTGTATAAAATTATTTTATTCCTCATATAACTTTTTCTTCCTCTCAACCAACTCTAAATACTTTTATTTAGAAATTTCCATAATTGACGGTTGATTCTTCTTATTTCTATACTTCATGATAAATTGAGAATACTATTGTAATTGCTACTAAACTTGCTAGATTTTTTCTTAAAGTTATTACCATTTAATTGGTGGACGTTTAACATCTGTTTTCTTAATTAATTTGAATACAGGTTGTTTCTTACTGATTCTTTTTATTACTTTTTTTTGCTGAGTTTGCTGCCACAAAGTTTTAATTTGCTTTTTTGTTAGCTTTTGTTGTTGTGGTTTATTATGTTAGTAATTATGAATTGGCTATTAATAATTAGATGAACCATTATAAGCAATTACGTTATAGTTTTCTTTGTCTTTTTCGCTCATACTTTATAATGTGTTAGAAGGATAATCATTAGAATAGACCCTGTCTCTATAGAGACTTAAAGGATCATTTTCGTTAATTTCGTTTTCATTAATTGCTCCTTTGCTTTTTCCACCTCTTTTTACCAACATATTATTATTATTATTATTATTATTATTATTTTTTGTGTTGTTAGTGTAATTATTTATAAGATTGAAATATTGCTGATAAAAATTTTGCATTTGAGGAGATACCTGTTATCTATTGTTTTCTTATTGACGAATCCATGACTCTAAGGGATTCTCGATATTACTTTTATTTCCCTAATATTGATTTTAGCTAAATTGATTGTTGTGCATTTCTTATTAATTGTAATTATCATCACCTTCTTATTCTTCATCGTCATCTAAATCAATAGGATATTTATTTATATCCTCCTTATTTAATACTAATTCTTCTTCATCATCTTCATTCATTAATTCATCTTCAATTTACTCTTAAGTTTTGCTTTGATGTGAAAAAGAATTTGTAGAATATCCTTAATTATTAGTATTTTGATTCTGTTGCTGTTGCATAGGATAATCAATTGCTTTAAGATTATTTTCATTTAATGAATTTACCTTTTTAAAGAATTAATTTTAAGTGTTAGAGCTTTCGTCACTTTCATACGGCTTTTTATTTATATGCAATTGATCTGTATTTGAATCGCTTGAATCATATCCAAATTTAACTTTTGGTGGCAAGCTGTTATAAACATTCTTTTTATTGGGGTAAATCTATTGCTAAGAATTATTTCTATAAGATTACCCATTCATAGAAATGAGTGTTTATAAATTTTTTTAAAATTTGTTTCCTGCCGAAGTTTAACGTGGAGGTACAGAGCACTCTCGCTCAACAGAATCTTCTATGTCCTGCATAATTGAATGAGATAATTATTTATAGTAATTGTAGTAATTTTATTTTTGATGGCGAGTGTTGTATATTTTTATCAACAAATCTAAATTTATCATAGGTATTTAGTCTAGTATGCTATCGTTCAAGAACGAATTCTATTGGTAGTAGTCTTCATATTCTAAAAATATTTTCTTCAATTAATTTTGCATTTATGATCCTATTTCCTGATTTTTCTCAAATAATGCTTTGTGGCGATGGTAAACATCGTAAAGAGCTCTTCTATCATCATTGGATAATACTTTGTATGCTTCATCTAACTCCCTAAACTTTTCTCTTGCTTCATAGATATCATATTATGTTTTATCCTATATGAGTTATTTTACCAAAAATAATTTAGAATCAAATTATTCATAAATTTACAAGTGTTGTTAATTGAAAAGTTGAAAGAATTTTTGCAAACTTTTGGAAAATTTGAGCTAGAAAAAAAAAAAAAATAGATCTTATTAAATTAAACGCAATTTTTTTAGTAGAACAATAAATGGAAAATAAAAAAAATAATTACCGGATGATACTCCAGAGCCTTTTGCCTGTATGCCTTTTTGATTTCTTCCTCCTTGGCATCTTAGCCAATGTTTAAAATTTCATAATAACTCATTTAAAAAGGTTTTTAATTCTAAAAAGATTAAATTCAAAAGTATATTTATAATTGTTAGTGTATTAATCAATCTATATATCAAGCTATCAAACTATCCTTTAGCTTTTTACTTTGTTTTTTTTAAATATAAAATACAAAGAGAGTCTATTAGTCTTTCTAAATAATAAAAAATACTAATACTATTTATCCTCTTTCTTAAATACTTCCTTATAATCTAATATCAAATTAGCTTAGCTGCTTGAGCTCTATTTTTTTATTATACGAAAGCTAGCAAAGAAACAAAAAAGAAAATTTTAACTTTTCCCACTAAAAATGATTGAAAGCAGAAGTAAAAAGAATTCTACTGCTGTTGAATATGGTTTTATTCAAACTTGACAAGCGTATAATATAAAATAAAGAAATTTCTAGCTCCTTGCTATTTAATTTATATACGAATACTGAAATATTCCCCCTTAAAAAGTTTTAAACAAAATCTTGCTTTTGAAATTATAATAATTTGCTTATTGATGAATTGTTTTGTTTTTTGATGAATATTATAATTATTGCTAATTGCCAAAAATTATTTGAAATCTTCTCTCTATTCCTACTTTTTGTTATTTATTTATTAATTTATTTGCTTAGGAGTGTGTGTTTTTGTTTGTTTGCCTGCCTGTATGTTTAAATCTTTAAAAACAAAAACTTTTACAGTAAATGATTAATTATTTCAGTGAAATAAAGCAATCACTTCAATTTACCCACCACCTACTTAATTAATACTGCTTTATTTTCATAAATTTTAATTTTTTTAAAACAAGTCATATATAATTTTTTTGTTTGATGCAATATATTTTTCCTTTGAATTCTTGCTTTTTCTTTTCCATTATTTCTGTTTTTCCAAAAGAAATCATCTAGAAAATAATCAATTTTTTTTCTCTTTTTCTAGAAATGGCTAAGAATTAAATTGAACACTTCCTTATTAAATAATTATAGTATTATGGAAAAAAATCATTAAAATAGATAGAAAAAAGAAATATTTTTTATTTAAATAGATATCTATGAAAATTACTGTTCATTTAAAATAAAATAAAGTCATCAACAAGCCAAACAATTCAATGCCATCTTAAATGCATTTCAAGACAGTAATGTTGGATACATTAAAATAAATGATGAACAATAAGTAGAATTGTATTTTAAACTGAATTATTTAAAAAAGGAATATATTTAAAATAGAAAAAACAAACCAAATGCTGTACAGATATTTTATTTTAAAGTAAAATGATTTCCATTTAAATTCTATCAAGAGGCATTTGTTTTGATAATTTTATTTACTTTTAAATGAAATCAAATATTATTTACTTTTAATGCTTTCAAAAAGTATTTTGTGGCAATTAATTAATTACAGTTTTTATTGCAACCATAATTCTTAGCTCTAATAAACAAGCAATATATTAGTTGCCTAGGCAATATTTATTACCATAGATTATTAAATATAATTATATATATGTGATACTTAAACACATTCATATTTAAATTTGATGGATCTTCATGAAATCTTGCTTATTTATTTAATTTAAATGAAAAAGTATAAAACAATATTAAAGAAAAATAGTCTGTGTTATGTTAAAATTTGTATAATTTAAGATATAATTTAACAAGATTATAAACAAATAAATAATTTTATTATAAAAATAATTAATTTAATGATAATTCAATCTATTTATTTATCATTTTATTATCACTTTTTCTGATTTTTAAATAAGATACAGCATTAATTTGGTTATTATTTTTTAATTTGAATTTTTTAATAATTAATTTTTGGTTTATGTAATGTTATTTTCTATTAAATAGTTATTAAAATTTTTAAATATATTAATTTAAAAAGAAATAATTGATTCGAGAAAATCAATCAATATCAACTTTATGAGATAATATTTATTATTATAATTATGAAAATCTTGGAATTTGTCATTTTCTGGTTATGAAATTTATAGCTTTTTATTAATTGAATAAATAGGAAATCAGTGTGATGATGATTAGGTTGAAATTTCTGTAGAAAAAGTATCCTATATTTGATCTATTTATAATTTCTTAAGAAATGTCTTTAGTCTTTAATTGTTTTATCTTTATATATGTTCCATTCTTAGCTCATAAATAGCACTAGTAAGTAATTTTATTTCTTCATCTTTTTAAAGAATTTCTATTTTATGCAATTATTGCTAGGCCATTATTTTTTTATCAAATTCATACTATTCTTCTTCCTTCAATTAAACAATTTAAAATAAATGAATATAAAATATTTTTTTGAAATTATTTAAAAAATTTATTACTCGATCCTTCTGCTCATTAGAAAGTTCCTCATTTAATTAATCTAATTCTTATTCCTGCTATCTAAGTTAGGACATTAGCCTTCTATACTCACGGGAGATATCAATCTTTTAAATTAAAAAATGTAATTAATTATAAAAATAATGGAATCTAAACAGATTAGACTATCAAGCTTTGCAAGTTAATACATTATCTTCATAATATTTTTTGAAGATTATGATTTGTAATATTAGTTAATTTAAAATGAGATATTTTTTTATATTCTGTTTATTCTCATTTATTAAGGCCAGTTGATAAAAAATATTTTTTTACAAAAAATTGACATTAAAAATTTTATTAAAATGGCCTAAATATAAGTTGACCTTAACTAATGAGAAAAACACGGTATGCCATTTATTAATAGTATTTCAATAAAATTTACTAAAAAAATGAAATTATTGATTAAGGGTTTGTATAATTTGATATCCAAAAAAAATAAATATCAGATTTAATTTTATTAACTAAAAGAATCAAAGAATCTATTTGATTATTTATATAAATTACTAGATTTGTTGGTATATTTTGGTTGGATTGTAACTCAGCTTCTTTTAATTTGGAAGTAAGCTTTTGAATTTCAATAAGTTAATTTGAAATTGTATCACTTTGTTCTCTAAGCTTATTTTTGTAAATATTTATTGTATCTTCTTTTTCTTTTATTAATTCTAACTATTGATTCAAACTCAAATTATCAGTTTACCTACTAGATCCCATATTTGATCTTTAACTTGATAAGGGACTTTCAAAATTACCTTCAATATCTTATAATTTATTGCTTAGCTTAAAATTACTATTATTGAATCTCGATAAATTCTATCCTTAATTATTTATATTTTATCCTGTATAGTTTAAACTGCTTTTTCTGCTTTAGACACCTAATATTTCCAAGTCTAATTTAGTAGGTGAATTTTCTAATGGCATGTAATTTTATTTATCAGAATTGTGAACTAGATTTTTTAATTAAAAAAAACTAAATAAGCTGATTTTTAGTTAATTGTAAATTTACTAATTTAGCATTTTAGCGACTCAATTTCTTTCTTCTAATCTAAATAAGTATACTCATACTCATTTATTTTTTAGCTTAACTTTATTTTTTCATTTTCATTTTACTCAATTGTGTCCAAGTACCTTTAAATCATTGATTACTTCTCTTCTATCTCTATTTACATTTGAGTTTTTTATGTTTTAATCTAGTCTATTATTTATTGTTTTTCTTTTACTTCTTTTTCTAACTTATGTTTTTACTGTTCAATTATTTTTTAATAACTCTCTACTTTTTGCTAAATGTTTTGGTTCACTGTTTTTAACTCAGTAATCTAACTTTAGTACTATTTTATTTAGTCTAAATCTTTTAACTTACTATGCAAGTTATCTGCTCTCCTCTTTATAAATTATTAAATAAAAGATATTAATTATTAGATTCAAAAGTTCTCAAATTACTTTCTCAGTTTATAATTCTTCTTAACTTTATCTAATCTATTCCTCCATCATTTTTATTTTCTTATTGGATTACTATAAAGCTTCAGACTATTTTTCTGTTTCTTCTTTTAAATTTTGAAAATCTTTTAAATGTAAGCTCTATCTATTCATTTCATCTGATTTTAAATGATTTTCATCTTATAGATCTGAGTTTTATTTCTCTAAAATGGAGATATATTTTTCTTAATCTTTCATTTAATTATTTTGAGAATCTATCTGTTATTTAAGCTTACTTATTTCGTTATGTAATTCCTCTTCTTTTCTCATTAGTTATTATATTTACTCTTACTGTTCTTAACTAATTCTTTCAAAAAAACTGACATCTATTATTTTAGATAAATTCCCCATATCATCGTCAGATCTACTTCTCATAGGTTATCCATTTCTTTCTTAATCAACAAGTTTTCCCAATATAAAATTTTACATTGTGACATAATCTTTTATTTTTCGATTGAAAATTTCAAAGTATTTATTTTCTTAGATTTACTCGAAAGGAATTAAGTGATATATCTGAAAAAGCTATTTATTTTATTATAAAAAGAAAAATAATAAGGTTTATTTATTTTCATATTAATCGTTTTTTGATTTTTCATTCATTACCCAAATGTATTCGTTGTTTTAAAGTTCATTTAGAAATTGAGAAAATATATTTTCTTAATCTGCCTGAATTTAATCCTTAAATAGTAAAGCGAAAGCCTAAGCATATTCATTTAAAATATCTAGTTCATGCTCATCTTCAAATTTATACGCTTTTTAACATGCTTATTCATTTATCAAACTTGAAATCATATCATAATGCAACTAAATCAAATATATGTTTCTATTATTTTTGTAATATAACTCTGTATTAATTTTCATGTTTATACTGTTGCAAAAATCAAGAGCCTTTATTATAATAGAATAAATATAAATTCTTTAATTTTGATTTCATTATTTCAATATCTATCTACTAAATTTCAATTTAAAGTCTAATTACAAAATCCTCAATGTCTTTATAAAGTCTATCTGATTCATATTCTAATTATAATTTGATGATATTGACCATTCCCTTATCTGATTGATGAGAATTCTTCTCTCTCAAGCTTACTAAAGTTATTATTTCTCTCTTCTTTATTGCTTGCTTGATTGTTTGTTAGTTACCTATTTTTTTTTACTATTACTTTCTTTGTTTCTTACTATTACTTTAAATGTAGCAAAATATATGTATTTTTTATTTATAATTAACTTTAATGCCAAATTATTTTTATAATTTTGAAGAAAAAATTTAAAACAATAATGAATGGCAAATATAATTACTTTAATAAATTCATATTTCTGCTTATATTACTAACACTTCTAATAGAAGCTAAGCGATGATATCAACATATCTGATTCGTCACTTCAAAAAATTGGTAGCTTCTTTTTTCACCTAGTAATATCCAATGAATCTTCTAATTTCATATCTTTAATTTTTTTATTTTGTTCATTACTGAGTAATTAATTAATTTGGAGGCATCTTATATGTTCTTAAATATTTTAATTTTGTTTATTCTAAAATTCAACTTATTCATTTTTTTTTCCTTAATCTGTATTTATTTTTTCAAAACTATTTTCAATTTCTGAAAAACTTGTTATCAATTTTATTATTTAACATTAAGATTTTATTTAAAAAAATAAAAATAGTTTTTTATTAAATTTAATATCTACATGAATAAAAATAAATAAATAAAATTTCTAAATAAAAATTAACAATTTAATTGAATAAATTTAAAATTAAAATTCTAATTACTTTTTAATAAAAAATTATTATGACTAAATTATTATTTTTTTATTGAAAATATTCATATCAAGGCTATAGATTTTAGAAGTATCCTTAATTTATTTGATAGTTTAGCTAAGCTATAATAAAAAATAATCTTGCTTGAATATATATATTTTCCTTAAAATATAAGCTTTATGATACATTTACAGTTATTGGTAATATCAATCTTTCTAAGCAGATGATGTAAAACTTAAATTTTAATAATACTTAAAAATATTTTTGTGGATTATGTATTTTAAAAATCATAACCCTGTTGTAAATGATAATTTTTGATCAAAAAAATAAGATTATTAACAAAATCCAAAATATTTGATTTTACAAATAAAAAATAAATTTAGAAAAGCATTCAAAAAGCAAATACATCATATTTAATATAATTTTAAATCAAATGTAATTAAACTATTATTTATAGGTATTGATCATAAGACTTTTCTGAAAATTCCATTAAAAAAAAAATTTATAAATACCAGCAAGTCTTTTTTAATAACTATGCGCTTTTACTGATATTTAATAATGCTTTACTTACTTTTAAAAATTTCTATTATTTGAATTTTATAATTTTAATAAATGTTTTCAAAACACTTACCTGAAAAATAAGAAGAAAAAAAAATTTTAATTACTAATTAGCATTTTATAGAAAGATCAGTAAAAATTAGATTTATTTATATGACATTTTACTAATTTTTGCTTATAAACCTATCTCTTTATTACTGAAGTCTTTTAATTTATTTGCATTAAAGGATTAAAATTAAAACTAAAAAATAAACTAACTTGAAACAAAAAGAAACAAAAAAAATGTTCAAGCAATTTGATATATTTGGGAGCTAAATAAATCTCAGGTTTAATGGATAATAGACTCATAAGACTAACTTAGGATCTTTAATTTCTATTATAATTGCTGTTTTTATTATATACCGCTTATTCAACATCATTTATAGTGTTGTGCAAAGGAAAAACCCTCAAGTTATGTATAATGAAAGATAAGTAGATGACCCTGCTCTATTTTCTATTGATAGCAAATATTTCCCTATTGCGTTTGCTATGGAAGATCCTCAAACTAATAATTATTATATGGATGAAAGCATTTATACAATTAAAGCTTAATGGAAATCAAAAGTTGAAGTTTTTAATTCTACTACTTAAGAATATGATATTGTATGGCAAGTCTAAGATATTGATGTTAAAAGATGCACTCTTGAAAACTTTTAAAACCTTGATAATCAAAAGTATTACTTAAAACTAAATTATACAAATATGTATTGTCTTCCACCTGATTACAACATTAAAATTTAAGGAGATTTCCCTTCTCCTGTTTTCTCTTAATTGATTATAACAATTTAAAAATGCTAAACAAATTGCAATACACAATAATTAATAGATTATTACTTAAAAAAAGCATACCTTGGAATGCTAATATCTGATGCATATGTCGATCCTACAATTAAGGATTATCCTTTTAAGATTTATTCAAGAGATTTATTTTGGTCTACAAGTTCTAAAATGCCTAAAGATGTCAATATTTATATTAGAAACAATTATGTTTAAAGCGATTTTGGCTGGTTTTTCTCTGATATAAAAACACAGACTTTTCCAACCTTTAGTTATTATGAGGATTCTGTAACCACATTTAAATTTTACTAATAATAATTTTAATTTATTTCATTTCATCTTTAAGTTGATAATTTATAATAATCACAATTCTTTTTAAACTTATAAATTGAATATAAGAAAGATAATTAATTACAAACTTCTACTTTGACTATTTATTTTATATTTAATTTATTGTTTTAATTTTATGCATTTTATTAAAATTATTTTTCATTAATAGGTTTATCCAGAAGATTTCTAAGATTATTTTTTGTAAATTTATTTTAGGTTTGAAAAATAGAAAGAAAGCTTGTATTTAAGAAATTATCCTGACTTTAACAGCATAATAACCTAAATAGGTGGTTTCACTCAAAGCTTATTAGCAATAGGATATTTAATTTGTAGACGTTTCTCTTAATTAAGATTAAATTAAGATATTGTCAATTAAATTTTTAAATATGAGGATGAAGAGTAAAAATTTCAAAAGGATGATGTTATCATTGAATAAGAAATTAAAGCAGAAGTAATACCAAAAAAGTAAATAAAATAACTAGGAAATCGCCCTTAAAGCACCTAAAATATTGTTATCAAAAGGAAATAGCGAAATTTAACTTAAATAATCTAAACAAATAAGAAGAATATTTATGAATCTAATCATAGTCTCAATTAGGATCTTGATAAATCTAAAATAAAAAACATCGTTGATGATTAAAATAGCTCGTTTCCTATTAAAAACAATTGCAAACTTAAAACAGGTGGATTTAGTGAATACAGCAAGTAGTGTATAGATTTAATAAATTGCTCTGAAATGTTAAAGTAATAAAGTGAATAAAAAGATTAAAAATAGATGCTAAACTAGCTTCTTTAAAATGATTTTCCTAGTGAAGTAAATATCACGAACCCCAATAGTATGGGAATAATTAAGAGTACTTTACCTTAAAAAGTACTAAAAAAGTAACCTACTTAAAAGCAGTTGAAAAAGGCAGTAGAAAATCACTTTGATTCCATGTTTAAGCAATAAACTAAAAGCATTCATGTCACTATTTGGGAATACATTAAATCCTCTTTGTTTCCTTGTAAGTAATAAAAGAAAAAAAAGGATATTATTAACTACAGCTTTGAAATGCTATACTAAAACCTTGATATCCTACAAATATTAAAGAGGCTTATTGAAGTTGAGAAATTAAAGAGATTGTTTTTAAATGAAGAACAGCTCAAATTATTTGACTACCTACCAAAGCCCACTATAAACTCTGGTTTGTTTGATAGAAAAAAAACAGATAAAGGTATTTAGAATTAATATGAAATAAGTTTACTTTATTAAGATAATAGAACAGAATTGTAAAGAGCTAAGGATGCGTATGATTCTTATAAAAAAATATTAAATAAAAGTGAGAGTACAGAGCTAGATGAAAAATTAATTAATATGCTAGATCAAAATTTAATTGATATTTTTGAAGCATAAAATGAAAGTAACTCGGCCTTGATGAATTTGGTAGATATAAATAACGAGTTAAATTAAGTAAGCATTTTGTAAGATAAAAGTTAAACTAAATATATAAATTAGAACATAGATTAAAAATCCTCAGTAAAAAGTAAAAATTAATCCCATAATTCAATTTAATAATCTGAATAAAAAATTGACAAACTTATTAGCTACCAACTACAATAATTGAATTTATCTAATTTCTGTAACTTGAGCTAAAAAAAAGATATCACTTTGAATGAAGATTAACCAATTTAAACAGAAACTACTAATTAAGAAGAAGTAGCTTAAGAACGCATGTATTGCAGATAAATTCCATTTTAATTATGTAATTTAAATATAGGCTCTAAATGAAAATTATTAATCAATATTTGAGAAGATTTATTCAATTTAAAATAATGCAATTTTGACTGACAAAGTAATTTTATAGAAAAAGCAATCAGTATTAATAAAAACATTATAAAATACTTTAATTATAAACTCTTTTTATATTTTGTAGATTTTTTGTAACTTTTTTAAAAATTAAATAAAATATTTATAATAAAAATAGAACTCTAACACATATTTTACCCTACTTGCTCCTTTAAAATATTAGATAATTATATAAACCTATCTTTAAATATTATATTTAAGATATATTCTCAGTGCATTTTTAAGTGCGAGTATTTTAATTCAATTCAAAATATTGGCATTTTATGGAGCATTAATTTTTACTTTAATTTAATTTACCATAAATAAACTATTCACTAAATTGTAAAAACTCATTATGGAGATTTTCGAATATCACTTATCGAACTTTACTAGTTTAGAATTAATTGTTTTGTGATTTAGAAAATTATAATATTTTTAAGATTAATTTTTATTAATATTAATTATTCTCTCTACAATGTATATTATTTATTATAAGTGATTGAATTAAGATTTAAATTTTCTGCATTTTTTTCAATATTCAGATAAATTTTTAGATCTAATATTAGTTGAGATTAATAAAAATTTATTCTAATAAAAAAATTATTGAACTACAAATACAAGAATTGAATATCAAAGACATTAAGTTAGAAACATAAATTAATCAATTGAAAGAAATATGATAAAAAACTTAAGAGATCAAACCTCTAAAATTATGAATGTCATAATTTATCTAATAAAATGATTTATGAATTGCTTTATCATAAATATATATATATATGCATGCTTGTAAGCAGTAATTCAGTTTAGAATATGAAATGATAAAAAAGAGAATAAAGTATAGAAAAATGTGATTAATAATCATTAGAAGATATTTTCAATAAATGTAAGGATGAAGAATATTTAAATAAAATAAATTTTCAGAAATTAAATTGGAGAAAGAAAAATAATAAGAAAATTATTTTTAAAAATAAAGATTATTATTAAAATTCAAATAATTAATGTTAAAGTAACCATTAATTAAATTTTGTGAAATTATAGTGATGAAAAATAAATATTTTATTTAAAATTTTGAATTTATTTGTAAAATAAATTTTAATAATAGTATTGTTAAATATAAATAATTCTCCATGTAATCAGAAAAAAAAATTGCTTTTAAAAATATTAAATTTATTTTTATAAGCTTAATAAAAAATTAATTTGAAAGATAAACTAAAATCTAAATATATTCAAATTTTATGATAAAGTAAAAAAAAATGAACGAAAAAAAAAAAAAATTAACAAATAACACTTAAAGATTTGTAATATAAAATAAAAATACATTGTTATAATTAAACAAATGGATTAATGATTTTTAATAAGATTAAAACCAACTAACTTTAGTTTTAGAAATTCAATTTCAGTAGTTTCAGCTGTCATAATATGAATTTTTGTCAGAATGTCTGACTAGATTGGTATAAGTACACAAAATTGATTTAGATATAACAAATAGTTAGCAATTCTAAGGATTGTAATCAAGTATGATTTTTAAAAGCTTGTCTACATTAACTAGCATGTTAGAATTATCATTAAGCATAGGATTCTTCAATAATTTCTAATTTGATGAAAGTTTTATAAATTTATTTTAAAATTTAAATTAATTGAAAATTTTGCAGTTAAAGATAAAAAATTAGAATAAAATAAAATTAAATATTTAAATTCTTGGAAAAGCTATTTCAAATCTAATTAACTTAGTAAAATTAAATTTTAATTTATCCTATGATATCTTATTTGACAACGAAGATGCTTTATCATTAGCTAAAAGCTTAGAATATTTAAATAACCTTAAAACTTTATACTTGACCTTAGGAGATTTTAATTTTTAAAATGGTTTCTCTGATATAATTATGAGTGGAATTTAGTATTTAAGTTAATTAATTAAATTAAAAATTAATATTTGTTCTTATAATAAATTTGAGCAAGGGTTTTTAAAATTTGCAGAATACTTAGAAAATCTAAGTAATCTTGAGAAATTGTATATTAAAATAGGAGCCTATAACTAGTTAAGCAATAGTATAACTGTTTTCTCTAGATAATTATAAAAATTAAAGAATCTGAAATGCCTATCTTTCTAAATTGATTCTTAAAATATACAAAATGATGAAAATGATAACATGCCAAGATTTGAGAATTTTGCAGAAGGTCTTTTAGATCATCCTAAGCTTTAAACAATAACAATATCTATTGAAAGCCAAAATAAATTAGGAAGGGAAGGTTTAATATCTTTGGGTAAAGTTTTGGCAACTTTAAAAAATCTAGAAATTCTAGATATTTATATTGCTTAAAGTAATGAAATATAATAAGATGATTCTCATACTTTTTGTATGCTTTTGTCAAGCCTAGTAAACTTAAAAATATTTAGATTTAATATTGAAGGACCTTAACTTTAACATGGCATTAAAGGATTAGGAAATGCTTTAACTTAGCTTTAGCAATTATAAAATTTAAATCTAACTATATCTTTTTTAAATTAAATTAATTGGGTAGGAGCTAAAATGGTTGCATATGGAATTCAAAATTTGTAAAATTTACTTTAATTCGATTTCATAGTTTAAGATTTTAATTTAATTGGTAAAATCGGAATGAAAGCTTTAGGTTAAGCAATAAAATAGCTTCTTAATTTAAAAAAATTTACATTTATCATCGGTGAAAATAATTTAATTTGTAAAGAAAGCTTACAACTTTTTGGTGAGGGTTTAAAAGATTTAAAATAACTGCTCATCTTTTATATTAAGATAAATAATAAAAATCCAATAGAAGAAGATCAAAATATTGGAATTGAAGAACAAATCTCATTTCTATAAAGATTGGAATAAATTTCTCTAAATTTTCCTGTTGCAGAAAACGATTTTGACCTTTTATTTTTAAGTCAAGGATTAAGTAAGTTGATAAATTTGAAATATCTTACCATAAATTTTGTTTTAAAATAATTTCCAAATACTCAACATGATTAAAATTTTCAGGTGATAGCCAAAAATATATCAAAATGCTAATTTCTATAGGTTTTGGATTATAAAAATTTATTAAAACCAAGTAAAATTTTTAAATTGAAAAGAAAATGCCTCAGGTTAGTTAAATTTTAAGAGTGATTAATATATTTATTTATTTTTGTATTGCTTTATATTTTAGATAAAAATACTCTAGAATATTTATTAACATTATTTTAAAATATTAAATAGAATTTCTTTAATTTGAAAATTTTCTTTCAATTTTTTGTAATTAATTAAAAATAAATAACAACAATGTATTAATTTTTAAATTATAAATTTTTTTTGAATTAATTTTACTATAACTCATTTGGATCAAAGGTCTCCTACTTCTAATTAGAGGATATGTTACCATCTCTTGAGGTACTTCTTATCTTCTTTCTTATAGAGTTATTGGCTAAAAATTATTTATCTCGATCTATAAAAAAGTAAAAGGTTTTTTCTTGAATATAAAAGCTATTGAACCTATTTTTTTTAATTTTTGTAACAGCATAATTATTTTTTCAGATAAATTAAATTCTTTAATTACCGTACATGCAAATAATCTATTAAAAATAACAAAATTAAAAGGCAAGTTGTTTGCTTTTAAGAATAATAAAAAATTAAATACATTTAATAAATGTTTGTATCAAAAATTATTGAGATATCTTTTATATATAAGACTAAATAAATGAAAATTATTTGAATTAAGTTATAATAATTATAAAATTTAATTTGTTTTGCAATAGAATAAGAAACAAATCTTAATTTTTTAAAAATTTAAGAGTAAATCTCTTTTTGAACAAATAAGTTAGATATTTATTACAAATTTAATAAGTGGTAGGTAGATTATATGCTATTTAAATATTCAAATAAGAAAAATTTAAAGTAAAGCTATTGATATGAGGATTTTTCAATTTATATTTTAAATGGATTAATATTTAATGATTATTTTACAAGATTTTGGTTTGTTTTTCAAATAGATTTTAAAATTATTAACAAATCATCGAAATTTAACTCATTTTCTTAAATAAATTTGAGTAGAAACCAAGCAAGTTGATAATTTATTTGAAAATAATGTAAAAAGAAATTAAAATTTCTGAATTGAAAGCGAAATTAAATTCAATGAAAGAAATATATAAGCAAAAAAAATAAAGAAAAACAATGAGCAATTGTTCATTAAAAATTTTTTGCATTTATGAATAGGACTTAGCTATAAACTGACAGGTATTTATTGAATGAATGAATGATTGATTTACAAATGATAACAAACAAACAAATAAAGAAATTATTTAGATTATTGATTGAATCATTGAAAGATTAATTGATTGATTGATATATTTATTTAAAGTAACAAAATCGAGCAAACACAAAAAAAGCCAACAATTTTTATAGGAAAAGAATATCATCAGTCAGTGTAATAAATAAAAAGAGTTATTAAACTTACTAAAATGAAGAATACAGGCTACAAAGATCAAGGATATTCTAATTCTTTAAGTGGAACAGTAGCAGCTAAAAAGAAAGCTCCTTCAACAGGAGGAAATTACATATCTAATATTCCTAACTTTCTGAAGGACTCCAAACAGCCAAAGACTCCAATTACATAAATGCTTTACAAAAATATAAATTTGAATTTCTAGGAGTTATAGTAATCGCAGTAGCAATAGAATTAAAATGTTGCATCAAAGCCTAAAGTCAACAATTTTATTTCTCCATAGTAAACTCCCACTACTTATTATAATTTATCTTAATAGTAGTAGCAGTATTAATAGTAGTAGCAACAACAGTAACAGTAGTAATAGTAGCAGTAATCGATTTCTTCTTATCCTCAAACTGCTACTTTATAACAAAATGGAATTTCTAATAATGGAAATAGCACAGCTAACAGTAGTAACAATAATGCTTCGATGTCTGCAAACAATCAATCTAGTAATCATCATTATAGTTATTCTGCTTATCATTCTAGAAAGGCTTCTCAAAACTATGATGTTTCACCATCTCATTCATCATAAAATTCAAAATTGCTTAAGAGAAACTCTCAGCCTTCAAATAATATAATGTAGTTCTCTAGATAAGATTAATAGGGATAGCAGCAAGCAGGTTTCTAATCTCCTAAAGGTTAGATTAGCATGCAATAGAACTAATATTAGTAATAATAGCAATAGGTTTCCAATTAGCATCCTAGGAGTAACAGCATTGGGATGTCAAACTTAAATAATCCTAATAGCAATAGCAACAATATGATAAATAATAGCAACAATAATAATTAGTAATATGTTTATCAAAACAGTAACCATAGAAATAGCAGTAATCCAAGTATAAATATTAGCAATAATGTAAGCTCTAATAATGAAAGAAATAGCAGCAATGCTTTAAGCTAAATAAATACTAACACACCTTAAAGTCTATCTTAAAATATAAAGCAAAACTAGTATAATATCCCAACAGCCACAATCAACTGTGCAAATTTTGCTTCTTCCTCTTCTTCTACAACGGCATCAGCACTTTCAAGTTAGAATAACTTAAACAACTAAAACCTCTATTCGATTATTGCTAACCAGGTACAAATTATTCCTTTTAAACTTAAAATTTTTACAAAAAATAAAGTTTGACAAGAAGAAATCTAAAGAAAAAGAGAAAGTTTTAAACACAGAAATATATTAGAATTTATTTTGATTTCAAAAAAATATTATTTAAAGCACACAAAATATTAATAAATTATTTAATAAAATGTTTTAATTTTATAAAATGTAGCAATAGCAGCCATTGAATAGCTTAAATTAACAGGCTATTAAAGATACAACTTCAGGAGTATCTAGTTAAGGAGAGTAAAAGTAAAAGTAAATTTCATTCATAAATTATCTCCTTCTTAAGGAAGTTTAAAATAGAAGCTAAAAGGATGAAACTGTTTCAGCAAAGCATTCCAGATGTAAATTATACAATATTAAATAAAAAATATATTAATATGCAATAAAATTATCTAAAAGAACCATCTACAAGTGGTGCATCTAGCTCAAGTAAAAACTAAATAAATAACAGAAGCAACAGTATGGTTTCAGGTAATTAAATAGGTGGAAGTAATAACAATATAAGTAGTAATATTAGCAATATGCCTAACATTCCAACTTGTGTTGTAAATATAAGTTCTAATAACTAAAATGTAAGCCCAAACAGCACTAGTTAGTTTACCTAATAAATATAACAACAGCTTTAACTTTAGTAGCAGCTCTTATTGCAGTAATAATAGTAAATTTTATAATAAAAGCAGTAATAACTATCCTTAACTCCTTCACCTTCCCCTAGCATGAACTATACTAACAATATATACAAATCAGCTGCTTACTCGAGCAATGCTTTAAATAATAGTGCCATTAATAATAATAGCATTAATACAACCCAAAATAATTAAAATACCAATATCAATGGAAATTAATAGTAACAACAACAATAATAACAATAGTAATTCTCTGATGAGCCTCTAATAAGTTCTAAAGAAGAGTTCTATATTAATAAAAATCAATTTAATTTCCAGTTTGTAATAGGAAAAGGAGGTTTTGGTAAGGTTTGGAAGGTGGAACAAAGAAAAACCCGTCAGATTTTTGCAATGAAGGAGATGTCTAAATCGCTGTAATTATTTGCTCTAAAAAAATATTATTTTTTTATTCACATTACCTATTACTCAATAAAGCTAATTTTATATTATAAATTAATAGAATTATTACTAAAAAATCAGTGAATTCTGTTATAAACGAAAGAAATCTCTTATGTACGCTCAAGCATCCGTAAATTTTAATATTTATCTTACTTTTTTATAAATTTTCTTTAATCATCAATTAATTTGTTGATAACTTTTATTGAATTATTTATCAATAATCTTGATTTAATTTTCATTAATTAAATTATGATTTAATGAAAAATTTAAAAGCATTCTTTTTAAAGCCTAAGCAAATATTTTATTACTATTTATTCTGCTGTAGCTCATTTATTTTCTATTTAAATTAAATTTTGCTGATATTTATTATCTATGAAATAGTTGGTTTATTTTGATAGTTAAATTTTTTTAATAAAATTAGATTCCTTGTCAATATGTTTTATGCTTTTTAAGATAGAGATAATTTATTTTTAGTTATGGACTTTATGTCTGGTGGAGATTTGAGATTCCATATTGGAAAACAGAGAAGATTTAATGAAGAATAAACTAGTAAAAATATCTTCATAATAATTATAGTAATATATAAATTTTCTTTATGGATAATTAGGATTTTTTGTGGCTTGCATATTTTTGGGTTTAGAATATCTGCATAAAAACAATATAATTCATAGAGATATCAAACCAGAGAACCTAGTACTTGATGATGATGGATACGTTAGAATAACAGATTTGGGAATTGCGAGAAATTGGAAGCCTGACAATTAAAATGATACCTCTGGAACACCAGGATATATGGGTAATTAATTAATTAACAGATTTATTAAATTTTACTTATAATATTTTATTTATTAATAGCACCTGAAGTAATGTGTAGATAACCACACACTTTTGCTGTTGACTATTTTGCTTTAGGTGTTATAGCTTTTGAATTCATGCTTGGAAGAGTAAAAAATTTAATTTTTAAATAAAAATTAATCAATTAACTTTTATTTGTTATGAAAAAATTATTTTTTTTAAAAGAATTTTTGAAAATTTTATGGCAATTAAATGATTTATTTTCTTATTATTTTAAGCGTCCTTATCTTGGTAGATCGAGACAAGAAATAAGAAATCAAATATTAGCAAGAAGAGTATAAATTAAAAAGAATGAAATTCCTGATGGATGGTCACTCGAAGCAGCAGATTTTATTAATAAGGTAAATTAAAATAATAAAAATTGTTATCTAAAAAATTTTAAATCAAAAAGCTTATTGAAAGAAAACCTGCACAAAGACTGGGAATTAACGGACCTGATGAGGTTAAGAATCATCCTTGGTTGAGAAATTTCCCATGGAAAAAACTTTACAATAAAGAGTTATAAGCTCCATTTTTGCCAGTAAATAACAACTTTAATTTCAAAAATAATGTATTAAAAATGAAAAATTTAAAGTCATAGGAAGATAATTTTGATTTTAAGTAATAAATATCTCTTGACGATGAGCAAACAAATGAAATAATTTAATAAAATGCAATGTTATTAAGGAAACCTTAAGTTTAAAGTAATTTCAACATTTAATTTAATCGTAATTTATATTAAATTTTTTTACTAAATCATTAATAAAGGCTTATTTAATGGATACAACTTTGATAACACACTATTTAATCCTACTTTGGAAATGACTTCAGAAAATTCTACTTCAAATATTAATCGCTCAACAAATACATCTATCTCAAGTAAAAAGATCAACTCAAATAATTATCAAAATAATAATTTAAATCTTGGAGGAAATTTAACACCAACCATTAATAACAAAAATTAAGCTATGCAAAGTGGTCTACAAGGATTGAGTAGCACAAATGTCAGTAGTCCTAACAATTGCAGTGAATATAATATCTACCCTAATTAATATAGCACTAATTCTAAAAACTTCTATTACAAGAATTGATTTAATTTAAAAACTAAAATAAATTTAAAACAAACTATAAAAATGCTTGATAGCATTTAACTAAAATCATAAATAATAAAGTTGATGCTAAAGATTAGAGATTTATAACTTAAACAGATTGATTCATTAATTTTCACTTCAAAAACAGATTAAAAAAATAACTTTAGAATTTTCTTAGAATTTTGTATAAAAGTGCAATTTTAAGTAGCTACTCTGTTGAATTTTCCTCTAAATTATTCCTTATTCAAACATACTTTATTTTATAAATGAAATAATAAATTGCTTTTTCTTGAATAAGAAAATATAAATAAATAATATTAATAAAATTTGCTCAATATTAATCTAGAGCTATAAATCTTAATTTTATAATCTAATAATTATATTAATTAGAATTTTAGCTAAAATTTTATATTTATCTTTTGTATTAACTTTAATATTACTTCAATTAAATTAAATCAGATAGCTAAAAACCATATTACTTATCTAAAACTATCATGTATTATATGATGATGTTTATTAATTGTATTTATTTTATTAAATTAAGCAATACTTAAAAGTAAAATTAGAATTAAATATTTTTTGTATCTATTTATATTTAGGCTTTGTATCTAAGAAATATTTATGAAGAAAATAATTTTTTTAATAAATTTAATTCAAAATTTTTAATCATGTTAAATATATTACAATAGAAAATTAAAATTAATTTTATCACAATATTAATGTAGTTTTTTAAAATAGATTAGCTTATATTAATTTTTTTTATATAAATTATTTATTATTCCAAAATAAGTAAAAACAAACAAAAATTTTTTGGCATTTAATAAATTCACACACAAACTTGAATAAATAGATAGATATTTTTAATTTCTCTTAATTAAAATTAACTTTAATGATATACAAAATGATTTAAATACTTAGACAAGATAAATATTTGAATCATGAAATAATTTAAATAAACTAATTGCACTTAGGATTTAATACGAATTTCAATAATAAATAAAAAATATTCTTTTAAATAATTGAAAACCTTTAGATATTTTAATTATTGAGGATAAAAGCGAATTGTAAATCAAAGAAAAAAATTATTTAAAAAAGTATTGTAATAAGTTTTAAATTTCGTATTGCTTTAATCTTTATTTTATTTATTATTTTTATTTACTTTTCTTGCTATTAATATTTATTTTTCTTTTTATTTAGTTATTATTTAATTTATTTATTTTTTTCAAATTTTAATTTATTTATATTTATATTTATTTTTTATTTGTATTTATATTTATATTTTTATTTTTGTTATTTATTTAAATATTATTTATTTTTATATTTATTTTAAGATCAGCAGAGAATAAGCTCAAGGTTTCATCTCAATCATCTTCTTAATTGTTATTAGGCCTAAAAAAATACTAATTATATATATTAATGTAGGATTTCTATTAAATAATTAAAGTAAGAGAGGTTTTCATTTTGAAGTAGTCCACAAATCAGGGATACATACAGCTGATTCATGAATATTATATCTAGTGTCACAAATTTTATTCATTGAGTGAAGGAATTTTTGGAGAAACGGGATTCTTACTATGATAAATGTATCATATCGCTATAATTAGTGGCTAAATGCTCTTTTATATTGTGCTTAAAAACTTAGAGCATCCTAATTTATAGTCCTAAAAAACTTAATTGTTAAAAACTTTAGAAAGAAATTCCTCCACTTCAATTTTTGGGAAAAAGAGATTCTTACTTTAATTTATTTTTTTTTATTTATCTTTTTTTTTTATTTGAATTTTTTTTTTATTTAATTATTATACTTGATTTGAGTTTTTCCTTTGTGTTTTGAAATTTTTTTATTTTTTCCCTCTCATCCTACAAAGATGTCTAGATAAATTAATTTGATTTTGAAAATAAAATTTTTAACAAAATAAAATATCATTTCAATAATAATACTTTCTTAATGAAAAAATATAAAAATAACCACAATTCTCTAGTAAAATTTAAATAAATAAGTACACTATGCTTTAAAAAAAATTATTTGATTAATTTTGGGAAAATTAATAGGTGATAAAATATTTAAGCCAAAATAATTTTATTTGATGATTAAATATGAAATAAATTAGAGTGAAAAATAATTAATTTTTGTTTTTAATTATATTTTTAGGCTGAATAAATAATCAATATTATAAACATAGTGATAAATGACAATTTACATTAAAAGAATGTGTAAATAAATTAAATAAAAATTTGGAATGTAATTGTATAAAGAAAGTAAAAAAGAAAGAGTTAATCCATACAGATTTATTACGAAGAAGTTACTAAATGATTTAGCTTAACAAAAAATATATAGTATAGTTTAAGAATGTATCGTTGATTCTTTAAGTATAGTTGATATAGGAATTTAAAAATATTTATTTAAATTATAATGCTTGGTGTATTTACTTTATCGTTCGTATTATTTACTTACTTGAATGTTAAAATTTTACATAATAAAATATTTATTTATTTTCAATATGAGTGATTAATCAATAAATTAATTGAATTTTTGAATGATAATTATAATTAGGTTCTTAAATGAATTGAATGCATGAAATCGTATGTATGTATTGCCTTTTACTTTTAATGATGTTTAAAATTAATTTTGCTATGCTAGTTCTTAATAATTTTGAAACTCTACTATTTATTATTTATTCATTCATTATAAATTGATTGATTACTTTTACATTCAACAATACAAATACTTATCAACCAAGTCACTCATAGGAATTTCATTCATCACCAGTTAATGAAAGGATCATCAGCAGGTTTAATTGGTTTAGGCAATTCAGTAGAATCAGGATATGAGCTATAATTAGATGTATCACCCTTTCCCCTATTAATTTAAAAATGGAAGTTATTTATTTTCAAATTAAAATTACACATTTTTTATTTAAAAAAATTGTTTTTACTTAACGACAGGCTTGTAAGTTGGTGGGATTTTTTTGTGAAAGAGAGCATCCCAGTCCATATCAGCAAACCATCTGTGAGTTTTTATATCATTTACACCTATTTGAAATTTAATTAATTATTTAAATATATATCCTCTATTTTTAAAATATAGTTATTTATTTACCTCCCTTAAGATTACCATATCTCTTTGTCAAATCAGCTACTAATAAATGCTTTACTAAACTCTTAGCATTCCTGTTTTAATAATCATAAATATGTTAAAAATAAATATGCCTATGAGATTAATATTTCGAAAATAAGAATTTAATTATAGTTATTTAGATTGCTTACTTATCAAAGTTACGAGGGAATTTAACTTTTCCTTTGAGAATTTTTTGATATATAGCCATAGGATCTTCATCATTAAAAGGATCAATACCTTAAGAATTAATTATTTTAATATTTTTAAATAATGGCTTACAATTTTTCATTTAAATTATTTAATTTTTGGAGAGTATTTTTAATAATTAAAAAATAAAGAGTATTATTTATTTATTTATGATGTTGATAATAAAAAGTTTAATTTACCAGCAAGCATTTCGTAAATTAGGATACCAAGGCACCACCAGTCAACAGGCTTGCCGTGACCTTTATTAAGAAGGATTTCAGGTGCTAGATATTCTGGTGTACCACATAAAGTATAAGTACGGGAATCACAATATTTAGCAAAACCAAAATCAGTTAATTTTAAGTAACCATCAGATCCAATTAAAATATTTTCAGGCTTTAAATCTCTATACACAATATTTTTATTGTGCAAATACTCAAACATACTAACTCTATTTAAGATTAAAATTAAAAATATTTATTAATATATTTATAATAAATAGTGGAATTAAAATTATATCAATTGTTATAAATTTTTGGAGAGTTTTTTGTTAATTCAAAAAATAAATAAATAAATCCGTTTTTATTTCTCAATTTTTAAATAATTTATTTATTTAATAATTAATTCAACTTATATTAAATTTTTGGATCTAGCTAGGACTTTTATTTGATTTAAATATAATTTATTCAGCTATTTAATTTTAAATATTGATTGATCAATTTACAGTTTCTAACTTTCTATTTTTCGTTATATTAAATTGATACAAATTAAATAATTTCAATTCCTTTTTTAATGTTTTAAACTCTTTTCATATTTAAAATCAAATTAAGAAGCTGTTTCTGTAACTTACATGCTTAAAAGTTTAGAAATTCTTTAAATAATCATTTTTAAAACCTTAAAAATTTTATTTACTCCTATACTTTTAATTATCTTAAGATTTAAATGTAAAATGCATTTTTAACGTTATGTCTATTAATATTTTATAAATATTTAGCACAATTAATTTTATGTATTTTCGCTTTAAAAATTATTTATTAAATAAATGATTAACTTTAGTTTTTTAAATGCTATTTCGTTTTAATGAAGTGATTTTTATTAACAAATTAAAAAAATTGATATTTTTTAAAGATCTACTCAAATTTAAAACTATGCTAATTTTTTATAACTTAAAATATCGCTTCTTTGTTTCTATTTTAGGTTATTTTATTTAGTTAGTTAGGTAAAAATATTGACGAGGTAAAATATTTGTATTCTTTCTTAAATTATTCTAAAAAAATATTTTGGATTGATTTTAGCTCATTTATTAGATTTATTAGAGAAGAAAGTAGGAGAGCCTTATTTTCAAATTAATTTATTATGTTTCAAAATGATTATCATATGAAAGCAAATCACAAACAAATATGTACACTTATGCGGCATAGAAGAGGGCTTCAGGGTTATCAAGCTTTCCTTTATTACGTAAGTATGTGAAAAGTTCACCACCTGCAACGTATTCAAGAACAAAATATAAGAATCTATCGTCTTAAGTGAAACCAATCATTTTAATCTATTTTTTTAGTTTTATTTTTTAAAATATAAGAATTATCATTAAATGTGTTATGAATGAATGAATGAATAAATTTTTATCGATTAACTAAATTTTTTATAAAAACTAATTTCTAACAAACATAATCCAAATAGCTAAATGTACTTATCTCATTTATCATTAAAATTTATTCAATACTATTAATTGAGACTCTTTTCTAAAATTAAAAGAGTATTTAAGGGTTTTTTACTTATTATTAGCTACTTAGATCATTGGATTGTTTTATTTATTTATTTATTTATTTAAAAGATTATTGAGTAAATGATTATTGTGCTAAAAAATTGTTCTAAGTGTAGTTAAATTACAACTTATTAATGTAAATAAAATGTTGAGAGGTTTACCAAAAATGGATGGTTGATATTTGATAAAATTGTGTTTTCAGAAATGATGTGATCTACTTATTTCAAACGTAATATTTCTGCTTTCTTAAGCATTTTAAGAGCTACATATTCTCCAGTTGATTTTTATTTAGCGAGACGAACACGACCGAATGAACCTATTTATCATATTAAAAAATGTTACACTAAGTAGTTTGATATTTATTGAGTTAAAATGGTATTCTATCTCCTTCTCTCTTTCAAAATACTCTGTCACTCTTCACTCTAAACCCTCGTTTTTTTGTAGTATAAATACATCTATTAATGCTCTACTACTGCTTTTTGCTACTCTCACAAAACAGTAAAAAAGTGGAGAAATTATTTTTTATCAACAGGGTGATCAGGCTTCAAAATAAAATAAGGGTTTGATTTTGAGTCGGATGCAAAAACAGCTTTTCAAATACGATTAAATTTTGATGCATGCTGCCTTTGCTTTAAAGTTTTTTATTTGATTCCTATTTTCTGCTTCGTTTTTCTTTATTTTATTATGAATGTAAGAATGTTAGCTGGCTGAGTTCTTTCTTGCTTTATATAAAGAATCGATCAGGTATGAACTAGCTGAGTATATCTCCTTATTTTTAATATAAAACGAGGCTTTTTGCACAAAAGCAGTACCTATTCTGAAAGGAATATACCTATCACTGCTCTAGACATCTGAGAGGTTCAAGTTAAATAAAACGATTTGGCAAACTAAAACATTTGTTTGAAACAAAAATCTAGTTTCAATTATGGATTGCTTAGAGTGAGATGCAATTAACCAGATATTTAAATTTAAAAAAGGAGTTGGGAGAAGAAAATTACTATTTGTGTAAGTCAAATTTGTCAGCTCTTAAAACGCGATTGACAAAATTAAAAATTGAACACTAAATTACCTGTTCCCAAAGTGTTCATCACGTCGAACTCGGTCAATTTTACTTACTTCGCTTTAAATCCTTCCATAATAATAAATGATTCTTTCTGTTTGCTTTTTTATTTTATTACTATTTTGTTATTTTAGATGACTTGTTTATTTATAGTTATGAATTTCTGTTTTTATTTTTTTATTTTATTTTGATTTGAGTTTTTTTTATTTATTTTCTTCCCTATTTCTTGTTAGCCTTTCTTTATTTTTATTATAATTTATTGCCTTATTTCGAAATTTATTTATTCCCTTGAATTAAAAAACAATTAAATTAATTAAAAAAAACAAAAAACATCTGTTTATCTGGCAGCCTATCTATCTATTTTCTTTTCTCTCTATCTTCATAGATTCACTCATAGTAGTCTGAATTAAAATTCAATAAGAATCATTAATTATTGACAGCGCTCAACTTGATTTAAATACAATAGTTAATTATAAATTGTTTAATATTTTCTTTCAATGCTTGACGGCTTTATATTCATTTATTTAGTTATCTTTTAGTCTCATCTAGTTAGTTTTTTAGTTTTTGATAAAGCTGATTAAAAAATTCGGTATTAACTTCAAAATATTAAAACTCTAATCAGCCAATCATTTTATAAAATAATGAACCTTTTTTATTTTTAATTTTACCACTATACTGAGCAATAGCCACAATAGTCTGAAATTAAGTTATACATTAGTTTATTCTATTTTAAAATAAAATTAAGGACTGAATAAATTCATTGACATAAAATAATTTCTAAAGAATCTTCTATTTATCCTCTCTTATTAAAATTCTACTTCACAAGTCTCTTTTGTTAACTTTAATTTATATAATTAATTTTAATATCTATAACTTGCATTTATAAAAAATACTTAAAGGTTCTTTCAATTTTTTATCAACTCACATCTATTTTAACAGTAAATGTGTATTTAAAAGGTAAAAATAGTTTTTTTTAAAAATATTAAAGAGTAATAAAAACATTAAAAAAAATAAATAATAAATAGAATAAGCAAAGCATTTATTTAAAAATGCTTTTGGTTTAGTAAATATAAATATAATAATATTATCCTATATAAGTAACTAATCTCTTAAATTTAATAATTAAATTGCTTTTTATCATTTTTCTATATAAATAAATACCACAGCCCTATGCTTTTTTTATTTATTAAAAATTTTAAGTTATGAAATAAAATTTTATTTATTTTTAAAATTTTGCCTAATAAATTAAATAAGCCTAGTCTTGTTTCAAAATTTATGAAACTCACGATAATCAAATTTATAATATAGCCTATCAATATATGGATAATGATTTTAAAAATATATTTTAATATTGTATTTAATTATTGATCAAAGAATTCTGAGTTTTTAAAATTAAATAATTGTAGAATTTATTTTTAAAACAATACTACTTGATGAAAAAGTTGATGAAACTTTACGTTTTTTTAAATTTTAATATATGATTATTTTCAAGAACAAAGTCACTCACATTAGTTTACTGATTTATATAATATTTAAAAATTTAGGTTAGTAACTGGTAGAAATTTAAAAAAAATTAAGAAATAGCTTCAGTTTCAAGAAAAAAAGTTCAGCCAATAATTAAATGAGGTTAAATTTAAAGTTAAGTAAGAAGAAGTTTTAGATTAACAAATGAATATTTTAATGGTGAAAAATAGCAATTTTTTTGAAATACGTTGTTAATAGATGTAATTTAGTTTAATAAATATAAATTAATTTGAGGGTATTTAGGAAAGTTAATTTTAGCTCAATAAAAAGCTATGAAAATATATTGAAGTCAGAAATGCAAAAAAAAAATTTGAAATTATTTATTCCGATCCATAACCAGACAAATATACAAGAAAATTTTATTATAAAAACTAAATTATTACAATTATTTGGACATTTTATCAAAATTCTAATATTAATATTCATTTATTAACTTTTATTAACTCAAATTTATATTTTATACTCCAAAATTTATCCTTTTTGATAAACTAAGATAGTATTCAATTTCCCATTACTTTTCTCTTCACATTTTGAAATCTAAATTATTTAAAAATATTTGAATAAAAATTTATCTTTATTTCAATTTTTTGAAAAAAAAATTTTTTTTTTGAATTTCTAAATATATTAATAAATATTTACTGTTTGTGTATCCTTAAGCTCCGTAACCTTAATGCTGAGGTTAACCATAACCCATACCTTGAGGATGAGTTCCATATCCCATTCCCATTTGGTTTTGAGGATACATTCCATATCCTTGAGGAGGAACGCCGTAACCTCCCTACATACCATATTGCATTCCATATCCTTATTAATTTGCACCATAGCCTACGTTGATTTAATTAAGAGCGGCATAATTTGATTACTAAGGAGGTGCTTATGACATATTGTATAAATTTGTGTTTTGATTAATATGCAAAGAGTCTAATTATGTATTCAGAGTAGAGAAACCAAATTCATTACTTTATTGATTCTTCTATTCCTTTTCCTTTTACTTTTTTTCAGCTTCTTTTTTCATGTCTCCTAAATCAATTAAATTGAATTCGTCATTAGTAAAATTCTTTTGTTCCTTTTTTTAAAAAATTAAAATTTTTATATATTGGTTATAAATAGAAATATTTTACTTAGCCTTAATTTTATGAACCTTAGAAATCCCCAAATAGGTCTACTTCTTATTTGTTGTTATTTTATTAGGGTTTGTTATTATTGTTATTAACAGCAGGAGCAGATTAAAATAAATCAAAATCATTATTTTGTTATTAAACAGGTGGTTTATAGACCTACTACTAAACTGGAGGAGGATTAAATGTTTATTATGGTTGATAAGCAGGTTGTTAGTATAAATTAAATCCTGTTGGTTATTATTGAGGTTAAGGCTATTGTTAAGGATAATTGGGATACTAATTATAAATTTATTGAGAAACAGCTGGCTATTATGGAGGGACTGTGTTTTATACTGGCTTGGGAGCAGTAGTAGCACTTCCCCAATCCCAATCATCATCTGTTATTAATAAAAATAAAATATACTTTCAAATAATAAAGGAAATAATTTTTAATAAATACCTTTGTTTTAATTGTTTTAGTTATTAACAGGAACAGGAACTGGAGCAGGCTCATCGAATTCAATTAAATTTTATTATTGAGTTGCTTATGTAGGTTGAGTAGTGGTTGGTTGCTAAGGTTTTTAACCAGGAGGAGCTATTTTAATTTAACCAACGCTTTTAACTTCACCAGGTTTAGGAAGAGGAGCTAGCTAAGTTGAGAAAGGTTTCTTTTATTCTTCTTCTTTTTGAGTTGAATTGCTCTCTGTTTTGAGGGTACCACTAACAGGTTTAGTAGTAGCTTAATTTTCATTCTTATCTTTATTTCTATATTTATCAAGCCCCTTAAACTCTGTAGTGTCGTATGATTCTCCTTATTTATAAGCAGGGACATTATCTTTAGAGCTAAAACCTTAGTATTTAGATTCTTTTTTTTTTAAATTACAAAATATTCATTAAAATAAAATTTTCTATTTTTAAAAATATAATCAGTTAAAAATTAATTGGCACTGAAATAAAAATTTCTATTTTTTTTTTGTTTAGAAAATCAGTCATAAAAATGAAAGATAACGTTTTTGGCTAAAATTTTGTATAATGCTATTATCTATATATCTTAGTCTTTAATTCTATTTTAATTAATGTTGATTTTTATTTACCTTTATAGGTATCGCTTGAAAAACCAGCATACTTTGAACCGCCACCTTGGCTTTAACCATATGTATTAGATCCCATTCCTTCATAGGCACCTGATGAGTAATTAACTTTATTCATTTTTTCTCTTAATTCCTTTGCTGTTTAACGTTCATGGTCAAGCTTATCTTCATCAGTCAACAAATCTACAATATTTTTAGATCTTTAGCGTACACCAGAACCCTTATCTTCACCTCCTTCATAAAACTTGAAATCTTAAAGCTTCTTGATTTTATAAAGCTCGTCTTTGAATTCCATAATACATCTTGGAGATCCATTTTTAAGAAGGTGCTCAATTAAGACGAGAGTCTATTAATTTTATCAAAAAATATATTCATTTAGAGAAAATTAGTGCAAAATCATCAATTATATTAATATATTTGCAAATTTGCAACATAATTTACCTTAAAAGTAACTATTTAGCTTTTATCTGATTTATAAAGCTTTTCCCAAATGTATTTAGAAATAATGTTCCATTCTTCACTATAAGTTAATTAAAAGAATAATTATTTTAAACTCTTAAATGGTAAAAAGGAATAATTCCAGTCAAACAACAATTTATTTTAAACTAAACATTTTTTATAAACACTTAAATTGATAATTCGTTTAGCAAGTAACTGTTACTTGATTCCTTAGTAAAACGAAAAATAAAAAACCAGAATTTCTTCATTAAAAGAAAAAAAATACCTGCTATTGGTATATTCAGCTATTGTATTTAAAGTTTTAGGATGAGCCTACCAGTTATCTTTGCTTGTAGCTTCTTACAAAAGCTTTTCAATCTAACTTGTCTTATTGACTCTATCTTTTCTGTAAATAAATTAAAAATGCTTTAAGTTGATTAATCCGTTTAATTGATAAAATAATATTTATCCAATTTTCGTGGCTTTGAAACCACATCATTGAAATATTATTTTATTTTTTAAAAGGAAGTTTATATATACAATTCCTAAGCTGCTCTTTTAATAATGTCCATTATTGATTTTGTTTGTTATCTCTCCTTTTATTTGAAAAATCTTCTTTTTTAATTTCTTTATAAATTCTTTCTTTCTTTTATAATTTAATTTATTATTTGAATGATACTTTTCACACTTTCCAAATTTATTTTATTACTTTTTATTTATTTATTTATGATGGTAAGATGAAATTTGATAGCTCATTTTAACTAAATAAATTTTTTGATGATTTTTTGCTATCTAAATAAAATAAAAGATAGATAGATAGATGTTTAGGAATAATTATTGGCTCTTTATTTAATTGTTGTACCACTTGCTCTATTTATTTCGTTTATTTATGGATATTTTTGGGATATTGCTTTTATAATTCCTTAATAAATAATTTATGTCTCTATGAATCGAATACTAATATTTTCAGTTGGAAAGCTTTTTAAATTCAATTAAATTTGGACTAATTAAAGTAATTCAAATGTTGTTTTATGGAGACAGGATATGAAGTTAAAGTCTATTTATTTTCCTGTTATATAAATATATGTATGTATATTACTAGTTAATTGTAATTCAGATAATTAAATTTTGTGTTAATTAATATAGATAATATATTTACTTTATATTGACAATTTCTGATTTTTTATATAAATTTTACTTATAAGCTTGAGTCTATGTTAATTTTCATACTAATAAATTTAGTTTAATAGAAATTTAAAAAATAATCAATTTCTTGGTTTAATCTTTTCAGAATTTCTATGTTTAAGGGATGAATAAACCTAATTTTTTACATATTTCATTTTCCAATATATTTATAGTAATAATATGTTCAGCATAAAGTTTCACTGAAAAGTTCAAAAGTCTAAAAAATAAACTAAAGAACAATTAAAAAATTAGAAACTTTTATTTTTTGACGTTTTTGAAATTTTTTAATCATTTAATGAGAAAATGAGAGTAAGAATTTGGAAAGTTATTTTGAAAATAAACTAAATTTTATCATAGCATAAAGCATAAATAAAATTAATGGAAATTTATAAAGTAGTTTTAATTTATATTTTTTTATAAATAAAATAGATGATCTCTGATGAAAACTCTGTCAAAAAAAAGTAGAACAGATTATTTTTAAGCATTACATGAGTAAAATTTCTAGAAAAGTAATAAATTATTAAAAGAAATCAATAGATTCAGTTCATTTAATATTAATATCTTTAAATAGTAAATATTTATTAAGCATATATAATGAGCAGTAAACTTTAAGATCTAAAAATTTCTTACGAAAAGTATGTAAATGAGAATACTAAAAAGATGTTCACATTTGCAATAGGTTTGAGCATTGTTGGGCTTAGTGCCTCGCTATTTTATTAGAGATTTATATTCCCAAGAGTATTTTTTATTAATTAAAATGTTTGATTCTATTTAGCGTAAACACCCTTTTAAATCAATCAAAAAAAAAGATGTATCCCCTCTAATTTGAATACAAAAAAATGAAGAGCACAATTAATAAAATATAAAGCAACTAGAAAAGTATAATTTAGCTAAGCATCATAAAAAGAATTAAAATTTGCAAAGATGGCATAGTTTTTAATTTTAGCGTACTTAAAGATCTTGATAAGAAACCACTAGGCTCTTCTCGTGGATAAACATCAAATCCTTTTTTACCTCCATTTGAAGATGGGCTTTTTGTTTAAGAGCTTTCTAAAACTCATACCCTTCTTTTTAATAAATATGCTGTTGTTAAAAATCATATGTTAGTTGTTACAACTTAGTTTGAATATCAGAACTCTCTTATTAATTAAAACGATTTTTCTGCTGCTCATAAGGTAATAATTGAATGTTTAAACAAAATTATTTCATTAGATAAATTGCTAAATAATGAATAAAAAATTATGTTATCCTGCTAAAGCCAACTTGATTTGTCTGCACTCTTTCTAAATATGAAAATTATTTATCTCGTTTTTAAAAAAATCATTTTATAAATAAATTTTAGGTTTTATTAACATTGAAAGGATTCTGGTTTTTCAACTCAGGTCCTGATGCTGGTGCAAGTTAACAACATAAGCATATGTAAGTAATGCCATATGAAGCAAGAGCTGATACTCCTATTTTAAATATTTTGCATAAGAGAGCTAGGAAGTAACCAAGTGAATGCTAATACTTTTTGTATGAGCCTTTTCAGTTTAAGCACATAATAAAAGTTTTGAGATAAATGCAAGAAGAAGAATCTGTAGAAAGCTATGGGGAATACCTCTAAGAGTGTTATATAGATTGCATGAAAATACTAAAAAATTTAGAATAAACTGGAGATAGTTAAAAAATAAAACAGGCCTACAACATGATTGTTATGGATAACTTTATGCTAATAGTAATTCGAAAATAAGAAAAAACTGAATCATCTCCCTATATAGCTATTAATGGAATGGGCTTTACTGGAAGCTTTTTACTTAAATCTTTCTAAGAAATTTAAAAGAACGACCATATTAATCCATTCGATTTATTGAAAGAAGTATGTGTTGAAATAGATGAAAAAGAAAAGATAGCCATATAATCTCAATATTTGTTATAATAAATTGAAAATTAAGAGTGCAACGAATAATAATAATTAATTCATTAAAAAGAGCATGAGCCTATTAAATCAGAATAAATTCTTTGAATTTATAAAATAATTATTTTGTATTTATGTTATTTTAAATATTTGATATAAAATTGAGTTAGATAAAATTAAGCAAAATTAAATAAAACATATTAATTTACAAGCTTTTATAATAAAAAGTATAATTTTCTAGCAATAGAATAAATATCAAATTTGTGTTCCAGTAATCAAAATATCTATCTATTAGATTTATAAATCAAAAATTAAAGAAACATACTTTAGCTATTTTATTGATTGATTTTTGGTAATTATATCATAAATTAAGACTTTGCAAAAGCAAAAAAATATTTCAAACATTTAATTTTAACATTATAAACTATTTTAGAGATGGGATGCCTTTGTTGTTGCTGTAAAAAACCATAACCAGTTAAAATAGAGGAAAAAGTAGAACCTCCTATTGATATATAAGCTTTGTTAAGAAAGTATGCTCATCTTGTAACAGAATGGGTTGTATAGGAGAATGAAACAGAAATACTTAAGATTATCAATGAAGGATTTTCACCTGATTTAATATTTGATGCTGGTGGGTATGAGACTACCATTTTGATTTTAACGATAGCATTCAAAAAAGATAAATTAACTCAAGCTGTTTTAAATTATCCTCAAAACCTTAACGTAGTAGTAAAACCAAATAATGATTCTGCTTTAGTGATGGCAATATCGCATAGAAATGTACATATTACTTAGCTTCTTTTGTAAAAAGGGGCAAATAGGAATATTTTAGGGCCTGAAGGAAAAAGTCTAGTCGAACTAGCAACAAAATAATTAAATTAATGTAAAGAATCGAACGACGAATAAGGAGTTCAAGTTATGGGAGAGATAAAAAATATGTTACAAAGCTATCTTTAAAATTGATAGAATATTACTTCAAAAGTAAAGCTCTAAGTTTATAAAAAAATAAAAAAAGTATATTACTTAATATCTTCTTAATTATTTTAAATTTAAAATAAACACTGACACACACAGATTTAGATAAAAAATATTGTGTTAGCTTATTTATTCTTAATTTAATTGCAAAATAGCAATCATACAACAATTTTTTCTATTAAATATTCACTTTTATCAATATATGTGTAATCACCATTGTATTTATTTATTTATTTATTTATTGAGATGTACTATAGATTTTAAAACAATGATCAACTAAATTAATTAAAGAAATTACTTATGTATTTTAAAGCTTTCAAATATCATTTTTATGTAGACTAGTATTTGTTAATTATTGTATTATTGGGCTTGTTGAGCGAGTGAGTGAGTGAGTACACTTAGTTTATTAATTTTAATGTGCTGATCTTCTAATCAAAGAAAGTTAAAATAAATCATTTCAAATAAATAAAAGAAAAATAGAAGTAAGATTAATAGGGCATTTATAAAAAATATTTATTAAAAAGGGGAATACAAAGTAAAATGGAAAATTAGAGTAATAAAAATAGGGCATGTCTCAAATAGAAATATGCAGAGTTAAGGAGCTAATTAGTTAAAAATGTTTCTTACAATTTACACTTCATTTTTTTTGAAAATTAACGCACTTTTGATGGTTTAATAAAAATAAATTTTGATTTTGATTTAAGCAAAAACTAAACAAAGATCGATGAAAATAGTTAAATTGATTATATTCTTCTAGATTATGCTGGAAAATCGATTTCCTAAATAGTTATTAATGGCAAAGAGATTATCATGCAGCAAGATATGTGGCATGATAATTTTATTAAAATAAATATAGATCAGCTGAAAATGTAGTAGAATGTGGTAGAAATAATTTTTTAAGGAAATTTTCACAACGATGGACTAGGAATTAGATAAGTTACTCACCCTGTTAAAAATAATTATTAAAATAACACTTTAATTTATACACTTTTTCCTACTAATAATGCTCATAGGGTATTTCCATGCTTTGATTAGCCTGATATAAAAGCTAAATTTTCTTTGCTTATCGATGCTCCTCAAACTTGGACAGTAATTTCAATTTAAATGGAGAATTTCCAAGGATACGTAGATGCCTATTCAAAATAATCAATGGATTCAAAAGTAGTACTTTCTCGTTGGTATTTTGAATAAACTCCCCTAATCAGCACCTATCTTTTTTCGTTTGTAATGGGTAAAATATTACTTATATCTACTTGATAAAATTAATTTTAAGGTGAGCAAATTAAAATAAATTATATAAAAATTAGCAGAAAAAATAATTAGGGTTTAATTTAAATATAAAATGGAATCAAGTAACTGCAAATTTATCATTTTATTTTACTGATATTTATTTTTACTAATTTGTTTTTTGTTACTTTTTGCTAACTTAAAACGTTAATATTTATTAATAGGAGATCTTTCTAAAGTAGAAAGAGACATATAATATGGTCAAAACAAAGCTTAAAATATTAAGTTGAGATTATTTTCAAGAGCTTAAGTAGGGTAAATATTAGAAAATTAAATGGAAGAAATCTCTTTTATAATTTAGCATGGACTGACTTTCTTCGAAAATTTCTTTTAAACACCTTATCCTTTTTCAAATTAAAAATATGACTAAGTCTTTTGCCCACAATTTCATTATGCTGGAATGGAAAACCCAGGACTAGTCTGCTTCACTGAAAATTATCTTATTACTGAATAAAAATCAACTAATATTCACACTACAAGAGCTTCAAGTATACTTCATGAACTTTCACATATGTGGTTTGGAAATCTAGTTACTATGTAAGTTTTATACATTAAAAAATAAATAATACATATATGCTTTTAATAATAGTTACAAAATTATTAACTTTTTAATTTAAAGGAAATGGTGGAATGATATATGGTTAAATGAGAGCTTTGCTACTTACATTAGCTATTTGTGTTTGTCAGAAGTCGATGAGTTTAGGACAAAATACATGAATCCTTGGATCAAATTCTGTGAATATAAAAGTAATGGATTTAACCAAGATTCAAAGCTGAGCACTCATTCAATAGCTTAAGAAATAGAATCTACTGATGTCTCTATGGAAATATATGATAGTATTACATACTCTAAAGGAGCAGGAATAATAAAGCAATTGGTTTTTTTAATTGGACTACCATCATTCTAATCTTTCTTGCACTTATATTTTTAACGCTATTAGTGGTAAAATGCAAGCATGCATGATTTTTTCTCAATGATACAATTAGTTTTAAAACAAGATAAAAAATTTGAGAATTTTAATATAGAGATGTGGATAGATTAATACATATGTAAGCCTAGTTTTAATGTGATTTCATTTAAATAAGATATTTTGTAAAATACTATTACCTTCTTCCAAAAGCCATACCATGAAAAAAATCATCCTTATCTTAGATTTCAATCCTTCAAAGGTAAATTTTTAATTCTATTTATTAATTTCATTAAATATTTTAAGCCAGAAAAAGCAAAAAATTTTAACTGTTTACTTAAAAGTTTTTTTTTGAACTGAGAATATAATCATCATTTAAAATATAAGCAAAAAAATGCTAATTTGTTTAATTTATCTCTAAATATAAATAGTTAGACTATATAATTAGCCTTTATTTACTGGAGATTACGAAGATATGGATGTATTTTTTTCTTCCGAATAAGTAGTGATGCACGTTGATTTTAATAAAAAATAATCTGTCAGGAATGGTTATTCTAATTAGAATTCTACAAATAATTAATTAAAATGTGTTCTAATAAATTATGAAGATCACAGTTATATTTAATTTGAGTTAGATGACTTTTCTAGATTTAATTTTTTAAGCAATTTTTGTTCAATAGATGATGAATTAACTCAAATTATTCTTCTGTAACATTTTAGTAATGAAGTTTAACTAGGAAAATTAGCAATACAGTAATTTATATAAAGCTTTTTAGCTATACTTGATAAAGCACATAATAGTGAGAATATTTTTGTTTAGACTATAGAGTCAATGTACAATTTGATTGAAATGTTGCCAAATTCAATATAAAAAATTGAATCTGAGAAGGTCTTTTATCATTTATTGTCGAAAATAGAGAATATTGAACTTTCTCCAATGATAGTTACTGCAATCATAGATAAAATATCATGGTTTGGTTCTTCAATTAAGGCACAGGAAATCATGAAAAGCTGGATTATGAATTAGTAATTACAAATTTTTTACAATATTTTTTACATTGTTTGTTTGTAAATTAATAAAATAATAGATATGAACCTTTGAAAAAGTAAAGATGGAATAATTATGTTTTAATTTAAACGATTGAGAACATATTTTAGAATAGATACTTTACTAAAGAAGAAAGAAATTATTTTATCAATTAAAGACTCAAATCAGGAATTACTTACAGATAATTTTGTGAAATTTGCGAATACGAATTTAATGAGCTCATGGAGATTTGGAATAAATTTTAATCTAAGTCCTATCAGGATTAGACTGCGATTTATGAAATATCTCTTTAAATGAGAGCATTTAACAATCCTGCTAATCAGTAAATTTAAGAGTTTCTCTCAGAAGCTTTCTTCTAAGTTTTAGAAAAAATTTTTAATGAAGCAAATTCTGAATATGCTAAAAAATTCTATCAAAAGCTTTTCCCAAAGCAAGGAGAAATAAATAAACTGTTAAAAAAAGTGGATGACTTATTGAACAAAGCTGATATATCTGTGATACTAAGAAGTCTCTTATAATCAAGCTATAGCAAACTTGAAGAATAATAAAACATTTTACTAAAGTATAATGAATACTAGGCAAGTTAAAATCTTCAATTTTTCCACAACAACCAATGATTTTAATAAATTTTTTTAATTAATTAACTTGATTAAGTAAATAAGCAAGAAATTATTAAATTGCTATTTAAACTTATAATAAAAAGTAAATAAATCAATGTCTTTTCAATTATGTACATAAATTTATATTATCTCAATATCGTTTAACAAAGAAAATAAAGAAAATGAAAGAGTTTATTAATTACAAAGCTAATTAATTACTTTTTTTCACTTTAAATTATTTTAATAATTACAAATAAATAAATAAATAATTTTTATTTTACAAGTAAGTCACTTCCCATAAAATTAATTCATATTCATTCATTATTTACAATATCAAAATCCCTTATTAATACAACAAATTCCTAGTTTATTTACATTTGGGTCTTTCATTTCATCTAACATTTAGCCGGAATTAAGGTCTACTCTAGTCCAAAAATACATGCTGGCTCTATTATTTTTGATATTATTTATATTAAAAAATAGCAATAAATATTTTTATTACCTAAACCACCCTTAAATTCTAGCAACTTAGTAAGCTCCTGCATAAATTTCACTAAATGTACATAAATGATAGTCATCTTTGCATGAATTTAGAGCCTTTGTTTTATAATTAAAAACATTAAAAAGTTTCATAAATATTAAGATATAAAAAAATAATTGTATTGCTATTACTTCTTAATAAGTACAAGATAGACAGCCTAACTTTGCATAAGAATCACCAGAAATAAAAGAAAATGGCTGGTAAGTTAGTGATTCTATTTCTGATTCTAAAATTATTATTATTAGTTTACGTGAAATTTTGGGTGTAAATAAATAAATTTTAATACTTTTTAAAATGGTTTTATAAAATTTTAAGTCATCTAAATAAAATATGGGTCCAGAATGCCATCCATCTCTTCCAATATGGAAATCACCATCATTATGCTTTTATTTATTTATAATATAGTTACAAATATATAACAATTCTTTCTAAAATTCTATTAAAGTATTTTGAGAAGTTTGTTTGAAAAATAAAGAAATATTACTCTTAATTATCCTTTTAAAATCAACTAATTATCTAGAATTCCATTAATATAGAACTAAACTAATTGAGTTGACATTGTTAATGTTATTTAAGTCCACCTCCTGATAGGAAGAAGCCCATTTGAATCAAAATCTTCATTCCAGTTATTATCTGTACTAACTCTTATATGAAATCTACGTGAATTAGGCCACAAAATAATAGAAGGTGTTAATTCTTATGAGGTAGATCCTTTGTGAAGAATAGTCTTCCAACCACCTGTGTTGTTATCTTAAATCAAAAAAATCCAAAAGCTTAAACTGAAATCCTCTGTATTATACTAAGGAATGTGTTTGATTGTAGTTGTCGTATTTCCAGTTTAATCAAAAAATGCGGAATAGCCTTAACCTCCTTATTAAGGTCCTACTTTTGGCACATTTATAATATCATTCTTCATTTGAGAAGTATCAATTCCATATGAATCATCGAATTTATATTCTCCTATTAAATTTATTTCACTGCTCTCTAAGCCTAATTCATTTTTCAAGTCTCCCAAGCATACTGACCTTTCTATTTAAAAGCATTTACCTCTACATATATAAATTATATTTTAAACTTCATTCATTTAATAGTGAAATAGAAAATTTAAAATTATCTTACCTTAAATCTTCTACATCATATGCAAATGAAAATACTATCAATTACAAAATTAATAAATAAAATTATTTTTTCATTATCTTCTTTGATCTTTTAATGCTATTTTGATTAATATTTTATAAGCTTCACAAAGTATTAGTCAAATCTTTAATTCCCAAAAAATATTACTAATTGTTTTTAATCTCAGAGCAAACAAATTTTTAAGATAATTTTTGAAAAACGATAATCAATAGCAGCTATTATTGGTCTTTTCTTTTACTTTAACGCATAACTTTTTTATCAAAGTATTAGCAGAATGAATTCATAAAGCAATCAAATTATCAACTTAATGAATAAATTTCTTTGGTTTTTCTATCAAAATATTTTACCTTTAATATAAATTAAGCATAAAAAATATAGATTTTTTAAACAATTCATCACTTTAATTAAAATATTTTAATTTCAATTATTATTTGGTGTTTCTTAATAAGAGAATATTTTAAGAAGAAATATTTTAAATTATAATATGAAAAGTAACTAAAAAAATGACATAAGGCTTGTAATTATGTTAACCTTTAATTATTAAAACTTTAAATACAAAGTAAAACTCTACTTTAAAAATTCGTTTGCAAAAATTGTTATTATTTTTATATCATATTGTATAAATTTGTTTTGTAAAAAAATTAATTTCATAATTTTGTTAGTTATTAAAAATTACATATTTTGACTTGAGATCTAAAATTTATATTAGCATCAGAAGGAATGGAAAGCCAATATGGAGTGAAACAGTATTAATAGGATATGGTTAGTTTATCAAGCTATAACAATTAGTAGTATAAGTTGCTACAACAATCAAAACAATTAAAGAAGTTGATATATGAAATGAAATTAATAAATAAATAAATATTTTATAAGAATTCTTTATAATAATAATAAATTGATAAAGTATTATATATTTATTATATATAATTTTAAGCAGTAAATCAACTTAGAATATACATAAAAATAAATAATTATTTTTGAAATAAACTAATATAAAAATTTTTTAGAGAAAATAAAATGAATACATTCAAATACTATTTAATAGATTTTTAATTATTTTAATACTTAATAAATAAAGATAATTATAGATAAATTTAAAAAATTAGATAATAAATATTGAATGGTTATTATAGTTTTAGGTAAACAAAATGTTGACAAGATAAAATTTAATAAGTTTAGTACTTAATTTAATTAACATTTATTTTTTATTAATATTTAGTAATAATAATAAAGATTGGTAGGAAAGGATAGATAGATAGATTCAATAATTTATTTATACAAACAGATTTTAAAGACATTTCATTATTAACATGAATGAAAGTATTATTGTAAAAAGGAAGAAAATTATTAATGAATAAAGCTTTTTAGATAACGCCTATTAGTTTAATGAAGGCAGGATAGTAGTGTTTGATTACGCTATAGATAATTTCGTTGACAAGTTGAATCCAAATATTAAAAATGTTATAGATAGAAATTATGATGGATTTGTTCAAAAAACTTAAGAAGTTGCTGTAGAAATTAAAAAATTGTAAAGGTAAATTTAATGGGAATAAGATATCTTTGATTAAATTGAAGAAGATTTAGATAATCAGCCTGTTCTTTAAGATCTTCATTAATAGATAAAGAAGTATAATGACATATACCATTATTATTAAAAGTATATTGATGTAATTAAATCTCATATCTAAATAGAAGAAAAGAAGTTGATCTATCTAAGATAACAATACAGTCAATTAAAAAGTATCTCTCAATAAAAAAATACTAAAAAAATGGCTGGGTTAGTTAAATACTTTAGAGAAAAATTATCTTTATTTTAACTTAGTAGGTCTAAAAATTCATCTAGAAGTCCAAATAAAACCAATTCCTAGGTTATTAACTCACCTTTATCAATTACAGGATCTACTCTAAACTAAAATTCCAAAAACATAAACTTAAATTCTAATGTTTCGAGTAGAAGAAAGGAATCTTTGCAAGTTTATGAAAATGATTTTGAGTTTTAATTGACAGATAGGACAAATTTAAAATCGAAAAATTTAGATAATCTTAATAATTAATAATACCCTTTAGATAACTAAAAGTAATAAAAGTGTAAGCCTAGAATGGTTTTCTCTTTAAAATCAAGTCCAAATTCACATGGATAACATAAAATAGCCTACGAAGAAAGTAGAAAATCATAAACAAAAGGGTTTTATCCAAGTATTAGATAATTAAAATAGGAAAACATGACATTAAGAGATACTTAGTAGATAAAAATGTTAAGTTATACAAACCCAAAGTAAAAATTAAATAATAGCTCACTTTATTTAAAAAATAGTAGTGGTGAATAATAAAATTATTTCGGAGTTACTCATTAAAATAAGTTTGACCTTTAAAGTAATGATTTTAATTATGCTTGCACTTTAAAAGGAAATAGTATTGATTTAGGAATAAGATAAAAGAAAAGATATGAAGACAAAGCTGTTTTGAAAGAATCTTCTTATTTATTTACTCCAATAAAAAAAGGAAGGAATTAAGGTTAAAAAATAACATATGACAATAAATTTAGAAGTACGCAAGCATCTCCAAGCAATTCTTTCCAAGAATTTAGTTTGATTTCACAAAATTCAGTTATGAATTCATTTAATGATAACTTATTCAAATAATCACCTAAGATATTAAAAGATTTAAATTCAAGCTAAATGTACAAATCTAAAATTTAAGATGTCCAGAGTTACAGTTAAAGAAAAAATAGTGTTAATAAAAGTATATTAAACTTAAACGATGTTGATAACCCAAATTAAAAGAAATAAAATTTAAAGATTTTAGAATTTGATAATACATTATAGTAATTCCCTATAATTTTTGACTAAAATATAGAGAATGAGGAGAGAAAAAAAATAATAAATTAAGTAAATCAGAATTAAAAAAATAATCAGAAATTTAATAATAAATTTAATCAAATCTAATATAATTATTAAGAGTAACATTAAAACTAAGAAGATTTTAAATTGAAGTAGGAATTAAATTCAATTTTAAAAGAAATCCAACTTGAAAAACAGAAATCTACGTAAATCAAGAATGATATTCTACTTAAAATTAAAAATTTAAATAAAATGGATTCTTTTATGAGTGAGTCCTTCAAATCAACATAAAAATACGTAGAAAAAAAAATTGACTCCTAGGAATTCAATGAATAATTTTATACTTAAAAATTTTTAGAGATTATAAATATTATTTAAGATTAGCTGAAACCAAGAATGGGTCTATTTTCTTAATAAAAATAAAGAGATAAGAAGAAAGAAATCAATTTTATTTTAACAGAAGAAGATCTTGAAAAAATTTCTGAGAAAGAAGAATTATTTATCAATGAATCTTAGCAAAATCTATCAATTTAGCATCAAAATAGCCAACATATATTTGAAAATAGTACAGATTTAAGCAACAACAATGAATCAAGAAAGGTTAGGTCGTCTATGCTATCAGTAAAATCTATATTAGAGCTTTAGTAAGATAAATAAATAGAAGTTAGAAGAGAAGAGCAAGAAGAAATAAAAGAACCAATCCATAACCAAAAAAATTATTCTCATTAATCTTCACTATAATAATAGAATTCTATTTTTAATAAACTTCATTTTTATGATTTTTAACAGTTAAAATCTTACTAGTTATTTTTCTTATTGATCAAAGATGAAAATCTTATGGGAAAATTTTTATTGCAGAGCTTTTTGAAAAGGAAGCGTGCTTTATAAATATACGCGTAATCAAAATAATTTTGAAATAAATTATGATAAAATAGATATATTTACAAGTAAAATATTTTAATTTAAAGGAAAAGTATATTACTAATACAAAATTATCTTATAAAAATTTTTAAACTAAAAAACTTCTTAACATACATTTGATTCAATTCATATTAGATTCATAATAAATTAAGTAAACTGTTTATTTTATTTTAAATGATACATTAGATATAAAATTTCTAATTCTAAAAGAATAATTATTTTAATTTTTGTAACTTTATTTTATATGAATGATATTTGACTTTTATATTTTCTCAGACTCTCCTTCTAAAATTTAAAATATTTGATATTAACAGGATAAAAATTGATTGATTGTACTCCTTCTTTATTTTATGGTCTGTTATCTTTATTTCTTTCAGTTTTAAATAATTATATTTTTTTAATAATAAATTTTAAATTTATATTTTATTTTATTTTAAAAGTAAAAATACTGTAGCTATTCAATAATTAATTAAAATACATTCACCGAATGAGATAGTATTTTTGTTTTGGATTGTTATATTTTTTAACATAAAAATAAACTTAAAACAATAAAATTCTTTAGTTAATTTATTAGCATTAAGATATAAGTATATTTTGTATAATTTAACAAATTAAGATTAATTTCATTAGTAATAAATTCAATTGAGAATATTGCTTTTATTGCTCTTAAAATTGAGTAAAATCTTTAAATAATATTTTCTATATTTTTTAGAAAAAATATTATATAAAACTTGATATTTAATTAGTTGATTTATATTTAAAATTAAATAACATTTAATTTAAATTAAGTTTTTCTTAATTAAATTTTTGGTCAAAAAAATATTTATTTTTATAAAATAATTTAAAATTTTCATTTTAGGATATCACTTATTATTAAAATAAAGAAATATATAGTATAATTAAATAATTGATTTTATTTTATTATACTTTATCCATTAAAAATCAGTACAAAGAAAGGTTGTTTATTTAAAAAGTAGATTATTAATTAAGCAGGTAAAATTTTGATTTTAGATTCAAGTTGGTAAGTTGGTGGATAATTAAATTTTAGTAGAACATTAGAATAAAAGTAAGTATTTTTTATTCAAACGAATAGAGATATTTAACGACTTATATATATAAATAACTTAATAAAAAAATTGTTGAAAATATACATAGATATATACATACATATAAGCAAAAAAAAATAGGTAAACAACAAGCCTTTGCTTAATAAATAATTAAAGTAGAAAGATTAACAAATAAAGAAGGCTAAAGAGTTTTTATTAAAAAAACTTGATAGAGAGAAAAATGGATATGAAGAATGTTATGAATGTTATAAAAGATAAATTTAAATAGATATATTTCAACTCTTTGTTTAGATATTTAAATGGATTTACTCGCTACTAAAAACTTTCTCATATTCTTATTGTAATAAATTATATATAATAACTATCGATGACTACTTTTTGTTATCTTAACTAGCATAGAAATTCTTAGAAATACATATTTTGGAGTATTATGAATGATTTTTTAGGCTATTTTATTATGTAAATAGATTTATTTAAATAATATTTGATATATAGTAGCTTAGTAATTACTGTAGGGTATATTATCATATTGCTTCTCATTATAATCAGAGGTATACTATTTGAAATTAATCCTAAAAAAACTAATTTTACTTTGTTTGAAGTCTTTGTAAGCTTTATTTTAAAAATGCAATATATAATTTATTATCCGCTTGCGATTTAATTCTCTCTAATTTTGTTTGGAAATGGAGTTTATTATTTTGATCAAGGTAACGACACAGGAATTAATTCTACATTTAATTATATTATCTCTACTTTTGGTTTCTTTTTATAATTCTTTGTCAAAATAATGGCAAGCTATCATGATATAGAAATTAGATTTAAGTTTGAGGATAAGCTTAGCAGACCTGTAACTTATTATTTTGTAAAACAGAGTATAGGAGAAACTATTTTATCAATTGCTTTTGCTTACAAAATGCCTATTATTTTATATATATTTCAAATAATCTAAGGAGGTTTAGCTGTGTTTGAGTATTATAATTCTCATATATTTCTTCAATAAGAAATAAATAAGCTATTTGTATGCCTTTAATCTAGCATTATTCTAATTAACCTCCTGCTTTTTGTAGAGTTTGAGTACCTTGATCCTAACTTAATAGGAGCTCTTATATTAATAGTATTTACATTATCTACAAAAATAACTCAAGGAATTGATTATTACAAGTATTCGTCTAACTATATTAAAATTAATCCTACTTAATATCTATAATTTGGAGATGTCGAGTATTATATAAGATCTATATGGAACTATTCGAATTTTGGAGTAAGTGAGTATTTATCTAATTGGGTTGGAGTTCACTTTGAATCACTAAAATAACAGCATTATCTAAGATGTAAAAAGGTATAAATTATTAATTAATAGTGTTATATTTATTTTTTTATTTTCTGATGAAATTTCGTTTTTAACTGCAAAAAACAAGTGTAAAAAATTAAAATTACTATTTAAAAAATAAAAATTACTTTTAAAAAATCAATAATTGAAGATGAAATAAAACGAACTAAAATAAATGAATGAATAACCTTTAAAAATATATCAAAAATAATATTTTAACTTTTAGAGATAAATTTTTATTAATTTAAAATGGTAAAATTAATATTTTAAACATTATTAGAATAACTGTTTCTGCTTGAAATTTTTGGAATAGGAAGATGAAGGTGATATTTAACAAGAATTTGTAGAAAGAGAGAAGTTTTTTAAATAGAATGTATTAAATGTATTTTAGCTGTACTTGTAAAGTAAAAACAGATTGAGTCCACCCAAAAGTGAAGGTGAGTATAATGTTCTTCGGTTTTCTTACCTAGCTTATATGATAGATGTACTTGAGAATCCTTTGTTAAGCCTTCCTTATATCACAAAATTAAATAACTTATAATTTAATCCAAGAGAGTAAATAATTCTATTTCTCTTATAGCAGCAAGTTAACATGAGATTTAGTAAAATCGTATTTAGAAAGGAGAGGACTGATTGGTCATAGGTTATATATTTTGATAGGTCTTTATTGGTTTTGTAACAAAAAATGATTGATATTTTCTAAAAATTTAGATAATCCATTGCATTAATGGGATTAGATTATTTCTCCATTAAAGTCCTTTCAGATAAAATTTAAGAAATTAGAAAACTACAAAATGAAATAGAATCGATAATATTTCAATTGTTTAATTTTAACTAAAACAATAGAAAAATTTAAGAATTTATAAGCATTTATTTAAATTAGTTTGATTTCAGAAGAAAGACCTTTAAAAAGCACTTAAACACGTAAACAAAGAGCTTTTATAAAGAAAAAGATTTTCTTGTTTTAATAACAAATTCATGCATTATCTTTTCTTCGCTTTTGAAGCCTTTAGGAATAGTAAAAAGCTTTACAACCAACACCAAAACAATCTTAGAGTATTTAATTTTACATTATATATAACTCTTTACGATTCAAAATTAATTTGTTTTATTTTTTATAATTTTATTTAATAATAAAAAAATTTAATGAAAGTAAATTTTAATTTAAGAAAATAATTTCAATTTTTTACGCAAACAATATTTTAATTTTCTTTTATGTAATTTAGGGATATTTAAATTGAAGAACTTGTAGGATAGAGTTGTTCATTAATGATCCCTAAATAGATTGCGATCCATCATGAAAGAATATTAAGAAATTTTATTGAGAATGGAAAGGTAGAGTCTGTAGAGATTTAAGAAAATAGTTAAAATAAAATTTAATAAAATAAAAAAAATTTATTTTTCTTTTGCAATCAAAATAATTAATTTATTTAACCGATGAGGATGCTATTTCAAATTAATTAAATCAGCCTGTAGGATTTTGGAATATGTTCTCTCATTTCAAAGGATGCCCTCATGAGTGATTATATTTTATTAGATATTGTCCAATCTAAATCCACTAGAAAAATGTACTCAATGACTCATATGACAAAGCGGTTATTTAATAGTTGTCTTAAGAAAATCTATAAAGAAGACAGTAATATTATTTTGTTTATTTTTATATGCCTTAAAATTCTAATCTTTTTTAATTTTTTAAAAAGAATAAATTTAAAACATGGATATAATGTTAATGATACCTGAAGCAATGATTTTAATGCCAGACTATATTACTGAAGTATAACAAAATAATAAAAAACAATTATTTGCAAGTAATATCACTACTATAATGTTTTATCCAATTAACGAATAACAAGTACCAATATTTAAGCTAGAAAAAATTTTTCATAATCCTTAAGTATCAGCTGTTTAGCTTTATAAAGAACTATGCAACGAGGAAGACATAGGAGTGTGTGAGATAGAAATATCATGGGATAATTTTTATATACAATCAACAAATACTTTTGTATACTACATTGAAATACTTAAATTCAAACCAATCAAAAAATATAGCGAGAGAATTATAACAGTAAATTAATTTCGCTCAAAACTACAGAATATCTATAATATAGAACTATCGAATCTAGAAGATGTCTGTGGTTTTCAACTAACAAAATCAATTAAGCAAAAAACTAGTATAAGATAGTCAATAGTTTAATCTAAAGTTAGGTTATCTTCACTGAGCAATTAAAATATATAAAACAATCCTAATAGTTAATTGTCAGATTTGAAGCTTAATGAACACTCTTCACAGAATGCAATTAATTAAAATTAAGTTACTTCTATTTTGTAGAATAACTTAGAAGATACAAATGCTAATAATCCTAATTCAAAAAATTACATTGAAAATACAAATAAATACTTTCAAGAAAAAAATAAAACAAATGAGGTTAATCCTTCTGATTAGCTGTAGTAAATTGCATAAAATATGTTTTTTTCTGAAGAACAACAATAAAATCAATAATTGAATGATTTTCTTAAGAAGCAATCTACTGAAGAATTTGGATAAAAAGAAATAAATTTAGATTAAAACATCATCTAAGATTCTAAAAATCCAATTTAGGAGGATTTAAAAAATGTAAAAGAGTTTAGCTTTATGAATGTTTCAGCTACAAAATTGTCCAGATCTTTTGAATTAAAGCAGGAAACATTTTCTTTTTAAAATTTTTAAAAATAAAAAACTGGTGACTCTTAGTTTGAAAAAAAAAAGAGTCTACAACATTAAGAATAAAATGGAAGTGAAAAAACACAAAATAACCATTATGATACCTTAAGTGAGAGTGATAAGTAGTCTATGACTTCATAAAGAAACCCTTAGAAAAGCTAATTAAATTTGATGATTTACTCTTCCTCCAATAGAAAAATAGAGGAATAGGAATTCAAATCTAAAAAAAACTAAGATTCATTTCAATTATAAAATATAAGGAAAATAAGCCTTTAAGCTACTATTGAATAAAGTGAAAAACTTTAAAAATAATTAGAAGATTTTAATGAGATGCCACATCATGAATAAGACATTTAACTTTATAAGTATGGACATAACGATGAATTATATAAAATTGAAGAGGATTTTAATGATTATTTTACAGATGTTAATACACAGACGAATAAGTTTTCCCAAAAATCCAAAAGTTAAAAAAAACCTTCAGATTTATAAATAAATGAAATAGGTAAACAGGCTCTAGATTTAAGTTTAGAAGAAATGAAAGCCCTGCAATCAAGTTATTATTTTTAGAGCAATTAACAACCAGATTAAAGTTAGATTAATAATTTAAAATCAAATTTTACTTTAATAAATAATTAAGAGCAAGAAAATGAAAAATAGTAAGATGAAGGTTCTTATTTGCTTTAAATTGCATAAAACTAGCTAGTAGTTTAGAATTAGATGCTTGCTCCATCAAAAAAAAGTGATTAACTTATAAGTTAATAAAAAAAAATTATCAGAAATTCAATGAGCTATTTGTAATAGCTACATTCTTGCCCATTTAGTAATTATGTTCCTTCATTAAATAATTAGTATACCGAATATCAAATTTAAGAAATTATAAATTCAAACTCTAATCAGTACGAAGATTTAATCAAGAAAAAAATAGTTTAATAAAAGTATTACAATTCAAATCAATATTTCAAGTAATTTAATATGCCAAACCCATAAAGAACCTAATCTGTAATAAACTATCTTGTCCCAGACTAGCAGTGTAAATATTTAAATAAAAATATTAATTTTCTTAATGCAAATATTGAATCAATAATTTTCAACATTTTTTTATTTTAAATAATAAAAAATCTTAAATTCATTAATTTTTAATTAAAATAAAATTAGAGAGCATCATAGATAACTCCGTAAGTTAAATCTAAAATAGCTAAAAGTTTTCAAATAACGAAATTGAAGATGAAGAAGGTTAGCAAACTGAAATTATGAGTGAATAATTTATAGAAGAATTGATTAAAGAACATAACATAGATAATACTAGCGCTACTTCTTCTAGAAACGAAATAAATTAAAAGAAAAAAAGAATAATTAACCTGATTTATTCACCTTTCAACTTAACAAGTTTAGATATCATAAAATTTCTTTCTTTAGCATTACTTTGTGGTTTGTTTTTAGTAGTTATTCTGAACTACATACTTATCAAAAATGACATAAATAAATGCAAGGAAGATACTATAGATATATGTAAATATTTTTTTATTTGAAAACTTCATTTTTACTTAAATATTTTATTTATTTCATCCTAAGTTATTTTATATTTTTAAGAAAAATTAGGAGATCTTATATTATATGAGAGCTTGTAAATTCAATCAAAAACTTTTAGCTAGCTAGATGAATAATATTCATTTTAAAGTTAAAAATTAATTGATGAAAATGAATTTGCTAAAATATTATAAGATCAAATTATGATGTATGGTAATTATACCTAAACCGTATAAGAATTATACTCATTACCATAGGATACCTATTTGTTATAAAAGATTTTATCTGTGTTTTCGAATATTATAGACTTTTTCGTAGACAGTAAAGAAAATACTTAAATTAAATATTTTTTATACGATATAATAAAAAGAATACAAAATTACTATTAATATTTGCAAAAAAACATTCTAATTAATGAAGAGTATTAAATAAACATTAATTTTTTGACCATAAGCAATACTGTTGTTAGCATCCAAAATAGCCTTTATAATTAACTGAACTAATATTTGACAAACACTCTTGATTCACTTCTTTTGGCATTTGTTCTTTCTATTCTCATGTCTATATTTAATGTATCTATTTTGATACCTATTCATATTGTAGGAATCAAAATTATTGAAGACCAGCTCAAAATATGCTCTCATTTTTCTAGGGAAAAACTTTAATAGCTTTATACAAAAACCTCAAAACAAATTTAATAATTGGTTTAACAATCTAAAGAAAACGAATAAGTTAAATCTTCTACTAAGGTAGCAATTTAATAAAATTTATAAATTCAAAATTTTGAAAATATTTTTAATTTTATTTTTAATTAATATCATTGAAGGATAATTTGCTTTTAATGTTATTAATTACTTTACATCCTCCTTAACTTATAGCAGTACTTTGCCAAAATTAAAAAAATACAAAATTTATCATTCTTTTTTAGAAATAATGAACTTAATTAACTTTTTCTTAATTAGGGAGGATCTAGAGTATATAGGATTTATATTTGAATGAATTAAATATTTTATTTTTATTGAAAAGAATTAAAACTTTATCTTGGGTCACAACATTTAATGGAAAAAAAAAGCCTCTAGCTAAACAGACAGTTTGAAGTATTTGGATTTTAAGTTTATATTATTTGTTGTTTTCTTGTTTATATTGCTTACAGTCTATCCTTTATTCAATTATGTGTATGGAGCGAAGTTTATCAATCAACTTTTGGATATAATAAATATTATGTAAAGCTTAGAACAAAGTAGAATATGCATTGCCATAAATTCTGGAGCTCTAAACCTAAAAGTATACTCAATAGCTTCAAATTATACAATTCTTGACAATTAATATGATTCTGAAGATTTTTAAAGATAAATAAACTAATTTCAATAAGAAGCTTTTAATAACCAAACTTTATATTTGCAATAAATGAAATAAATACCTTCTTATTTCAATGATGATTCTTTAATTATGCATGATGAACTCTAAATAGCCTTTTTAGATCCCTTATTAAATAACTTGTGTAGCTATCTTTCTGCTTCTTTCTTTAATAATTAAACATTGAATTCCCAAGATTGCCCCAATTCTTTTAATTAATATCTTGAGAAAGGTTTGATATTTTTAATAACTGATTTATACCAGCAATAAGATAACTTTTTAAGTTATTTAGATTTACTACAGTCATAACCTAGCACACAAATAAAAGAATGGCTTATTTAAATTAATTTCCCTAATTATTTTTTGAAACAAAGAATAGTGAACTTAATATATTTTGATTTAAGCTTATAGATTTAAAGCAGTGTTAAAGATATGATAGATTATGTGATATTTCTTTAATATTGCATGTTTTTATATGCTATTTTCTAGATATTATTAATTTAATTTTGTTTTCAAATAAGACATTTATACTTAGTACAAAAAAGCATATCTAAATCTAAGCTTATATTCTCAATATTTCAGGTAGAATTTGTTCTTGAAAACAGTTATTTCATATCATACTTTAAGAATAAACTGAAATTTAAACTTTGAAAACATTATTAAAATAATTAATTTATAAAAAAAATTATTTGCAAGTAAGTTTTTTTGTATTTATTTTAATGATTGTAGATTGATTGGTTAATAAAGTTTCATATTTTGAAATAGAATTTTAATTTCTTAAAAAACTAAAAATTCTTGTTTTATTTTCAATGCTATCTCAAAAAACTTTTGTTTATTTACAATTTCTCTTTATTATGATTATCTATCTATCTACCTATCTTTTGGTATTTAATGGAAAATTAAAATCAATTAAATATTTTTTTTGTATATATATTAGACCTATTTATTATTTTAAATTTTAAAGTTTGGCGAAGCTAAGCTAAAATTTAGAATATCTTAGTATGTATTATAGAGAAAATAAATTAATTAGAAACTGATCAAAATATCTTGCTAATAATTTGTTAGCTTGTAATTGATTATATATTGGATATCTGATGACTTTTGATAATTTGGATAAAAACTAATAAATTATTAAATCAAAAAAAATAGTAGAACTTAAATATATTATATCATTGCTTAAAATGATTTGCAATATTCATAGATAACATATTCGCTATATTTTAATAAACTAGCAGACTAAATTAGCTAATTAAAATACTTTTAAGTGCCAAGAGTGCATTTTGTTGTATTAAGCAAAGCCTCACGATTAAATTATTTCTATATTCCATGCTATTTAATCGCCCGATAATGAGCATAAATTTTAAAAAGAAAGAATTCAAAACTTTTTCAACCAGGTATCTAAATTCCATCATGACTTGGTTGCCAATGTTAATTTATAAATCAATAACTTGATAAAGGAAGTCACCAAAAGAATGATATAAATTAAACATTTGAATTATAAGCTCATAGAAGAGTGGGTAATGGTTCATAAAATGATGGTAGATGACAAATACATTAATAATATTAATTAAATGAAAACAATGCAAGGATTATCAAGACTGGTCCTGGAAAGCAACGATCTTGAATAAATTAAATAATATTTTAATCAATATATTGCATAAGCCATCTAAATTGATTCTCTTTAAAATATTTAATACAAAAAAGAGAATGTTGATTTTTTTATGAATTATATATAACATTTTCAAAATCAAATTATAGCAAGCTTTGACAACAATTTTAAGCATATGGCTCTTAGTTTTTTTAAAAAAAAAACCAGGCTAAACTTAAAATATGAGTTAGAAAACATATAAAAGATTTTCTTATAGCAAGAAGTTAATTATTATGAGCATATGACCTAAATAATAAAAGACATCAATAAAAATTATAAAGCAACTGAGTACGTCTAAATTAATAACCATAATAATGTTAATATTGCTGCTTAAAACTCATAGATATAAGGAATTTTTAATCATCTTTAGTAATAGCCTATCAGTAACAACTTAGATTGCTATAATCATTAATTAAATAACTACAGTTAAAATTTTGATGCACTAAAAGTTAATCCTTTAATTTAAAAAACTATATTTAGTTAAATAGCTGAAAAATAAACTTATAAATAGTTTTTTCAATTTAATTAATTGAATTCTGAAACTCAAACCAATCAAATACCCTAAATCAATATGAATGAAAAAGTCTATTAAGTTGGCTAATTGGGTTAGTAGTAAATTTATTTTAGAGAAAATAACCAGCAGTAATAGTTACCTCAATAAATTAACAAAAATATAATTCATGATATAGGATATAAACTCAATCCTATTTAAACTGAATTATCTATTATTAACCCCATCCCAAACTTAGATCAGTATACTTAGTTAGAGCCTTTAAATTTATAATAACAATAATAATCGAATTAGTTTTATAAGAATTAGATTGAAGAAGGCAATAATTTACTCAAAAATTAGGATTAAAAAATGGAATAAATAAGTGCTTTAAATAAAAACATTGATGGAAATTCTTAAGACTATTTGTAATAATAATCCCTTTTATCTTAAGAAATTATTTAAAATAATTAAAATGAGGAATTACTTTCAAGTAATTTAATTGTAAATGGCAACGAAAATTAAGGAAATATTCCATAGGGCAATGAAGTAATCAATAGTTAACAGACATTTAGGAATAAAAATGATAATGTCCTTGACAATGCTAAAACATTCTAAAATAATTTAATTTTAAATATCGATTAAGAAAATATTCCGTAATCAGTAGAAAATAATGCCTTTACCAATAGCTAAGATTAACCATTTTAAAGAACTGACAAATATCCTCTTCAAAGAGAATTAAATTATTTTCTATAGAATGAAAAAAATATTATAGAATAAGCTGAAGCAGTTTATCAATCTCAAAATACATAAAATAATCTTTAATAAAATGTAGAGAATGCTAATAATAATTAGGTAGATGGCGTTATAGGACGATAAAGCATTGACATAACGAATGAAGAAAGTACAATTCCTAAATGCAATCAAACTTAATTTATTGAAAATTTCTTCAGTTTGCAATAGGACTAAGCAGAATAGATACTAAACAAAGTTTAATTATAGCTGGATGATAATAGAACTTAAAATAAAGAAATATAACCCAACAATTAAGATCAAATTATGAATGACACACTTCCAATTTAATCTATGGAATAACATAAAACACTTAATGCATAAATAGATTAAGAATCGTAAATGAATGACTAAAATTAATAATAGAACATTTAAAATCAAATTGAATAAGAAATATAAAAAATTAATAATTAAAATTAAATTTAAGTTGAAGATGAAAATTAAAATATTTAAGAGTAAGAAAATTAAGATAATTAAATTTAACAGATTCAAACAAGCGGAGAAGAATAATAATTTGTAAATGAAAATCAAGCTTAAAATGTTACATTAAACTGTGAATAAATGATTATTGAAAATCCTGTTAATTAAGTTTAAGAAAAAGAAGTAAATTATGAATAAAATTAAATTAATTCTTAAATTGTTGCTGAAATTGAAATAGCTGGTTCTTAAATTTGTACAAATGTTAATGAAAATTAAATAGCATAAAACAGTGAGTTGTAAACTATGGAAGAAGAGAAAAAAAATTAGGAATAGGATCAGTAGCAAATAGAATAACAACAACAAGATGATAAGGATGATTGTATAATGTATGAAAAACCCTCAGAGATAAATAATATAAAATCTGAGATAAAACAAAAATAAGCAAATAAATCATTTTTGAAAAATGTTAAACTTTAAAAATAAAAATGCAGAACTAATTTTAAAGATACAATAATTATTGATTAGGATGACGAAATAGAAAAACACTAAACTGAAAAAATACATATAGAAGATGATTAAGCTGATTAAATATTTTTCACATCAAATATAAAGCAAGAACGAGAGAATCAAAGTAAAAAATAAACAATTAATAAGTAAATAAATCATGAATTATAAAATTTACAAGAGGAAGATTTGTTTAGTATTTTTTAGGAAAAAATAAATTCTAATAAAAATTTAAAAATGCAAGAAGAACATGATGTTGAGATTTCGAATCTAAATAATAAAAATAATTAAGGTAAAATTAATTTATCTGATAAATAAAAAGGTGGTGAACAAATATGTATTGATTTATTAAATCCAATATCAAAAACTGTAGATCAATAACCTCCTTTGAATTTAAACTTTTAAAATCTAAAAGACTAAAAAAATAATGACTCACAAGTTAATAACTTGGAATAATAAAAAATAATAATAGATTATAATTAAAAAGATGAAATGAACAAAAAAAATAAAAGTCGACTAAATTCAAATGAATAATTAAATGATGCTTAATTAAATAATAAAAAGAATAAAAGTGCTGAGATTCCTGTTCATTAGATAGAAGATACAGTCTTTTAGTCAAAAAATAATATAACAGAAGAAAATATTAATGCAGCATAAGAAAATAGTAAGATAGCAGGAGCAAATAATTTTATTGAAGAAACTTAACAATAAGTAGAATAGTAGGTAATTCAAATGGATTAATTGTTTCCAGATGATAATGCACTATTTACTCCAATCTAGAATAGTATTAAGAAAACAGATGAAAACTAATAAAACTAATTTGCTGCAAAAAAAATTATTATCACAAAGAAATCGATGATTAACTAAAGTGCATAAAAAACATAAAAGCCAAAGCATATTAAATTAAATATAGTCAAGATACAAAGCGTTAAAGATCCCAATTAAAACCAATAAAATGAGTATAACAAATAAGATGATGAAATAGCAAATAAATCATTAAACTTAAGTTTTTGGGAGAAAGATATTGAAAAAACTGATTTGAATTTTAACTTTTGTAAAAAATATATACCTTCGAAACAGCCATTAACTAATAACAATACGTCTAAAAATTATTATATTAACTGAAAATTTGAATTAAATATTTATTAATTTGTTTATTTAAATTTAAAAGTAATTAATTTATTTATTTATTCATTCATTTACTTAATTTTAATTTGTTGATTTATTTAAATTATTTTAGAATTTATTTTATTTACTTCATTTGTGATTTTTTAAATGATTATTTTAATATTATTTAAAATCTTTTTTAATAATTTCTTCAAATTCTACTACTGAAATACTAAAAATCAATTTAATAGTTTAATTTTGTGAATTTTACTATAAAATTTATTTGATTGATTCTTTTAAATTAATATATTTTATTTATTTGATTTATTCAAATCATTTTAGCATTTATAAAATTTTAATTTATTAATGTTTATTTTTAAATAATTGTTTTGATATCTTGAAATAATCCAATTTTAAAACTTTTTTATTATTTCTTCAAATTCAAGTTAAATATAGTTAATCAAAATGCTTAATTTTAAATTTTATTTTCACATTTATTTGATTTTGAACTAATAATTTAATTAAAAACACTTTGATTTTTTATATCATTTTATTTTATTAAAAAAAAAATATTTGTAAAATAAGATAAATAGATTTAGTTAGATTTTGTTTATATAATGATTGAATTAGTTTAAAATATAAATAACACATAATATTAGATAACTGGATTAGGAGGTTTTAAAATTTAATTAATTATTGGAATACTCAAAATATACATAAATAAGAAATAAATGAGGAGGACTTGGTAATGGAGGGAAATGAGTAAGAATACATAGGAAAGAATAAAGTCAAATTTAAATTAGAGAATTGAATAAAAACTTACATAACTCTAGTTGTCTATTTTTAGATATTTGGTATTTAAAATTCGTTGTTTTATTTATTTTTTAGTTTCTTAAAAATCAATTGTTGAATTGAATATTTTTAGAGTAAGTTACTACATTTTTAGTTGTTGTGTCTAGTTTTTTTCTAGTAAATGAAATAAGCATCTTTCTTCCTTTGATTTCTTTGTTGTGCATATGAGCTATAGCCATTAAAGACTCCTTCAACGAAGAAAATTTTATATGGCTCATGTATCTAGGAGGAACTTTTTCAATATGGATTGCTTCAATTTTGCCATAAGGACGGAACAATTCATGTATTTTCTCGTGATCACAAATTTCTTATTTGAGACTTGAAATATGAAGAACTAGAGAAGGAGGGTTTAAAGTCATTTTGCTATCTTTTTAGAAACGGTTAGTTTATTCGCTTCCTATAAATTATTCTTGGAATTTGTCATCTTATTTTTAGAGAGTTTCAAAGTGAGAATAGAATACTCTGATCTCATTATCAAAGAAGATTTTTTTATCCATAAATTCCTTTGCTTTTGTAGCGTTCTCTTACATCGTATACTCAATGAAAGCTGTACATTTATTTCTTTTCAATATAATTTTAACTATGTCACCAAAATTGCTAAAGATATTGTAGAGGTGAGTAACAGTAATATCTTTATTCATTAAATGGTTAACATAAATGACTAAAGAAGGTTTGCTGTCTTCCAAAAATCCTTACTTTATGTAGGTAGACCCATTGAAAGTTCCCATATTTTCTTCCATTCTCATACCTGAAATATTTGTACTCATACTATGGAAATTTGGTTTAATTTACATGCTATACGAAATATTTTAGCCATCAAATTATTGTAAATTAACCTAACCAGATTGTTATAATTATAAATTTTATTATTACTGCTAATTAACTAACATGCATGATTAGGCATAAGCTGGGTTACTATTTTATTGCATTCTTTACCTATTTTATCTCATATTGTATCCATACTAATTTGGTATTTACTAATACGAGTTATTAGCATTTTAGTTTTAAAATTGACCAAATTAAACTCCAGAATTAGCTTACTGCTGTAGCATTTATACTTATCCTTGGTTCATGAGAGATTAATTTTAATTTAATTAATTATTTTAAATATATGGCTACATCATTAAGCTACCATGAATAGGCTTGCCTTAAGATGAGCTCATTAATTAATTTCCAATAATATTTGCGCTTTAATTCTACTATCCTGCACTGCCTTACATATTTATAAAGTAAGCTCCTTAATTATTACTACCATATTATGTTTTTAGCTGAGTATCCAGTTACTATATTGCTCTAATAGGTTATTATTGCTAAGATTTTTATTAAGTTTTTTAGAAAGGAAAAGTAGGTCCTTCATCGTCTGATAGTGGGTATTATTCACCATCAGATTAATCTGAACCTTACGCCTATCCAATAAGTTAATCTAATTTTTAGATGCCAGTCATTTAATTCCCATCTGAACTATTGCTATGAGATCTTTGCATGGTGGATTATGGTTAAATACTTTTTTACTCAGGACTAAAGGGAGATTAGTTAATGCCATTCCTATTGTCAGAGCTATTTAACAATTGTTGATTATTTTATAAATTTTCTTAACCAATACTTGTCTTTTGATCATTAAATCCTTTAAAATCGTCAAATGAATTTGATTTTTGCTCTTCTAAGTCTTTAAGGTCTTCTTTAGAAATTTCGCCAGAGTTTTCAAACTGATTATTTTGGATTCTTTCTAAGATATCATCAAGTTGTTCTACTGATTCATTTTTTGGGTTATTATCATTTTTATTTAATGCAAAAATAGATTCTTAGGGTTTACTGAAAGTCATACTATTGCTATGAATATTCATAGATTAAGTCATATTTATTGTTTAGTGATAGCTAGATATTTAATTAATGGGATATTGCAAACTGCTAGTCATTTCAGACTTAGGTTGTTAATACTAATTATTTAAATGCTAGCCAATATAATGTTAAGATTAGAATAACTAATTCTAATTCTGCTGAACCTATTAATTTGAAAAAGAATCATCCTTAAGAATTACAGGGTTTCCACCAAAGCTATAAGTCATTAAAGGTTATTAAAGCTACTCGTATTAATTATAAGGTGCCATTTAAATTAAATTTCCCGATTACATTTAAACTGATCCTGTCATATTGATTCTGTTTATAAATAAATTAAAAAATCAATTTAATTAAAATAGTAATTTTTTAATCATATTTTTATAAGTTATTTTAAAATGCAAGTTTGTTTGATTTAAATAAGTTTAATAAAGTTTTAACTATTTATTATTAATAAATAAGAAAACTTCTATTGATGGTATTTAAGAATATATATATTGCCTGCCTTGAGCTTAAGAAAGATAAATAAACAGATCATATTTATATGATAAAGAAGAAAATATTGAATTCTATCTATCTCATCCTATGCAGTTAAAATTACAAACCTTGCTTAAGATATGATTTGATAATTTAATTTTTTATTTTTTTGTATTTTTAATTTAATTTTATTTTATAAAAAAACTGAAATATTTTGAGGTAAGAAAGAAATACTTTAAATTTATCAAACTTACCTTGAAATAAAATAATATAAAAATCTATTTTTAGTTTAAATTATTAAAAATCAAATAATTTTATAAATAATTCTACTACTTTGGATGAGCTAAACCTGAATTTTGCATCATTTGTGGAGAATCTCTACCTGTTTAATAGATAGGAACTTAAGGCTAAATAGTTTGCATTCCAGAGTTAGTAACTACTATTGGGGCCATTTACTAAGGTATGTATTAATTTTGATCTTATTATATCAAGCTACTACTCATTATTTAGACCTTTTATGGAGGAACCCCAACTTAAAAGGTCATAGACTAAACAGCTGAAGGGTCAGTAACTTTAAGCATTTGTAACTAGGGATTTGGTAACTACATACTCTGCGCAGAAACAAATTAAGATGCAATATGGCGCCTGTTCATATCCATAATTTGAGCTGATTAATATAAGTTTTAGCTTTATGAAGAGGTTGGATCAATTTTAATGCTGTAAGAGAGCTAAGTTTTCTCAAATTTCTTGTTTAAATCTTTATAGTTTATTCCTCCATTACCATTCTTAAGAACAAGATTTTATTGGCTCGAAAATTAAACCTTCATTTTAAGTTCTAAATTATTGACACATATTGAAGAGTTTTCAAGCGCATTTTTAGCCTTTATAGCAACTTCTATTGAATTCATATCCACAAACAATTTCCATGGTTGCTTCTTACTAAATATAAGAATCTATTCTACCTCTCCAAAAAATGAAAACTTTTCAAAAATAATTCTATGTTCTATGACTTCATCCTGTGGATTTTATACCATAACTAAAAGAACTTTAGAAGGTCTAATCCCTTTTGACAATTAATCAATCTTAGAACTTGAATCATTCTAAGGGCTAATATTATTATTACTGATTCCAAAATGTTTGTTGGTATTGTTATTGCCGCCAGAATTGTTATCATTATTCATTTAGTTTTTGCTGCTATCATTGTTGCTATTGCCATTATTATTGCTACTTACATAATATAAATACTAATAATCAGATTAAGAACTAGAGTCTTGTTGCTATTCCTACTTTTTTATTATTTAAAGATCTGTTTAAGACTAAGTTTGCTGCTTATTTTCAATTTCTTGACTTAAACTTTTTTCCTTTTTTTCAGAGGCAATCAAACCATCTATTTCCTTAGAGCACTCATTTTGAGGTTGAGATGAATTTCCCGAGTCAAACATAAGATAAGCTTAAAGATTTTATTTTTCTTGATTTTGATTTTTATATGAGCACGATGATGAAGAAGACGAATAATTAAAATTACCATTTACTATGTTCGAGTTACTATGAGTAGTATCGCTTGGTGACTCACAATTTTCATCCAAATTATTGTTTAAGTTAGTATGATTTTACTCTTAATTGATCATTTAATTGGTATTTTAGATTTTCCCCTGCTCTTAATCTTCTTTTTCTATGTAAAATGGTTACCCTTTGGTAGTGTCATTTGATGGATTCATTCTTTTTGTTTGCTTTGCAGAAAATGATATCTCAATTTGTTAATTTCTTAATTTTTTTATGGCAGCAAAATATTGATTGATTTAAGGCTAACTAGCTTTCTTATATATATATGTTAATTCTTTGAATAAAGTACTAGATAATTTATAAAAAAATATATCAATGTTACCAATTTTAACTTATTAATATTTAATTAATATTTATATAATAAATTATTATGCTTTATAGTAATTAAAATAGAGTGCTTTTATTTCTTGGTTTGTAAACTGATTTTATGCTTATAAATATAAATAAATAAATAAATCTATACTTTAAATTCAAATATGTAGAACAATCTATTTCTCATAAGAATCTTTTAAAATATCTTAACATTGTTGAAATAATTTTTATTTACAAAGCTTTTTAAGAAAAGTTGATAATTTAGAATTATAGATGAAATTTCATTTAAAAGCTGAATAAAATAGCAAGTCATTATCATAATTGCTACCAAATGTAACATGTATGATTAAAAAACGTATCAATTTTTATAAATTTATGAAAAAAAGACATTAATTAAACATATCTAAATACTTAATAATAGTTTGCACTAAATTTTGTGGTAAATTTTATTTGCTTTTGAAAGACCACGGCTAGTTTTTAGTAGGAATAATATAAATCTATTTAGAAATTTAAGTTTATTTTATATAATCTAAAATTGGTGTATGAATATTGTTGTTTACCTAATATTTAATATTGTTTTTAATATTCGCTAATCAAGTTTTTTCTTGAAAAATATAAATCTAAAAGTTAGTACATCTAAAAACTAGATATACTCCACATAACTTTCAATAAATCAAACTATTGAGGCTATATATAATTCAAAAATGTTGATTAATCAATAATATTTCATTAAAATTCATTCATTTATTTCTTATTAAAATAAGTAAAATAAAAGAAAGGTTCTTCACACATAATTTTATTATACTTTATTCTACATGAGTTACTTAATCTTTAATTCAAAAAATAAGTAAATATTTACTGTAAATTTAATTCGAAGGTTACTAAATAAACATATAATAGTTTTTTAAAAATTATCTTTATTCAAACATAAAGTTATTTTTATTTTATACTATTCTAATGAAAATCTTGTTTCATAAATAATTTTAATACTGAGCTGAAATCGATTAATTGATTTTATCTTTTTTTCTTAAAAAATTATTGAATTTTTAATTAAAGTAAATTAAAGTTAAATGCAAATATTTGTGAGCTTAGTTTTTTACATGTTTTAATTTTAAAAATATGTATGATATCACTTTTTCTATTGTAATTTAATTAAAAATAAATCTAATTACATTAAAATACATTAAATTGCTATTTTAATTTATGTATTAGTACAAATCAATATATTTTAAAATATCAAATGAAGCCTAATTTAAGGATTTATATGTAAATTTTTTTATATTATTATTTAATCAATAATTTTTGATGTTGATTTTTATAATTTTTATGTGTATTTAAGAAAAAGATATTTTGCTTATTTAGAATAAATATTTTAAAATGCATTAATTACACTTCATTTGAATTTAATTTAAAATTTTTTTTCATTTTAAGTATTTAGTTAGAAATAAATCATTCAAAATGGAAGAAATATATTGTTAAAATATTTTACAAAAGATAAGATTTTGTTTGGGAATCATTAAAATTGAAAAAAAGTTAAAAATCCGCAAAATTTGATAATTTAGAAAAATTAAAATTGCTTTAAACAATTTAAAATAAGTGATTGTATTTGTTTTTATTATTAGAGAAATGCAGTAGCCTAAGAGAAACTTTGATTTGTATAAACTCATTACAGACAAGTAGATAGATTTTTAAGTAGCTGATTTGATTCAAGATGAGTAGTCTTCATTTGTTTCTGTACGCATTTATGGTCAATTTAAATGCTTTGTACCAAAAAGTACTATTTAAGAGTAATTAGATAAAATAAAAAATTTATCTAGTAAAGAATTAGCTAAAAACAAAATATTTAAATTTCTCTCTGAGTACAATAAAAATAATTAAAAATAAGATGAACTATCTCATGATTACTATGGATACTTTAAGGTTTAGTAGCACCAATTTATACTCAATTTAGAAAATGCTCAAAGAGAAGCAAGCTTGGCAGTAGATGATTTCTACTTTATTAATGGGAGAATTTATAAAACTAATCACGATATTTTGATTCTGCAAGCTCATCATGTATATTAAATGCAAAAACCTACTCTTTAATTGCTTCAAGCTGCGTCAGAAATTAATCAAAATTGATTCATTTGCAATCAAGATGCCAAATTTTTCTACAATACTAAATAATTAATTACTTCCTGCACTAAAAATAAAATAGCTACTTATATTTAAATTAATAATTTTTGTGGATATTTTTGCATCATACTTTTCTACAATTTAATATAATAAAACATAAATTTAAAGAAATATCATTTTTTGCTATAGAAGTAATAGTTTTCTTTTTTTTTTATGAGTTGTATTTTATCATAAAACAAAACTATTCAAGTTATTTATGAAGCTTACAAAAATATATTTTAAAGTATTTTTACAATTTTTCTTCCTTTCAAATAAAATTAATATTAAGAACTTAACTAATTTATTATATTTCAAGAAATGAAAATTATTTTTATATATTTTATTTATATCAAGAAGCTTCGAGATATTAATAAATTAAAATTTTTTTTACAATTTTTTAAAAGAATGATTATTTAATTAGGCCATTTAAATTTGCAAATTAATAAAATCTTTTTATATATAATTGTTTAATGAATGATTATTTTAATTGACCATTTAAGATGCAAATAAATTAAATAATTTTATAAATAATTATTTAAAGAAATATTGTTTTTAATTTGTATAATAGTATTTTTTTTAATTATTTACTTTTTTATTGATTTATTTAAAAAATTTGTTAATTTCATTAAAATAAAACCTGAAAATTAAAGAATTTAGCTTAAGAAAGAAAATTTTTGGAAAAGATTTAAATTATTTTAAATAAAATAAATTTAAAAAGGATAATCTCCCAACAAAATTTGTCCTAAATTATAAAAATAAATACAATTTAATAATATGCCTTTTATGAATAAAATTTATTTGATTTCATACCTAAAATATTTGGTTAGAGTAATATTTTTTTAAAACTTACTTTATTTCTTTATTTCTTTCTTTCTTTCTTTCATTTCATATTTGTAAATTTTAGACTTGCTTGATTGAATAATTAATATGAACAAATCTCTCTTTAAAATAATATTTTTTCTGGATAAATTTAATTTTTTCTGTAAAATCTGATTTTCTCTTTTATTTCTCCAATGTAATTTTTCTTTACAAATCTAATCAAATTATTTCTTCAATTACAAATCATTCTTTTTCAACCAACCAACCAACATGCATGAAAATTATCTTTTCTTTGAAAAAATCTAATAAATTCCTTAATTTTCCACAAAATTCACAATAATTCTGAAATCTGTCACAAAAAACTTATCAACAACACAATCAATCATTTTTTCATTTTGAATTCAATTTCAAATCATTTCATTCATAATTTCAATCAATCAATCTCATATTTCAGCTGGAACAAACTCTAATCTGAACACAATTCTGAATTTCAATCAAAATAATAGTAATTCATTCATGCATAGATCGAGTCTCACATAATAATAAGGAACAAAAAACATCACAATAAAATTATTTTATACTTTCTCAAAAAAAAAATATAAATATATTATAATAATAATGATAATAATGGTGATAATAGAATTTAGATGATTAAAGTATTTAGAAAGAGAGTTTGAGGTTTGTTTAAAAAGAGAAGAATTAAAACCTTATTTTTTTATTTTTTCGTTTGATTACATTTTTTTGTTTGTTTGTTTGAACTACAATTTATGGTTGATAAACTTAAGCATTTTATTCGTTATTATTTTTTCTGCCTTAATGTATATGCATCTCACTTAATTTATTGCTTTCTTTTACTGCTTACTAGTTTATTGGCTTTATCTGTTTATAGCTTTGCTTATATTCTTACTCTCTTCAAATCTACTTGTAATATCTGTTCCATAACTAATAATGAAGGATAGATAGATATATAATAGGCTTAAAGGTACTATATGAGCACTCGAGGTATATTTATTATGAATGAAATTACTAAAAACACCAAGACTCTTCAAAGTATATAGTTTTAATTATATTATGATATTATATCTTATTTATGAGATGAAAGAATCAATTATTTATTTATATTGTTTTATTTTGATTAAATGATCTTCATTGAGAAACATTCATATCTTTAATTTAGTCATTCATGTTGCCGTTCATTTTCATATCTCCATTTTATTACTTATTAACGCTTGCTGAATTAGAGCGGCTAGAATTAGAATTTGATCTAGAGGATTGAGAAGAGGAAGATTCAGATCTCTTTCTGTCCTTTCTAGAATTAGATCTTCCTGAGTGGCTGCTAGAAGAACTGCTCTTTCTAGAGTGCTTTCTTGATCTTCTCTTTCTATCCTTGTCAGCATACTTATCATGAGGGCTTCTGCTTCTGCTATTGTCTCTTCTGCTCTTGCCCTTGCTTCTATCATTACTTCTACTTCTTTCTCTATAAGGTCTTCTTTCTCTATCAGGTCTAAATCCTATTATTTATATAAAATTGTTTCTAAATATAAGTAAATGACTATGTATGTATGTGTGATTATATTCTAATTTAAATTTTTATGCTTTTGGAGCAATATTCAAAAAATAAAAAAAAGTGGCTTAAGTTGTATTTTGGTGGTGCTTTATTTCTCTGAAATTAATTAACTAATTAGACACATCAGTGAATATTAATTAATTAATTAGATTATTTAATATAAAAGGAAGTTTGAGATTAATTTAAAAAGAATTTTTAGCTAACTATCTAATTATCTATCTATTGTCCTTTTTCACAACAAATTAAGCTAATATAATAGAAGAAAAGCAGAAAATTAAATAAATTAATCAATCAATTTCAGTCCTAAGGAGTTAAGAATTTAAAAAACAAAAAAACTCATTTTTAAATTTTAATGAGATTTGTTTAAACGCAAGACCAATAAACCAAATAAATTTTCAAAATCTATGATTCCTTAAATATTTAGCATTCGAAAATGTTAAATAATTCATTTTAAAATTATATTTATTCATTTTTTTATCAAATAAAACTAAATATTCTAAAGGAGTTAAGAGGATTTTATTTATTAAACATATATGATTGATTATATCAAATATTTACCATTAACTCTTCCGCCTCTAGAGTCTCTTCTGTCTCTTCCACTTCCACCGTTTCTAGCTTCAGGACAATTTTTAGAGATATGACCTTATCCCTTGCAGGTGAAGCATAAACCTTCCTTCATATATTTTTCTTTATCAGTTCTAGGTGGTCCACTAGTTCCTCTTCTGTAGCTATCTCTATCTCCACTACTGCGACCACGATCTCCACCATAACGAGAAGAGCTTTAAGGACCTCCTCTGTATCCATTTTGATCTCTATAACTGCTGTTACCATATCTGCTGTCTCTGGGATATCTGCTATGGTCATCATCTCTGCTCTTCTTGAGAGTATGTTCTACCAATAAACTTCCACCTAAAACATCAGATCCATTAAGTTTTGAAATAGCTTTATCAGCTTAATCTTAATATTTGTAAGATACAGTTGCATAACCTTCACGGTCATTTACTTTGCAACTATAGATATCACCATACTTACCAAAAGTTTCTTCGATTTCTTTTCTACCTACGTTGTTACCGAATTTGGCAACATAAAGCTTTGTTTATGGGCGAGACATTTTTTAAATTTAATGCAATTATTATTTTTTCAAAATTTATTTATTTATTTCTTCTAATTTATTATTATTTTTTTTATGACTTTCCTTTCTTTGATTAATAGTTTTATAAATATATATCACTTTGTTTGATCTGCTTTTCTGTCTATCTATCTATTTATCAATCTAATTACTTTTAATAGAGAATGACATCTGTTTCTCTCTTTTTAAATTTATTAAATAAATAAAAAGAAATCTGAATTTTTTAGTCAAAATCACTTAATTTCTTCTTAACATTTAAGCTTTTTAGTTGATGATTTTCAACATTTAGTTTTCTTGTTTTTTATGTACTATTAAGCCCAAATTTTATTATTACGAATCCTCCCCCCCACACTTTATTAAATAATTGCAAAATATTATGAAATTATTAAATTACTCTATACTTAATTGAATAGATTTATAATATATTTTTCACTTCAAATATTTAAAGTTAAGCTTATTAAATTGTTTATTAGAATTTATTTGGTAAATAATTGAGAGGATTTAATAAAATATAAAAATATTTTTAAATGAATTTTATATGTTTACTACTTTTAATTTAAAATATGTTAGATTCTATAAATAATGTTGTTATTTTAATAATATTTATATTAAATACATTTTAATTTTTATAAATTTATTTATTATTTTATCAATTAGTATAAAAGTAAAAATTATAATTTAATTTATGCCTAACCCAAACATATTCAAAAAGATTAGAAAGAAAAAACAAAAAAATGGATTTATTAAATTTTTTTTTATTTTTAAAATAAAAGGTAAATTTTTTAGTCATAGAATAAATTTAAAGGTGGTTTTTTAATATAAAAATAATTCATCATATATTTTGTTAAGTAAGATCTTCTAAATTATTTATAAATTGTTTTTAAAATTGAAATATTCGTTAATGTATTAGTTGTGGAAGGTAAAGAATTAATGTATACTTATTTGCTTTTCTAAGTTTTTTAAATTTTTTTTGTAAAGAAAATTATATAATAAATACAAGGATTTTATAAATAAATTATAAAATAAATACAAATAATGAATGAATAATAAATATTTTGTAATTAAGATGATCAAATTATCATAATTCATATTATTAAGCATATTTTTAAATGTATTTTTTAGTGTATTTTGTCTTTTTAAAATTAAAAAGTAAAATGAAGACAGATTAAAAATAGTTTATTATATTAATTTTCTTTTTTGGGATATATAATTTGATATTTTATTTAAGTGGAACATTACATTTAAACTTATTAGCTTCTAGAATCTTTTTTATATAGATTAAATGAGATATAAAAATTTTGATTTCATCAATTTTTATTGTAGTTAGTGTTAGACACCACTTTCAAATTATAGTTTATGTCTTAGAATTATTGTTGCTATTAGTTTGATTACCCTTAGATTTATGATATATTATACTTTTAATTAAATATACTGTTTTATTGGTTATAAGGAGATTTTATTGAAACTTATTCTAATTATTATTATTATTGTTATTGTTGCTGTTGTTGTTGTTATTATGCTTAACCCTATTATGATTATTATTGCTACGTGGTCAAAGCTTATTTATTATTTGATGATATTTATTGAGATAATTGTTGTAGATATAAGTTATCAGGCTATCCTTATTTACCATAATTGTTACCTAATTAACTGCTAATGTAATTATTATAACTACTGCTATAAGACTAATGTTTCTGATTATTAATAAGAGAACTAACACTAGGAGGATTTGCACTAGCTCTAACTGAAAGTGCTTCATTAGAAGGGAATGTTATTCCTTAACTTAACATAGAAGCTCCTGGAGTTAGAGGTTGCTTACTTTTATTTTTATCAATTTTCTACTATGCCTGTTGAACATTTTGTTATTGTTATGAAAATGAATTTAAGTTTGGTGAAACTTGATTTTGGACTTATTAGTACAAAACAGGTTACTGTTATTGGTATGGTTAAGAATTCTATTAAGATTGATACTAAAATTAGTTTTATAAATATTACTATTTATTATCTTGTTAGATATTTTTGCTATTAGAGTTTTGATTAGAATTGTTGCTATTGTTAGTTTGATTTTCACTATTTTAACTCATTTAGAATTTCATTCCATTTTCTTTAGGAGTTGCCTTGCTATATGGACTCATAGATAGATTATACTGATTTTCATTTGCTACGTGTAAAGAATGTTTATTGTTTTAAGTGCTCTCTGACTAAAGATAATTATCCTGTTGTATTCCTGATGCTTTTGAAGGAGCACTAGGTTTTTATGTAGCCTAACCTAATTAATTATAACTAGAGGATTATTTCTTCGCAGTGTCTTCTTATCTACCAGAGCTTTATTGCTATTAAAATTAATTAATTTATTAGCTTTTTTCAGCTTGAATTTTTTCATTTAATTAATGTTAATTTTGCTCAATATTTTAAATTTTTGATTTTATTTTATGAGGGAAGAGCTCTCTTTTCAAGTTATCAAAACCAATTAGCACAACAGTAATGTTATCCATAGTTTTTCTTCCCAAAGAAAATTTCATTATAGTGTCAACTGCTAATCCACAAAATTCATGAACATTTGAATACTAATGTTGTTGTTTTTGGTTTTCTACTTGATGCCAAATGCTTTCAATAGATTCTTTTGTAGTCAATTTGTCAAAAATACCATCACCTATTTTTTTTATTTTTAATGTCACAATTTAAATAAATTTTAGTATTTAATTACTTGCTAAAAGAATAAAGTCAAAATCATCTTGAATCTCGAATTCTTTAATATCAGGAACTGCAATTACTACATTCGGATTACCACCAAGTTTTGGAAGTTTTGCTTCAATATCACCAAAAGTTCTTGTAACCTACAATTTTTATGTATAAATTCAAATTTTATATTTAATTTAATTTTATTACTGATAAACGTCCTGGTAGAACTCTATGAGGCCCATAAATAGGTTAGGATAAATTAGACATTCCTATAATACCTGAAGCACCTCCGAAGGCATTTTAAAAGTTCATAATTTTTGTCCTATAAAAAAATTACATTAGAATTAATTATACTTCTTAAAAATAACAAATTACTAATAAATCTTTCCTCCAGCATCTTAGATTCTTTTTTATTCTAATTCATCAAGAGGTTTATGATCTCTAGAAAGTTCATAAGCTCTTTACCCTCCTGATCCACTCATGATCGCTCTACTGTCACCAACATTTGCTACATAGCATCGAGTACCTACACAAAAATAATTTAAATTTATTTAATATTAAAAATTGATTTTAAAAAATTACCAACTATCATAACAACTATAGCGCATGAACCTGATTTTTCTATTTAGCCTTCTTTGAGTTAGGCTTGCTTCAGGAATTGCTTTTCTGCAGCCTCAAATCCATTTAAAATAGCCTATTTTGGATTTTTTGGGAAGTTAGAATCTTTAATTACAAATTGATGTAAATTATCTCTTAAGAAATCTGCACATGTCACACCACCATGACCATCATATACACCAAAAAAGGAGCATTTTGGCCATTAAACATCATTATCAGTATTCTTTCCTTGAGGTTTCATGATATTGAGTATAATTGAGACACGATCTTCATTATAATTACGAATAAGACCTTAATTAGTATTAGCTGCATAACTTTTAACAATACCATTTCTTTTTACAGAATATTTAGTTTTTTCATGATTAGGAATAACTGTAGTATTAATAAGGTCAATAACTGAGCTATGCAGATTTTCTGTTTAAGTTTATTCGTAAGGTATTTCATCTGAATTAGGTTATTGTAGAATTTATACCTTTGACTATAATCCTGATTTATTAGAAATTTGAGATAAATCTTTAGAAAAATCGTTCGCTTCTATTTCAACTCTTTCAATACTACTTTTGACTATATAATTATTATTTTAATTTTAAATTCCTGAAGAGTTGCTATAATTACCTTAAGAATTAGTTTATTCTATTTTTTGCTAAGACTTACTACTGTTATTACTTATTTAAGAAGTGTTAGCATTATTATTGTTGTTGTTGTTTCGGTTGATAGAGTCACTCAAGTTATTTAGATTATTATGGACTGAATTATTTGATTTATTCTTTTATATGTTGTTAGTCCCAGCCTGTTAGCTAGTGAGATTAATAGAATTTACTTAGGAAGAAGAAGGGAGAGCTTGTGTGCTTGTTGACAATAGTTTATTGTGATTATTTCCTTGAGTTTAATTATTTCTTAAAGCTGAATGAGAAGAATTAATATGAGAATGAGATATCGATTGCATTTAGAAGATATTAATATTTTCACTACCGCTTGATTATTTTCTACTTGTTACTGAAGCGTTATTATTAAATCCTAATGTAAATTTTGACTATGGAGATAAAAATACTTTATTTGAACTAATAGGGCTTTTTAATTAAGCAAAAGAAGCAGTGTTGAGTTTAGGGCTTTTGGATTTATTACTTTAATTATTTACAGCTGATTAATTAACTATTTAGTTAGCAATGCCAGATTATGAATTTGATGAGTTAGTTTTTTCATTTGCAATATCTGATGATAGAGGAGATTCAGATTATAATTAACCTTATTGCGTTTATTTTTAGGAGTCTGAGCTTGACTGGCGAATCAAACTTAAGTCTTTAGACTTTGATAAGCTTTTATTAGAGTATAACCCTAAATTGTAAGGGTTACGAGAAGAAGAAGAAGAATTAGATTGATTATTACTTATGTTATTTGCTGCACTCCTAACACTAGAAATACTAAGAGAATTAATATAAGGCGAGTTCAAGTTGCCATAATTCAAATTATTCGTTTCAATATTTAATCCATTTCTTTAGTTAATAGAATGATGTTAACGAGACTTAGTTGGAGTAAGCTTTTTAAGTGAATAAGGATTGTACATATTAATGCTACTATTACTTACACTTTACTAATGAGTTGAATTGCTTTGTATATTTGAAGTATCGTTAATATTATTTAAGCTTGTAGATCCGTTTTGTGTATTGTTTTAATTAATATTCTTTTTTTAAGTATTTATTGAATTCTTCACCTAGTTAAAACCAAATTATTACTAATTCTACTAATTGAATTGATTCTGAGAATTATCTGAAATGGGCTCTTTCTCATTTTATTGTTAATTACTAAATTGTGTCTAGGCATTTACTGTTTATTATGCAGGCTAAACTTAAACTTAGCTATTCGAAAAAGAGTTTTACTGCTGTAACTATTACATTCCTTGATTATTTTAAATTTAATAGTATTATTATTGTGAGTAGTTACTGCTCTGATTATAATACTATTTAGTATTTTATTACAAGTATGCACTCTTAGCTGAGTTCTAAGCACTATATTAGGAAGGAAATTAATTCACTGCATTTTATTATTACTATTACTGATATTGTTATTACTATTACTACTGCTATTGTTACTGAGGATTTACTTCTTTTGAGTTCGATTAAGATTATAATTTTGATTAGCTAGTTGGTAAATTGTCGGTCATTGAACGCGAAAAATTATAACGCTGCTTAGGAGTTTGTAATTCATAAAAATTTGCCTATTGGTGCTATTACTAAGGCGAAACTTGATGATTTTAGATACCTAATTGGCTATTAGAATTTGCTGACAAATTTTAATTCTATATTTAACTTTAAAAATTATTTGAGGAGTTATTTGCCACTGTTTAATTTGCCTACAACTGCTTGTTTGCAGTAGATAATTACTGATTCTATTAATTTGAATAACTTGAATTATTGATGAAACTATTTTATTAATTTTAGGCATGGATTGAAGAAGACCCATCTTTTGAAGATATAGAAGAATTAGGAACATAGTAGTTTTTTAAGTTGCTTTTTTATAAATAGGAAGGAGTGATATCAACTGTAGTTCTTCTATCCTTGATGTAGGAAATACCTTAAGCGCTAGATCTTAGTTGAGACGTTTGCTTATTCTCAATCTTGGAGGCTTTTATATAATTAGCAGAAGTATTCAATCCACTACTATTTAATCCCTATTGCTATTGCTATTATTAGACTTAGCTATCTGATGGCAAAATTTATTGAATTGTATTTCCAAGCTAACTAATTTAATTCGAATAATTTTTCTATTAATTTTGTTAAGGAGTTCCATTCATATTAGTAGGATATACATCGCTACTTATAGAATGGCTCTCTAATTACTTAGGAGTATTTTATGAGTTTCCATATCTGTTTTAAAATCCTTGATCTATTTAATATCCCTGACCCTTAGGAGTCAATTAATTATTAGAATTCTTTGAAGGAGGTAATTTTGCGGCAGAATTAAGCGTTTCTGTATTTGTTGTTAATTATAGAGGAATGGTTGCAATATGTTCATTGCTTTATTATATATTATTCTTGCTTTTTCTAACTTCCTCTAATTAATTAAAGTTTCTCATCATCTAATTCAAATAACTTCCATTTTATAAACTAATCTATTGCTTCATATTAAAATAACCTTGTTCCTTTTATTATTCCTAATATTGATAGTTCTTTGGTTAAAATAACATCTATTTAATTATTACAATTTTAATTAATTGTTGTAAATTAAAATAAGAATCTTTTCAAAGCATTTTAAACTACTTGCTTGATTTATGCTTTATTTATTGTCTTCATTATCTTGATTCATTTATTTATCTATTTATTTATTTTCTTTTTGCTTTTATCATTAATTAATTCATTGTTTTCTTTACTATGATTTTTTTAAGGTGTTTACCATTTTTTTTGTTTATTTGCTTATTTGTTCATTTTTTATTTAATAAAGTTTAGCTGATTATCTATTTTCTATTTATTTATTTATCAATCTATCCTTACATCTAACTAATTAAAAGAAAAAAATGAATAAATAGATTGCTATTAAGCAAAAGTCAATATAGAGAGATAAATAGATAAACTTCTAAATAATGTTTCATAGTTATATAATAAATAAATAAATTCATTAATTAATACTTTCATACATAAATTATTAATTTTTTTTATTTCATTTTTATTTTTAAGGTAAGACTTTTTTCATAATTTTTTTAATTAATAAATTTGTATTTTTCTTAATTTCTAAATTTTTTTGTAATTGTTTAGAAATCTTAAATGAATTTCGTAATATGCTTTTACTATCAATTAAAATATGAAATCGTTAAAATAAACTAATTATATACTTTATGTTAAAACCTTGATAAATTCTGCCTTTAAACTTAAATCTAGCAAAAACCATTTTATGAAAAAAAACTAACCTTTGAAATTTAGTATTGTATTGCTGAAATTTTGATTATTTGAGCATTTTAATTTTTTATTTAAATAAAATTCTCGAAATATTTAAATTTTATATTATATTTGTTAACTTTAGAAAGCTAGTTAGTGTGCTATTTAGTTAGTAGTCATTAATTCTAGAGATATTTAAGTATAGTTTATTTATTTTTTCAATTTTAGATATACTATTAATTATGGTCCTATAATATACTTGTTAATTTTCTAAAGAATCCATTCTAGTGATTTAGATTACTCCACTTTTTGGAATTTATTTATGATAAAAATGTTAATTAAATTAAGTAATAAAGTATCAAAATACTCACTTCTAATAAAAATCTAATGTATTTTGATAGAATATGATATTTCTTAAAAGGTTACTTGGCTGAAAAAATAGGTAGATATATGTATAAATACTGGGTTTTTTAAAAAAAATTGAATTTAAAATCAGCACAAAATAATTGAATTATTATTTTAATTTATAATTTATCTAATAAAAATAATTTTATTGCCTTAAGATTTAATATTTATTAACATTTTATAAAATTTGATATCAACTAACTATTCATAAATAATTAATTTTATATCAAACTATAATAATTAAAAGAAATATTTAAAACAAATTTTCTGAATTTATTTAAATAAAATTCTAAAAATAATATTTAAAAAAAATGAATTTATGATGTTTTGTTTGAATTAGCATGAAGTTAAAAATCTAGATCAATTTTAATTTAGGATTAAACAAGTGATTAGCTTTTTTGTGTTTTACAGTAAAATAAATTCAATAATCTTTTTTTAAACAAAATTATTTTAATTTTTATGGCAAAAATGAAGTAAAATAAATTAAATAAAAGAAATCTATTAAAAATTTTTAAGAAATAAAGCTTTTAGCTTGTGAATTGAATATTTTTTAAGAACGAATTAATCATAATTCTAACTTTTGCAAATAGTTTATATAAAAATATCCATGAAAATAAACAGTTAAGAGAATATTTTTTTACTTTTCAAGAAAATTAATTGTAATATTAAAAATTATGGTAAAAAATTAACTAATTTCATAATTGTTTGTTACAATGTTAGAGGGTTTAATGTAAGCAAAAAATAAATAAATACTTACTAATATCAAATAAAAGTATTAATTTAAATAAATTTCTTTTATAGCGATTCAATTACAATTTCAAAAAGATATCCTTTTAATAGAAAAATTTACTTTATTTCTTAATGCCCTTAAAAATAAATATAATTTAGACTAAAATTATCAAAATTTATTCAATTTACTTAAAAAAAATAGTCTTTATCCTTAACATTTCAAAAAATAAAATATTCAAGCAAACAAAAAAATTTAAATAGAAATTAATACTTATAATCGATGTGATTTGATGCTAATTTTAAGATATTTTATTTAATTGTGTAAGTATTATATAATTTATTCATAAATATATGGATTTAAATGACTCCAAGTAACACTTTCTATTTTTAAGAAGAAGGTATCAATAAAGATATTTTCTGGTTATTAAATATAATTCCCTTGCGTTTTAAAAAGATACGGAAATTGAATTAATAACAATAAAAAAGGAAATCTTGTAATCAAATTGAATAAGTTGGAATATTTTTATAGAGTTACTTTCGAATTTAAGTAAGATATCGTATATTTTGTTTAAGAATAAAAAATATTATGAAATAAAAATTGATCAAACAAACATTTGAAATAGTTTAAAAATCATTTACAGTAGAAAGCAATGTGTTTGTTTTAAAATATAATCTTGCTCCAGTGATTTAATGAATTAAAATTAATACTCAATAATTTATAGCAGAAAAAGAAAGTGAGTTAGATAGTAACAAGAAAGCAAGTACATAAAAATTTTTGTGTTGTTTATAATTTTAAAATGCACACTGATTGATAGATAAATAGATAGACCATGCCATAAATTTAATGATTCAATTATTGAAAAGGCATGGTTAGAAAAATAGTAAGTAGTTTTAGGAGTTAAATAATAGCGAAATAAAAAATAAGAAAAGATAAATTGATTTAAATAAATCCTTATATATTATTTGTACCTTTAAATTGAAATTCTGATGATTGATATATGCGCGTATTAAGAAAAAATTTATATATCAAACTTTTTAGCTTAAAAAAAAAAAACTCGCTTTTTAATCAAAAACAAATAAAAACTCTATATTTTAGAAATTCTAAGTTCCTCTTTTAAATAAAATGATGAAATAGCACTGTAAGTTTAATAAACTTTAGATTTTCATCTTATCCTCTACAATTACATGCCTATAATTATATTTTTTAACCCCAATTTAGTTGACTAAAGTCCAAATAAAGTTTTGAAAAAGGATATCAAGGATTATGGTCCTGATTCTTGCTCAAGCGAAGACGATGATACAGTTGACTAAATTCAAGTAATCAAAAAGGAAACAAAGAAATAGCGTAATTCAGTTAGTGCTGAAGCCTATGGTATGTTTAACAAGAGAGAAAACTTTAAGCCTATTGTAATCGCTAAGAGTCAAGATACTAAGAACAAAATTTACAAAAGAATCAATGAAGCCTTTATGTTTAATTGTTTAGACTTAAAGGAAAGAGAAATTATCGTCAATGCTATGGAAGAAAAGCGTTTTAAGTAATTCTAAATTAAATTATAAGTTATTTATCATCAAATATTGTTCAAAAAGATAAATTCTATCCTATTAGCAAAAGCATCAAGCATTTTTTAAGATGTTGGAAAAGAATCTGCTAATAAAAAAATGGGAGAAAATATAAAATAAACAAATTAAAAATCCACAAAAATTAAATATAATCCACTATGTCGTTTAACAGAGTAAAAAGAATTATTATTTTTATTAATAAAAGATCTGGAGATTAAGTTATTAAGCAAGGCGAAGAAGGAAATTATCTATACGTAATAGATGAAGGTCAACTGGATTGTTTTAAGAAGTATCAAAACTAGCCTGAACCTACTTACCTTAAGACTTACTAGCCAGGAGAATCCTTTGGTGAACTTGCATTACTGTACAATGCTCCAAGAGCAGCTTCAATTGTCTCTAAAACCCCTAGTGTTCTTTTTGCATTGGACAGAGAAACATTTAACCATATAGTTAAAGATGCAGCAATGAAAAAACGTCAAAAATATGAAGATTTTTTGACAAAATTGCCAGTTTTATAATCAATAGCCGATCCCTATGAAAAGACAAAAATAGCTGACTCGATTGAACAAAAATGTTACAAACAAGGAGAAATAATAGTAAACCAGGTAAAAATAATCATTTCAAATTTTTGAGTTTTTTAAAATTTATCTATATTTTTAGTCCAGCCAGTTGAGTTAATAGCTTTTCAATAATAGATCAATCAGTCTATTAAACAAATATATCCTTTAATAATTTTTGATATACTTAATAAAATATATCAAAACTTATTTATACTTAAATAATAATCAAAATATGATCAGTAATTAACTTTTTAACTAACTAAAGGGAGCAACATAAGGTGATATACATTTTGTTGAAAGTGGAGAAGTTTTAGCAATGAAAAATGGATAATAGGTTTTCAAATATGTTTAAGGAGATTACTTTGGAGAAATCCCCTTACTTTTATCGAGAAATCAGCCTTTCTAATTTATTAGCAACGTATTTAAAATTAATCAAAGAAATTTATTCTTAATCTCAACTTTAAATAAAATAAAAGGCTAACAATACATCTCTTTTGATCGTTGGAGAAGGAAATTACAAAAATACTTTAGTTATTGTAGAGAAATAATTGAAAGCAAATTTGTCTAAGTATAATGGCCAAATTTGAATGCCTTTATTTGAACTTTCATAATAAATTCACAATGATATATACTATTATAAGCAAATGATTTTGCAGTTAAATATTCATTTTTAATAAATAATATTAACTTTCTACTAATTTCAAACTTACATTCATCTATTTTAACATTAAATCAGTCAGCCACTAAATAACACACTAACTTACTTCCTTATATTTTGTTTTAAATATCTATCACTTTTTAGAAAATTTTATTACCTTAAATTAAATAAATTTATTATGTTTTTTCTTTAAATTCGCCATAAGTTTTTCACATAAAAAAGATTTCCTAAAAAGTAAAATTATTTAATTTATCAAAAAATAAATAGCTTCAGGCAGGTGTATTCTCAGAAATTATATATAAATATAAATTTAATTAACTTTGCAGAGAATAATTTACCTTTTTAAAAAATTAAATTATAATGAATAAAATGAAAAATAACTAAATCCAATAATTTTTTTGGCATTTATATCTTATTCCATTTTTGATATATTTTAATCAGCTTTTAAGGCTTAGAGTAAAATTATTTATTAAATTTACGCCTTAAATGTAAATTTTAATTCTTAATTATTAAAAAAATAATTTTTGAAAATATCAACTACAAAATAGTTTAAATTATTTAATAATTTTAAAGGAAAGTTAATGAAATAATTTAAATTATTTAATAATTTTATAGGAAAGTTAATAAAATATCTTAAATTTAAAAAATTAATAATTCAGTTTTATAAATAAGATTAAATTTTTGCTCAAATATAATAAAATGTTAATAAAAACATTTTCTATTTAACAGATTCAAATTAAAAGCTTTTATATAAATCTAAAATATTAGTGTGTTTGTTTATTATTCTTTTTATAAAAATATTCTAATTTTTTATCAGAAGTTCATGCAGTTATTCCAAAAAAAAAAAATTAGAATTAAAATTATTAATTAAAATATTTATATATTTGTCATATTTATTTACACAAATTGAAATATGAACAGTTAAGAACTCTCTTAAATTTTGTGATTAAAATCAAACAAATAACAATTCTTATATATTTTTTAATTATTAAAATTAATTTAACAAATTATCATTTTTAAAATAAATGCTTTGTAATTTAAACGATTAAAAAATAACATGAAATACTAAATGGTTCAGCATATATTTATGAAAAAAGTTTATTCATTTATGTTTAGATATTTTTACTGTTATTAATTATATTTATTTATTTTTCTTAAATTTTTTAGTGTTTTGGTTTATCAATTTATCACAACACAAATTATTTTTATAAATGAGTTGGAGAAATTTTTTAACTCCTTATGGAGAAAAATATTTAATTTAAAAGGAAGAAGACCATAGCGTTTCATAGGTTTCATAAAATTCTTGCAGCCCCATTCATGGGATGCAAATAAATAAATCAAAAAGTAGTTTAGATATTTCGCAAACAACTTATGCTTAGTAGGATATTTCAAAGCTTCTCAACAATAATCTACCTGTTCATTTTAACAACAATAGCAATAATAACTCTGCAAGAAAACACCACAACAAAAGCGAATTAGAGGATAACACTTACAACATATCTATAACTTAAGATCCATTTGCAAATAGTTCAAATAATGTTTCATATAATTTATCTGTATAGTAAAAACCTTCAAAATATGAAAATAAACTTGCAAAAATTAAGGATGAAATGTCTAAATTAAAAATAGAATTGAGTAAATTTCCTAAAAAGAATGGGAGAAAAAATTCTTAACCAAGTGCATAAACTGCAATTAAAACAGATGGAAATTATAGTAGAGTATCTAATGAAAATATTAATCCAATAATTTAATCATAAAGGTAGAGTTTACAAAGCATAAAATATGATAATCAATTTAACAATTAATAATAACTATTAATGAATAGACATAGAAATTCATTACAGTAAATTAGAAGTTAATAAGATTTAAGTTTAACAAACCGCGATGAATTAAGTTTTAGCTAGAATAAATAGATATTAGACCATGACAGCTTTATTACAGAAGATGATATTTAATAAATTTCAGATTCCCTCCAAGATCATTTAAACAATTACAACAAATTAAGTGATAAATTAAATGTTGTACAAAATATGAATAAGCTTCATATTTAACAATAAAATTTACCCCAAAATAATTCCTAACTTACTACCGCTCATTTAACGAGTTTAAACACTTAATAAAATACAATGAATAGAAATTAACTCACAAATGTTTAGATAATAAAATAAACTTCTGATAAAGGTATTTTTAATATTTTGAATTTCAATTTTTATCTTACATTTAACTTACAAATGTTATAAATATATAGAAATACAAACTTAATGTTTCAAAGAGTCAGAAAATAATACTACTACCACAACGAGCCAACCTGACCAATAAAAGTCAAGTGATCATTAGAAGGTAAAAAAGAGATTAAAAAAGTAAAATTAATTCATTTTATTAAAAAGATTGCAAGCCTTAGATAAGATAGAAACCAATTATTAGAAGCACTTGAGAATGTTTTGCAAGTGATAAGCATTGATAAATAAAAAAATAGCGATACTAAATAAATTAGTCAGCTCAAAGAATGTTAAAAGTAAATGAAAAAGGTAAAAAAGTCTTTCAAGAGAGATTTAAACAGCTTGAGATAGGAATTTTTAGATATTGGACATATTGAACCTTTGAATATGTCTTACAAAAAAGAGTTTGAAACTTTAATCAATTACTCCTCACTTTAAAGTCTTCCTAAGAATTCAGTTAAAAATTCTCCAAACAGCTCAAATTTAAAAAACTCAAGCACATTAATTACAACAACCTTACCTCAATATTATTTTATGCCTCTTCAATAAAATAAAAGCAAGAATAGTACAGCTAAAAACGAAACAGATGGATAAAGTAATGCTGCTCATTTATTTTAAACGGATGAAATTTATTTTAGACAAAATGGACTTTTAGGAAACAATACAACATGTATAAATAAGTAAAGTGTAAATAATTTGGTTCTTAGTGATGAAATTAGCTTTAGGTAAAATGCTTTATTGAATAAAAGCAATCCTGTAAGCTAGAATAACAGTAGTAATAAACCTTGTAATACAAGCAATTTGCTTTCAACAGAAGATATAAGCTTTAGATTAAATGTCCCAACACCTCTTCATCTATCACAAAAATCATATGAATTAAAGTAAAAAATATCTTCAAACTCAAAATCAATTAATTTATCAAATTAAAATAACAATTAAAATCACAGCCTATCACCAATAAGTGGTAATACTTAGGAAAATAATTAAAATAATGAAAATAAAGGATTGCTTTCAACTCTGTCTCTAATGGAATAATATAAGCAGTAATAACTAGAAAAATAAAAGCCATTTGAAAAATAACATTTAATCATAAATTCCTCTGATACTTAACAATCATTAACTCCCTCAAAATATTAATAGAAAAATAATTATATTAAAGAAAGTATTTTTAACTCTCGGTTATCTCCTAACTAATTGTAAAATTAAAAAATTTCACCAAAAAAAGATTTCAATCTCACAAATCTAGAATCGAATTACTAAACATTTTAGTAATAAGAACAATAAGATAGCTATTATAATTATTGAAAAAAGATTCCTTAATTTATTATTATTCTTTATTACAAAATTGTAAATAAATAATTTTATCTGTAAATATAATTAAAATTATATAAATTATGTTAAGTTCTTTAAAATGAACTCAAATTAATTTATATATCTTCTCAAAAATCAAGACTGACTCTATCTAAAACCCAAATTTTTAAAAAAATTTATATTATGATATTAATTTACTCTTTAAAATCCTAAGATTTATTCAAAGTAAAAAATGGTACCTTTGCATTAAAGAAAATAAAAATTTTAGTTAGGAAGTAAGTAGATTACTTTCAAGGTAAATTTAATCAAGCAAGCTTTTATATGCTTATTGAAATGTTATTAAAATAAATTTATTTGCTAAAATTAAAAAATATTTGACAAACTCAATTAATTACTCATCAATATTTATTAAACACTATGAAACTAATTCAAAAATTTGATTATATAATTTTTTTATTAAAATTTAAAAGAAAAATTTAGGAATTTAAAATAGTTGATTTAAGAATAAAAACACTTATTTTAATACATAATAATAAATGACTTGTGAGTTAAAAATTTATTTTTTAATTTTTAATAGAAATAATTTTAGCAATAAATAATTTATATTTTTAGTGAAGTTATTTACAAACTTAAACCCTGTTATAATTAAATTAATGAAAGATTATTACTTTTATTTGTAAAACAAATTCTGTAAATATTGAAAAATACAAGGATTTTTGCTCATTAATTGTTAAAAGAAATCAGGTTAAATGATGCTAATCTCTAACATACAGAGCTATTATTAGCCATCATAATTCTAATAAAGTGAAAAGAATGAGTCTTTTTAAATTCATTAAAGAATTCATTCATATAGGATTTTGTTTTTGTAATTATTACATTTACTAGCTAATTTGATATTGATACTGAGCTTGTTTCACTTTACTAGAATAAATCCATATTTCTTCTACATTATTAATCAATCCCTATTATAAAATATTTATTACATTCTAGTATTGTTAAAATAATTTCAAACAAAATAACAAATAATATTTAAAAAACTTATTCATTTTAAATTATTTTTTTTATTTTAGTAACCTATTATATAATTTAATTGGAATTAATTTGATAAAAATAGCTCAAGATAAAATTAAATAATAAAAGATTTACCATATAAAGCCCCAAGGTAAGTGTCTTTATTTGTTGGTGTAAAATAATCGCTTATTATAGATTAAAATTATGATTATATTTAGGTTTCTGCATTATTATTATTGTTATTCTAGGCCTAAATAGATTCTATCTCTGAATCATCTTCATTTATATTTATTTCAATCAAAATAATATCTATATATAAATCGTATATAATCATAGATTTTTTCAAATGGTTTTCTGAAACTTAAGAACTAAAAGAACTTTTCTTATTATCATAAGCAAGATTGTTAAGAAAAAGGGAAAATATTTATTTGTAGTCGTATTGATCTTTGTGTAGCATAAAATTTTGTATATTTTCTATAAGAGTTTCGTGAAATAAGACATATGATTCACCTTACTATTTCATATCAACATAAATGACTATATATCCTGTGGCTACCACAACCCACAAGTCAAGCACTATGACTATCCAAAAGTAAGGATTTATTCCTAAAAAGTAATAATCGATTTCATAAGAGCACTATACATTTTAAGTCGCAAAAAAAAATAAATTGGTGAATATAAAGCAAGAGATTATTATTTATATATCATATTTTATCTTAAATCTTTAGTCCGTAATATCGATTAATTGTAGGCAGAAAAGTAATGCTATTACACAAAGTGTAAAATATATAGTAAAAATAGAGCTAAAAATATATCTTGTAAGGTTAGTTTTGTAAATATCTATCATCCAAAAGCTAAAAGGAGATAAATATGGATAAAAATAAATCATTAAGAAAACTCCTATCCATAAAATGTAAATAATAACTAAAACATTTGTCTATTTTATGAAAAATTAAGTTAATTTTCTGTATCTTTCCCATTTTATATTGTAAGCACATGTAATTCTAAAACATCTTGCTATGAATAGGAGAATTTATGAATTTTTACTTGCTGTGAATATTGCTATTAAAATTGTATTTAATGTAACTTATCTATCCAAATTTATAACTGAATTTTCATTAGGGCATTGCCATAAAGTCACATTCATCTATGTAGGAAGTTCCTCATTATAATTAATTACAGATGAAACTAAAATAATCCAAAAGCAAATTAACTCAAATATCAAACAATTTATGCTTAAAAGTGGAGATCTTGCTTTATATATTTACCTATCGCTTCTTCTATAAAAGTACCAAAGAGGAATAGCAGTAATAAATGTTATAAAAGCCCCTGGAATCGCAATGTAAGCAGGTTCACTGAACATTTTTTATTATCTTGCTTTTCTATATTTACAAATATGCTAATAGCTTAAAAAATATAAATATCTAATTTGAGCTAAATATTTGGTCTTCTCCTAAAATGTTTTTAATATTTTTAAATGCTATTTATATTTAATCTTGCTATTTAATAGATAATATTTTATTATAGAAGTTTATTACTAAATAGGATTAACTATAGTTTGAAAATCCTATCTTTAACTTTTTTTAATTATTAAGCTTTAATATAATTTAGAAAAATGAAATATATATTTTGAGGTTATTTTACAACCAAATACCTAATCAGGAATCTATTAAATAATCAACTTGAAAATTGTAAATATTTCATTAAACTACATATGAAATTTCTTAAAGTAAAATTTTTTGTATTAATAAACTTTTTAAAATATTTTTGTCATTAATCATAAAAAAAGCAATGTAATAAATTAATAAAAACTATTTTTGTGGTATTGAGTAATAAACAATAATTTATTTGCTATTTAAAGAATTAAAGGTGTTTATTCTTTGAAATTATTATTCCTACTTTTATTAATTTAACAAACATTTCACTTTATAAAAATAGTAAGCTAAATAATTACATTTATTCCAAATTTTTTACAAAACTTTTTGAAAGTTTTTATTAAAAAGAATTATTTTTATTTTATAAATTATCATATATTTTCTATGAAATATTACCATTTTTAACCTAAATATTGTGGTATGATAACTATAGATAATTTAATTATATAATTACAGTCAACCCTAAATTAAGCTGCATGAAGAAATAATTACTTTTTTTAAAATTTGAACCTTAAATTAAATTCACCTTAATATAAGTTTTTTTATGATCTTAATTTAAAATAAAAAATAATAATTATTTTTAGTAAAATTTTTGCCAATTTAGACTTGTTTAATTGGGTTGGGAGGGTGCTAATTAATGAAGATTTACATTATATTTATACATAAAGAATAACAACAAATTTAAATTTTTAAATTTTTGATTTAGTTTTTGAATGATAGTTAATTACAAATAAAAGTTAATTCCTTAAAAACCCAATTTTACTATTATGAATAATTCATTTTTTAGTGAGTAAAATAGTTAATTTTTTTCTAAAGGAGAACTTTCAAAATTAATCTTAAATAAATAATTATGGTGTCATAAAGTCAAAGAATTCATAATATGTTTGATTATTTTCTTTAATCATTTCATCTAAAAAATTTAATACTATGAGTTTAATACATGATAAAAGCAAATAAAATATATTTCGTTTAAAATTAGTATATAAAATGTAGATAGTTTGTTTGTTTATTTTAAAAATAAATAAATGTTGAAAATAAAAAATGAGTTAAATTAAGATAAAAAGTATTAAATTTTTGCTAACAAATATTAATAGTAATGAATATTTTAATTAATTTAGTAAAAATACTAAAAATAAATATAATTTTTATTTGGAATAAATAGAATTTAATTTAATTTAATACAAAAGAAATTTTTGGTCTTAAGCAAACATGACCAGTCATTAAGTATAAATTTATTCTAAAAAGAAATTTTATGGAAAGATTTGTCTTTAATTATTTATTTTAGAAGTAGAATTTAGCAAGAACAAATTTTGACGATTTTCAAAGCAAATCTTATTACTTAAGTGACGATATTTAGATTTCTAAAAGAAAAGTTATATGAAAGCTAACATTTTAAAAACTTCATTATTGAAGGAATATACACTAAAGTAAATTTTTAATTAATAGTAAAATAGTAACAAATAGAAAACCCAATTAACATAATTTTTAAATAATCTCAATTATGGTATAATTAACTTTAGCTGATATTATATTAAGTTCGTTTGGAGGAATTGCAATCAGCTTAAGCACTTCTTTCCATCTGTATATGAAAGGCAGGGTAACAGGTTTCTCTGGTATTTTTTATTCTCTAATAAGCTTTGAAAGAAGTTCTTTCTATTGGAAGGCTGCTTTAATTTGTGGATTAATTACTACATCTGCTGTATTATATGACATTTTTAAATTCAATAAAGTTTGGGATAATACTTAAATTTTTGATTCACCAACCACTATGATAGCAGATTTAGATTTTGTTGGATTCGCCATAGCAGGTTATCTTGTTGGAATAGGAACTAAATTAAGTAATGGATGCACAAGTGGTCATGGAGTATGCGGATTACCACGCTTTTCTTAAAGAAGTTGGGTTTCTGTTGGAGTTTTTCTGATTTTAGGAATTGCACTTTCTACTTTGAAATACCATGAACCTTTTTTGAATGAAGCTCAAGGAGTAGACTTGATAGATTCATTTTAATATGATATTTGCGCTAATATATTTTTAGCTTTATCTCTTTTGATTTTTATAATCTTGTTACTTATTGAAAAGAAAGATAAGTTAGATATTGTTGTTGGATATGTAACAGGGGTCTTATTTGCAATAGGTCTTGGCTTTGGAGGAATGTTTAGAAGATCTAAAATTAGCGGCTTTCTTTCAATCAGTAAAGATTGGGATCCTTCTCTTATGTTTGTCCTAGGATTTGCAGTTGGTTTAAATATGATCACCTTTTATATAATTTAAAATAAAGTTAAAAAGCCCCTATTAGCAGAAAAACTTTAGATTCCCACAAATAAAACTATTGACGCAAGACTTATCGTGGGGTCTTTATTATTTGGACTTGGATGGGGTTTAGGTGGTCTTTGTCCAGGACCGGCTATGGGTCTTCTTCCTATTTTTAGTCTTTAAATTAGTGTAGTTTGGTTAATTTTTCTTGCATTTGGTCAATATACTGTTACTTTATATGATAAGCATTAAGAAAAGCAAACAAAATAAAAATCTGTCTTTTAATAACCACAACAAAAAGAAGATTCACCAATAAATTAAGTTCTCTTTATTAATGCCAAAAATAGTTAATGTACTCCAGCTATTTCATAGCAAGTCTCTAATTTCTCAAAACAAACATCAGGTCTATGAATAAAACAAATAGAATTATTTTAATAATTTATTATAAATTTAAAAAAATGTAAAATAGAAAATGGATGCACGTTCAAGCAAGCTTTTGTATAGCATTTATATATATATATATTAATTTTATTAATTTTTAATTTTTAAAGTATTTATATCTATCAAATATTTGTTTATTCAAAAACTTTTATAAAGTCTGCAAAAAATTATCATAGACTAAGCAAATTCGGATGAAAATAGTGTAATTAAAAAAATCTCTTTATCTTAGTCTATAAACTTATATTCATTTCAAATATGCTAAAATTTTAAGAATTTATCAAGTATAACCAATTCAAGATATTACAATATTAAAAAAAGAAATAATTGAGTGATGAATTATTGAGTTATATATTTAGATCTTATTAAATCTAGTATTTACAGGTAAACCTTTTCTGATATGAATTAAATAAACAAGCAAAAAAAATTTTTTTTTAATCAATAATTAATTAATAATTAAAAAATCTAAAAAATTAATAATTTGAAAAATAAAAACAAAAAAAATAATAAATGGTCTACTTTGAAGTTTCTGATATTATATTAGCTATTATTGGAGGTTTTTTTATAAGCTTAAGCTCCTCATTTAATCTCTATATGAAAGGTAGAGTTACAGGATTTTCAGGTATTTTCTACTCAATTACTAATTTGGAAATGGAATAATACCATTGGAAAGCTGCTCTTTTGTGTGGGTTAATAGGTACTTCTGCTGTATTCTACTTTATTTATGGGTTTGATAATGTATGGAATTCTAGCAAAATATTTGATACTCCTTAGTAAATGGTTGGAGATTTAAATTACATTGGATTTGCTTTAGCTGGATTTTTTGCAGGTGTTGGAACAAAAATGTCTAACGGATGCACAAGCGGTCATGGCGTTTGCGGTTTGCCTCGCTTTTCATTAAGAAGTTGGATATCTGTAGGGTTATTTCTTCCTATGGGTATTGGATTGGCTACCCTCAGACATTATGAACCCTTTTTGAACAATAATGAAAATACTAAAGATATTACAGAAAATGTAAATTATGATATCGTCGCTGGTATTGTTTTAGGTTTAAGCTTGTTTATTCTAGCAATACTTCTTATAATTTACTATTTAAAGAAGTCTATCTCTGAAGTTTTAGTGGGGTTAGTAACTGGTATTTTATTTTCAGTAGGACTTGGATATGGAGGTATGTATAGAAGATCAAAGATTTTAGGCTTTTTATCTATGTATGAAAATTGGGATCCTTCGCTATTGTTTTTATTAGGAACAGCTGTAGGATTGAATGTGATTACTTTTAACTATATGATATATAAAAAGCAAAAACCTATTTTGCATAAATCTTTATCACTTCCTACTAAAAAAGAAGTTGATCTTAGGTTAATCGCAGGCTCAATTATATTTGGCTTGTCTTGGGGCTTAGGTGGATTATGTCCAGGACCTGCTATGGGACTTATTTCAATTTTTAGCTTACACATTTCTATTGTATGGTTGATTGCATTTGGAGTTGGATAGAAATTTGTAAGTGTTTATGATTCTTATTAACAAAAGAAATATTAACTTCTAAAAGTTACATCCTTGTCAACTCTACCAAGAGAAGCATTTGAAAGGAAATCCCTTGAACTAGAAAAAATTGCATCTTTGTGAGGAAAAAAATGATTTTTTAAGCAAATAAAACATTAATTTATACAAATTTTGACCCTAAATAAATTTTATATTAACAAAATCGAAATATTTATCATTAACTTTATTATATTTATAAAATTGTATAAACTTCTAATTTTCGATTGTAATGTTTTTCGTTCACTTTGTGAATGCTATTCTTTATAAAAATGAAATTAACACAGAATTTTATTAGAAAATTTTGCAAATATTTAATCTAAATTAATTAGAAATTTAATTTAAGCCTAATTAATAGGATTTGCTTTCAAATTTATTATTATAATGTGGCTTAATTTTTTTGAAATTGATAAAATATGATTTGCTTGTAAATTAATAATTTAAACAAACAAATAAGATCAACTCCACTCTATGTTTATATTTTTATAATATTTATATACATTCAAAATAAGAACTGTTTAAATATAAATGATCAATTCAAAAAACCCTCATTTTTAAAGATAAATAATTTTGATTTGGTTAATTACTAATTGCGAAAAAATGCTTAGTTGCAAATTAATAATTGAGTAAATATAAAGATTATCAAAAGTGGAGCTACATTTACTTTTTGAAATTAAATAAATATTTTGCAAATGACCCAATCTTAATCATCAATTAATAATTTCTTTTATATTTAATATCCCAAAATAATTTATTGATTCCCTATGAATGAATTAAATTTTTTTCTTACACCTTGTCTTATATTTTGAGGTGATTAAAAATATCTGTTGCCTGTAATTCTTTTTAATATTCTTTTATTAAAGTAAAAATTCATGATAAAAGAATTTTTTAAGATTGCTTTCAAAATATTAAATGGAAATAAACAAATTGATTTTTTTTTAAGAAAATTTTCACTGAGTGAAAATATATTTATGAATAAAAAAATATAGTAGCAATTAATTTATCAAAATTCCTCAATTTGCTAATATTTTATCAAATAAATTAAAAGTTTTTTTGTTTTATTTTTTTTTACTGAAATTAAATTTGAAATGCATTTTTTCTGTAAAAAATTATTACTTGAATTTTATTTGTTTGTAACAAAATATTTTTTATAAAGAAATTAGAAGAGTTTAAATTTTAAAATCAATAAAAATTATTTAAAGAATATTAATTGAGAATTTTAAGAGACAGAAGTGCATATTTTTAAATTTTAAACACTAAATATCCATTTTTAGCAAAAAAGCAAATTAATTATTATAAATAGTAGTAAACTGCATTCAAGAAGAATATAAACAATTTTAATAATTACCTAAAAATATGCGTTTTTCGCAAATAAAAAAAAATATGTAAAAAAAAATAAAAATTTGATTAAGAAAATAAGTTTTTGATTTAAAATATATTTTCATTTTTTTATTTATAACGTATTATTTAACAAGTTCATAGTATGATTATCCAGAGCAAGACGCGAAAAAGGCATTAAAATGACTCCTCTCCTCAAATATTAAAAATCTCTGAATGATGTAATATAAAAGTATGAAAATCCTGCTATTAGTATGATAGAGTAACCAATAGAACCACAAGTGAATAAAATTATTGTGATTTACCCATAATTATTTAAGACTGAAGTAATGCTTGAATGCAAAAGATTTTTTATCTAGTCGAATATATTCAAAAGTAAAATAGAAACTTTTGTTTGATCTAAGTAGTTTTCTTTTTAGATATAGTATGTTAATTATTCTTAATCATTAAAAGCTGTGGATATTGCACCATTTATTTAATTTAAAATTGTGTTAATTTCAGGTATAAATCCTTTTGACATTATTCCACTCATTACAGAATCACATTTTTAGAGTTATATTTCATCAAAAATCTGTGGACTTAAGTTACAAGATCCTTATTCGTTAATTTATCTTAGTCCATTTGAAAATTGATTTGATATAACTCCTTGTGATAATTAATTATAACCTTAGTTAAAATAATCTTCCCAATAATTTAACTATTATTATAAGTCAGATATCATACTACTTTCTTAAGAGGGAGTTAAGATACCTTAATTGTAATTCAATTTTTATTTGGCAAGTTTACTAGCCACTATAGTATCAAAATTAGATATCATTGAGGAGTATTGCTTGTATGAAGTCAAAAAGTCACTATTATATTAGAGTGGGCTATTAAAGTTATTTATCAATGACTAAAAATTAATGAATCCCTATTTTATTAAAATAACATTTAAAAAATTTGAATATTTTTAAAAGTTTTTACATAGAGCAAAGTAGCACATGCTAGAACCAATAAAATAGATATAATCAGATAACTGTAAGAAGTATTGAGCCTATTTACAACTATTCTATCATTAAGGTAATTGCTTTTAATTTTTTTTTGTTTAGTTTTTCTTGACTACCTTAAAGATCTTTTATCTCCAATGTTTCTTTCTTCAAATGCTTTCAAATTTACAGTTAAATAGTCTTAATTAGAAGGATCTACGCAATCTTTAGATATTTCTAGTAGGCTAATCATTTTGAGTGCATCCTCTTCTGTTATACGAGATATCAATCCTAAAATTTTCTTCTCTTATGTCTATAAGATATGCAAAGAATTAAAAATAAGCCCAAAAGAGCAAACTATTGAAAGTAAGCCTAAGATTAATACCAACAGATTAATTTGATAGAAGTAACTTTTATCATTACTAATAAACTTCAAAATATCTTCATTAGTCTGATTAAATATTTAAAGAATGCCTCTCTAATTTACTGCTATTTATCGAGGATAGGTTTAGAAGTTTACATAACTAGCGTTTTGATTTTAAACAACTTGAAAAATAGACATTCCTATCATTTACAGACCACTTGTAATAGGAATATTCTTGTATTATTAAATGCTCAGTGTATCGGTTACCCAAAAATCGAAATCAACCCTATTAAAAATTTTATTTTAAATCACAATCTATAAATCAAAATAAATATTTCACTAATTTAAATTAAAAAAATGATTCTAATAATTTATGAAATTTCTATTAAGACAAAATATTTATTAATTATTAAAAAAATAAATTTAAAAATAAAAAATTTACTCTGATTTCAAAAAGGTCTGCATGCCTGGGTTTGAAATAGACCATTGCAAGCTTGTTTCTAAATAAGTTTAATAATTTGAATATCCAATTGGCAACATATGATTTAAAAGAGAAGCATGCCAAATATCTGAAGAAAAGTCTATTAAATTCTCTTTTTAGAGGAATAAGAAGTTTGTTGAAAGTATAGATTGAGTGAGTCCTTACATGATTGAAGCTGAGAAAGACATAACATCAATGCTAGTTTAAAAAGTTGTGAAATTTTAGTAATAATTTAAGCATGAGACAATCACAATTATTATGAAGACTACCCATTAAAAAGTGAACATAAAGTATATGTTTTTCACAAAAGCTGGAGTTGTTTTATCAGTAGCTGTTTTGGCTATTTCTTTGACATTTGAGTTTATTTACATTCCCTATTCTATATAAGAATTAGAATTTCCATCAACTCTTTGCTTTTTGCTTTTTTTATCTGCAATTGTAATTTTGTTGCTTGTTTCCATAAATGATTTTAAATTTCCATACGAATTTTCTGTCTTTTTCCTACTCTAAAATAGTCCTTCCTTCTAATTTATATATTCTTATTCTAAATCTTCTTCATCATCTTCATCTTCACCTTCACCTTGTTCTCCATTATTTTAATCATCATCTTGCTCAGCATTTCCATCTTTTTCATGTTATTCGTTTTCTTCCTAGATTGGAGCTTTGACTATCTACTCATTTATAGATATTTTTTTATCTAAAACCTATTGTTAATTTATCATAGAGTAAGTGAAATACTTTCTTATTTATTTTTTTTACCTTTGGATCTGACAACTGTTTTGACTACTTGTGCTATGGAGACTAATTTTAATGTAAATAACTTTTAAAAAACTAATAATTTAATCTAAATCATTACTTAAGTTGGATGAGAAGGAACGTAAGAAGTTAGTGAACAAAAATTTAAAAATTCTTTCTCAATTTCTTCTTCTGCTTAAGGTTTTTCTTTACATTATGCAGGTAAAATCCCTTCAATTTATTCTTAATCAATGATATCCATAAATCCCTCTTAAAGTTATTTATTGAGAATTTCAATATCATTCTTTTCATGATCATTAGGATTAATTTAAATTGGATCATGCTCATCGATTCTAGATCTTTAACGCCTTATATTTACACTTGGAGGTAATTATTTTGATTCATTTTAAGATGCGACCTCTTAGTATTTGTTTAAAGTTATTTATGTAATATAAGTTTTCTTTTTTTATTCTGCTATTTATTTTGGAGTTTGATTCTTGGGTGTTATTTACTTTACATTCAACTCATTTAAAGGTAGCTTATTCTAAACCTATTGAATGACTTATTTTCTTTATTAACTTTCTTAAGATTCTAACAAATTTATTGATTAACCTTAGTCATAAATAACTTCACTACTTTTCTTTTCTACATCTAATTTTTAGTTAGATAAATCTACATGAATATCCTTCAAATTAAGCTTCAGATTATTCTAAGTGGAAGCTTACTATTTTACCTATAGACTCTCTTAACTAACAAATTTTGATTGTTTGTACTCTATACCTGTTTTTGCATTTTCTTAATTATTTTACAATTTTACTTCTTCTAAATTACTTTCAATTTTTAATCCATCTAAATTACTCTCCAAAAATCCAGATTCTAATTAATTACTTTTGACAACTTCAAATTTTTACTGTACTTATTACTCTTAATGCTATTCTTAATTTTACTATACTTTTTAATTTTTTTATGTCTTTGCATTGCCTTATTTGTGTTAAAAGAGATTGACATCTTCATCAATATTTTCAAAAGTTTTGGAGATAGTCATATTAGTAATTTCTAAGACAAATAAATTCTAGTTGATCACCTAGTTGTCTTTAGTAAACTATAAAAAGTCTTTAGTTATCCTCATTTTTACGTCATAAACAGTTGTTTGCTCTTTAAAAAATTTAGTGGAGAGTTTTAAAAAGAAAAATATAAGTTTCTTGACAAATGCTAACTTTTTTGTAGAAACTAACACAGCTTCTCCAGCCACATTTTCTTACAATTGTTTTTTTCTATTTATAAATTCTCTTATGTATTCATTTAGCCCTATAAATAAATAAATAAAAAAATATTTAAGAATCTTTAGTAAATTAAATTATTAAAAAATACTCTTCGGAACTTCCATTGTGAAGTGGTTAGTCATGTTAGGTGTAATTCCATTTTCATCATACTTATTTAAAAACTCTAAAAGTGACGGGAAGACAATTTTTATATTTGCTTGCATCAGTAAATTGGGATCTAAATTATAACATTTAGAAGTTTCCCTTAAAAATTAGTAAAACCCTTCAGAAAATCCCTGTATATATCCATCGTGTTCTACCAAAATGTATTCGCAATTAGTTTATAACTTAAGAAGCAATGCTGAAAAACAGAGGCTATCATGGATATTAAAGAAATAATCAGCAAATAGTTTAACTGGAAATAAGAATCCTGACTATTTATTTTATGTTCAAAATAATTGTAAATATTTCAAAATAAGCTAAATATTCAATTTTTTATAATATTTAAAGTTTTTATAATAATTATTAGAATTTTGAAAAAACTAATTTAAAGATTTGATTAATCTAACATATAATTTTATTTATTAATTTACTTTGCTCTTGGCTACTAACTACCTATATCTTCTTAAAATTTTAGGAGTTCCTTCTCTAACAATTCTACCTACATAGTAATTATGATATACAGCAATTATATCAGGTAAGAGAGGTTCTGGAATTTTGATAATTTTAAACTCCTCATTATTATATCCAAAAAAATTAGGAGTTCTATTTGAGTATTTTTCTAATTAACACTTTTAATCTTTGTAACTCATTACAATTGAAGCAACATCTCCATTTAGAATAGAAATCGAATGAATTACATCTTTCTCTAAGGATCTATCCCTATTTGTGATATCTACAATTTAAGCTTCATAATCATATGACTGCTGAGGATGGCAGTACAAAACTTAATTTATAAGAGATAATAATTTGAGATAATGAACATTTTCTTAATCCCCACTTAGAGCAGTCTTCATTTTTTTTTCAATTTGATCTACTGACTTTTAAATTAATTAATAAATTTTTTCAAATAATTAAAATAAATTCTTTGTTACCTTAACCAATTATTTGATATCCTTGTTGAAATTTTGTAAAGAAGAGTAATTATTGATTAGCTTATCACAAATTTCAATTTTTTTATTTATTAAATTAGAAATATATTCTTTATATTTAATCACTTAGAACTCACTGTTAAATAAATGACTAAACTTTCTAACCAGCATTGCATCTTAAATATCGCTTTACTTGTTTGAATAAATCATAGATTTATCTCTTTCTTTAATTAAGCTCTCAATAATAATAGAAACACAATACTCAATAGATAAAAATATAATTGATTTATTTTTAACTAAAGCAAAATGCTGTTTCATCAAGTAAAGTGCTTTTATATAATTCTTAAGATTATAAATCTCAAAGCTCCAAAAGTAAAAATAGACATCTTTAATTTTAAAAAATCAATAAACTACTTATTCTTCATATTGAAATAAAATTTAAATGAATGAAAATACCTAAATAATTAATTACCATAGTTTCTCGTTAATTAAGGACAAATTCAAATCAAAATTTTTGTAAAAATTTAGTCCTTAATATAAACATTTTTTAAATACTACTCAAAAAAGTCCTTAATTAACGAGAATCTACGGTAATCAATTGAGATAAAAAATAATTTTATATCAAATTTCTATAAAAAATGTTTACATATTTCCTTTTTGATTCTGTTGTTTTTCGTTTGATATTCAACTATTTGATAAAAGTGATATTCCACAAAATCTTCAAGCCAAAATTTGAATTCAGAAAAATCTTTTCTCAATTCAGATAACCAAATTCCTTAAGGAATAATAGCTAAACCTTGATCTAAACTCATTTGCTGAATTTCTTTTCTCTTTTCCCTCATTTCTGCTTCTGTTAGTCCTTAATAAATAGATCCTTCTTGACAAGGGCAGTATTAATCTTCACATTCGCCTTGATGAAGCTATTTTTCAAAAACAAATAAGATTTGATATTATTTTATTAATTAATTAATTACTTCTAAAATACCCATAAGCTATAACCATTGCTAATTATCTTTTGCACTATTATTTAGAAGCTCACATATTTCACTTAAATATTGACAAGCTAGCAGAGGTTTACAATAATTTAGCTTAAGATTTATTCTATATAGTTTGTAATATTATATCTAAATAAAGATAATATTACAGCAGCATAAAACTGATCCAAATATTAGCAAATAAATCATATGGTAGCTATCTATGAATTATTTGCTATCTTAATCTCTTTAAATTAAAAAATTGTTTTGAAATCTAAATCAAAATTAAGAATTAATATACCTTATCAAGCATAATATAGTACCTATAACAAATAAAATATTTAAGTCTCCATACATCCACAATATTTACTTGCCAAGTACAGGAAAATTAAGAAAGTATTCTTTAAGCTAGGTCAAGCAATATACAAAGGCAATTATGTAGACAGCTATGAAGGATTCTCCGATATGAATGTATGAAAAAAATACGTAGAACACAATAATAGCATAGCTGACCAGGGAAGATAAACTCACTTAAGGTTTAAGTGGATTTTTTTTAATAAAATCGATATTTATGTATAAAATTTTTGAAGTAATCAGTTGAAGCGTAGACAATAAAAGAGAAATAACTCCACATATCAACATAATTATTGAAGGCATTCCTGAAAAACTTAAGTTATATGAGCATCTTCTTTCTAATTAATTTGTATAAGTTCCACTGTTACAAAATATACTTCCAAATGCTAAATCTATTTTGATCACAAAAAAAATCCAAATGGATAATTCAGTGTACAAACTGACTAATTATATTGTTATTTTTTTCTTTTCTAAGATATTTTAATTCATACTAGTAGATGAGTTCATAAGCTTATAAATTTGATAAAGATACATCAAATCAACCAAAATTATAAACACTAAGACTACTATTCCTATATATTGTTGCTTAAAATTAGACAATACAACATTTGTATTTGTGTAGGAAGTAATTATCCAAAAAATCTATTTTTTAAAAAACTAGCTAAAAAAGATGATCTTATAGTAAAACTAATATAAAAATAAAGTTTTGTTGAGAATTGCTATTTATTTGGTTTACCTCTAGTAGACTATCATGAGGATCTTACTGTTAAGATACTATTTATATTGAATACAGCTAAGCATAAAAAATAAGCATTAAAACTGCAAAGTAATAATTGCTTTTTATTTTCGAGATATCTACTTAATAAAGGAACACGATAAGTTTGGATATCTTATCTGCCATTCCCTCAGTTTGCCCTTATTCACTTTTCTTCATATTTCCAAGTAACTCTAATGCTATTAGTAATGTTGAATAGTTTTTTCACTTTTTTATATCCTATTTTATTAAATTGATGTATAGATTTGATGCTTTTTATATTTATTTTATTTCTACTTAATTATTAAGTAAATATTGTTTGAATGTATAGTAATTTAGAATTTAAATATCATGATAGATCGATCACATCAAATAAAAAAAGTTATTAAAATAATAAGTTAACTTTCAACAATTTTTTAAAAAAACATTAAAATAAAATTAACAGCAAAATATTTTTGTTTAATTAAATAACTAAAAACTCATAAATTCATTAATTAAAAATTACTCTTTTTATGCAAATTTAAATTTTCGATCATTTTAAATAACTTTGAAAAAACAATAAATAAATTTCTCGTTTCTATTATGAATTTATTTCAATTTGAATAAAAAAAGGTAAAATTTGATAAATTACTATTTAATTGTTGATTTAATTTATGTATTTATAATAAACGATTGTATTTCTTATAACTGATATATTTTAAAAATATTATAATAAATGTTTCATATTAAATTCAAAGATTTTCTATGTAAGTTGATCTTTTTTTGCTAATCATTTATTCGATATATGCTAAAAGTAGTTATTCAATCTTTTCGTCTGAGTTAGTTTTAAATTTGCTATTATCGTATTTTATAATATTACATTTCGTAAAATTACAATAATTTTGTGTGTGTTAGAAATAAATACTATTTTGATCTTCAATGATAATTATATCTTTTGACTGAAATAAATATTAATTTTATTAGGCAACACCCAAAATATTAGATTCTTTGTATTTTGAAAAATCTACTTTCTTATTAAAATCATCTTTCATGTTCATATAATTTGGATTAAGTACTATTGTTCCTTCTAATAAATCAATTAGTTTATTTAAATAAACTAAAGCTCCATAACTACCTACATCATATATACCAACAGTATACCACTTTTTAACTTGAGGATTGTCTGAAATAGTTTTTTCAACTATGTCTTTAATTTCGAGCTCATTTTCCAAATAATAGCTTTCTTCTCCACCTAAAGCCACAATAATAGAAGCAGTATTATCCAAAAAATTATTTAACTATCTACCATTTAAATGAGAATTCAAAAAATTAAATCCATCGTTTTCGATTTAATTAAAGAAAAAGAACCCATAATCTACTTAATCTTTCTTGATATATTCTAAGCTTTTAATCACCTAATAAAAATTTTATTATTTGACTTGAATTTCTGAGTCTGAATTCTACTCATCCTACTTATCATAGTATTTTAATTCTATCTACAAAGGACTAATTTCTTTAGGTTTGCAGAGACGATCATAATTGTCAGATTAAAATCCTTCTGGACAACTATCCAAGCATGATAATTTGAAAAGGTATTAAGCTTTAGGACAAAAAAACACTTTGTTTTCCTACCTATTATCAGTAATTTAATCTTACATTTTTATTACTTCTTTATCATCTTTTAAAGTTGGGTTTTATTTATCATTTTCTAAAGGTTTACTTTAATCTTCCTTCTTTTTTGTTGTATCTGTTTTGTTTTTTTTGGTCTCTTCTTATTCAATAATTTCTTCACTTTCGCTTTCACCTTAATTATTCTAAGAAGTATGTTAATCCTCTTTTTCTTCATTTTACTATTTTTTCTCTTCTTAATTCATTTATTTTTAGTTGTTTTTTTTAACTTCTCCTTATTATTCTTAATCTGAATTATTATGGTCATCATCGCCTAAAAAATGTTGTTTTTCTTTTTTATTTTATTCACTTTGATTTTATTATTTATTCTTTTTATCTTTATATTCTCTTGATGAAATCTATGGCCCTTTGTTAAATCCCTTGTATTAGTCAGATAATTGCTTCATCTTCTTTTTATTTATTTCATCTTATGTCTCCTTATTCATGATAAACATCACAAAGAAAGTGATGGAAATAGCAACCAATCCTATTATGATATATTTATTCACGCCTATTAGTTTAGCCTGAGATTTTCTTCCATCATTCTATTGTGCTGTTTAATTTTCATAATCACTTATACTTTCGTATTTTTATCGATTTTACAAACTCATTTTTGTAAAAAATAATTGCTATGTCTTTTCAAAAATTATAAACTTTAATTAAAGTAATTAATATCTTTTTTTTTTTTATATTTTGATAATCCTTAAGGAGTTATTATCAATACAAGTGTATTATTTTAATAAATAAAAATATTTATCATTTTTGATCTCATCAAAAAAAATTTAATTAATAAAAAAATGTGTACCACAAATCTTCAAAGTACTAATTGAATAAAATAAAAACTTCTCAAATAAAATTATATTTTAAAATAATATTTATAAGAATTTTAATTAGTTTTATTAACAGCTCAAAAGATTAAAATAAAATTCCATAAAAATTGATTTATTTTGTACATTTAAATTTGGGAAATTAATTTAATTTCTATTAGATGATTTTACTGGGATGCTAATTTAATTTTAATGAGAGCATTATTTAAATAAAATGTTTAAAAAAATTAAAAAAATATTTAAAATCTTATTTATTTTTTACATTAAATTAAGATAAAAAGATTCAAAATTAAAAATCAAAAAAAAGTTTAAAAAAGTAAAATTATTTTGCAAATTTAACTTTTTTTTTTCTAATAAAAGAAATTATTGTGTTTTTTTAATGCACAAATATAACTTATAATTTCTTTTTCAGCAAGAAAAAAATACTTTGATGGATAGTTAATACATTTTTTTAATTTGAGAAAACTAACTTTTCATCAATAAATAATGATAAAATTTTTACTTTAGTAAGAAAAATAGAATTTAAAGTAGAAGTTTTCTTTTATTTATATTGAAGTATTAATTTTTATTGTTAATCTGATTCATATTAAATACAATACCTGAAAATAAAATTTATATTAATCTAAAAATTCATTTTATTTGTTAATTTTTTATTAAATAATGAAAAAATATAATATTAATTAGAGTATACACATGTTTAAAATAATTTGTTGAATAATTTAAATAGAATCTAATATGAAAAGCAAACAAAAATTAAATAATTGATTTAAAATATGTCAAATATTGCTCTCAAACTTGAATTTTTATTAATAAATTTAATAATCTAAATTATTTTTTTAATGAAATATTTTTCTTTTATTAATTTACATAAATTTTTCAATTTATGCCATTATATATTTCTTTTTTTTAGGTGTTTATTTACTATTCTATAATTGAAAACACTTCGTCTGTAAAATATTTTATAGCAGAGTCATTATCATTTTAAATATTTTTAAAATATGAAAGTTAAGTAAGATTTTTTCTTGCTAATCTATCTAAAACAGGTGTCTAAATATCTTTATAAAAAGTATTTTTAAAAATAAATACTTATTTTTGCTACAAGTCTATAAAATGGCTCTCTATATCAGCTGAAATACTTTATATTTGTTAAGTTCCTGTTTATTTCTACTACTTTTTTATATTTTCTAGGAGTTCTTTAATTTCACCTAAATCTTCGATTGGATCTTAAATAAATATACCTTTAAACATATCTAAATTATACATAAAATACTTTAAACCATTAAATGAACCTGAAAAACCAAATCCTACAATATACCAAGAGCTAATTTAAGGAAACTTATCTTATAATTATTTAATTTGTTAATTTATCTACTCTTCATTTTAAAGATATAGTGAATTTGCTCCTGAAAAAGTTATTATTGCTCCATTTATTTGAGATAAAAAGTTTTATAATTTACTAACTTTTATTTTTTGAAAAAGGAAAGTGAAATCATCATTTATAAAATCATTAAAGAATATAATTCCAGTTAGCTTATCATTAAATGTATCTTCAAGAATATTTTGAGTGAAATCTTTAGAAAATATCTCAACTTGAGTGAAATTCGTTTATTAATCTAATCTGGTTATATTGATTTATTTTTGATCCATTTTAGATGGTAAACAAATATTATTTTTTGGATCTGCTATAAAATTATGAGGACACTTAGACAGACACATGCTAAGATAAAAATACGTTTTTTTTGAGCATTGAAAAGCTTATTACAATTTTTTTGTATCTTTGAAGTAGAATTTATTATGAATAAATAAATAGTTAATCAAACAAAAAAGGACTATCACTGAAATTAAAATGAGTATTTTATTCATTAAATTGTTGCCTTTCATCTAAACTTCAGTATTTTTATCTACAGGTTACTATTTAAGATTGCCTTGTATTAAATCATTTTATTCTTCATCCTTATAAAAAGCTTAATTTTTTCTCTCTAAGATAGTATTACTTTCCTCTTGTTCGCTCATTTATTTACAAATCCTTTTTTTTAACTCTAATATTAGAACTATTAAAAAATCAATTATATTAATAATAATATATGCTAACCTCTTTCAAAAAATTAATTCTTAATATTTTTAATATCTTTGACAAATTTATGTTATTTCAAAAAAAATATTTTTAAGTTAAACAATTTTAATTTTAATACATCTAAAATTATTTTTTAATTTAATTACAATTTTAATGCAATAAATAAAATTTTAAATATTGCATTTTTAAAAAAATATTAAATTTATTCTTTATTATGAAAATTACATTTTTAAAATAATTTATGTAACATCTCTATTAAGATGTAAAAATAAATAATTTTTTTAACATATTTTTAAAAAATACTGATTAAAAAAATGATTAAAAATTCTTTGAGAGATTGTTTTTAATTTTTATTTAAAAATATACTGTTTTTATTTAATATATTATTTATTTTGTGTTGTATTTTAAAAAAATAACAAATAAAATTAAATTATTTTAATGAAAAAAAAGAAATTTATTTTTTAATTTTTAAAATTTTAGATAAAAATAATTTTGATTTTATAAAAATTTAACTTTTAATTTAAAATTAGTTTGAAGTAAAATAAGATTAAATTAAATTTATATAATTTTTAAAAATCAATTTTTAATGAATTTATTTGCATATCAACACCTTTCAATGTACCTTAGTTAATTTTTTTGAATAATTTATTGATGAAATAAATAATATTCATTCTATTAGCACATTAAACCTTATCGTCTAGTATACTTACTGAGCACTTAGAATAAAGGGGTTTAAATCTTTATTATTTAAATGATGTATTTATTAAATTGTGAAATGATTAGATAAGTAAATAAGATATTAATTAATAATGATGATATTTAGAATTTAGTGCGTTTTAACTAATATTTTTTGCAATTAGTTCAGAATTAATTAGGAACAAAGGATTAATTTATAAAATCTAAATTATTACTTACCTTTACTAGAAGTATCAGCAATATTTGCTCTTAGATAAAATATATTTAGCTTAAGCAGTATATATTTAATATCAAACCAAACTCTATTAATTTATAAATATAGCTAATAATTTCTTGAAAGTTTTGCTTAGTTCTATTTCATGGCTTAACTAGATACAATTTTAAATAAAGAAAAATAATTAATAGAAAGCAGAGATATTCAAAAACTAGCAAGCTATTCCTCTTAGTAAATAAAATATAAATTTTAAATAATAGATTATTTACTTTTTACTTGAAGATTTGATTAATATTGGTCATTAGATTGTTTAAAGTAATGAAATAGATAACAAAAAAATTCTTTATTCAAAATTGTTTCTATTTCTTTTACTGTTGTTAGGAAATTTCATGAATATATTATTAATTTCTGGAATATTAATAATAAAAAAAATTTAATTCATACAGTTTATACGTCTATAATTACATTTTCTCTAAATTATTTGCTCAAATCTTGTTATAATTTTTATTCTTTTATAAAAAACTTAGATATTTTGCGATTTTCATTTTGTTATGCAACATAAATAATATTCCTCTATAAAACAAATAAAATCATCAATATTAGGTGAAATCTTTTTCAGTTAGATATATATGTGCGATTACAAACTTATCTTTTCACTCAAGTACCCAAAATTATTATAGAATAAATTTATTGCGCTGTATTATAAATAATATTTAAATACCCTGAGTTATAGATTTGTTACAACTAGTTTATATATTTATTTTTAAAGTAAATATCTTGAAGATAGAAAATTAAATACTAATTTTTATATGTTAGTTAAATAGTTTTAAATGAGAAAACCTCTTTAATGCACATGTATAAATTTGAAGATTATAAGGTTATTTGGTTTAAGTAAAAATTGTAACTAAGAATGGTAATATAAAATAGATAGAGTTTTACACTGATATATTTACATAATTAAATTAGATATAAATTATTAAAATTCAATAAAATACAAATATTGTAAGAGTTTGATTGATTGATTGATTATTAGTTAGGAGGAGTTTTCTTTGATTTTTAAAAAACCAAAGTTAATAAATAATTTTAATTTTTGATATTTTGAATCAGTCAGCATAGCAAGGTCCATATTAAAGTTAATTTATTAGTATATTTTAATTACTTTAAAACTTTACACAGTATTAATTACAATTTGCTTGCCTTTATTAATTTTAGATCATTCGATATATTTCACTTTTTTTTTTAATTAGCAAATTTAATATCGAAGATCTGACTTAATATCAGATTTTGTATGATAATATTAATGTGACTAGTAGAACATCTCATACGAATGTTAGTCTTCTCAAATTTTATTAGATTTAGTTTTAATTTTTGTTTACTCTAGAATAATTAGCAGATTGTTTACGCACTGAAATACATTTTTTTTATTCAAATTTCTATGACTAAGCTTTCTACATTTTAATTTCTTAGCTAGGTAATTTTTCTTCATCTCTAAATTAGCTTTTTGTAGACTGCAAATTAATAACGCACATATCCTTATTTTCTTGAGGATTATGTTCAATCTTCTTTTGCTTTATTTATACCTTTTAGGATTATAAAGCTTCAATATTGATAACAACTTGATCATTTTATTCAGGTATTTCGATTTAAGCTTCTTAAATAATCAGTTCGTTACACTCTTTAACTGGAGGGAAAGCATAAATTGGAATAGCATATTAAATAGTTCCTTGTATGCCCATTTCATCTCCATAGTGTTTTTTATAGGCTTTTTCATATAATTCTTTAACTTCTTGGTCACTCATAACTCTAGCTTTTAACTATGATGGATGAGTTTTTGATTTATAGATTTCATATTCTTGTAAGTAAGGAAGAGGGTTTGGAGTTATAATAAACTATTATTCATTTCTTGCATTATTTTCTTGTTAAATTTACCAATCAAATTTATCTTAGCTTTATCCCTTTCTGTTGAAGAAATAATATACTATATAGCAAATAATAATAACAAATATAATTCCTATTACAATAACGAAAATAGGAACATTGAAGCTTATGCTTGTATCGTTGTCATTCTTTGCCTTTTCTATACAAGAAAGAGTGCAAGAGCTCAAATCATTGTAGAACTGTTAATATTAAGGATTAACTTATGAAGAAATTCCAGTGCATGTATTAATACAGGCAGATTCATCATTAGAATTAAAATCTTAGCTATAAGTTGTAGAAAATACCTAACTAATCATACAATTTCCAAGACTATTTGTGCATTAGAAGAATGAATGAGATTAGTCATTATTTATATAGGAGCTGCATGAATTTGTAAGACATTTCATATAACTATCTGAATTAACCTATGCAGATTTAGCAATAGTAATTACTAAAACAGAACTTAAAATAAATAATTTATTCATTATTAAATGTTTGGCTATTTTTTATGGTGTTAGAATTTTCTTAAAAAACTTTAGATGTTCCTAATGTTTTTTCAATAAGAGAGATGCTGTTCTTCTTATAATATTAAATTTTAATTTGTTTCTTTAGAATTGAAATTAATTATTGAGTATTGCAACATTTAAAAATCACTGTTTAAATGCTTTATTAGATTTGAAATAATAGAGATAAATTTATTCGTTAGAAGTTTCTACTAAGTTAAAAATCATTTTTAGTTGAAAATTATTTAAGTAATATTATTGTTTAGGACCTATTTAAACAAAATATATAGGAATTTTAAAACATTTTACATTTTAAGTTCAATAGCTTAATGAATAAAGAATAAAACAGTATGAAAAAAATTTGAGTAATGTATATTCATAAATTACTACTTGTTTATTTATCTATCTTAGCTGGGGATTCATAAAATTGAATCATCTTAAAATTATTAAAAGGCAAATTTACTAAATTGAAAAATATGTTAAGCAATAACTAACTTTGTATTATTAATTAATATTCTCTAATATGTGTTTCTTATATGACATATCAAATCGAATTTAACTTAACAAATATTAGGTATCTCACCAGTAGAACTAAAAAGATGCATGCCATTATATTTTCGATAATGTCTGCTCTTAATATAATCTCAGTAAATGTTTACTTTTCCAAGAGAATTGCTTTAGCAATCTATTTATTTAAAAACAATTCGTAAAATTTTTTTCTATATTATTTAAATTTTTCTACTTTATTCATTCAAGGATATTTATAAGTATTTACTATTTAATCTTAATTTCATGTTTTTAATAAATTAAAATTTTACCCATTATTTTTGTTTGTTACTTCATTAATTAATTAATTAATAATTAGGAAAATTATAATAATATTTATTCAGTACTTTTCTATTTTATTTGAATAGAAATGTATATTTACTTCTTTTGCTTAATTTATAAATTACTAAAAAAATATTTAAATTTAATCATCAAGATACTTGTAATAACATAAATCTATGTTTAATATTTAAAATAGCTTCTATTTTTTTAATCTAGTTATATTATTTAAAAATTTTTTTTTATATAACTAAACTATATCAAATTATTAAATAATGAAGCTATAATCTGATGAATTTTATTTATTTACATAATAAATCAAGTTTGATTTTTACAATTGTAAAATATTTGTTAGCGTAATAACTATAACTATTTATTAATAAAAGTACTTAACTTTGTAAATTATTAATTTTAGTTTGTATTAAAAAATTTTAAAATACTAAAATATTGTCATTATTTGAAAACTTATTTCAATACACTATAATCAAATGATATTTTATAATTTAGATTTTATATATTTAGAAACAATTTAGATTTTAAATATTTAGAAATATTTATATGCTGATTTTATATAAGTAAAGAAGATAAAATAATAATAAAGAAACAAAAAAATAAGATGAATTTAATATTGCTAAATAAACGAAAAAATAAAATTTCTATTCTTATATTGATTTTCAAATATAAAATATTTTGATTATATATATTTAAACAATTCATTTTGTGAAAATATTTTTTACATTTATTTATTTATCATTTTATTTTATACATTTTAAATACGATTTTAAAGTAATTTTAATTTTTTTTAAAAAAATAAAGAGTTAATTAAATTTAAATTGATTTATCCTTTTTCAAAAATAAATATAAAAAAAATAATTTACTTTTTCAATTATTAAAGTATTCTTTATATTTATTAGCTTATTTATTATTGTATTTGCATCAATGATAAATTATAAGCAATTTTAATTTTAATGAAAAAATAAAAAAATAAGTATTAAACCAAAAGACTAATTCTCTTCTTCAGCTATAGCTGAAAGTATTTTTTTCATATACCGTAAATCCTCATAAATTCTCACCAGCATAAATTTTCACCATATTTTCTGAATATTTATAAATAATCACCATATAGTACTCTATGAGTTTAGGGTGGGGTTGATGAGAATTAATGAAGATTTATGGTATTTACTTATTTATTTTATTATTTTTTGTATCAATTATAAATTATTAATCAGATTACTAAGAAATTTTAATAATAAAAAGAAAAAGATATTTGCATTTTTTTAAAAATGTTATTAAATTAGACTTATTTTGGTCTAATATTTATAGTAAATGTTTTAAAAAAATCAGTTCTACTTTAGATAAAATTAAAATTATTTCACCTTATCTTTATCTTTTGATAATTTTTAAAATTTAATTTATAAGTAAGAAAATTCAAATTTTTAATAACAAATTAAAAAAAGTTTGAGAGTTTAAAAATTGAGTATTTATTTATTTATCGTGAAATTTAATTAAATTAAAAAAAAATTCTTCAAAAAAGTATTAATATTAAAAATATTAAATCAAAACTTTTTAAACATTTATTTTGAAGTATTAATTTACTTAGAAATACTATAAATTTAATCACTATTTTATTAATAATTTATATCTATATATAAGGGCAAGATTTTATTAGGAAAAGTTTGTATAATAAACTACTCTAATTAAATTAATATCGATTTCACCATGCAGATCAAAATAACATTATAAATTGATTGGAGGTTTATTAGGAAGAATATTTAGTCCTCCATGATTTAAAAATAATTTTAATAAGGATTTGAACTCTAAAAACAAGAATAAGACTAAAAAATCAGATTTAATTAAGAGAAATTCATCATATTATTGGAAACAGTTAAAAGAAGAGCATAATAATTGTCTGTTGTCTGTTTTTTATGAACATATTGATAAAATAATATTTAAAAAAATTGTTTATTACTTTTTAAATACATTTATCTAAAGGAGATAACCTTGACTCCAAATCCAAGGAACTCAAAAATATAATAAAGGAATAAAAAAACTTTTCTAAATAAACAATATAAAATTGAATAGTTCCCAAAGCTCTCTGTATGCTGGCTGAGTAATTTGAGTACTATTTAAAATTCTAAGCAAATAATTATTTTTCCTAAAGCAAAGTAAAAGACAAAGACAACCACTACATTTATATTATTTTTTTTGAGTGCTTTTATAGCAGTTAATTATTTTCTGAAACTTTCAAATAATAAGAAAATAAATATTTTAATTAAAACTAATTAATAATAAATTAAATATTAATTTACTATCTTCCTATAAATTTAAATTCAATATAAAATAAAGAAATCAACTAAAAAAATCAAAACAAATAGGTTTTCCATATTAAAATTTAATAAAAATACTTATGTTTTTAGTTTTAAAAATGTTAAGAAAAAATTGAACTTTTTTTTAAATTTAAAGAAGAACTAAAAAAGCAAAAAATAATATTTTTGAATTTAGATCTAAATAATTTATAATGAATGATTTCAAAGATAATGAATAATGATTATGATTCATTATTATCATTTTAAGAGTATTTATTAACGACCTTATATATTTTAAAAAATAAAATGTTAATAAATATTTCTAAACAAATATATTAATATTCTATTAATTCTTTATACACAAAAAATATCTGTTGCTGCCTTCCTTTATTTAATTTAGATTATAGTACTGATAAAAATAGACCATAAATTAAATATTCTGTGGTTTTTATCTTTAAGCTATAAGAAAGTAGGCTGTAAGAAAGGAAGTAAAAAAAACGAAAAAAGCAAAGGAGTAAAACTTAGTATAAATATATTTAAAGTGTAAAATGAGTAAAGCAAAGTAAGAGATATTTCCAAATGGGACAATATTTGAAAAAATCTTTAATTATCTATGGAAACATCCACCAGATATTGAAAATAGATTATAAATTAACATACCAGATACTATTATATTCAAAAATACGCTCCCTGTATTTTGGTATTTTACAGATAAGAACAACAATATTAAGAGAAAGAAAAAAGAAAATACGTCTATTGATAATATTTATGAAGCTATGACTGATTAAGTAGATCCTGATTAAGTTTGTTGCTATTTTATGTATTCTGAATGTTGCGAAAAAAAATATGATCCAACGAAAAAATGTGAGAAATACTCTGGGTTAACATATATTAATTAGGAGTCTTAAGTAAAGATTTAATACTTTGACTCTAAAGATTTAAAGGATTTCTTGTATGCAGAAAAGATTCCTATTTCTGCTGGAATATTGCAAAAATTCGTAGCTCCTCCTTCTGAAAATAATAGTAAAAAAATATAATATTTATCTGAAAATTTTAGCTTAATTAAATTGTTTGTTTAATCTTAATTTACAGGTGTTTTTTAGGTTATGTATGGTTCTAAAATAAGTTAGTATTTAAAGATCACTAATAAATTGCCTTTTAATAGTGTAAAAATTGATAAATACGAAAGGTGTTGTACTTTTGATGGTCCATTGTATTTTTCTTAAGCATGTAAAATTATTTTTTAGTTATTGATGCAATAAATAATATTTAAAATAAAAAAAGAAAGTGCAGCCAAGTTCACAGCATTAAAACTTAAAAATGAAGTTGATAAGGTATTAAAAGAAATTATATTTATCATAAATTAGAAAAATTTTAAGTTTATTTGTCAAAGCTCTTTAAATTTTAGCTTATTTTAATATAAGAAAGTAATTAAATAGTTCAAAACATTTTTTCTTTGCAAATATTTATTTTATAACTAACAAACTAAATATCGCTTATAAACTGATAGAAAAATTTGTATTGAAAAAATGTATGATAGAGCGTTATTTTGATATCCTTAAATTTTTCAATTTCTCTTTTTTAAATATAATTTTACAGATTTCAAAATAGATTGTGGAGTTATGTGATTTATTTTATTAAAAAATATAGGACAATACATTTGAATAAATTTTTGTAAATAATAAAAATATTTTATATAGATATTAGAGCACTTAAAATCGGTGAGCTTTGGTATTTTGTATTTTGAAAAGGCAGACTTCTTTTTTAAAATTGATAAAAATGAAAATCTATGTCTTTTATTTATGTCAAATGCTAAACTAAAAAGCGATCAGTGTTTATCAGATTAAAGTGCACAAAGACAAGTTTTTAAAGTAATAAATTGCTGTAAATTGTAATTTTGTAACCTCAAACGAGAAAAAGAATTGTAATGTTTTTTAATAATTAATGCAATTTTTTTTATTATAGTTTAGAGAGATTGAACCAATTTAGAGCTTAAATCCTTTAAAGCCCTATTAAATACAGAAACTTGTAGTATGCTTAAGATGTTAAAAAAAGGAAGTTCCAAATAGATTTATAGAAATTCCTTACTCATATATAATATAGGAAAAAAATATTACTAAAGAAGAGAATCTTCTTTATTTAAATAATTATAATGCTATCGAGTTATAGCATCCAAGAGAAATTTCAGGATTTGCAGATAACGAAATAAGTAAAAGAAGTAATGAAAGCTAAAATAATAATACCAAATTAGAATCAAAAGAACTGTCTTTGCTTTAAATTACAATATCAAGTGATGATTAATAGTAAGACCTTTCACTTTTTAAACCTAAATTATAAGAAAAACCAGCAGAATTTGCTTACTAAAACCATGTAAATAAATTTTAAATCAAAATGAAATCGCTGTCATATTTTTCAAAACTAAATTAATAATTTTTTTCTATTCTTTTACTAACTTTTTAACTTACTTACATAATTTACTTACATATTCATTTATTTTTTTTCTAAAAAATAATTAGGAGATTCCAAATATTTTTTCAATGTTACATCACAAACTTGATTTTTAAAGCTATTAGAAAATAAAAGATGAGTTCTTTTTTTCGTAATAAAAAGTAAGAGTATGCTTAAATTGCTACATGGAAATCACTCCATACTTAGAGATAGTAAAGTCTAGAGGTATTGTAAGCTAAAAAGATCTTCAGTTTCGTCAAAATAGAATAAAAGAATCAAGGAGTTTAGACAGTAAAAAATATGATGTAATTAATTGTTTGTAATCTCTATTTTTTTTTATTTTTAAATCTTTTTTATTCAGCAAAATTAGCTTCAATATGTTCAGGAATTTAAAAATTTAAATGATTAAGTCAAATTGCAAAGAAAGTTTTAGAAATAGGGTTCTAAAAACTAAAAAATTGAGCAGTAATAAAATTAAATTATTAAATGTTGTTAAAAATAAAATTTACCTGAAAATATAAGTTCATATAGTAATAGAGAAGTGATAAATAATGAATAGGCAAGCTAACTGCAGAACATAAAAGATTCCTAAGATTTTTAAAGGTTCAAAATATAAATTTAGAATAAAATGTAAGAGTAAATCAATTATGAAGACTTACGATAGAAATAAGGTTCAAAAACTGAAAAAAGAGTTAAAAAACAAGACAATTAATCGCCATTAAGATTAATTGACTTTAATTTGTTGAGATCAAAAAGATAAATTAATTGCACTCCTTAATCATAAAAATTGGATTAATTTGAATTTTCCCCTCTAAAGTTTAATTTATCTTAAAGTATAAACAGATAACAGCACTCTTCTATTTCAACAAGATTATCTAGCCTTTCTAACTCTAGGTATAATACGCCAGGATTAAGTAAACACTTTTTATCCTAAAAAATAAGATATCAATTATTTGTTAAATAAAGATGGTGCAAAATAATAAATAACTTTAGTAAAACAAGATGAATTCAATTTTCAATATGAAAGTGCTTCAGGTTCAAAAGGAAAAGATCAGATACAAAATATTTTAAGAAGAAGGAGTGAAGATATTGACATAAAAATTCTTTAGAAAAAACAAAAAAGTAGTTAAATTAATTAAAAATTAAGCGAGATAACTAATAAATAAAATTTATTAAGCAGCCTCAGAATTTAAACACCGCATAAAAATAGCCTGATAACTTAAAGTAAAATATTTTACGATTAATTCGGATAAGGTTTTGATAGAAAAAATTCTTAAAAAAGAACAATTTAAATTTATTCAAAATAGGTTTCAATTTAAAACTTTTTTAAAAATTGAAAAGCTCTCTGCTTTTTTCTTCGAATTTCATAAATAAATCTTAAAAATTGATATAAAAAATTAGTATAAATCGTGAATCTGTATGTTTTTTTATTCATATTATTTGTGTTATTTGGAAAAAAATAGTTCATCTTGCATTAAAATGACTTATAATAAAAAATTTATTTTATTACTTAAAAATTTAAAACAGTAAAAATTTTAATTTAAAAAACCTTATTCTTTTAATCAGATTTTTTTTAAATAGCTCTTTTGATCTAACTGGCTTTAGTTTAATTACATTTTAAGTTTTTGGTTTATATGCTGAGTATACCAACTAGCTAATAAATATTTAGTTTTTTGTATAATTTAAAACATTACCATATTACATTCTATATTATTTAATGAGGGTTACTTTGTTTTGATATTAGAAATTAAATGATTGATTTGTCTCACAAAGATTTTATAAAAATTATTATTTATTTAAAATTTATTTCTGTTTATTTATTGATTTTGTTTGCAAAGTTTTTTTAATTGAGGTAATATTTTGAATTCTGTGAGAAGGTGATATTAATTGGCTTTTTATATTTAAAAAGTATATGAACTCTGAGTTAATTAAATTAAAAGCCAGTATAATTAGATCAGATTCAATTAGATTGTAATTGTTGAATTAAACAGAGGAAAAGCTGCACCCATTTAAAAGGATCAGTATAAAATAGCGAAAAGAGATTTTTTTGCTAAAAGAAATAGTATTTTAATATATAATATATATTAATTATTTAAAAAGAAAAAAATAATACATTATTTATAAATAAATTCTATTTAAAAAGAATACTGATAATAAACTACTGATTGATTGATATTGGTTTAAACAAAACATTTTTACTCAATATTTTGGCTATACAATTAACTAATTCAATTAATAAAACTTTACCATTAAATAATCATAGCAATATTTAATTAATTAACAATAAGAAATCAGCATTAAAAAAATGTAATAAGAAGACAATTTTATTTATAACAGTTGCGTTGCTCTTAAAGAAATGGATATATCGATACCTGATAAGTCTAAAATAAATTAGGATTCTCAGCATAAATAAAATGAATAAAAATAAAAAAACTATAATTTAATCAAAGAAAGCTCCCATCATTTGTCAAGATAGTAAAGCAATTATAATAATGATAGCTACTATGAGTTTGATACAGATGAAGCAATTAAACCTGCTGTTAATTCCATAAGCTCCTCAACTATTAAACTAGCGGTTTCTGCTCCCACTGCAGGATAGGTAGATAATATTATGAGAAATCCTAATAATAATTAAAAATATATAGAGGGATTAAATTTTAGCAATGATCCGCAATCCTTAGAAATATATATATAATAGTAAAAATATGATTAAAATTAGCAACAAGAAAAAATGTAAATAGAGTCATACAATAACTTTTGCAAAACTATACATAACACTGATTCTTATATTCATTTTTAATAAACTTCAATTGAAAATATCTCTCTTGAAGAATTAACTAGCTAAGAACCCTCAATAATTAATGAATTAAGCAAAAAAAATTATATAAATCAAAAAAATAGTAATTAAATCGAGGTTATCAAAAGAAAGCAAACAAGGGGCATGCAGAACAACCAGTTTATGCAAAAATTTGATGAAATCCCTAAGTTAAAAATTGATGATTTAAATTTAAATAAAAAAAATTAGACTAGTATAAACAACAATAATTTTTAAATTTAATATATTTCAACTCAATAAGAATGTAATATAAAAGAATAATGTTTAAGTGAAGAAATTTCATAATAACCACAACAAAATATTCACAATTAAACTTTTTCATCAAATATTTAAGCAAATGAAAACACTCTTTGCTAATCATAAAACAGTAATAATAAAAAATTTACATTAGAAATTAAAAAAAGTTCTCATAAATTGACTTAGAGATAGCAAGATTTAAAAATTAAGGTAATCAATAAACAAAATTCGTTTTATTCAAATAACAATTCTTCCCCAAATTCAAACGAATGTATTCCTTCAGACCAAGATTTAATTTCCTAAAGCTGCATGTAATAAACGAATAAATTATGTGAAAGTCTTTAAGATTTTTAAGAAAAAAAATCATCAGAAAGTGATGTTTCTTTAAATGATATAATTAGCGCAAATTTTTAGCAATAATAATGTACAGAGAATTAACAATAAGAAGACTTTTCAAATTAAAACTAAGATAACGAAGTATCTTAAGACTCAAATGAAACAAAATAAAATTTTGTAAGAAGAATTTGTGATTCATCTTCTCTGTTTTGGAAATAGTTTACTGAATAAGATGATGAATATCTGCTATCCCTTTACGAAAAATTAGATAAGAATAATGTAAACAAAAATATTCTATCTTCATTTTTAAAATATATTCTTGATAATGGGGACGATGTTGTAGTTGAATGTCTCGACTAGAAGTAAAAGGATCTAAATATCATTAGAAAAGAACTAAAAAATTTTACTAGGAACAAAAAGCTAAATAACAATACAATAAACAGCTTTTTTAATAGCTAGCGATATTCAGAACAATTTTAATACTTTCTTAAGTTTTACGCAATCGATTATTTTTCTAAAAGTAAGGTAAAGGATAAAACAAACCACTATATATGCATTGCTTTCTTTTTGAGGTGCTTTTTTAATAGTAAATTAAGAGAAAAAATTGTTGTTTATAATAAATCTAAATACTTTAAATCCCTTCATAAAAATAGATATTCCGCAAAATAAAATCAAAGTGAGGCATTAAATGAAAGTTAGTTGATAAATTGATTAAAGATTAGGATTTTTTTTCGATTGAAGAATTAGTGTAAAAGAAGAAAAGAAGAAGGATAAATCAATTAAATTTGATTAAAAAATAAATTTCAAAAATTAGTCAAACGCATACAATTTTTTTAATACAAAAAGCATAATAAAATTTTACAAATAAATATAAGAAAAGACAATTTTATTTAATAAAGAAGCCAGCAATAATCTCTTAAGAGATAATGTTTTTTATTAATTAATGTTAACTTTACTAATTTAATTAAGATATAAAAAGAGACTTGTTATCTATATTCAGATTAATTTTAGAAAAAATAAAGATGATTGGCTCTTCTTGCTTGTTAATTTTAGCAAATAATAAAAATATTTCAAATAATTTTTAAGTAAAAAATGTTAATAAAATTTTTTTAATTTTCAAAAATTTTAAATTTTAAATGTAACTCATTCATTTATTTATTTTGCATATTATTTATTTCCCAATCATATTTAATAAATTAAAATATCTATGAAAAATATACTTTTATCGTATTTATAAATTTATTCATGTAATAAGATTTTTTTAATTTCATTTGCTATTATTTATTAAAATTGGCTGAGAAATTAATAAATAAATTAATTGATTTCCTTCTTATTTTAATTATTTTGTTATTTACAATTTATCTAGAAGTTTTTCAGGAAAAAAATAATTTAAAGTTCAATGAATTTAAAAACAGTAAAAAATATTTCTTAAAAGTATACATTTTATTTATTTTGCTATAATTTTATAATATTTATATTTGATATTAATAAGCAACTTCTTTATATATTAGAAAATTAAAAAAGATTAGCAACAAAATTATATGCTTCCAAGGAATAGATTACAATTTTAAAAAGTATGTCATTTTGTTATATTTAAAATAAAAATTATAGAGTAATTGTAATTCAAACCTTTCTCATATTTACTTAATATATTGTTTTTATGTAGTTTAATTTTCTTTAAGTTTTTAATTTTCAAAATTATATTTTTATTAATTTTGTAGATCTTTGAAAATACTAAAACTAATGAAATTAAAATAATTAAAAAATTAGTCAATAAAACTATAATACCTCTTATTTTTTTAAAGCTAATATACATAATTAATTATCTCAAAATTTTACACATTCTTCATTTTGATAAATTGTTAAATTCAAGTAACTAACTCTCTATTTGAATACAAATTAAATTTTTATTTTTACATTTAATACTATTTAGCAATATAGTTCAAGATAAATTAAGATTTTTATGCTTCAAACTCCATTTTTGTTAATTAAATTCCAAAATTATTTTACGATTTGATTTTATTTATTTTAATGTAACTTATTCAAAAAATTAAATTGCTTAAAAATAAAAAAAAAGCTCATTTTACTACTTTTAATAGGAGATGTGATTAAGTGGGTGTAATTTTTTTAAATTGCAACAGAGATCCTATTTTACTATATATTAAATATTTACAAACAATTTATTTCTAAAAAATTAAGTTTTTTAAGGATAAAATTTAAAATAATTTAAATAAGAACTATCTACATAATAAGTCAGGTTAGAAAAGGTTATTTATATGTGTGGATGCTGTTATTTTGACTGAATGTTACTATTTAAAATATAGTTGAGTAATAATTATAATCTTAGTTAAAGAGAGATTAATTATCCACCTTTAATTAACTTTAGTATCATCAAATTATTGATAGAATTACATGAGAAAAAATACTTTGATTTTAATTAATTTAGTAAGTTAATAATTTTAATAATAAACTATCATATAAAAGCTAGTCTATCGATCTATATATCTTTCTTAAATTGGAATCCAAATTATAAATCTAGTTTTTGAAAATAAGACTTTAAGGATAAAATATTGTCCCAGTTCTCCCTTTTAAGATTTATATTTGAGATATGGAAAAGATAAAAGAATTGGTTGATGTCAGGTTTGAGATTATTAAATAATACAAAAAAGAGATTGCTTAACTCTAAAATGAGAATTATAATCTTACAGACAATTCTAATATTTAGAGGAAAATCCTTAAATTTATCATCAATGCAAAGAAGGAAGAGAAACAGAGAATCAGCAATGAGAATAAGCTTTTTGAAATATTTTTTAGCGAGAGATCTAATTCATTGTAGAGTATTTAGTAAATAAATTATTATTATCATCTTAAATAAATGTTTTTAATCAATTTTATTTATTTTAATGGATTTTAGGCAATTCTATTCTATCAGTCTACAAATAATGAATTGTTTGTTTCAAAATTTCGAGCTTGAATAGGAAATGGTGTTTTGTAAAGAACCATAGTATCGTAATGTTGCATCTCTTTACATTGAGTTTTTTCAACAAACTAACTTTTTATAGAGGGCTGACGAAATCAAAATGATTATCAAAAATGAGCTATATGAGAGAGTAAATAAATTCCTTTAAAATAGCAAATTTTATCACTATAACTATATCAATGCATAAACAACTGAAAAATTAAATTTATTTTCTGAGATGTTGTTTTTAAAATGTGTTAGGTTCCTTTTTTTTGCTTGCTATTAAAGTGGCTGGTCGAAATGGCAAGAGCTCAATTTGGGGATTTCATAAAAGAAAATTCAGATATTTATTTAAAATAGCTTACATCGAATCGCAATAAAGGATCTTAGAAAGAAATTATTACTATTACCTCAAATTAAGATTAAGACATTATTAAATAACTACCTTACAAATACAATAACTCGACCTTTTAAATAAGTGAAACCCTCCAAACAGACAATCGCAAAAGTAAATAAATAAGTTAATAAATTGTTTCTGTAAGATTAAATAAAACAATTTAGTTCTAATGAATATCAAATAAATTTTTATAATTAAATTTAGGTATAAAATCAAAGAGATCATCAATGAGCTCTTTAGATAGTAAATAGATTGATTTAATTAATGCCTGTGGTAATTGTGTTAATGCAAGCAATCCTCCTAATAAATTATAGGATAAAAATCAGGCTACTTTGAGGAACAGTATGTAAAGTATATAGAAAATAAATTCTCAAACTTAACTGCAAGTGCTTTCAAATGGTTTTAGCATATAAACATCTAGCTAAAATCTAAACTGCTAACAAACTAGTATTGCCCCTCAAGGCATTCATAATTCTACAAAGAACAGCAACTAAAGTTAAACATAATAAGGATTAACAATTAGTACTTAAAATAATAATTTAGATAAAAAGAAGTAATCTCCTATGAAAAGATAATATAATATCATTAGTAATATTAATGACATTATGGATTTAGAAGTGAATAATTTTAGTATAGAGATGATTATGTTTCTTATGAAAAAGCTAACTTAACCTGATGGGAGCATTAATGATTAGGGCAAGTAATAAATGGTTAACTTTATGATTAGCAAGAACTTGGAAGTTAAAGCTACAATTGAGAATTACTACTCCAAATACATTGAGAAATTTCCTTAAAAAATTAAATAGCAAATACAGTAAATACAATAAAAAGTTTTAGATAAAATATAAAAAAGGAAAAGAATTCAAGTTGTAAGTTGCTACAATTAAACTAATAATTTAGCAGATTAAAGTAATACTTCTTATAATTAAAATGGCCTTTCGGATTTTAGAAGGAATTCATAAACTAATAAGAATGAAGTCAATCAATCCAGGCCTTATTCTTCATAAGGTATTTACTCAAGTAGTGTTAATCAATCGTTAAATTAGAGTCAAATCAAAATGGAAAAGAAACAAAACTTAAATAATTCTTTAGATATACAAGTCAATTTATAGGAAGGAACTATGTTTTAATTTGATTAATAGGAAGGTTAATAAAAGAGACCCGTATCATAGCAAAAAAGCGACAATGTAAATAGGATAATAATAGAAACAAAAGTAAAGCATCTTTCTCTAGAATAGAACTTAAACTCTCAAAATAATCAAAATAATAAGTAAATTTATAATTAAGCGAGATACTAATAGAACAAACTACCATACAGTGGGTCTCTCTTTTCTTCTGAAAATATATCACAAGAAAAGTAGGTTTAAAATTTAACTAAATTGAGCCAAGACTAATTTGTTTAAAGAATGAGATCGACTCATAAAATATATTACCTTTAAAAAAGAAATAATCAAAACAATTAAACTAATTCTACAAATAATTCTACTTCAGCCAGTTAAAATTCACATGGATTATAAGAAACAAATAATTTACCTCTACAAAAGGTTTCACTATCAAAACAGAACTAATAAATCCCACCAATAAAAGTAGCTTCTATTGATGGAAACGAAGCAGCTTATTCGACTTTAGTTTTACCAACATAAGGTAATGAGTCACAAAAAAATTTAGACCCACTCTAGAATAATTTAGATAAAATCGAAACAATAGACTATTCCTCAGTTATGTTCACAGCTCAATCTTCCAACAGAAACAAGCCTCAATATCCTTTAGTTATTCCAAATCCACAATACTAATATTTTTATAATTCAAACTAAAAGCAAACGTAAAATAAAGTATAAAATAACCTTTTGCAAATTTTATGTTTTTTTAAAAAAAGCTCCACATTATCAATAATGGAATAGGGAACTCGCCCTAAAACAGCTTCATTTACTGAAAATAGTAACAGGACATATGGGTTAAAGACTAAAATAAATGTTTAATATTTGCAAAGTAGTAAAAGACAAAGAAGTAGATCCATAAATCAGCAACTTAATCCAGGCAAAAAGCAGCTACTATCTAATTGGGTTTAACCAATTAATAATCCAACATAACTAAACTAAATTAGCTAAGTACCTAATGGAGACACCATAAAAAAAATTGCAGATATAAGTTACTAAGCAAGTCTTAACAACTCAACCCACTTTTATGGAGGTAAAGATATGAAAGGAACAGGGAACATTTAAATTATTTCTTGTTAATAAAATCCTTAATTTGGGTCAAATACATTGCCTATATAAAATTAAAATTATCAAAACAATACTTTATAATAATTTAGAGTATCTTCAGCTAAGAAATCTTAGAATAGCCCATTTTATGCTGAAATATAGAATAATACAAACATTAAAGAGAAATTTTACTAAATTTCCAGAGAGAAAAGAAGGTTATCTCAAACAAATTATCAGCAAAATTCCCTCATAAATTCATAAAAATTAGAAAATCCTATTTAATACTTTAGTGTGCCATAATCTAATTTACAGCAAAATCATTAAAAATAAGTTTAATAAATTAATAACTAAAATTGTATCTCAAATATGGGTACTCGTGCAAGGCACTCTCTAAGTGTTAATGATAGCTTGAATTAAAATTAAAATTGTGGAAAAACAATCCCCTAATAAAACAATTTCAATAGTATAAGTCACAGACCATAATATTCTTCTAATATAGCCAATTAAGATATTTCAGTTAATTTTATTTAGCAATCTACAATTTAATTTAAGAAAATATAACAAGATCTTGCTAACTAACCTTTATTAAGCAGGATAAAGGGGAATTCTAAAAAGAAATGAATAATTGATTAAAAATATAAAAAAATTTACATTAGCTATTTAAATTTATCAAATTTTATAAAAAATCACTTGATACATTTAACAACTAAAAATAAAATATCAAACTTTATTTCATATTTATATTTGTGTTACTTTATAATAATAAATTTAAATTGTTAATCTAACTTTTAAAAAATAGTTCATCTTAAGTTTTTATTTTTATATTCAGTTAATAGATATTTATTGAATAGACCTAAAAAAATATTGATTTAAATATTTATTTTGGTTTCTAAAGATTAAAAAAAGTAAGTTTGTTTTTTATATTTGTGAGATAAATCTTAAAAAAAATAAATTAGATTCAAACACTTTCAATTTATTTAAGTTATACAGAAAAAATTAATTTTTAATAAATTAAATAGCTTATAAGATGATGTTTAATGAATTAAATTAGGTTTTGATTTTCGCTTTGTATTTGAATATATACTAAGTTATTTTTTTTAATAAAAATAGTTTATTTGCTCTTCATTAGAGAGCCATACTTCTCTTTAATTAGCCTTTAGGTAAATTTGAAGAATTCATATTTTTTAATTAATTAATTTTTTAAAATTGGTTAAAGTCGAAGTTAGTTAAGTAATGAAAATATATCAAGTGTGTGCCAAGCACTAAATCAGTCTATAAATTTAAAATCTTTGATTTTTAACTTCAAGTAATAAATTTTTATAACCATTTTTTATTTATTTAAGTTAATACCATCTCTTCAAAACATATACCAAAGCTTTAAATTATTTATTAAAAATTTTAGGACAGTTTAAATCAGCACCTAAAATTTAAATAATTTGATAGTTTCTATTGGACTTTGTGAAAAGCTTTAAGATTTAACATTAAACTTGAAGTAAAAAATGATTCTTTTATAATAGCTTATCAATCATGTTTAGTAATAAAAAGATAGGAGATGAAGGGATATCTGTTATAGCTTCAGCTCTTAAATAATGCCCAAAAGTTATTGATTTGAGCATTTTAATGATGTAAAATATTTTATTTTTAAATTAATTTATTTATTCAAAAATCTATTAAAATAAAGTGTAATAATTAACAACTTTTTTTTTTTTAATCAATCTACATTTACTTATAATATATTTTTATAACAAGCAAGTAATCAAATAATAACAAATATTTTCTATTTTTTTTTAATTAGAAAAAGAAAATAATTATTTTTATATATTATAAATATTAGATGGAATTAAATTTCAGATATAGGAATATCTAATTTTAGTAATTAACTTAAAGATTTAACATAACTTTAATAATTGAATTTAAATTTAAGGTAAATAATTTTAATGTTTTAAAATTAAAAGAAAAAAAATTAAATATTTATAACAAAAGTTACAATAATATTAGCGATGCTGGAATAATTGAATTAAGTAATTCATTAAAATATTGTATAAATGTTAAAAAATTAGTTCTTAAGCTATGGTAACTTAAATTTGAACTATTACAATAAATATTTTACTGAAAAAAGTTTATTTCTTAATTCTAAAGTAGTAACTTTTTTAGTGATTAAGGTATATACTAATTAGGAAACACAATGTAATTTTGTTCTAATATTAAAATTTTATAGATTCAGCTTAAGTAAAATATTTTATCAAATAAAGCTTTTAAAAATTTTTAATAAATTTAAAAATAAAGATAAAATTTGATTACCAATTAAGGTATTAAATTATTTGGTACTACTCTTAGAAAATGTAATCAAATTATTGTGCTCATAGTTAATTTAAAGTAAAATTAAGGTATTTTATTTATACAAAGTGACATAAGAATTTTAATATTCAAGGTATAATTAGTAAGATTTTGAAGTGTCACAAGATCTAAATATTAAATTTAAGAAGGCCATAAGATTAACAACATTAAAATTTGACTATTGAAACGAATATCTTTATTTTAATTTAATTAATAATTAAATTTTCAAGAATAAAGAGCAAATAATTAATGATTCTCAATACTTTTTGATCATAAAAAATTATAATTGTTTATCTTTATATTTTTTTTTAGATTGAATCTAAAACTTTTTATCAAAAGATTAATCTTATTTTTCATATGATATAAAAAAAAAACACGATAGTTAATAAATGAAGATTAATTTTTCAAAATTAAAGTAGCATTTAGAAGTTTAAAAATTAATAACTTCAATTTTTATATAATTATAATTTTAATTTAACAGTATCATTTTTCTAAAATTAAATTAAAATAAATTGATTAATAATTAGGAATTCAACCTTCATATAATTATAATTGTTCTTTCTAAAATTAGAAATTAAAATTTATTTAAGCAAGGTATATATATCTAGATAATTTTAAGCTATTTAAATTCAATTTTATTATATTTAAGATAGAATTTATTTTTAATTGTTAAAATGGGTTTAATTAGAAACAATAAATAATTTTGGTATATTTTTATAAATTTTAGAAAAGAGATGTAAAATTAAAAGAAATATAAATGATAGATATTCCTGCAATTAGAAATAGCTATTATATAAATTTAATATATCATTAAATAGATCACCACCAAGTTGAAGTATTGAAGTATCCTGTGCGAGGATTTACAACTGTTGACATGATGGTTGCAACATTTAGAGTGGGATATTTCATCATAATATCTTCCATTAAAATTGTTTCGTTGATATTTCCATTTAATTTTTCAAGTCTTTCTTGAGCAGGAATTCTTCTTCTGTCATACCATGGATCAGGGACATCTCTGTCATAATTTGTTTAAACTAAAAATGAAGTAGTTTCATTTAATTAGTAGAATCCGTGAATTGAATCATAGTTTCTTTCAATTACAACACCATCGTTAATTCCAGGACCACTGACCATATAGTATATAGGACATGCGATAGCAGTGGTATTTAATTTTTAAACAGCGCCTAATTTAATTTAATATTTATTTTTATTTTTGTCTTTTTATTGTAAATTTACCTTCAAAAGAGTCTTCAGTTTCTAAGGTCTCCTTGATAAGCCAAACTGAAGGGAAGTTTCCTTTAGCAATAGCTTGAAGATTAGTGAATAAAGACTTAGAGTTTCTTGTGGTTTAAGTTAATCCGAACTTTCCAGGCTTAACTCCGGAGTGGAAAAATATAGCTCCAGCAAGACCATCTACACTGAATATATGTTGATTATTTCTATAATAATCAATAGTCATAGTTAAATTGGAAAAGTATCTATTTTATAAAAAATAAAATTTATTAATTTAAAGAAAAATAAATTTTGAAGAAACATAAATTGTTCTTATATTAAAATTATGTAAAATTTATATTTAAAAAAAATAATAATAAAAAAATTAATTATGTCGACTTTGTTCTTTATGATTGATCGATCATAAAATATATTTTTGATTTTCTTAAAGGTTTTAAAAATACTTTTATTTAATTTCTAATTACCTGAAAAATTCAAAGTCTAAATTTCTTCCATGATAAATAGTTCCATTATTATTTCTTACAACAACACCAGTGCAAGCTTTCCATGAGGCAAGCTCATACATGAAATTCAAAGTAAATAAAGTATTGAATGGAAGACCAGTTAATTCAGCTATGGCTTCAACTTACTTGACATACTTTTAATATTTAAAGATTGTCTTTCCATAAACACCAACAGCATTAAAAATCCACTTTGGAATTGGAAGTAAATGTTCAAACTCAGCAATAAATATAGAGAGAGGTTCTTTGAAATCATTCATTATAGGAGCCCATTAAACTTTTGGAGGAGCATCGATATCGACTTAATATCTAGGAGGATTGTGGAAATGGAGAGGTCCTGGATGAGGAATCATAATTGCTGAGCTTAAGCCCAAAAACAATCCTATGAACAAGAGTGTTAATTTCATTGTTAAATCTCAAAATTTTGTTTTCTTTTTGCTTGTTTAAGAAATTAAATTATTATTTAATTAATTTTCTTTAGAAATTTTAAATCATGCAAAATACCTAACTAATTTTTTTTATAACTTTGAATTTTATTTAAAGAATCATAAAATAATAAAAGAATTGAATAAATCCAGATATTATTAATTATCTTATTATAAAAAAGATTGAATTTGGTGCTTCATATAATCCAAAGTTCTTATCCTGGTTTGCTTTTTGGTATAAATTAAAATTATGTAATCTGCTTAGGCATGTTTCTAATGATCAAAATTACAAATAATGTTCAAAAATTCTTCTCTAATTAAATTATATGACCACATAAATACTCTAAAAGCTGTAAATGACGATACATTTAACATATTAATAAACAGACATTACCACTAAAAAAAATCAATAATCTTACTTTTAATTCATAATTTAAAAATTAATACTATTTCAATTTATGTTAAAAATCATTAAAAAAGAAATAAAGATAATTTAATGAAAAATAAATAAGTCATAAATAAAATCTACAATCGTTCTACTTTTTATTTATTTTGGCATTAAATTATAAAATTAGAAATTTATTTTGTTTATTTTATTTTTGTATTAAATAATAAAATCATTTAATTTTTCTTTATTTTATTTTTTATATATTAAATTGAACAAATAAATAAGTAATAAATAAAATCTATAATCCATCTACTTTTTATTTATTTTGGCATTAAATTATAAAATTAGAAATTTATTTTCTTTATTTTATTTTGTATTTAATAAAAAAATCATTTAATTTTTCTTTATTTTATTTATTAAATATTAAATTGAACAAATAAATAAGTAATCAATAAAATCGATAATCTACTTTTTATTTATTTTGGCATTAAATTATAAAATTAGAAATTTTGTTTATTTTATTTTTTTTACGTTAAATAATAAAATCATTTAATTTTTCTTTATTTTATTTTTTAAATATTAAATTTATAAATGAAAATAAAAGTTTTTAGAATTTTATTTATTTTTAAAAAGTAATTGAAAAAAAATAATATTTGAAAACCAAAATATTAATTTGAGCTAAAGAAGATTAAAGTTTTTATTATTTAATTTGTTAAAAAATTATAATCTAATTTTACTGATTTTAAACTAGAATCTTATTCACCTCAGATTTACTTAAGAGTATAGATTTTCTTCCAAATTTCTTCCTTATTTTTTCTATCTGAGTATATTTATTATTAAAAAATCTATAACACAAAACTTAAGAAAAGTAGGTAATAAAAGATAAATGGAAGTAGAAAACTTAAATAATAACTAAGACACATTAAATATATAGGAAAATTAGAGCAATAATGAAAAAAAAAGCAAGAATAATTAATTAAGTTTGAAAGAAAAATAATTATAAATTGCTTCGTTAACTATTTAGCCATCATTTCAAAATACATTTTATCTGCATGGAGATATTGTACTATGCTTAAGGCAGCTATCTTGCTTAAATATTTGTAGAAAATTCCATCATAATAACATATATCGACATATAAATAACATTCGTATTTGGAAGCCTTAAAGTTTTTCAATTCAAGAAGAATCTTTAAAACAAACTTTTATTGAAGCTAGTTTTGAAAAACCGAAGTCTAGCCTTTAGGATTATAAAGGATTGGCAGAAAGTTTAATCTTACATGGCTCAAATTAATCAGAATATCTATTTGGATAAAATTTAATTGATTGGTATAATTAAGGCTAAAAGCTAATATAGTTTGTAAAATAATATTATAGTTTCCTGACATAGAAAAAACTGCTTGAATAATATTTAGAATAAGAGGGTATGTATAAAAATGAGCTTTTATAATTGATATACTAAACTATAGAGTAACAAATTTGTAAAGTAGAATTTTTTTAGTATAATATTATTGAGTTCAATTAGGAAACTTGTTAATATGAAACAACTAGAATTGGTATATCTAAAGGTCTATCATGCTTACTTGGTGCTGATGAATAAGGCTCATAATAAATTATTATAAGAAATGGTGCATTTGAGTATTTAGATAATGCCACTAATTTAAATATATAAAGATAAAAAATGATGTGGTTTTCTAATTAAAAATAAGTATCTTAATAGGTCACAAGCAATAATAATGAGTTAGAATGTTATATAGAAAATTAAGCTGTTTTACATACGTTAGATGAATATTAGTTAACATGTAGAGTTTTGTTTTAAAGATTGCCTATTAAGCATGATTTGTTAAATAAATATCCATACATATTTAAAATGTAATAAAGCTTATTTAATAATCTTGGATATCTTCCTTATCCAGATTTGGTAAGCTTAGAGATAAAGATTATTGAAGTAGAACCCTCTGCAATAAGCTCACTGCTATAATAACGATCTTAATAAATGAATCCAGAAGGAGATTCTGATATTGAGTATTTAAAGGATCAATTAGAGTATTCTGTGAGAAGTATGGATTTTATAGAAAAATTTTATGATAGTAAACTTTTAGCTAAGAAAAAAAGATTTCGTAGAAAAAAAGGTCAAATAAATGATTGGGAGTACTTAAAGTATAAATATGAGGAATATAAGTAATAATAACAATAATAAAAATATAATAAGGCATTTATATCTAATAAGATAGATGATAATCAATAACTATGAAACTTCAAAAATTTGTTTTATTTAAATTAAGTGTTATTTTGTAAAATAAAAGTTAAAGTATAAAATAAAGATAATTCAAATATTATACTATAAATATTCATATTTTAAGTAAGTAGACTTACTCCTTTTTTTATTTTATTCAAAAATTTAAAGGCTAATTAAACCACATTTTCAAATTTTTAAAAACCGGCCTTAATATATGAACCTTTACAGTATTTAATAAATAAAAGAATTTGATTAATTCAAATCATTATTTCAATAATTTTAAATATTTAATTTAACATAAAAAAAACCATATTTTTATTTTTTAATTTAAAATCTTAAGCTATAATTTGAGGATCGATCCTTAATTAGGATTGGCTGAATTTGAAGATATTTTTTTTATAATTTCTTCATGTTTTAATTTGATATTTATTGTATTAACTAATATTTAATACATACAAACATTTTTATATTTTTAGTATTACAATAAGTGGAGAAAATAAAAAAGAAGTAAATAAAATACTTATTATATCAATAAACTTAAGTAACTTAGATTCATTTTAGTTTATATTTAAAATAGTCAATTCACGTAGTTTTTATATTTAATTAAGTTCATTGTTTATACTCATTAATGATTTTTGCATTTTTTAATAATTTTTAGCTCATATTATCTTTTATAACGTTATTAGTTATCTCAGATCTTAAACTACTCTGCATATTATCTGATATTGAAATATCATAGCTTTTAGATTGGATCGTATTTTTCTTTTATCTGAATAGGGATTAGTTGCTATCTATCTGTTTAGATTGCATTTTTTTATAAACGTTTCCTGATTCCTTTTATTCATTACTTACCTCTGTTATTAATATATTGTTTATTTCATCTGAATCTGTTTAATTTTAGTTTTACTAAGAGTTTAACATTTGCTATGGAGAATTTTAGTTTATTGTATTGTTTAATAAATGCTAATCATGCTCTTGTAAAGTATTAGATCTTTTTAAAGAATAACCTATTAAATTTATTGCAGCTGGACTTCCAGAAAGATTTTATTTCTTAAATTGTTAATTTTCTTCGTTAGGAACAGAGTCAGATTGAAAAGAGTTGTTTTCTAAAATTATTGTATTAAGTTAAGGAGAGTTTTAATTTGATTACTTTTCTGATTTACTAAAATTGATAATATTTTGATTATTAAAATTAGCATCTTTTTAGTGCATATTATATTAATCTTAATGCTAATCTTTTTCGTTAAAGAAAAAGGATACTTTTTTATCGTTAGTAGCCAGACTGTTTTGTTTTTTTTTTACGGAACTTTGGTTTTAGCTTTAGCTTCTAATATTAGGAGGAATTTAAATCATATATTGCTTTGGCTCATATTTTGATTTGTATAATCTATTTATTTGTTACGTTTCTGGATTATTATAAGGTATTTTGTGGGCTTAGTTACTTTAAACTGATAGCTAATCAGAATGAATGTCTGGAGTGTTTAGTTTAATTTAGTGAACTCTTTCTGGAGAATATCTATACATTTAATTATTTTTTGGATGATTTTATAAAGCCATTAAATCTATCATTCTATTATTTCTATCGTTTGATTGTTGTGAATACTTTTTAATTAAATTTACACTTAAGCCATCTATATATAAGTTATTATTTTCTTCTAAAGTTTTATCATAATATGTATTAAATATATCTTCTGTTGTTTTTTGTTACTGATTTAAAAAAAATTTTTTTTTGCCATTTGATTTTTGAGATTTATTAGAAGCTCCCTTGCTTAGCTTAGGCATTTAATGATTACTTTAACTGCTTGCTAGTTTATTTAAATTTTTGCTATCTACGCCATTGAATAGCTAATTCTATCTATTGTTAAGATTTGCTTCATTTAAGCTTAGACCTCTTTTTTCTTCAATCATTTCATTAGGTATATATGTTTAGTTAAATACATGTTTGATATTCATATCTAACATCTCTAGAAGTCTGCTATCTAAAACATTTTTCTTCTTCTTTTGAGTCATAATCTTATAAGAAATGCATGCATTAGTAGCCTTATCAATAGTACTTTTCTCTTCTTAAAGCAAACTCCATGCTTCTTAAATATTAAATTTATCATTAATTTCATTAATATCTTCATTCTCCTTTTGTAAAACTACTGGTCTAGGAAGAAACTCAAACAATTCTCTTTAGTTGTGATCTAAAAGAAGCATTTTTAGTTTATCTATTTCTACTAGTTTATTTAGTATATAAACTATATCCAGTCTTTAGACAACTTTTTTCATGCAGTATTTTATTTACTTTTTCTTTTTGTCTTTCTTAAAAAGAAAATATTTTATGTAATCAAAAAAGCCTAGCTTGAGAGAGTTTGTTTATTTCTGTTCTATCATTTTGTTAAATTTTTTCATTTCTTTTATAGATAGTCTCTTTTTACTCTCACTAAATTAACTCTTCCCAACTTCGTTTAAATCCCCAGTTGTGTTATTTTTATCCATGTTTTTTATTTTCGAGCTATTCGAGTTCATTACGTTACCTTCACTGTCGTTTTAAGATTTAAAAATTGTTTTCTACTTTGCACGCTCCTATATTAAGCTTGCTACAAATTAAGTATCTGTCCTCTTATAGGAAACAAACATCTCATCTGAGTCTTTCTATGAAAAGCCAGATATTTTTTACTAAAATTGAGTTTTACCAGACCCATTTTTATTTAATTCTTAATCTTTTTATTCATTTAAATTTTATTTTTCTACATTTAAGCTAATTTCTTATTCACTTATTTGCTTTTATTTTTCCTTCTCTTCATGAAATTTTATTTCCTCTTTACTAGCTAATTGCTACTTTGTTTTTATATCTGATGCTTGCGATTTAATAACTAAATTCACATAATGTTAAATAGGTTCATTAGGAATAATGTCTCTATCATTTTCGCTTAATTAGCTCTATTAATCCTAATATATTGGTTTATTTTATTAAATATTTTTTTAAATTTCTTCTTTATTATGTTATCTAATTTGGTTTATGTGTGATTCAAATGATTTAAATTCATCAAATTTTTCATAGTTATTATCTTTTTCTGTATTTTGTTGAGTAAAAAAAGTTAATTTTTATTTATCTTAATCATTTTTCAGTTTTGTCAAATTTGAGAGTTAATTATCTTAAATTTAAAAAATGTTTTTATTACGATTTATCTCTTTGTTATTTATTTTGTTCAGCATTATCGAACTTTCTAAAATGGGTTTTTATTCTTAATTTATATCTTCATTTGTTGTTGTTTAAATATTTATTATTCTGTCAGTTTATAATGTTTGCTAGTTTTATAATTAATTTATTTTGCTTTTCTAGTCTTCTTTATCTAAAGGTTCAATATGAATAAAATTAATATCATTATTATTTACCTATTAATCATTTTATTCCATTATGGTCTGTGTCTTTTTAAACAGGTCTTTTTTATTAAATTTTATTGAGTTATTTTCTGAATCAGTATTTGCTATATCTTAAGTTTTTACAGATTTTCTTTGCTTGAAAAGCTTTGAAATTTTTTCTGGCAAAGTAAACCTTTTAGTAAACAATGATTTTTTGTATTCTGCTGTATCCTTTTTCATAAATTTTTTCTCTATACTATTTTGAAGTTCTTAGAATACATTTTATTTTGCCTAATTTAGTGCTTATTATTGTTATTCGGTTTATTTATCAATATCAAAATTCTATCTTTCTTACCTTGAAAATTAAGATTTTTCTACATTTTAATTTTCAATGCTATATAATTTTGCTTTTTTTTATATATTGCTGCTGTTTGCTAGTTTATCAAGATCAATTTTTAGTTAATTTTCATTTGTAACATTATTTTAAGTCATTACTTTATAATTTACATTTTAATTTGCTTAATTTATGTCAGTAATTTATTACTGCTGTTTACCTGATCCGTTATTTTACTAAAAAGATTGTAGTTCTGCAAAATTAAATAACTCATTTAATAATTTGCTTCTAAGTGAAAGCTTAACTATGGGTTTAGATATAAACCTTCCTACAACTAATAGCGATTTAAGTAATCCTCCAATGATTGCTAATATACTCTATACTTTGAGGTATTTTCTATTGTAATACTTCTCTACATTACTTAAAGTAATGATTAAATTTGAAACATTAGATTAATCTGTCTATAGTGGCTAAACTAATTAGCTTTATTAGTATAATAATTGATATTGCTGCTAATAAGATTCTTAAACTAGTCCTCTGTCAGTATTTACAGTTGTGAATGCAAACAAAATTTCTAACCCAATATTATTTAATGATAAAACATCTTTTCTAAATGAAAAAATAAAAGGATGATCATAAATATCAGGTCTAAATAAAAATTGCTTGAAATTTGCTGTAATTTAATATTAACTCAAACTCTAACCTTTGATTTAAATTAAAATACTTTAAAAATTGACCATTTAACTCAAATTTTAGTCTAATATAATAAAAGCCATTCCATTATTTATCCATTTAATTTGCAAGCTCTACTAATGCTAAAAATTAATTTAGATATATTAAACATTAATTTAAATCTATCCACTTTAAACAAGTTGCTATCCATTCAAAAGAGATGACGAGGTTGAGTCTTCTATTGAAAATATCATTTATAACTCATCCCATTACTAGTAGATATCCTTTTCGCCATCAAAAAATAACTCTGTATAAAGCATATCTGGATTCTATCTTACTAAAAAATCTGAACCTATCTATCTGGAACCTAAAAATGTAGCTATAACTACACAAATTGTCAAAAGTGTCCCAAAAAATGTTTTATGTGTCTTCTTCTGCTTTAATGTGAGCTCAATGTTTCTTCCAAAAACATCTAAATTCCTTGAATATTTTACTAACTTCTTCATTATAATAATTTTAATTGCTATTTGTCAAATAAGTTTAATTTTTTCAAAATTCAATTAAACACAAACAAAATCTTTAGTTTGTTTTCAACTATTTGTTTTGGGTATATAATTAAAAATCTAAAATCCTTATTATTAAGTTGAAATCACTCTCATTTATTCAGTTTTCTTATTAGCAATTTTCATAATACTGATATAAATTATATGCCAGTAATTATAAAAAATGCTATGATGCTTTTTATTTTCGAATCAAAAATTTCATTTAAATATCTTAAATATCATCGAAAGACCACTTCACATAATTTTTAAAAAAATTTATATAACATAAGTAGGAGATAATGATGATTGGATTATATGTAAAAAATAAACTTAAGAGAGTTACTGATGATAAATTGTTTAGACATAAAAAATAAAGATAGCTAAAATTAAATAAATTAAAAAACTGTTATTTATTAAATTTAAAATAATTTAAATCAATAATTTATTAAATGTAAAAAATGTTAATTTTTTTGAATTGCAAAATATTATTCTATATAAAAACAAAGCATGATGCATATCGTGTAATTTATATAATTATAGAAGATAAATAAATGACTTTTTAAAATAATAAATAAACAAAAAAATTAATAGCTCAATTGAATTTAAATTAATAGTTTAATATAATCCAAAATAATTTTAAAGAATACTTTATTAATTCTATTAAATTTAATCATATAAAAAGTGAAAAATATTTAATATTTTTTAATGAAAATAAATTAATAAATATTATTTACCATCTATGTATTTAAGAAAAATGGGCTGTTTGAAAATAACATAAAATACATGATTTTGGTTTGAAGTCTCTAAAAAATCTAAAAAGATAAATAGCCAATAAATGGTATTTGTAAAATCAACTAGTGAATATATTTGATAATATTATATTAAAATTATTGGATTAATTATTATTTGTTTATAGCTAAAAACCAATTGAAATAAAAGTAGAATTTCAAAAATTTTTATGAATTCTTGAAGAAAAATTAAACAATTCATTAAAGAAAATTATAAAATAAATGTAAAATCCTAAATATAAAATTAATGGGATTTTTACAGTTTTTAATAAAACTAAATGATAAATGTTAAGAATAAATATTAGAAAGAAGAAAAAGAAAATAGTCATTTTAGATAATTGAATTAATAATGTAAAAATCGAATCATAAATTGTGATATACTCTTTATTTTTTATAAATAATTGTACTTTTTTGATAAATTACTAAACAAAAGATTATTTAAATATTTAATTACTATTTTTTAAAAAATTGCATTTTTTCATAAAATAGATAAATCTAATAATAATTTACATATTATAAATAATAAGGACAATATTTTTGTAATAAGCATTTGTTATCAATTTAATTAATTAAACAAGTTAAAGTTCCAACTCTTGCATTTCATATAAATAGAAGATCTTTTTAAAATATTTAAATTAAAATAAATTATTTAAATTTTAAACAATCTTATTTTTAATAATTAAGAAATATTTTTATATTAAGAATTAGTGATTTTAAATAATGTGTTTATTTTTTATTAAACTAATATTAACTTTATATCTCTTTATAAAATATCTATTTTATATTTTACATTTTTGTTAATAGCTCAATTTATTTCTGATTTATTATTTAAGAACTTTATATTAGGAAGTATTAACTTCGAAAAAATGCTTGCTTGCTCATATATTTTTAAAATGTAATTATTTTAAAAAATTTTACTTTATCCTATCCTAAAATTTAAGTAATTTAATTATTCTATAAATATAAAATTTAGGATATAATCTGATATAAATTTTAGATAGTGTTTATTATTTTTAACTATTTTTATAAACGCTTAATATTATAATAATATTTTAAATATTTAAAACAAAAAATGATAAATTATAAGAATTTATTGTTCTAAAGGTTAGTAGATCATCTTACTTTATTTAAATATTCTCATTTTTCTCACTATATTTAAATTTGCAAGTTTAAAAATATAATCTATGTATTAATCATATATTTTAAGTAAGACCAAATCTTTAAAATATTCCATTTAACTCAATTTGCTAAAGTAAATAAATAATTTTGAAGATATTACAATATTATAAAAGGTTATTTCAATATATTTTTAGTAGTTTTTAATCCTATTAAAAAGCTTAAAGTATGAAAATCAAAAATTTATTAGCATTTACGATATTATGGCAATATTTTTTATTTTATATCCAGAATATACTTAGTTACAGATATAAGAATAAGCTAAGTATTAATTTTTTGATTTACTTTTATAATTTAATAATAAAAATTTTGAACTTTTAATACAAATTTTATAAGATTGAGAGTAAAAAGTAAGTTATTAACTAATTCACATCTTTGGAAGGTTAGCTTCACAAGATTAGAATAACAAAATCTACAAAAAATTCATACATTTTTGTTTTTATAGATAAACCTCATTTATTTTTTATATTTAATATGAATTCACATCTAGATTGTTAAAGATAATAAGAATAAATAATCAACCAATCATAATCAACGTTTGAATCGCTTGAAATACTTCTAACAGATCACAATCTTAATTAAACTGTATAAGAATATGAGAAAACAAAATTAATCATAAATGAAATTGAGTGCAATTAAGCCTTTGATTGTTAGCTTATTTGCTCACCATTTTGTACAGATTTTCTTACTGTGCATAAAAGGAATAAAAAAATTAAAAAATAAATATTTATTCATGATAAGAAAAAAAAATTAAGTTAGAGTTAGGAAGAACTAATTTATGAATTGAAGAAGTAAAACTTAAAATTTACCAAAGATTATTTAGATCTGATTGTAATGACCATGGAAGAAAAGCACTACTATATAAAGCGCTATTTAACTTCTGGAGGATAATCAGATATATTTTAAGGATATCATTAAAGCGATGGAGGAAAGATAGAAGATAGAGTATTTAAAATTATAAAATCTGACTCAACAGATTATTAAGATTAAATGAATGAATACAATTTACTTAAATCAATATCATATCCTATAAATATAATTTAATTCTATGATCTAATTTACATTGATTCTGAATCTGTTTGTATTATAATCATAGAATAGTGTGAAAAAAGCTTAGAGGAAGAATTGCGATAAATGCTATAAAATAATTGTTTGTTTACATAAGCTCATTTTGCTTAAATTTTATTTGATCTTATTGATGGATTGATAGAATTAAGAGCACACAATATCATTCACTAAGATATCAAACCTTAAAACATACTAAAAACGATGCTGGGTAATTATGTTTACACTGATTTTGGTATATCTGGCAAGCTTAAAGGTAGCGAAGTTGAGATTAAAGGCTATACCCTTTACTTTAGTCCACCTGAATAACTTACATAGCAAAGCATCTCTAATTATAAAGGTGATATTTATTCTCTGGGGAAAACTTTTTAAAGATTAATTTATTTCTACAGAAGTTGTTAGAATGAAAAAAATTTTAATAGTCCCTTCTTATAAGAATTAGTATAAATTATAGAAAGTCGAATGATTATTAATTCATGCAATGATCGGATAGACTGCTTAGATTTAATTCAATCGATTTATGAGATAGTACTGCATTAGGACTTAAAAAATATTTCAGCTTTTTATTTAGAGAAAATAAATAAAATTATTTCATCTAATAAATATGACAATAAAAAAGATATACCATTTGTATTAAAAGCTAAAAAGATATACAGCTAACTTCATTTATAAACTCGGTTACACTTGTGTAATATCATCCTTTTTAAAGACTAAATTGATGCAGCATAAATAGATTTTCTTTTACTAAGCTCGAAAATACCTTTTCAGCAAATGAAAAATATTCCAGATTGTATTCAGCAGATATCAATATGTCTCTTTGATTTAGGGGAAATAAAAAATGCTCTTAAATATCAGTAAGAAGCTTTAGATTTGTATAAAAAAATATTTACTGAAAATCATCAGTCATTAGCTACTTCTTACAATAATATTTAGGAGAATTATATGCAATTTTAGGAAACACTTAAGCAGCTTTAGAATTTCAAATAAAATCTCTTGAAATGAATAAATTTTTGTATAAAAATGCTCATCCTTCCATTTACATTTGTTTGAGTAACATTGGAAAGAGGTATTCAGAATAGGGAGAATATTTAAAGGCTTTAAAATATCAAAATTAGTCTCTTAAAATGAGACAAGCTTTATATCAAGGAAACCATCAATCAATAGCAAATTGTTTGAATATTATTGGAGGACTTCATGCAAAGCTAAATTAGCCTAAAATCGCACTACAATTTTAATTAGATGCTTTAAATATGTATAAAGAGATATTAGAAGAAAATCATCCTGAAATAGCGGCTTGCTTAAATAATGTAGGAAAAAGATATGATGAGATAGGAGAAAATACTATTGCATTAAACTACTTAACATAAGCTTTGGTAATGAGTAGACTGCTTTACAGCCATGATCATCCCATGATAGCTACTTCTCTTCATAATCTAGGGTAACTATATTCTAAAATAGGATAACCATAAAAAGCTTTATAATATTAATTAGAGGCTCTAAAAGTAAAAGAAGGAATATATCCTCCAAACCATCCTAAACTCTCATAAACTCTCCATAACATAGGATAGAGATATGCAGAGCTAAACAGACCATAAATAGGTCTGTCTTATTAACTGAAATCTTTAGAAATTAGAAAATAATTTTATTAAGGAAATAACTTAAGTACAGCTTAATCACTTGACAGTGTTGGTGAAAGATATGCAGAGCTTAAAGATTATTAAAAAGCCCTTACTTTTCAAAAAGAAAGTTTAGAAATGCGTAAAGCTTTACTAAAAGGAAATCACATTTATATTGCATCTTCATTGGAGAATGTAGGAGAAAGATATGCATAACTAGACCAAAAATAAGTTGCATTAACGCATTAACTGCAAGCATTAAAAATGTATAAAAAGCTTTTTCATGATGACAATTATCATAAAGCATGTTGCATGAATAGTGTGGGTAAAAGATATGATGAAATTGGAGATTTAGAAAATGCTTTAAAATATTAACTTTTATCACTAGAAATGAAATAAAGAATATTTCAAGCTAACAATCCTAGCATAGCATAATCATTAAATAATGTAGGTGAAAGATACGCAAGGATAGGAAATATTTAATAAGCTATCAAATATTAACTTTAATCACTTTAAATGTATGAGAGTCTCTATGATAAAAATCACCCCTATGTGAAAACTATATTATAAAATATAATCAGCAAGTATGTTTTATTAAAATAGTTTGATCAAGTCAATAAATATTAACAGTAGTTAGCAGAATGCAACATCTAGAAAGATAAGTAGTAAATTCCATTCTAAAAATCATCTAGTTCTGACACCAAATAATAAATTGATAAGTAGTAAAATGATTAATCTTTATAAAAATCTTGGTGAAAGCAAATAAAAAAAACAAATTCTTATGCCAAATCTTATTATTGACTAAATAAATAAAAAAATAAAAATTATTTTAAAAATAAAAATTTTCACTGAAATTAATTAATTTATATAAAGATATTGTTAATATCGCAAAATACTATAAAAATTAACAAAATATCTTATTTTATTATCTTAAAAAATTAATTAATTAATTAACTAACTAACTTAAATATTATTGTATAAATTATATAAAATATTATTGATTTTGTTTGATTTTTTATCAGGGCAACTTTTATTTGAATGATTTAATTATTTATAAAAATTACTTGCATTTGAACGAATTGCTCTAAATAAAATACTTTTAATTTTATTATAAATAGCTTAACTTCTCAAAAAAAATAATGAATTTTTATATATTAATTTCTTTCAAGATAAAAAAAATAATCCTTAATTAATTAAAACATTAAATAAAGTAAATTGTCCAATTCTTAAAAAAATGTTTTTAGCTATAAATAATAAAGTTTCTCGTGTAGAAGAAGTAAAAATTTTTGAAAATAATTATAATAAATTATTAATTTATTATTTTTAATCAAAAGTTTGAATCATAAAACTATGAGCTCATTAATATACTAAATATTTACAAAGCGTTTTTATTATTTAAATTTACAAATTCATTATTTTTTAATATCTTGTAATTTAATTAGGTTTGAAGAGAGTTCATAGGATAGTATCATAGATTTAGGAACAAAAATATCAAAATGTGTAAACCTTAAGATTTTAGATTTAGACCTTTAGTAATAAAATAGCTTTAATTTTTATTCTTAATCTAATAATATTATCTTTAGAAATAATTCAATTTTAGAAAAAGATGTTTTAAGTCTTTTTAATGGAATATGTACTTGCAATAAGTTGGAACAATTTAGATTAGTAATAGCGTAAATATTTATTTATTTATATTTTAATTTTTGAGAATTTATTTTTTTAATTCCTTAGAGAAAATAGAATAGGTTTGTTAGGAACAGAAGTTCTGGCTTAAAATATCTAGAAATTATAAAATTTATAATAACTCTAATTAAATCTTTAGTAAATACTATTCATGATATCAAGAAATCAACTAATTTTTTAAAAAAAGAGGAACAAATTAGACAAAAAAATCAATTTTTTTGTTAGTAGACAATCTCTCAAGATGTGCAAATCTTCAAACATTTTCTTTAATGCTTAAGTGAAATTGTTTTTATATTGATAAAATTTGTTTAATTTAAGATATTTTAGAAATAATATGATAGAAGATGGAATTATTCAAATTGCAAAGAATCTTTCAAACTGCTAAAGTTTAAAAAGTCTTGAGTTGAATGTCAGGTAAATTAACAATTTACAGTTTCTCCTCTTTTAACTTTTATCTTTTTTAAATTCAGCTTTAACTCTATTAAGGGTTGTGACTTAATTAGTTTTGGATAAGATATTTCAAAGTGTTCAAATCTTGCAATTTTAAGTTTATCAATTTAGTAAAATAATATTTGTATTAATGATTATAAATAATTAAAGCTTTTTTTAATAGAGGGAATAAGCAAATTTCATTAAATCATATTGAAGATTCAATTGTTAACTTATCTAAGCTTCCATAACTTTAGGATTTTAGTATTAATATAGAGTAAATTTATTTTTGTAATTAGAAATTAATTTTTTAATATATTTTTATAAAAAGTGGACTTTTTGGTGGATAAAATAATTTATGCGATTATTCTAAAAGTGTTAAAAACTTACTGAATTGCAAATCATTAATTAAATTGAATCTAAGTTTATCGTAATTTGTTCTTTACTTTTTGTAAAAAATTAAATATTTTTATTTAAAGCTATAATAACATATCTAATTCCCAACTTGAGAACTTAGCCGGATAAATATAGTTAATTTCTAATTTAGAGCAACTATAACTGAAATTTGAGTATTATTTTTGGAAAAGCTAAGAAATTTTTAACTTTGTTTTTAGAAATAATTCAATTAGCGATTAAGGTTTCATAAAATTATCATAAGCGATTTCTCATCTAAATAAATTAAAAGTTCTCAAATTAAATTTTGAGTAAATTAAAATGATTAAAATTAATACAAAGTAAAAAATTATTTACTTAAAAAAGTCGAAACTAAATCAAATAAAATGGAATTATTTCTTTTGCTGAATCTGTTAAATTTCTAAAAGATTTGCAAAGTCTTGAGCTAAGCATAATGTAATAAATTATTTAAATATTGTAAAATCTAGATAAATTTTAATATTATGAAATTATAAGTTACAACTAGCAGATAGGAGAGAGTCTTTAAATTTTAGCACAGAATATTTAAAATATTCTCAATTTAAAATATTTTAAGCTTGACATAAGGTAAGTTTATTATTTAATTTAATATTTAAAAATATTAAAATATTTGAATTTAACTCCATTTAAAAAAGTATTAATTTTTATTAAATGTTTTTAAAATTGAATAGTAAAATTTTCAATCAAAAATTTTTAAATTATTTAATTTGAATAAATTCAAAATATCTGAATAAATTTCAAATTAAAAATAATGCAAAGTTTATCAATTTAATTTCAAGAAAATGATTAGTTTTTTTTGATTATTTATTTTACTCATAATATTTTAAATAAAATATTCAAAATTAATTATATTAGCTAGTGTTTAGTTGAAGCTAGTTCATTGCTAAGATTTGCAATTATAATCTCAAAATGTAGATAACTATAGGCAATTTCATTACAATTTAAGTAATTTTTTATTATATTAACTCAATAAATATTTTTAATTAATTAATTAAGCTTTCCAATCTAGAATATTAAAGCAAGAAAACAAATAATAACGAAATTAAAGAAATCTACTAGATTAATTCTTTGCAATTGAATAAAAGATAGTTATTTAAATGTTTAAAATTTATGTCTTAAGTATGCAAATTAGATTTTAAATAATTTTTCAAACTTTTATTTAGTTAAAAAAATTCTCATTTTATTTGATTAATAAAAATTATTAACCTAAAAAAAAAAATTGATATATAAATGGGAAATAAGCTCAGTTAAAATAAAGTTATGGATGTTGATAAAAGGTATTATTTTTAGATTTTAATTATAATGATTAAAATACTAATTATCTTTGAATTAAATAATAATTTACCTAATCAAAAGAAAAATATTGCAAAATTATATACTGAACATTCTACTAAATTAATGATTATTTATATTAATACCCTAATTTTTTTAAAAAAATTAATACCTAAATTATTAAAACTTTGGTTCTTAATTAAGGAGAATGCACATTAAATTAGATTTTTAAATTATTTTTTAATTTAAAAATATTTATTTTAGTTATAAGAGAATGGGATCGAGATATGCAATTAGATTATTATATCACTTAACAAAATATTAAAATTTAGAAAAATTTAGTTTAAATTTGAAGTAATTTAAGTTTATTTTAACTATTTCAGATTAAATTATTTGATTTTATAGTAATAATTTGATTGACTCAGAAGGAGTTTGTGGTTTTGATTTAGGTAAATTAAACAAACTCTAATATTTAAAATTTAGTATTAGGTAAAATTTGATTGTTTTAATGTACATAATTTTAATACTATTTTATAGTGAAAATATAATATGCAGTATAGGTGCTGAAAGTTTAGGGAAATAATTAAAAAAATGTAAAAAATTATCTTCTTTGGATATATGCTTGAGGTAAATCAAAATTTTTAATTAAAAATATTTACTCAATCTACATTAGCTATAATTAAAAAATTGGCTCAGAAGGTGTAGTCAAGTTCTCTGAATGTCTAAATGAACTTGTTAACCTTAGTTCCATAAGTTTAGACTTCTAGTAATAACTTTGATTTTAAATACATAAATGATAATCATAAATAATTAAGCAAAATTGATTTAACTTCTCAAGGAGCAATTTTACTTGGTTAGAAACTACAAAGTTGCTTTAATTTAGATAATGTTGTGTTGCATCTTGGGTAATTAATAAATAATATTGAAAAATTAATCTATAATTTTTAAATTTTAAATAGAAATAATATGATTGATTATTAAGGGTGTTAATAGTTGGCTATTTCTCTTTTTAATTGTCAAAAATTATACAAACTACATTTAGGATTAGAGTATAAAACTTTTAAACTAATTTAGTTTTTTTCTTAGTTTTATTTACAAATAAAGGCATAATTAAATAGGATCTTAAGGTTTTTAATCAATTGGAAATTAATTATTTAGTTGCAAGACTGTAAAGTATCTTAGTATTTAAGTAAGGTAACTGGGTATATAAATTAGTTCATTTAAATAGATTAAAATAGTTTATTTTCTTGTTAATTTCTTATTCAAAAAAATAATTTATTTTTTTACAATAGTGATTGTGGCATCAAATAAGAAGGAATCATTAAATTTTGTGAGTAAATTAAATAAAACTAAGTTCTTATTTCATTTAGAATAGACTTAAAGTAAGCTTTTAATTATTAAAAGTATTACAAAAAAATTAAAATTTATTTATTTTACTTAAAAGGTGGAACCAGCTATAACGGAGAGAAATGAGGTAAATGTTCAATCGATTAAGTAAAATCAAAAGACTAGTATTATTATCAATAAAATATTGATTAGTAAAAAATTAATTTCAGTTTTATATTTTTCAAATTTGTTGTTTACATTTTTAATTGTTTATTGAATGATAACAAATAAATAAATATATTTTCTTTGTAATCACTATTTTTTATTATTTCTAATAATCATTTATATAATTTTTAAATGTTTATGTAAAAGTTTTAAAAATAAATTCCATTATTAAGTGGATGATATACTTTGTGCTTCTTAAATTTATTATTTTAATTAAATAAATTTTTTTTGATGTTTAATTAATTGAATATATATTTTAATTCTTTAAAAAAAATAAATCTATTTTAAGAAAATATTTCTTAAAAATACAAAAAATTAAAAGTATTAATTTATTTTATTTCAAATAACTTACAGGTAAGGTATTATTTATTATTAATATTAAAATTTCTTTAATTATAAAAATCTTATTTGTTTATTAAGATAATAAAATTAATATTTTTATGAATTTTTAAATTTATTTTTTTATTAACTTTCATAAATAATTAATTTAATTTATTTTTAAAAATTATAACTTTGTTTTTGTAACTTGATTTATTTATTTATTTACACTAAAATTTTGACAGAAATAAAAATCATAAATTTGAATTTCTTTTTTAGATAATAAAAATTATTATTTTTTTTTAAATAATTTTTGTTAAAACAAACTAATAAACAAATAATAAAATATGTTGAAATTAACTAAAAATATAATTTTAATTTCTTTAAAATATAAATACAAAAAAGTTTTTTATTTACTTATAAAAATAATTTTTATTTTACAATAATTAATAATAATAAATTTTAAATCTATAAATGAATTAATTTAAATTTGCTTCAAATTTATTAATCTTAGTTTTGTTGAGGATGTTCCTTTTATAATTCATTTTAGATATTTTATTCATATTATGGCTATTACATAGATCTTTCATGAGGGGTTTTGTATGGTACAACATGATCATCTTCTTTACCATGGTTTTCTGAATGAGATTTTTAAATTACTAAGTTTTCTTCTAAATTATTAACCTCAGAATTATAATTTCCATTTTGAACTGATTTAACTGAATTTTTTAACTCAGACGACTCTGATAACCTTGGCTAAAAATTATTTAAAATTTTAATATCCCCTATTTAGTTTTATTCTTCTTATTTTTGCTCATTTTAATTTTGATTGCTGGTTTAAGACTATGACTTTTCTTAAATCTATTAAATTTGATTATTATCCTAGTTATGTTATTAATAGTTAGGCTCTATAGATTTTGGTGTTAATATGATATTATTAGAATTAGTGTGAATTGAATCATTATAGTTGAAAGTGTTATTATCATCAAGATAATCATCCTCTGTTTTACATCTTTTTTCTAATTATTGGATTGAGTTTTCGTTTAATGGCTCACTCTAAATCTCTTAGTTCTCATAAGAATATTCAGCCTATTGATTTTATGCTTCAACTTAATGATATTAGCTTTCATCTTAAAAATTCTATTCTTATTCTTGTTCTTACTCTTCTTCTTTGTTAGCTTATTCTTAAGCAGAAAATGACAATTGTTTTTGGTGAATTCTAGTTTCAACAGCCACATTAGAATGAGAATATTATTATTGTTACTATTATTCTTAATTTTATTGGCTATATTGCTATATTTAGTTTTCATAATGATCATTTTAATTTACTGGATGATCAACATTATCAGTAGTCTACTTTTGATTCAGAATATAATATTATTTTATCAATTCTTAAAATTGATTTTGATTTAAATTTGTTATCTGTTGATTTTATTCTTGTTATTCATTTTATTATTGAGCTTACAAATTGAGACTTTATCTAAATGATGCTTCTTATATAAGTGTTATCTTATTTTATTCATTTAAAAAAATATTGTGATTATTTCTATCACTATAAAATTCCTCTTCATGCTTTTATGTTGAAGTATAATTTGATTATAGTTCGTTTTAATGTTATTGTCTTGAGCTATTTTATCTATCTTATGATTTATAATCAAAGGATTGTGCATTATAATTAGATAATGAATGTTCCTCTTCGTTTACTAATTAAGATTATCTGGTTATCTACTCAATTAAATATTTAACTTAATGGTTAAGATACTCTATTTACTAATCTTTTATTTTATTCTATTCATTCAATCTTTCAATTTATTGCTAAATTTAACCATTTTCAATAGTGCTTTATTGAACTTGTTAAATATGCTCAACTACTTAATTACTTTACTGTGAAGTATTTTACACTGCATAATTTATATCTTTCTACTTCGCTTAGTTTATTTATTAATTCTTTTTATTGTTTATTATGATTAAATTATTGGTTGGCCCTTTTAAATTTTGCTTTTATTAAGTTTCCTTAGGTTATTTTATATTTTAGGCATTGACATTTTAATTTACTTCAATGTGTTGACTAAACTAAAAATTAGATTCTTGGTTTTTAGGAGTTTCATTGTTAGATTTACTTCCTTTAACTATAAAAGGTCTATTTGAAGGGGAAATTGCTTTTTATTATTAAGCCTTTTCAGGAGTTGGATCTTTAGGCACAGATTATTTTCTTGTTGGAGTAATAAATGACTCCTTTGCACTATTCTATCCAAAAAACTATTATGTTTTTCTTGATGGTGAAATAAGCATATTTCTATATTATTCCTGTGCTATTTTTTAGCTTTTTTGTAGCTATTAATAGAGTTAGCTTGACCCTTAATACTATTCATTATTCAATTTTTTCATAAACTTGGTTAATGAAGTTATTTAAGTCTTGCCTTTGCTGTCTGAGTAAGGCTTATACTTACCTATGAATTGCAGATTTGACTACTAACCGTTTATATTAGATGCACCGTGATGATTCCTAACCTTCTCTTTGTGGACATTCCCTGAAGTATTTATACTATTAAAACAATCATTAGGAAGTGTCACAAATTAGCCTGTCCCTAAACATGAAGGGATGCTTGGAATTGTATTGAATTATTAACTAAATAATTAAGAAAAGTTAACAAGGTTCTTAAATAATTTGCTTAATTCAACCCATATAAAGATTTGAGGCAAGTTAATTTGTGTATGTAATGAAAAGCATTTAAAATAAATGATAAAAATTTTTGTGTTTATTTAAAAATAACATAATATCTTAAATCAAAGAGAAATTAAGATAGTAAATGCTTTCCTTACTTTTTTTAGATGTTTTTTAAATAAATAAATCAATAATTATGTAAAAAGATAAAATTATGAATGATGTGGATATTATTTACTTTAATTAAGTATCACTTATTTTACTAATTGTTTAGAAATAGAAAATAAAAAATTCAAAGTTAATACTGAAATTTTAATTGTTTATTTATTTGCCTGTATTAAAATAATCTATTTATTTTCTATCTCATAATGGAAACTCATAACACAAAAATAAAATAATAGAAATAAGTAATAAAATAATTACTCTATTGGACTATCTGTTAGCTGGCTTTTTAACTAATTAAGAGTGCTTGAATTTTAGCTAGAACGATTATTGGCACTATTTTCTTCATTTCTACCTCCAAATAAAGGTGAAGCTTTTCTACTATCTATTTAGTTATTATTGGATACTACTTCTTAGTTTATACTATCTAATATTTATCCTCCCTGTAAAATCTTTTATATTTTTTCTTAAGAGTAAGACTCATAGAGTACTTTTCTATTATCTGTTTTTGCAGGGGATGGTTTTATTTACTGTTTTTTATTTTACTAATTTGGAGAAACTCCTCTACGCTTCATTTAATTTTATACTTACGAATATATTTATAAGACTTTTTAATTATTTTTTTACAAAGTTGAAAGCAGTTTTCTATCAATAGCCATTGGAGAAACAGAAGTATATGCTCTTTAATTTGATAAATACTCCTTGTTCTTCTCTATTTCTCTATAAAAAGATTCTAAAGTTACGTCGTGATTTGTCTGGTTTGCTTCTTCCTATATATTACTATCTGAATTTGGATTGTTTTATACTGCTCTTTTGTGTGTGTAAATATTTTATAAAATTTAAGGTGTGTTTGAAGATTTAAATGACTGGGAGTGTATTTTGTTGAATGAATTGCTATTCATAGAAGCATTATTACTCTTACTGCGAGATTTTGTTTCTCCCTAGTTTTTCTAATCTGATTTTGCGATATCTTGATTTACTTTTTTGCGAATAATTTGATTATCATTTTTTATTGGAGATTTGCCAGCTAAATTAGGTTATCCTTTTGAATAGATAGCAGATGAATTCTATACCTTAGCTTTATCTATACTTTTAGATAGAGTTTCTTACATTTTTTCTTACAACTCATATAAATCTTTTTATTTCTATTATATTTCTAATAAATTAGTGGGTACGCTTTAATGTAATTCATTTTATTCTTAAATTGCAGCTGTTGGCATTGATGTATTCTACTTTTTAACTTGCTGATAGCTTGGTGAAAGGTTTCTTATGTTCTTTTTTTCATTTCTTAAAAAGTACTGAGGGCTATTTACATTAACCTACTTAGATATGACTGGGTTCATTTTAGTATTCCCTTAAATTGTAATTTAATGAAATAGATATTAATATTTATTTATTTGACCACTTAATATATTATCAATAATTATCAAATTTTTTATTGAAAAATATTATTATTTTTATTTAAAAAGCAGGTTAATAACTGTATGTATATAAAATGATCCAGCTAATAATTTAATTATTAATTTTCAATTTAGCTAGTTCTTTATATTTCTAATGACTTACTTGAATTAAATCTTAAAAAATTCAACAATAATACAAAATCAATTGATTAGATTAAGAAATGAATTTAAATATAATAAGGGTTTGCCAAACCCATTTTTTTGAGCTTGATTTAAATCATTTAACAAAATTTTTATTAGTTAAAATTGATTAATATTTATAATTATGAGTAAAATGTTAATCCAAAATAAATTTATCTTTCACAATAACGATAATAAATATTTTAAAAATAAATTAAAAAAAATTGATAATTGAGTAAAAATATTTATTTTTTAATAAGATAAGCTAATTAATTATTACAAGTAAATTCATATTATTTAAACAATTCAATTAAAAAAATATTATTAAAGTTATTTATCTAATAAAATCCTAATTCTTGCTCTTTTTGTTTTGTCAAAGAGAGGATAGATATCATCAAATAATCATGGAGAACCCTTATTGGTCTATAATTATAGTAAAAATGTTTATCTATTATTGGTATTTCATGGAAAATAAAATGCATGTTTTTTGTTGTTTTAACTTATTTTTAATAAGAAATTTTCTCCATTAAATCCTTTTACATTTAAAAGTAAATAATTGAATTTATATTGAAATATTTACTTCTGTAATCAATAAATACTATTTTGAAATAAATTTTTTATTTGAAAATTTAATTAAGTTAAGATATAAATATGAACTTAACTAAAGGGAAAAAGGAAGCTTATATTTATTTCATTCTTTTTTTAAATAGTTATTAATTTCTCTGAGTACATCGTGTACTTAAAAATCTTGAGGGTTAATTAGAACAACCTTCATAAAGCATCGTTTTGCCTCTTCAAGCTCACCTTAGTTGTAATATATTAAACCTAAATTGTAATGAGCTTAATCGTATAATGGATTTATTTTGATTGCCTTTTCAAGGCACTATTTAGCTTCTTAGATGTTACCTTAATCATAATATATCGATGATAAATTATAGTAAGCCTAATAATATTAATCATTTATTTATATCGATTTTTCATAGCAGACCTTTGCCTCTTCAAGCATTTCCTTCTTGCGATATATTAATCCTAAATTATTTTGTGCCTGATATAACTTAGGGTTAATTTACAATACTTATTCATAGCTTTACCTTGCTTCTTCTATCATATCTTTTGAGTCATATATAAACGCTAAATTTAGATGGGCATCTAAACTTTTGTTATTGATTTGAAGTGCTTTTTCACAGTAGTTTTAAGCATCTTCAAGCATTCCTAAAGAAAAATAAATGCATCCAAGACTAATGTAGGCTTAATAAAATTAAGGATTTATATCTAAAGTAATCAGATAACATCTTCTAGCTTCTTGATAGTGACCCTCGTTTTAATAAATCAAGCCTAAATTATACAAAGCAGGATAATATTCCTAGTTAGCTTACAGTGTTTACTCATAGTACTGTTTAGCTTCTTCAATCATTCCTTTGTCATCATATAATAAAGCTAAATTGAAATGAGCTTAATAAAATTTATTATCTAATTATAAAGCCTTCTCATATTATTATTAAGCATCTTCTATCATCCCTTATCCATAGTACACAGTTCCTAGATTAACTATCGCCATACAATATTGAGGATTAATTTTCAAAGCCTTTTCATAATGTAATTTAGCATCCTCTATATTTTTTTTATTTTAGCAAATTTTTCCTAAATCATTATGTGCTTAATACGACAAAGGATTTATTTACAAAACTTTTTCATAGCACTTTTTTGCATTCTCAACATCTCCATTGGTGTTAAAGATAGTTCCCAAGTTATAAAGTAAATCCTGTTCTAATGGATCAATCTATAGAGCCTGCTAATAACATAAGCTAGCTTCTTTCATCATTCCTTATTTTTAATAGGACTATCCTTAGCTTAAAAGATTTTAAAATTCTTGCTAACCAGATTATTAGCTTGAGAAATAAAAGTTTATTGTTTAACCATATAAATTTTGTTTTATTTTAAAGTTTTTCAAAAATTAATTTGTAGTAGATTATTAATTCGTGAGTAGATTTTTGGTAATTTAAAATGATAAACAATTTATTAATTAACTTTAAATGTCTATTTTTTAATTTTAAGTGAAATATTTTAAAATCTGTAGTCTTTTCATTTTTTAACTTTTTATTTTTTTATTTTTCGTATGATTTATTTCCTTAATAAAATTTTATATCTTTTAATAAAGGATTTTGTTTGTTTGATGTTTGAGAAAAAAAGCTAAAATAATATTTTTGAAATAAAGATATTTGTTTATTTTAATTGAATGAAATTTATTTCTTTAAAACTATTTAAATTTATAGATGGATATAAAGGGACAAACATTTTAATAATTGAACAAAATATATTTAAGGAATTTATTTGGTAAATAATTAGAATAAATAGTATATATATCATGTAATAATAATTGGGTTAGCTATAACTTTGCTTAGAATTTATTCAGCACTTCTACCAAAGAATGCTTTCTTTTCGCTTTCTGCTCTAAAACCGTTATTACCTATCTGTTAAAAATAATTCAATTACTTTAATACATAAATACAAATTATATTTTACAATAACAAACTAGACATCAACTTCTTCATTTAAATTTACATAGTTAATAATAGCTTCACCTGAATCGTAATTAGGCTATAAAGAAACATACTACCAGTTTTACTATATTTATAATATTAAATATTGATTTGCATAAATGAATAAATAATTGTTTTAATTAAATTCAATTACAAAGTTTATTTGAGCCATTTCGTTTTATACTTTTTAGTTAATCTCATCTATTTATTTAATCCTATCTGGGGAAGGAGCAAAGCAAGCTATAAGTTTGTCGTTAGGGTTATTGGCAAGAGAAGCAGCTATATGAAGACATTTTAAGGACTTCTTAGATCCATCAATACCTACTAAAAATGTAAATCCTCCACTAGCTTAATTTTTTCTAACAAATAATTCTTTTATCTATTTGATTAAGATAAAAATATATTTTATCATGGCTTTATAAGTAAACTAATTTCTTCTCAAATTAAATATAAAAATTTTTTATTACAATAACTAAAGGTATCATCTAGTTGAATGCTACTCCTCTAACAGTTTAAGAAAGAACAGTTGGGTCGCTTTTATGTTATTTAAAAAAAGTAGATATTAATTTTAGCTTAAATAACAAATATTTCTAGTATAATTATTATTACTTTTTAGGACCTTTTCTTCCTGTATAACCTATGAATAAGAAATCACCTTTTGCTTAAGAGCATATGTCTAGAATTTGTTCTCTTGAATGCTAATACTTATTATTCTTTTCCTAGAAAATCAAATTGTATCTATTCGAGGTTAACTTTTGAAAATAATAATTATGTTTTGATTACTGGACGCTAAAAGTATAAAAAATTACTCTAGAAAGTAGTTCTGTTTTATATTCTTATTCTATGTTTTCAAGAGTAAAATGCTTAGGTAAATATGTCTTTTCCTTATTTGAAACATGAATTACATGAATAACTTTGAAAAGATTTCCAGATGAGAATACTTCTAGTGCTTACTTTTTACATAGTATTTAAATTATTATATCTTTAAAAAGATTCAAAAATATTGAATTATTATGAGTAATTAGTATCACATACATTAAAAGCCTTCTTCGACTACTCTGAACCATCAGTGGCCACCATTAAATTCTGAAAGGTATAGCTTTCTGAGTTCATTTTTGATTTGATATTTTGATAATAAAGAATTGATTTCTTTGAATAATTTTTATTTAATTTTATGTTTTTAAATAAATTATTTATAAAGAATCTAATGAATTACTGAAACTTGAATAACCAAAATTCTTTATTTAGGCACAAAGAAGATAGATAAAAAATATAAATTTTGGTATTTAAGTTTTTAATCAGTAATTAATTTAATTTTAATAAAAAAAGATTATTTTTAGTAAAAATAGTAGTATATGTATAGAGTTTTTATTTATTCAAAAGATTATTGGTTCTATTACCACAATCAAAAAAAATCCATATTCAAGTCTGTCTTAAATTTGAGAATAAAAATATTAAAAATTAAAACAAAAATAACTCATCTTATTTTAGATTACAGGACACAGAATTTGTATATTTTTATTCCATTCAATATGTCAGATTTAAAAATACTGGATTTAAAATTAGAAATTAAAAAATAAATTAAAATTAATTTTTAGAATTTTTTTAATCAATGAAATGCTTTGAGTTCATTAATTAAGTAGAGAAATTGAAAAAGAAAATAAATAAGCTTTATAAAAAATTATTTTATATTTTATAAAAAAACTAATTTCTTGAACTATATACAATATTAATTTAAAAATAATTTAATCTAATTCATTCTAATAAAGGTCTAAGCCTTTTAACATCGTCAAAACCTCTCTTGTCTTTTACATTGATGTTTATCTCTGCAAATTTAGTAATACTATTTTAAGTAAAATTAGTACTTTAACTATTTTTTTATAAAATTACGTATTCTTGAATTGATTTTGAATTAATTTTTCTAGTTCTATGATTTTTTCTCTTTGACTATCTATTGTACTTATTTAACCGCTTTATTGCTCATAGTAATAATTGAATTCAGCGACATAACCACTAGTTCCTGATTCTGACATTTTATCTGCTGCTCTATATTCATAAACTAATACATTTAAGCCAAAATGTGGCAAGAAAACCCTCTATCCAGTTTGAATTTATATTTTAGATGTAGACCTAATAAAAATGTAAATCTGATAATTATATTGAAAAATTTAACTCAAAGTGAGCTATTTAGTTACACATAATCTAGTCCTAATAAAAGAGGAGAAGGATCATCAAGTGACTTTATCAAGTTATACGAATATTCAAAAAAATTTCCAAACTCTTTTAATAAGATTTATTCTATTTCACTTAATATAGTAAAATAATTATACTTTAAAGAATTGCTTCAATCAAAATTTAATTTACTATGGCTAATTTTAATCTGGATAACTTATGACTCTAATACCATTGTTATAAATATTTAGAGATTCTTCATTTTTTTTAAACAATTCATCTACTAATCTTACTTGCTCAAATTTACAATCGAATTATTACTCAAAATCTTCTATAAATTATTTTAAATTCTCTTATCCTTCTATTAACCCAAAGCGCATTCTTTTGTACTTCTTATCAGAAGTATTTGGTCGAGAGAGCATTTGCATTTTGCTTTAAATTGGCTATTTTTGATGCTTTTTTATAAAAATGTGAATGGAATAAGTATCAATAACTTAATATTTATTAACTTTTAATTAATGAATACATTAAAAAATTAAGATAGTGTTTAATAGCGCCAAAGATAATATAATAGCTAAATATTATTATTTAATTTATTAGTTGTTAGCTAAACTAAAACTTTTTAAGATTTTCAAAAATAAAATAAATCAATAAGATTCTGTCTAGAATTAGTTAGCATATCTTTGCAAAATTATTTGTATCAGCCATCATATTAAGTTAATTAATAAAATAAGATTGTCAGTTAAGTCAAATAAGATTTAATCATTAAAATACTTGGAAATAAATTATTTGCCTTAATTTTAAATTCTGAAGAGAGTTTTACTAAATTCCAATAAATAATTTAATAATAATAAATTATAATAAAATAAACTAAAATTTTCTGTTTTTTTCCAGAAAATTCAATAATCGCAAAGGAATATTCTCTAAAAAATAAAGTGTATTATATTAATATATATAAAGATCCACAACAATATCAATTTTTAATAGTGTACCTATTTACCATAATTATTCTAGTTCAAGCATTCCTATTAAATTCATAAACATAATCCTTTAAGGATTTAAGAGGCTTCATTCAGAAAGGGATTAATTTTTTAGTAGAGCTTATTAAAAAATAATTATGATATATTTAAAATATTATGAAATAAAATTTAAAATTATATTTAGAACATATAATGTATTGCAATAAGATTTAACTTTTTTAGTAGAATCCAAAAACTTAAAAAATAACATATAATAACATATAAAAAGATAAATTATATTCAAATTAAAATACATACATAATCGTTAAAGCATCATTTTTTTTATTTGAAAGCTGTTTCAATAGCTAGCTAAAATGATTTTATCTTAAATTAAGTGGATCCTTTGATTTTTTAAAATTGAGATAGAGATATTGTTTGTTTGGTTATTTAATTATTATATGCTAATTTTAAGTCAAGTTTTTGAACTCTAGAAATTTATCATTCATTATTAATCTAATTTTGATAAGTAAGTAGATTTATAATTGCTTTGGTTTGAAAAGTTATTTTAGTATTTTGTTTATAAAATGATTTCAAGAGATTAAGTTTAGAGTCATGCAAATTTTATTTTGATTTAAAAGATGTTATTTATTTATTAATTTTTGTATCTATATATGTATGAATTTAAGTTAGTAACAAAATCCTTATCTCAATTGTTTGGAGTCTCAGTATTTTACTTGGATTTGTAATCTTCTACAGCCTTCTTAATAGCATCTTCAGCTAACATTGAGCAATGCAATTTAACTGGAGGTAGCTTCAAGTAGGAAGCAATATCTATTTAAAAATAGTACAAAAATTTAATCTAATATGCTTATATTTTAAGAAATAATAAAGTCTTTAGCCAAATTTAGCTTAATCATTCTATAAATTTTATGTTCCAAAAATAAACAAACAAAAAATTGTTTTAATATTTCAAACCACAATTTTTTTTAAAGCATAATTAAATACCTGAATTTTTAATCTAAGCGGCATCATCAAGACTCATTCCATGAAGTATTTCAGTTGCATAAGAGCTACTTGCAATAGCAGAGCCACAACCAAAAGTCTATTTTTTAAATAAGCAAATATTAATATGATTAATATAATGAAATTTGTAAAAATCATAAAATGTTTAAAATATTGTGGATAAATTCATTGTTAATTACTTTAAAAACAGCCTTTTAGATGGTCTTTCCATCTTCATCAACTTCAATTTAGAGTTTCATAACATCACCGCAGGCAGGAGCTCCGACTAAGCCAGTGCCAACATTTTTAGCTTTAGTATTTAAAGAACCAACATTTCTTGGCTTTTCAAAGTGATCAATAACTTTTTCATGATAGTTTCTTTAAATGGCAGATACAAGTTACTTGTTCTAAACAAGTTTTTGAATGTTCTTTGATAGTGATTGAATCATTTTTATATTATTCAGAGATGAAATTATTTATACTTATACTTATTTTGCTTTGATTTCTTTGAAATTTTGCAGATTTTATTTGATTTTAAGATTTATATTTTCTTATTTATTTTTTTTTAATTAAATGTTAAAATGTTTGAAGAGAGCAAAAGCATTCAATCAGTCCATATTAAAATCAAATAAATGAATTTACACATTTTTAAGAAAGTAGAAACTTTTTTCACCTAATTTAATTGCAAAATAATTGTAATTTTTTATTGATTCAAAATAGCAAGAGTAGAAAATTCCTTTTCATCAAAATCATTAAGATTTTTATTATCTTAATTTCTTAACAAAAAATTATGAAATTTCTTGTTTCTTTTCTTATTAAAATTATCTATATTAATTAACCTCTCTAGTACATAACAAAAAACTATAATAAATTATGGTCAACTCTAAGGTAATCAACCAATTTATAAATCAAATAATAAATTATATACGTCATTTTCAAAAAAAACCTTGTTTAAAATTTTTAATTTTAACTATAAAATGATGTATTTGCTTTTTAATAGAAATAATCTGGAATCTTTGAAATTTTAAATATCACTAATTGCTTACAGTTATTTAAGTAAGCTCATCTTAATCTATTTTTAGATAAAAACTATTATATATAGACAGGTAGAAGGTACCATTCTATATTTGATAACTTACTAATATAATTTAATATTTGAATACCATTATATTTTTATTCTCAACATCTTTAAATTAAAAAATAAATAGAATACTTTAAATAGCTCTCAAAAAATAAAATAACTAATAAAAGTTAACTATTTATTAAATTCATATACTGCATTTCTTCTAATCGATGTGTGATGCAACCAACATAAATATAAAAAAATAATATATAGTAATAGGTAAGAATTATTTTTGAAATTTGTAATTTTTGAAAACATTTTACAGAAAATTTACAATAATTTAATTTAATCATTAAATTAATAAATTCAAAATAAAAAGATAAATTTTAATAGGAAAATTTTTGAAAAAAAATGATATAGAGAGCTTATTTATTTTAATATTTAAATTTATGTTAAATTTAACCATAATCTGATCATAAATATTTAAATTTTCTATAAATAAGTAATTTAATTATTAACTAAAATTGTATGATAGTTAATTGTTGGTTAGTAAGCTTATTAGACTTAATCACCAAATATAATTCATTTATTTTGCTTTATTTTTTAATTATTATATATATTTATTAATTAATATATTTTTAAAAATATTTTTATCAAGGAACTCTAACTTCTACAGATTTTTTTAGATAGGTTAATTTTTAAAACATTCTTTGTGATACAGATAGATCTGGATTGTAAAGAAGCCACTGTTTAACCATGTCTTTTTCTGTAAATTGAATAAGTAAATTACCACCTTCAATTATAAACATATACTTTATATCATCTATCCTCTTTTTAGGGCACTTAGTATCATAGGGAGAAGATGGGAAAAGAAAACAAAGGAGACCTCTAACAGAAAATAATTTCGGTTAAACCTTTCTATTATAAATAAAATTTTCATCTATGCCTATAATACGCTTTGACAACTTAGAGACTTTGTTACTAACGTAAGTAACTTTTGTTACTTCAAATTCTTCATATTTAGTCATGATGATTGGGTCTTAATTAATTTAATCTTTATAAAGCTATACTTATTTTGCCTACTTTTTAGCTAACATTTTTGTTGGACTCTAGCTGATTAAATCAGGATCGTCTTCATCTTCTTCATCATCTAAATCCTCGTCGAGGTTAATTGAATCCTCTTAGTTATTTGTATATTAGTTAACAAGATCATTTTGAGTATTTATAGCTTACTTGTTATCGTCATCCATAGAACCACCCTATCTATCTTCATATTCTCTTCTGATAATCTTTAAGCAAGTATCATTAATAATCTTCAAAGGCATTTTTAAATCAAGTTCTACATCATTTTCTACTCCAAAAATCTTAGCTTGAATAATATAATTCTTTCTATCAATATCTATTTTTTTTCTTTTGATTAAATCTTCAAAAACATCTTCAACATTTTTATCTTTATCAACTCTAATAAATGTTGAGTATTCTTTCTCTTTACATTCTACCTTAAATACTAATTGACCTGCTTTAGCATAAACTTACTAAAATTCTTTCAATTCATAATCGTGATCATTTTCTGTTTCATTAATATCCTCAACTTCAACCAAACAACAAGCATTCTCCTAAGATTCTTCTGTAGCATCGAGCATTGTCATGTTATCACCTTGTTCACAAGACTCCATCTGAGGCTTGTAAACTTCGGAAGGTCTTGATCCCTGATTAGGAAAAATTTTATACCTTGAAGGCTAATAGGGGTACTTTAGTAAACTTTAATTTAGACTGGTTTTCTTCTTGTAGCTTAAAAGAGCAAATTTTACAAATTAGAGAACTGTTGTCTTTTCATAATTAATTAAGCAATCAATGTAGGTATCTTCTCTACCAAAGAAATAAACTCTTAAAGGTTTTAAATCAGGGCTATTTCTATTTCCCATAACAAATGGTTTATCTGTATTATCTTATTTAATAAAAAAATTTAATTAAAAGATTTTAAAGGAAATTTGCAGCAACAAAAAAATGTAATCTGTATTAATTACCTCCATCTTCTGTGTTTTGTTTAAGTAGAGAAATTTGTTTTAAGAAAAATCTAGATTCAATAACGTGTAAAGGTAATTCTTTAAATAAATTTTTTGTTTCCACCACATCTTGTTAGTCGTTAGGCTTCTCTTTTGGATTGTTGTTGGTGTGTTATTTCATAAGTTGGTGGAGTTCACATGCAACACATCCTTCTTGTGGTTTTTCATCAGTGACTATATGATTATGATTAGGATTCATTTCTCCTATTTTTTTCATTTATAGTAAATACTTTTCTTGATCATAAAACACTGTATTGCTTCTATGCTGTCTTAATTTGGTAGTCAGCATTTTCATATCTATATCATTTAAGTTAGAAGTTTCAAATTGGACTTAAGTTCCTTGGTTTTAGTTATTTTTAGAACTTTCAGGCAAAACTGAAGATTATTTAGATTCTTTTAGAGATTACTCCTAAGAAGTTTATATGCTTTGATCTTTATTTTGATCAACAGAATTATGTTCACAAGGATTGTTATTCTATTATTAATCTTTAATTTCAGTATTTTAAGTGATAACATTAGTTGAATTTTATTAGTTTTTTAAAATAACACTTTAAATTTATGACGTTTGATCATGATTATTTTTATTTCCTTAAGTATTATCATTCTACAAATCTCCACTTTAAATATCTTATAAACTAGATATCGCATTACTTATTTGCTTTTCTGTAATTTTTTTGTCCTTAGTTTAATTATTATTTAAGTTATTCATTATATTTAATATGTCAAGTCTTTTACCTTATTACTCAACAGGGGATAAAAGATGGTTTTCGCTATTTTAAACAGTCAAAAATTTTTTTTATTCAATGTTATCCTCATCGTAAATTTGTAAGTTTTGTAAAGTCATACTATTAAAATCGTTTTTTTAACCTATGAAAGGTGTATTGTAGAACTAATTGCTTAATCTATTAAACTAACCATGAATATTAGGAAACTAAGCAGAATTCTAAACATCTTCCTCTTCATTATCCTTAGCTCTCTAATACAGTAAAGATGCTAATCTATTACTTACTTTTTGATTGTTTTTTTATTAAGATAAGTCCTCGTTGTTGATATTCTGGATAGCAATTTCTAAATTTGTTTAAAAACGGCTGTGAATAACTTAGCTGTCATTTATTTTTTCACTTTTAATAGAAGTAAACATATTGAATTCCTCACTCTTCTTAGCTTTATTGTGAAGATTTAATGGTTCACTTTTAATTAACTTTGATGCGAGCAGTTGTGAATTAGTCAAATCTTAATTTAAATTTTACTATTACTACTAGAAAGCAGCAGTTATACCTTTTGAATCTATTTCATCTTGAGAGCTTACCATAGCCTTATTATTGAAAACTTAAGTCTAAACTTTAATTTATGAAGTGATATTTTGATTTTAAGGGTTATTTGCTCCTCTTTCACCGCTACATAATTTATCCTTATCACTAGGAATTACAAGAGTATGCATTGAGCTTTACGAAGTTATATTATTACTGGTACTATGATTACTTGTTTATCGTATACTTCTATTCTGTACTAACTTTTCTAAATTCTATTCTAATTTCATCTATTCTTGCTAACTTATGAGCATTTAGACTTAATTTGGAATACCAATGACTGTCTACATCCTTCCTCGCCTTTGATGATGCGTAATTTTCTTAATGTGAGGATTAGCTTGGTGTACTGCTTCATTTATTTCTTTTAATAGCTCTTCTGCAGTTTACTATTTTACATCTATGAGACACATTTTTAATCTTTCTTAGGGGTTGTTCATTTCCTAAATGATTTACTTGATTTACTACTTATCAAACTCATCTTGAAATGTTCCAATATTTTTTCTACTTATTCTCATTTCGTTTAATGGAGAATTATCACCATTTAATTCAGAAAATATGTCTTAGCTACCCTCTATATTTGGTCTTTTTTTTATAGCATTAGTAGACTTATTATCATCTTGGATAGTAGTGTCTAGATTTTCACCGTTTTCGACTTCTTCATGAGCCTGATTATGAAATAAATCTCCTCTTAATACTTTTTTTAAGATATCATTTTTACCCTATTCATCATCAATCGATATTTCAGAAGAATCAAAATTAAAGACTTTTTATTTTTTCTACTCATATTCTTTGACTTCTTTATCTTCATCTTTATCAATAAATTTTAAATGAATAACATTATCTTCTTTCCTCTAAATGAGATCTTCGAATTCTTCAAAGTCCATTTAAATGATATTACTAGTGTTATTAATATGATAAATCCTATTTATTTGTATCAAAAAATAATTAATTCTTAACACTTATTAAAACAAGTGACAAAAAATACATAATAAAAATTAAAAACATTGAAAATAATAATACTGATCATTAAAATATAAAAAACCTATTCAGATATTAATTAATACATATTTATTCATAGGTTTAAAGTAAAAATTTTTAAACAATTTTTACATAATAAAGATATTTATAAAAGCAAATAGTAAATAAAATAACAAATAGACAAATACAAATTTTTATAGACAAATTCCAAATAACAGCTTTTTACATTTATTAATTTTAGATAAATAAATAAATATATTTTCTACTTAATAAATTTTCAAGTATCAAAAATATAAAATCAACCAATCAAATCTATTTACATTTACAAATTTTACTTTATATTATTATAAGTAACACCAAAAAGAATTTGAGATGAATTTATAAAAAATTATTTAAAATAAGTTCTATAATAAACCAAATTTTCTAATTTCACTAATTTCTTTTTAATTTTTTTTATATGAAATATCTGACTATTTGGTTTATTAAACATTGGCAATAAAATAATTTAAACATTAAAATTTATATTTACAATTTATCATAAAAAATTGTATTATTTTAAATTTATAAGTGTAGATAGCTATTTAAAATTAAATAAGGGAAAAAAATTTGCATTTTTTTGTTTAAATTTTCTAAAATATTTATTTATTATTATCAACATTAAATAATAGAATCTATTTCAATAAAAAAATCATAATAAATATGTTAAATGAGAGAATCTCATTTGAAAAAAACATTATCTATTAAAATAAACCAATGATTTTAGATATGAAGAAAGTTAAACTAAAGATAATACGCTTGAAAAAATGAAACAATAAATATTATAAAAATGCTAAAATTTTTTTATTTAATAATACATATTATAATTGTAGAATATATATTATTGTTAATTATCTTTATTCTAAATTTAAAAATTAATATTAGACTATTTTAAAATTAGATATTGTTGTTAAATTCCAATTTTAATTATCTAAACTCATTGTGCCTAACACGATTATATTATTGTTGTGTTGCTATTTAAATTGATTAACGAAACTACTGATTATCATATTAATAACTTTTTGTTAATATTATTTGTAGAATATAATAATTTGAGTGATTTACTAAAATTTACCTTCCAAAAATAACAAAATTGGCTGATAGATTTTTTGAAAAATTTAATTAGTTAAGCATTAAGAAATGAAGAATCAAAACAATGAAGTACTAAAGATTACTTTAGGAAATAAAATTTTGGTTCCTGAATTCGAAAAGTTACAAAAAATGGAGAAATTACTTTCCAAAGTGGAAAACGATATTTCAAAAAGAATTAAAGATTTAGATAGATCTTCAATATTAGATACAATGAAGAAAGTAAATATATACAAACAAACAAATAAATAAATAAATAAATAATAAATTTATTGTTATTATTACGTTAAGAAATACTCATAAAAATATTTAATTATGTTTAATAGACATCTTAGCTTTATTAGCTGATTCTAGGAGAACTGCATTTTTAGTTAGGAGAACTCAAATTAGATAAATACACATCTATTATTCAAAAAATTTTTAGTGGATAGAATATGCTATTAGAAATAATATTAAAAATAAAGATCAATACAGAGTAAGGGATTGATTAACAGCTTACAGATAGCATGAATTCAATTTAAGCAAAATCTATATAGAGAACGAGCTCCGCAGAAAGAGATGCTAACTAGAGCGATAGATTAATTACACCAAGATTAATTGGATAAAAGAGCAGCATGATTAAAAAACAAACTGTTACAATAAATTAGTAAAATGATAAAGTAAATAAAATTAATAAGATAATATTTTATTTAATTTTTTTCTTTTAGATTTTTGTTTAAAATCTACTTTTTATAATATTATTTTAATACAGCTTCCAGTTTATATGTAGTTAGTTAATTCACTGAATCAAAAATTATTGTTTATTTTTTAAATAAAAGAAATTAATTGATAAATCTACAGATACAGAATTAGATAGATAAGATGCAAAGAGATTGAGCTAAATTAACTTCAAATAAATGGAATTAAACTCAATTGCTTAGGAGCTAAATGAAGCTAGTGATGATGTTTCTGAGTTTTTAAAAAATAGAAAGAACATAAATATAGACGCATCTAATGCTGAAAAATAACTCAAATAAGTTTTGAAAGACCTTGCTGTTAAAAAAAAAAGAGCTGAATAGAGTATTTAAATTGTGAAATATTAAAATTATTTGATAAATTTCTAACATAAAAAGTTGAACAAGAAGGTTATGCCCTATTAAGTAAAGAAGAGAATTTAAAATAGGGCTATTAAATAATGGAAAATGAGCTTGTTAGTGGGCTTAAAGATGTAGCTTTAAAAGCAAAATAAGCATAGGAATTTTAGTTAAAACAAAACTTTAGGCTTGCAAGAGAAAATATTGAAGGCATTGATCAATCAGTTTAGGTAAATCTTTTCATTTATTTTTGAAGCTCATAATAAATATAAATAAATAAATAAATAAATAGACTGAAAAAGATCTTCTCAAGGAGAGGTATGATAAGTTATTATTAGAAAGTAAGGCAAAAGATAAGAAATTAGCTGATGCTGAGAAAAAGATTAAAGAATAGAAGAAAGATTTCGAATTATAAGAGTAAAAATCATAAAAATTATAATAGAAAGTAGACGAATATTAGTTCTAAGAAAAGAAAAGAGAAGATGAGTAGAGAAAAGTAAAAAAAGAAAAAGATCTCATCATTATTAGTCAGTAAGAAAAAGAAAGGTTAAAGAGATATATAGAGGAGAATATTAAACTTAAAATCAAAATGAAAGATTTGTTGGATAACATTAAATAGTTTTAAGATGAGACTAAATCTAACTTTGATAGATTTAGAAGGTACGTTATGACTACAAATTTAAACGACGAACAAAAAAAAGCCATCATTTAAAGGGCTGAAGAATTATTTAAATTTGATTTAAATAAGAGATTAAATATTAAGGAATTAGAGGTCTTATGCAGATTTGAATCTGATATGATCAAAGATTCTCTTATTAAAGAGCTCTGCGGATTCGACGCGACTAATCTGGTTATTATTTTTATAGTTTTTCCAACAGATAAAATATTTTTAAATTCAATATATTAGGTTAAAAAGATAAAATAAGAATAAAAAATGAAAGATCAAGAAAGGTTAAACAACCCTAACTATGATTAAGATTTTGATCCTGAACTTTTGGAAGAAGGTTAAAAGATAGTAATAAAAAAAACTAAAAAGAAAATACAAAGAATGAATTCTCGAGGTAATAATTTGTCTAATCATTTCTCAAAAAAAATAATTTTTGTAGTTTTCGTTCAAGTTGGTATTTATTTAACTAAATTATAATAAAATATATTTTAATTAGGTGAATGGGTTGAAGAAGAGATTGAAATTGAGGAAGAAGTTGTCATAGATAAAAATGGTAATGAAGTAAGAAAAAGAGAAAAGCCTTAGGCAGGTATTTACACAGATCCATCTATGATTGAATTCATCAACAAGCATGGTGGTTTAGCTATTGGTGGAAGCAAATTTGTTCTTCCATAAAAACCTTCTAAACCAGTTTCAATAGATGGATCTCAAATAAAGGAAGGAGAATGGTTTACTGATAAAAAAGGAAATAAAGTTAAGATGGTAAAAAATCAGAATGGAGAAGAAGAATACGAAATTGAAGAAAGTAAGAAATATTTTAATAATTATTCATAATAAAATTTATTTGGAATATTATAGAATATTTTGATGAAAATGGAGTAGAAAGAACAAGAATTAAAAAAATGAAAGTCAAATAGGACGCAGTAAATATAATCTTTTCATTCATTTAAAATAAAATAATATTTATAGAATGGAGAAGAATACACAGAAGAAGTTTATGTTGATCCAACTACTGGATAAAAAATGCATGTAATAAAGAAAGTAATCAAAGATAAAGATGGAAATGTAAATTTTTTAAAAAAAATCATTCTTAATTTATTATTTTTTAAAAAGGATATCATTGAAGAAATTACCACAGATGAAAATGGAAACAAAGTTGTTAAAAGTATTTATTTATTTATTCTTCTATTTATTTTCTTACAAATATTTTGAATAAAAAATTAACTTATTTATAACAAATAAAATTATTTGATTTACTTTTATTAAGAAGTATCATACCAAAATAAAAAAATGATAATTGAAATGATAGATAAATTAATTAATTAAAAATAAAATAATTAAATTAATCATCAAATAAAAATAATATCTAAAAATAAAAGTTGCAATCATAATATTTTGATTTTGATAAATTAATATTTATTTATTTATTTATTTTAAAGGAACCAAAGTTAAAAAGGACAAGGATGGAAATGATGTTATTGAAGAAGAAATTATTGATTAATACGGAAATAAATAAATTGTTAAAGTATTTAATTCATTTAATTGGATAGTTTACTAAAATAATTATAAAATATAGACCAAAAGGATTAAAGATGCTAATGGAAATGATGTGATTGTAAAAGAAATTGTTAATGCTGACGGCACTAAAGTTATTGTTACTGAAAAAATTGATAAAAATGGCTAAAGAATTATCATTGAGGAAAAAATTGATAAAAATGGTAAAAAAACAAAGGTAATAAATGTATTGCTAAAATAACATAAAATTCATATTTTTTTTATTAAATAGATTGAGAAAAAAATTGTTATTGGGGCTGATGGAAAACCTGTTATTGGTAAATTACTGTTAAGTATAATATCAATAATTTATCTTTATTATATGTTCATCAAGAGGAAACAATCACTGATGAAAAAGGAAATAAAATTGTTAAAAAAACAAACCTACTTGTAGATGAAAATGGAAATTCTTATACTCAAGAAGTAACTGTTGATGCTTAAGGAAACAAAGTTATAAAAGTAACTTATTTTTATATCTGCTTATCAATAAAGCTGAAAAAAATTTTTATTAAGAACATTAGGCAAAAGGTAGATTAGGATGGTAATAAATACACAGAAGAAGAGATTATAAATCAAGATGGAACAAAGACTATTGTGAAAAAGAAAGTTGATTAGAATGGAAATTAAATAATTGAAGAAGAAAGCATTGGAGCTGATGGAAGTAAAAAAAGAGTTATAAAAAAAGTAGATTAGTTTGGAAACTAAATAATCGAAGAAGAAATTATTAATGCTGACGGTACAAAAAGAATAATTAAAAAGAAAATTGATAAAAATGGAAACTAAATAGAAGTAAGTTCTTTCCAAGTAAATATTTAAAGTACAAAAAAATATTATAATAGGAAGAAGAAATAATTGATTAATTTGGCAATAAAATTATTGTTAAGAAAATTTAAAATAAAGATGGTACAGTTACAGAAGAAAGGCAAATATTTAATTAATTTTTATTACTTTACTAATATATTAATTATAAATGATTTTAGAATAAATTTGACAACAGGAGAGAAGATTATTACAAAGAAAAAAATAGACGAGTCTGGGTAATTAGAGATTATTGTGTTTTTTAAATATTAATATTTATTGTACAAAGGCGAGAGATTATAGAAGAAACTATTATAGATGCTAATGGTAAAAGTACCACTAAAAAGAAAATCGTTACAAAAGACATGTTAGGCAACACTTTTGTTGGTAAATATTAACAATTTTTTTTTTGGTTATGAATTTGCTTACAAAAATTTTATTTATAGAGGAAACATATGTAGATCCTAATACTGGAGAAACGATAACTGTTAAAAAGAAAATATTCAAATCAAAAGATGGAAAAGAAATTGTTGAGGAACAAATAATTGATTCGAAAGGAAATGTTAAAAATGTATTTTCTTAAGATAAGTTTAGCCCATTTATTTATTTGCCTTATTTTCTTAAAAGATTAAAAAAAAAGTATTTAGAGACAGCCAAGGCAGAGAAATAATAGAAGAAGAAGTAATTTATTAAAATTATAATTTAAAATTTATAAATATAACTTTTTTTATCATAGATTATCGGAGCAGATGGAAAGAAATATACAGTGAAAAAAGTTGTCTATCAAGATTCTGAAGGCAATAGAATTGAAGAAGTAAATATTTATTTATCTATTTATTCAGTAAAATTTTTCAAACTTAAAACCCATTTTAACTGAGCCCTCATTAAAAAAAACATGCAAAATTTTTTTATCCCAAACTTAACTTTATCATTATAAAATTCATCTATAAACTACTTGAATATTTTGGGCAAATTTTTGGTACCATATTTATATTTACACAGGTTTTATTATATCTATTTTTTTTAAGTCAGTTACCCTGAAAAGTTAATTTTAAGAATATTTTTAAAATGATAGATTGCTTATTTATATACATATTAAAATATTCGTTAATTAAAAAAATTAGGAAGAAATAATTGATTCACAAGGAAATAAAGTTATAATAAGTATTTTCAATTTTATAAATTTACACTTTACTCATCAATTATGTTTATTAGAAAAAAAAATAGGAGCTGATGGCAAATAAATTATAGAAGAAACTAAAATTTCAAAAGATGGAAAGAAAACAGGTAAATTAATTTTCTTCTTTTAAATTATTTTCTGGATACATTTTTTTTATTAAATATCTAAAATAAATTTAAATTAATTGTAAAGTTACTCACCAAATCATCAATAAAGATGGAACTATTGAAGAAACTGTTATTGATTCAAATGGTAAAGTAACAAAAAGAAAATTAAAACTTGGAACACTAGAAAAGGAAGTTCAGGTTGATATTTTAGGTTCATTTAACAGCTAGTCTGGAACTAATTAACTTAAAAGTATTTTATTATAAATTGGTTGCCCTGCAGATAAAGTTGATGAATTAGTTGATGCAATTATGAAATTTATTACTAAAGGGGAAGCGATTGTAGTAGGCGATACTTAAAAAATAGCTCACAAAATAAACGAGTAAATTAACGGATTAAATTTATTTTTATAAAGTTATTTATTTAAAGAAAAGGTTTAAGTCTTCCAGGTTACTCCAAACTACCTGAAAGAAAGACTGCAAAAAAAGGAAGAAAATCAGATGATGAAGAAGAAGATAAATTGGAATAATTAGATGGATTAAACGAAGACTAATTAGTTGAAGCTCTCTTTAAAAAGATGAATTAAAAAAGTAAGAATTGTCTTTTTTCAAAACATTTTTTATATTTTTTAATAATAATTTAATAGAAGGAGAATTTGGAGATCTTTTGAAAACAATAAGAGGACATTTTGGTAAATAGAATGATGAAGATATTGGAATAGAAGACTTTAAAAAATACTTTAAAAAGTTTGCAGAAGTTCATTTAAAATGTGGAGAAAACTGTCCTCATTTAAGAAGATTTTACGAGAGACTTGGATTTACATGGGCTAAATATAGAAGACGTTACTTAAAACTAAAGGACACAAGAATTCAAGCATTTAACAAAATAAAAGACCAAGAACCTCCTGAGCAATAGTACCCCATAAAGAATGCTATTCGTACTTCGTCTCCAGAAAAATCTATAAATCAAACAATCTTATAATCAGCTTAAAAATCTCACACTTAAATAGCAAGTTAAAGGAGAGTTACTAACGATGAAGAAATAGACAAGCAATCATGGAACAATTATGATAGCATTTTATCAAAAGAATAGCTAAATTCAAGTTTGGAATAGTAGCAACGTTAAGAGTCAAACAAAAAAATATAATTCAAAGACTAATGAAAAAATTTAATTTTATAATTAAACATAAATATAAAACTTATTGTTAAAAATAATATTATTTATTTATTTATTTATTTTCAATTGAAATTAATTTATTTTCAATCTAAGTTTGTTTCATTTTTTGAGATTAATTTATTTTGTTTGATTTCTTAAAAAATTATCCAAATTTTTTTTGTTTGAAGGAAGCACTGGTAAACATTTTAAAGCATGATTTAACTTGTATTTAATAAATTATTTTGTATATTTGAATTACTCAATATTTATTTTTTTTGAATTTTTTGATGATAAATTTACTAGATCATTATCAAATATTTTGTAGACCTATTTAACTTTCATTAGATTATTAATTTGTCTACTATACCAAAGTATTTTTAATTAGATTTTTTATATAAATAAAGGCTTTTATCAACGAATGAACTAAATATACTAATAGTACAAATAATATAAAGCCAATGAATGAAAAAAACAAGCCTATTATTTCATATCGAAGGAAAAACTATTACTTTATTTAATATATCTCACCATTTTTTTCAAAACAGCCTGATTTAACCAGATCATCGAAGGTAAAGTAAAATTTAATTCTTGCATAATAAGTAGAATAAATAAACAATGTATCAGTAACTATCATAATTAGCAATTCAATGATTGGAAAAGAAAATTACCAAATTGAATTTATATATCCAAAAACAGTTAGCTTCATAAATTAAGCCATAACAGCTGGGAGGAAGTAGTCAAACATTTGAATAATATCTGTTTTAAAAATTTCTTATTTTAATTATGTACATTCTTAGCTTATATATACAACTCTCTAAACTGTGAATTAATTTTGAAAATTAAATTCTCTTTATTAAAAAGTCTTTTGTTATATAAATAAATTATAATCTTTTAGAGTATTATTAAATAGCAATAATTCTGGCAAAATTTAAAAGTTTTCTGAAGTTTCTTTGTCTTAATTTTCTAATTTATTATAATTATGATTAGGCCCTTAAATTTGTAAGGATTGATTATATACAATATCTACTATAGGATATAAACTTTCACTCTCTCTTGCTACATAGACAAACAATGTGTCAGTGAAATTAAATACTTTCTGATATCCTTTTATGGAAAATTATTTTGATATTTATATATCGCTAATTGGACAGTCATAGATACTCTTTATACATGTCTTGAATTCTTTATATATGCATTTTTTTTCATTCCATTGGCATTATTTTGTCGAATCGGGCTAAGATAACATATAAGAGAAAGGTATTCTTGTTACATTTAGCTAGGTTTTATCTAAAATTTGCTCATCATTTTATTTGTCTTTCCTAATTTGTATGATACTTGGTTCCACTTACTCTATAAAATCAAAATTCCAGTTTTAGTATAAGTAATCAAAGGAGAAGAAAATTAATGAGGACTATTCATAGTTAATTTGGTAATATATCATATAAATAAACGGAAAGTAGATAAATACTAGAGTACTATTTGTAATTATCTTTTTTATTTCAAGCATTTAGCTAACTATTTTAAAACTGCTTTCTTTTTTTATCAAATAAATTTCTTACTTTCTTTTGATTTTTTTAAATTATTTTTTTATGTTTTAAATTATAACTAATCTGATATTTACTACTTCTCTTCAATTTAAACTTTCTCTTGAATGTATTATTTATTTATTAAATCAGTTATTTGACTAAATATATTTATTGATCATCTATACTATAAAATAAATATGTTTTAACTAAAAACGATTTTCTCATTCAAAAAATTAATTTAAATATCAACAAACAAAATTAGATAAAATTTTTGAAAAGATTTTTGTATAAAAAAAAGGTTCAATAATAAACATTATTACAAATAAATAATTGTATCTCAATTTTTTTAGACTATTAAATTATCTCTAAAGCTTAAATTTTATCATTTTTCTATGTAGGTTTATTAATAAATTAGAATAATTTTATAATTAATTACAGATTAAAAATGTATATTTCTAATTGCAAATACTTTTATATGTTAATAATTAATTAATTTTATCATCATACAAAGAATATAATTTTAATAATTTAAATTAATTTTCTAAATAATTCATCAGTAATTTAGAAAATCTGCAAAGAATTAGTTGATAAAAAATAAATTTTCTAAAATAAATAAAAATATGTATTTAAAAATTCATCATTTTTTAAATAAAGTAGTTTTGTTTTTTTCTAATTTTTTTTTAGTTTTTTCTTTCTTTAGGTTTATAATTTTTTCGTAACTTTTTAGGACATGTTTACAATTACTTCTAGGGAAAAAATAAAGAAACTCACATTTTAAATCAAATAACCAATAAAAAATGGAGCTATCCCACTTGTCTTTATAAAAGGCTTCTTCAAAGACTATTCTATGGTTATTATTTTATATTATTGCTTAATTTTAAATCTAATTTTTATAACTAGGTTCTAAATATTTATTTGTAAAACTTATAATTGTATCTACATTTTTATCTGAATTTTTGTACTCTTATTTATGACTAAAGATAGCTGTTTAATTTTCTTATTCAATAACTTTATTACTACCTTTAAGCATTTGCTTATCTTAAGTTTCAAATTAACTAAATTATTATTCACTAGAAATTTTATTATCCATATTATGAACATTACTTGAAGGTTTTTTAATAAGAGGCTTAGAATTCGAAATTTACTTTTTCTTACAGCTAATGTTCATGTTATTATTAATATCAGAATTATTTTTACCATCAATATTATTTTTTATATCCCATACTTCGCTATTTTTAAATTCCTTTTTAAAATTTATGATTTTTATTAGAAGTTTTTAGATGTGTTAAAAAAATTATTTCACACTAAAAAATTTTTTAAATTCAAAATTTGAGAAAATGTATTCAATATTGTTAAAATTTGAAAAAAACAGAATGATAAAAACAATTAAAATATAGAATGAAAAAAATTAGATTAAAATTATAAAAATTGAATGAAATATCATGATTAGCAATCTATTAAAAAATATAATTAATTAATTTATTTACTTAAGATTTGATACCTATTTATATTTGATCAGCTTACATTTATTCCTCTATGTTTTTCAAAGATTCTTACATTCTACTTTTTTTTCTAATTCTATTTACTTCATATAATATTTATTTATTATCATTTTGGTTAGGATCCGCTTTATCTTAAGTGTATTGGTCTATGCTAGTCACATCTTCTTCAAATTCATTTTCTAATTATTTTTATTCACTTGTATTTATTATTAAGCATCTGTCATGCTTACTTTTAATTCTTTTATAGTTTGTATCTCTCTCTTGACTAGGGTAGTAAGTATGTTTGAAGATAGTAAATTAAGGATGCTTTGGTAAATGAGCCTATAAACACTCTAAAAAATGATGATTTTTTGCATTACATATTATGCAGTTAGTTTTTATTATACTCATTTCGTTATTTAATTATACCTTATGCTTGATTTCCATGAAAATTTAGTAGTCTTATTTGTTCTAATTTACAATTTAGATAAATTATTTCAATGATATTTTAATCACAATAGTTTATTTGCAGCTTTAGATTTTGTAAGGAAGCTATGAATTAGCAAAAAATTCATATTCTCCAAAAGTTTATCCTACAGTCAATCTTTTTACCACCTTTTATCCTTTTTTTTGATAATCAGCTGACTTCTTTTTTTCTTCATTTTGGTATTCTTAACTACAATTATTTTAATAGTATGATTTTAAAATATTTTCTTTTATATTTAAGATGATAAAATAAATATAATTATTTTAAAAGATTATTAATTTTTTAATTTACAGGAAATCATTTTCCTCCTGGTTCAACTAAAAAAGCTAGATTATGTCAACTAATTAGTAGATAAATAAAAAATAGTTAAATAAATTATATTAAAATTTAAATTTACCACTTCCTTGTATAATCAAATATAAAAAACTATCTTAAGAGTTTAGATCAAAAGTTGGAATTGTTAAACCTTCAGTGTAGCTCTCTTCTTGCATTATTTAGTAAACACTTGTAAGTGTCTATTGAGAAAATTGCTTTAGAAAGCTAAATTACTTGATAATATTCTTGTTAGATTCTGTAAATAGTTTATTTCTCATGTGGTAACTTAACTTATTTAAAGTTTCTTTTTCTTAATCAAATTGCACTTAGAGTTATTGTTCGTATTGATTTTATAAGTGAATATTCATTATCCTTTAGAGCTCTCTTTTGATATTAAATATAAATTTTATTTTTATTTAAATTTTTTAAAGTTTCTAAAAAATTATTAAGAAATTTAAAGTATTTTTTTGCTATTTATTTGATCAATTTTATTTAGATAACTCTAAAATTATTTTAAATTTAATGATAAAATGTTTTACAGATCTATTTTTTTTCTTTGCATGTATTTATTTAAAGTATTGAGATCTTTTTTATAATTTTCTGAGTTCAAATTTATATTTTAGAGTATGCTTCCAAGTGTATTGACTAGATAAGCATATAAAACACATGATATGAGCATCCAAAAAGAAGTGATAGCATATTCTAATTAAGTTGAAACAGAAATTGAATACGAATTTCCCATAGTATGGAAAGCCCATAGTTATGCTTCAAAATAAGCAACCCACCATTTATATTCACTTACCATTAGTTAGCCTATTTGTTAAAACATGTAAAAAAAGAACATTAACAATGAAATTCAAATGGTTTTGATACTAAAAAATCTAAATACTAATATCACTTATAATTAAACTTTACTCATTAAAAAAATAGCAAATTCATTTGTTTATGTTTATCTAAAACTAAAAAAATTTACTTTAATTGATCCACGTATTATGAATGTTTAAAAAATGCATTTCAAATTATGCTAGAGCAACATAAGAGCAAGCCATTAAATGAGTTAGCAATAGAATTTATAGAAGTAGTTTGATTATTAATAAAATATAGTGCTTTTTTAAGTGCTGAAGGATTAAAAATTCAAGTTTAATCAATACTATTGACATTCCTTTTAGTTTAAGTAATAAAGGCAGCTTGTAAAGTATATCTAACGTTATATTTGAAGAGGATTTGCCATCAAAAATAAGAGGAAGAATCTCAAAAAGCAAGTATTCCTTAGTATAAATTTTAAAAATGATTCTTCGATCAGTGACAAACTCACCTTCGTGATAAGTTGAGGTATTCATTGATATCAGCATTTCAAATACCCAAGCTCCATTTGCGATATTAGATAATATTTCAAATAGCCCTTCGAATTCAGCTTCAAAGAAAACTGTAAAGGAAACTAGAAGTAGATAAAAGCAGTTATAGCAAACAATTATAGAAGTTATAATTATTCGTATTTTATTTTCTGGATTAATTAGAGGTAATTTACTTAATAACAAAAAGAAAGTATCTATCATCAATAGGAAAACAGAGTAAAAAGCATTTAAGATTTATTTAACAAATGAAGGTTTTTTTGTTGAGATATATTAGCTAAAATCTATTCTGTCATTAACTAATAGTCTTGAATCCAAATTGAATTAACGATATCTTCCACTCATAGTATAGTTTTCAAAAAATTTCAATACTTAAGGTTTTATAAAAGTAATTATCCTAATTACTTTATCTATACTATTCAATCCATTTGAAATAATTTTGGTTTGTTCATCAATTTAAGCAGGTGGTGCATTATTTATTGACCTTTATTTATATGATAATTAAGGAGATAATCTATTTTAAAAATTACTTACAATTGTTGTGTCTTTGAAAATTCTGCTTTTTATATTTTATCTATTGCTCTTTCTTGAAGTATTCTTGTATGATTCTACTTTATAGGGGAGCCTACATTTTTAATCTTTTAGCTATTCCTCAAATCTTATTCTACATAATCAGTTGCTGTTTCATTATTTATGATATATTTGCAATAATTTTAACTTTTATTTTTTAGCAAATTCTCATCTTAATCATTTTTAAATCCTATTCATAAAAATTTAATTAATTAATTCAAATTAAAACATTTTACATTATTTCTTTTAAAATAGAGATACTTCTTTTTACAAAAATTATATCAATTATTGATCATTACAAAAAATGATGAATACTTTAATTTTTTTAAATGTTAAAAGAATTAGTTTATTAGAATTCTATCATAAAAAAATCATTATGTTTTTATTTTTTGACATTTAATATTATTTTAAGAAAAGAATGCAATTATCTTATACCTATAATTGAATTATTTTAAGATATATTAGATTACTCTATTGATCCCCCAAAAGAAAGTTCTGCAATATTTAAACGATTAGTATTATTTTAATGTGCTTCTTCATCGTAAATGAACGAATCTGCTTTCTTTGAAATGTTTATTAATGTTTAAGAGTTTTTTCCAGAAAGTTTCACTTGCAGAACATTTTCTGAAGATTTTACTTGCAGCATATTTTCTGAAGACTATTGTATCATATTCTAAGTAGAATTAAATTTCAGTTTGTTTGTTTATTTATTTTTAATTAATTTCAAAGAAATAAAGTTTTCTAAAGAAATATAAAATAAAATTACTAAAAAATAATTAAAAAAATAGTAATATTGATAAAAAAATGTTTATTTTAAATTATCATGTATAGCATTGTAAAAATTAACCTTAAGTTTATTGAATGTTCATGTTTTTTTATCAAAGTATAATTTTATTATGTTTTATATATGTAATTTTTTGTAGGCTATCAAATTATATATAAATTTGATAAATAATTACAATCAAGCTTAAAATAATTATAATACCTAGACTCTATTCTAAAAAAATACAAAAATTTTTCTTACTTCTTTTGCATACATGAATTATATTATCCAAAGTTTATTTAATTTTATTTTTAAAAATTTGAAAATTAAATACTTCGAGTTTTCTTTAAATATAGTAACAACTTAAATTTATAAAAAAATTACATTAAAATTTAATTTGTTTTTTATGATTAGGAATAAATAAAAAATTATTTTATAAAATTAGATAAATTAATCGGATATTATAAAAATTAACAGACTCAAATTAAATCACTTAAAATAAAAAAGATAGTAATAAAAAATTAAAAAGATTCATTTAAATTTTTTATATTTAAAAATTAAAATAAATTCTAAGAGTTGAATTGTATCTAACTAAATATTAAATTAATAATAAGCAAAAAATTTTTTTTAATTCAACAATATTAGCTTTTTTTTAAAGATTAGCAAGATAGTTCTAATTAATTATTTTCTAAAATATCAGAAAATTTAAATTATTTTTGATAATGATTATCTTTATAAATATGAGGGGATTATATAAGTATATGATAGTTAAATGTAAATCTCTTATTTGTATATCCTAGGTGTAAAATAAAATTTAAAAAATAGTATCTAAGAATATATTTTATATATTATTTATTGTATGTAAAACATCCTATTATCAATATTAACAATTTTCTAATTATAGCTTTGGCATAAAATATATTTGAGTTAGAAATTTATTTATTCATTTAACAATTAAAATTCATAAAATTAAAAAATAAATTGATTTATCTATCAATAATATAAAATCACATAAATTCAATAAATTTCATCTTATTTAAGGAATTCTTTTTAAAAAAATAAAAAATATGAGTTTGAATGAATACTTTAAAAATACTTTGATTTTCTCATTTTTTATAATCCAATTATTAATGGAGGAGTATTCTAAATTTCAATAATCTTCAAGTTTTTAATTTAGTAAATTCTACAAAATTTTAAGGATTCTTCATAAGAATTACTATAATTTTATTGTCGAGGACTGCTTGAAAAACCTAATTTAAGATCAAAAGTATACAATATTCCCAGTATAAATAAATAAAATAGAATTTATAAGAAAAATTAACATTTACAAGACATATTCTTTTATATTTATATTATAAGCTTATTTTTTCAATAAAAAAACTTAAGAATTAAAAAGAGACAAATTTAATAATTTCTTTTATTAACAAGATTTTATAATATTCAAAAGCTTATTAATTAAAAATAATAAAACAATAAAACAATCAAAAATTATAAATAGTCGGATTTTAGATTTTAACAATATTAATGTAAGCAAGTTATTTACGTTTCTTTATAACAAAATCTTTTTATGAATATTAAAGAGCTCTTTAAGTAACAATTTCAATAGTTTATTAGAAGAGTTCAATTTTAGTTAGTTGTAAACACAAAATAATAAAGATCAGAATGTTTTTCTGATTGACTAAATTTTACCAGAAATCTTGTTTTTAAAAAAATTTCTTGTCCATCAAAAATGACAAAAGTTAAATTTTTATATTTTTGTTTCATAAAAAGTTAATAAAAAGTTGCTACTAATAGGAGCAATCACATAAATTACAATCTTATTTTTATTCAAAATAGTAAAATTAAATTACTAAAATAAAGAATCTAAATAAATAAATACTGAAATGAGCAATAAATTATTTTTGTCTGCCATTCTTTTCCTTGGATTACTTGTTGGAACAGTCTATTCTTAAGTTAGCCTTGAGCTTCAAGTCTAAACCTTAGACTCTTACTAAACAAAGAACACTTACATATTAGCTGCTAAAGGTGTTTTTGGTGGTAACTAAAATAGCGATAAGGACAGTTGCTCTGAAAGCTTTACCATATAAACTAATCAAAATTAATTTTCTTAAACTGATATGGTTCTTCCAAATGCTAGAAGGTGTGGTGATGTATCAAATGTAAGCCTTTCAGGTTATACAACTGAATTAGGTCTAGGTGGTGTTGAAATACCTGTTTATCTTCGCTACGGTTAAGGAACTCCTATATTTGATTTCTCTGATTCAGATTCAAATATTCCAAACCTACTTTATACTCTAAACAAAGTAAAGAATCCTGTCTTTTACTTTAATCTTAAAAATAATGTTTAACTCGTAAATGGATTTAAACCTAAAAGCTTCTTATACATTGGCGATAGTGAAAGTACAACTGCTTAATAAGGTACTGAAGTAATTGTTTTACCTAAATTAGGAAATGGAGGATGGTAATTACCCTTGAAAAATATTAACTTTTAAGGTAAATCTTATTAGGTGTCTGATGAATAACCCTTTTTAATTTCTTCTTACGACTCAATCGGTTTAGGCTAATAAGGATATTAAGAATTCTTGAAGCCTCTTGTATAAAAAAAAGCTATCATCTAAAATAAGAAGCTTGGATACGTTTCTATAAATAAAAATTTCCTTAACGATCTTCCTAACATAACTTTATAAGTTGAAGACATAAATGGAGTTTTATAAAATTTAAATATACCTTCACAAAATTATGTTCTTAAAGTGAATGATGAATATATCCTAAAGGTTGACGATTCAAACTAAGTAGGATATCCTTTATACTACAACTATTTAATTGGTTTTGATAGAAATGGTAAATAATTCTTATTTTAACAAAAGTAAGATTCTTTGAATGCTTCATCTTTCTGAGAAAGATAATAAATTTTTAATATTAAATAACAAAAATTAATATCATTTTTATATAAAAAATTTTATAATTATGTTTTTACTAAAATAAAATCAATGAAAAATGTATTTAATTAATTTATAATTAAAAAATTTTATTTTTCTATTGCACTCCTTCAAATAAAAATAAATTTGGATAACTTAAAAACTAAAGGCTTTAAAAAATAGCTTTAATCTTTTAACATAAGAAACATGTAATATAATACTAAAATTAGGTTTACCTTTTAGGCTAACAAAAATAATTCTTATTTTATTTAGTAAATTCATACAAATTATTGCCATTATTTTTTACTTAAAAGAAATATAAAAATATAATTACAATCATAAATAATTTCATTCAAATTTAAAAGTTTAAGTGATAATCAACCTAAATTAATAGCTAATTTTTTATAATTGATAGGTAATAATAATAAAATTTAATGGTAAAAAGATAAATAATAAAATTTTTAAAAGATATGTAATGATTTATTTATTTGTTAATAAAAGCTCTAAAACAATATATCTTAAATTATAATCCTTTTTTACAGTATAAATTCTATCGAAATTTGTGATTTATAAATTAATATTGATTAAAAAAGGGTTAAAATTTTAAAATAATGAGCAAAATCACTATTTTACTTTCAACACTATCTTTATTAAAAATGAATTTAATATATCCTATTAAACAGAGTTAAATAATAAAAGGATGATAAATAATGTTTTTTATAAATTAATCAAAATGGTTTGATTATGAATTATTGATTATTTTATTTTTGGAACTTTAATATTTCTTTGATGATAAAAAATCGTCAAAAATAACTTTCTCTTATCATTTTTCACTTTTGCTAGTGTTTATAGTAAATTTTAAAAATCAATAATAATCCTTGTTAAAAATTATAATAAATTCATATTTTTATGGACAAAAGATTATAAATTTTAAATATAAACTCATTAATTAATATTTAAAATCATTAATTATGACTTAGAAATATTTTATTAATTTATAATTTATATGAGTCTAATAAAATATTTGATTTACTAAATTTAAATGGGACAGCCAGCCTTAGAAATATTTTTTTTAAAACAAATCTTCTTTAAATGATTTAAACTTAAATAAAAATTAGTACAATAAAAAATTAACTAACTCTTTTAATAACAAATGATAAATACTTATCCTATTAATAAAATAATTATCATAGGATTAAAATAAAAAAGCAGATTGATTTATTATACTACGAAAGTAAATTAACTTAATAATTAATTATTTTATTTTAAGAAATTCTAAAAATATACTTACTATTATGAAAAAATAAAAAATTTAAAATTAAGATTTATGATATAATTATTGTTTTTTTACTATTATGAAATTATGAAATGCAAATATTTCATCTTTATTAACATCTTTCAAAAAAACTTAGAGGGATCTTAAGGTTTTTCAGGTTCTGGAGGGCTGTAGAATGAGATAAATTTAGGTACTATAGTAGGCAGGGTAGTAACCAAAGCAATAACTAATGAGGTAAATGTATCTTAGAAATTGACATCTATTAAATTCAAGAAAAGATATTTGAATTCAATTTGATCATTTTCAACTGACTTAAGGATCTTCTTAACACTCCTTCTGATTTACTCTAATAACTTCTTCCTCAGTTTTCCTAAATTTTCCATGGATTGATTTTCGTAGTATTTAATTCCATCTAGTTATTCTCCTTCTATTTATTTAACTCCATTTGGTAAAATTATCTCTTCATAAGCCATAAATTCATAGCTCATTAACTTAATTTTTTTAATTACGACACCATAAATGTTATCTACTGTTTCACAAACAACTTTATCACCATCTTTTAGAATGCAATCAAAGTAATAGTCATACATAGTAATCAGATCATCAACTACATCTGATAAACTTCTAAGATTTAGTAACATATCATCAAAGGTATCGTTATATTTAGTACCATAGTAGAATCTGAACAGTAAGAAAAAGCTCAAGAATACAAAATCAAAAGAACTTTAGATGACAAAGATAGGGTTTAATAAAATAGATTCTTTATCGAAAATCCAGTAAAGCTCAAAGAATGAAGAGAATACAATCAAAGTAACAAATACAAAGTAAAAGAACAAACAGAAATAAGATATTTCCAATGTCTACATGAGTTCATTATTAGTAGTAAGAATGACTTTTCTGTAGTTATCCCAAGTTTCCATACTGATTGGGCAAGTAAAGTCAATTTTATTTTGTAATTCATCCATATTTTTACTGTTTAAATCTTTGAATTTAACTAAATCGCTCAATGCTTCTAATGCTGTAAACTTCTTTCTTAAATCATAATTTCCTAAGATTCTATTCAAATTAAAAGCCGTGTAGAAATAAAGGAATATATTTACAAACACATCAAGCAGAATTCTATAGCTAAATGCATCACCTACAAAATCAAGATATTTGAATGTCAAGTAGATCTTAATCATGAGGATAGCTATTAGAATTAAATATTATTGGAACTAGGGAAATACATATTCCTCAAACTTAGTTTCTTCATTCAGTTTAAAGATATCGTTTTGAATAACTTTACGTTCAGCTTTATTAAAATCGAATGTTTTGTATCTACGAGATAAGTTTGATACACCACAATCTCTGAGAGATTTTGAGTTATTATTGCTCCTGCCTGACTAGAGAGGGAAATCAAACAAAAAAGCAAATTTATCTGATTCTTTGTCATGGAGGTACTAAAATGTGCTAAATGAATTAGTTGAGCATAATTTCGAAAAGATTTAACCAAATGTTAAAATTTTACACTGCTTAGCCTTAATAAAAGCAAAAACAAGGACTGCGTTAAGATAAAAGAACATACTATCTGAGTACATAAACTTTAAGTTATCATCTTGGATTTTGGAAAATAGAAGAATATATTACATATACAAAATAGATAAGTTAGAGACTATAATCCACAAAGCAACTAATATTAAAAATAAGATACTCTTATCTCCAACCTTTTAAAAAGGAATTATTAAACTAACTATTATCATTGCAAAAGGAACAATTATAAATTCTATATAATATATAAGGGTTGCAGCAATAAGTAGAGCTGTTTCTTTTATCATATTACTATCTTCATCTTTATTTTAATTGATTAATGCATTTTCATCCTTTCCTACATCTTGTTCATAATCATCATCATCCTCGTTATTTTGCTGTTTTTCATCATCATCTGAAAGAGGATTTTTTTCTTTTCTTGACTTTAATACGCTTTATATTTTTACCCTTTTCATTTTTACAAGTTTTTATTTTATCTGATCTTATTTTGTAAAAAATATTATGTAAAAATTAATAGTTTTTAATAAAATAAAAGTAAGTTTAAATGAATATAAACAACTAACAAAGATATAATCTTCAATAACTAATAAATTAAATTTATTTCATTAAAAATAAAAAGTTGATTATTGTATCTAATTACAAAAAAGTAAGAATAAATATTTATTTTCTTCGACCTAATCTCCTAAATCAAAATTTTATTAAATTCCATTTTTATCTATTAAATTTGGAATGATAATAAAATTAGTTTTTCTTTTTAAATATTTGGATTAATATTTTTGAGATAGATGTGGTTATTTCATTTACTATTTTTTACTTTTAATTAAACACAAACAAAAACGGGTTTTATCTTTATTATTTAATAAAATTTAAATTTTAATGAAACAAAATCATCATATCATATTAAATAAAACAAGTAAAGCTTGATTAATTTTAAACAAATTTCAAAATATTTTATTGAAATATTTCATATTAATAAATTAAATTAATTCCAATTTTAATTCACTTAAATTTAAAAATTTTAATTTGATTTATTTTCATTTAAAAAATATTTAAATAATAATAATAAAATTTGTAAATTAAAAAAAAAGATTTTGTTAAATAACATAATTTTTTTTGTTTTTTATCCTTGATTATTTTACTTATATTTTTATAATGTAAAGAAATATTTATTTGGTGAACATAAAATTAATTATCTTCTTTAGTCTTTCAAAAATAATCTTTTGTTATTTTTTTATAATAATAAATATTTTTAATATTATTAATTTTTGTTTTTAAATTTATATATCTTAAAGTAATTTAAAGTAAACAAAAATTAAAATTTTATATTTAAATATTAAAAATAAAAGAAAGAAGTATAAATTTTATTTATTAATATTAATATTTTTATCAATATTTAAATTAAATAATCTCATATTGTTACCATAAAATTCTAATAATCATGATTTTAAGGAGTATGTATGATGTTTTTGAGATAAATTTCGCATTTTGAATATCATATTTATCAAAATATAGAAGAAAGAACTATAGAGAAATTAAATATATTTCACTACAGATAATAAAAAAATTATTAAAATTAAAGTTTTTTTGAGAGTTTTTTAAGTTAAATTATTTAAAGAAAAAGTTTTTTTATTACATAAAACTAAGCAATTATATAAACATAAAATAAAATTAAAAATAAATATTTAAATTTTAATAAAATTAATGGTTTACAAATAAAATTATATAATCACTAAATCATTTAAGTATGTATGAAGTTTTTGAGATAAATTTCGCATTTTGAATCTCAGATTTATCAAAATATAGAAGAAGGAATTATAGAGAGATTAAATATATCTCACTACAGATAACAAAAAAATTATTAAAATTAAAATTTTTTTGAAAGTTTTTTAAGTTAAATTATTTTAAAGAAAAAGTTTTTTTATTACACAAAACTAAGCAATTATATTAACATAAAATAAAATTAAAAATAAATATTTAAATTTTAATAAAATTAATGGTTTACAAATAAAATTATATAATCAACTAAATCATTTAGAGAATTAAATATTATAGGAACCGTTATCATTCTAATTCAATTTAAAGTTATCCAAACTTAGACCAAATTTACCTATAATTATGATTAAAATAATTAATTTATAGAATACATTTTATTTTAAAGAATTACCTAAAATAGTATTTCCTAAATCTTTTAATCCTGAAAGCACTTCAGTTTTTCTTTTTTCGTTTAACTTTTCTAGATCTTTTTACATGATAAATATTTTAGTTTTGATTTGCTTGTCATCAGGATCTAACTTTTCTAACTCTTTAAGGTCTAATTAAATAATTAGAAAATTAATTATTTTATCGAATTATATATATTTTAATCAAATTAAGTGCAGTTAGTTGTTATTTTAACAGAAAAAATTATTTCATAATAAAATTTATACCTTCAATCGCTTCTTCCAGCTTTTCTGTTTTTTCATAAGCAGTTATTCTGTTAAGGTAAGGCTTTTTAAATTTAGGATCTAATTTTATAGATTCTGAAGAGTACTATATGACAGTTTCATAATCATTTTTCTTTAAGTAGCAAATTGCTAAATTTGAGTTCAAAACTGAACACTATTTTGTTTCTGACAAAGGACAATATTTTAAAGCTTTATAATAAAACTCAATAGCCTAATAATATAAATATAATTTTAAATACAACATATTTTTTTTAAAATAATAATTACATCATCAAATGCTTGATCATAAAAATATTTATTTGCTTTTTCTTTGAATTCTAATGCTTTCTCTAATGACTAAATATTTTGTTTTTTTCAAAAATTATTTTAATTTTAACTTAATAATTTAACCTTTTCACTTTCAGGTATTTCTTCTTAAGAGTCTTAATCATCTTCATCTTCATTTTAATTATTTTCTTTTTCGTCATCGCTTTATTTTAATTCATCTAATTGCTCTTAATCGTTTTTTTAGTCTTCCTCAGATTTTTATTCATCATTTTGATCCAATTTTTTATCTTCATTTGACTTTTAAATTTAAGTTATTATGATAAAAAATGGTCAAATTAAAAATTACATGTTCTAAATTAGATCTATTTACTTTATATTCTTCAACTTATTCAGATTTTTCTGTTTATTCATTCAATTTTTAATCAACTTTATCTTAACCATCATCTTAAACCTAATCTTATTCTTAAGTTTCAGCAACTTTTTATTCTTGTTTTTCGCTCATTTTTTAAATTTATGAATTTTTTTGAAATGTTCTATTTTTCTTTTTCTATCCTTTAAATTTTTTGGAATTTTTCTAAAATTAAGTATTATTCTAAAAATTTAATTATTAATTTGCTGAAAATTGTTGTAGAATATTTAGGTTAATCAACACCAAAAAAAAATTAGTTGAATATAAATTTACAAACACAAACATTCAATACGAAAAAGTTTGTTAAATATTTTTGAATTTTAAAAAATTAATGTAAAATACAAAAAAATATTTTACAAATGTTAATATTTTTTTATTAAAATAAAACAAATAAATTTTATAAATTTAATGTCTTAGATTAATCCATTTTTTTTTATTAAATTAAAAAGTATGATTTAGAAATGCTATCTCTACCAAGTAAATAATAATTCTTTAATCTCCTATTGCTTATTTAAGATAGATAGATAAACAGATAATTTTATAATGCAAGATACGAGTGCTTTAAATTGAATGAATGATTGAAGGTTAAAATTAGATTAAAGCTTTTTACAAACATTAATAATAAATATTTGATAAAAAATAAAAGATTTCAATTAAATAGCAAGAGCAATAAAATTTTAACAAAAATGACTGACAAAAGTAAGAAAGTAGTTGAAAAACAAGAACAAGAAAACGATTAAGATAAGAATTAAGCCCGTATAAAATTATTTTACTTACTAGTAGATATATGACTTAATATTATTATTTTATAAATCAGAATAAAAGAAGGGTAGAGTTATTATTAGAAATTTAATATTTGATATCAGTGAGAAGCATCTTAAAGGTTTGTTGGGTAAGTATGGTGAAATTATTGAAATTAATATTCCAGTCAACCCTTCAACAAACAAATCTAAGGGTTTTGCCTTTGTCTAATTTGCTAATAAAAACTGTGCATTGAAAGCTATAAATGTATTTATTTGACTTTAGCTTATAAAGTAGAATTTAGATTATTGATTAATCAATTTTAAATTAATTAAAAGGAGTTAAATGGTACTTAATGGAAGGGTAGAAATATCGTTTTAGATTTAGCTGTTTCCAAAGAAGAATTCAAAAACCATCAATAGCCATAAAATTAACAAGATAAATAGTAATCTAAACAAAAAGCTAAAAAATCTGAATAAATTGAAGAGGAAGAAGGAGATGACGATGAAAAAAAAATGGATGAAGAAGAAGAAAGTGAAGATGATGAAGATCAAGAAGACGATGATGAAGAGGATGAAGACGAAGATGATGATGAAGAAGAGGAAGACGAAGATGATGATAAAAATAATTAAAATAAAAAGGGAAAGAATTAATAAGGATAAAAGAAATTATTTGAAAATGAAGATTTATCCAAAACATGTTTTGTTAGAAATTTATCTTATGATTCTACTGATAAGGATTTAAGAACCTTCTGCCAAAACTTTGGTAAAGTAGAAATGGCAAAGGTAACTAAATAAAGTATTATGTTGGTTCTAAAGTTTAATTTAATAAAATGATATTAGGTATGTATGAATCATGAAACAGGAAGCAACAAAGGTACTGGTTTTGTAAAATTCTAAGATGCATAAGTAGCTCTTAAACTTATTGCAAAGAGTAATGAACTCAGTGAAAACTGTCTTTAACAAAAAAATAAAAAAAATGCCAGCAACATTCATGATATATTTTCAGGTATGTGCTATTTATTATTTTAATATTGTTTATTTATTTAAAAATTTAAATATTCATTTTGTTAATAGGAATAAGCGAACTTGATCTTGAAATGAATGGAAGAAGAATAATTTTCTTGGAAGCTAAGAAAAGAGAAGAAGTTTCTAAAGTTATGGAAGAGAAGCTTGAAAGAAATTCAATCACTTTAGATAAAGTTAAAACTTTAGATTAATTAGAAAAGTTTGACAGATAAGGAAAGAGAAACGTTCATTTAGCCAAGCTAGGTATTTTCGAAGAAGAAAAAAGCATGACTAATGAAGAAAAGGAAAAGAGACGTATTCACTTATAAGAAAAATTGAATAAGCTAAAAAACCCTAACAACTATGTATCCTCAACAAGTATACTAACATTTATATTTTTATCACTTTGATATTAAAAATATTTTTAATTTCCAAAGGAATTGCCCTTATGAACATACCAAAAGACGAATTCTAAGAAGAAGATATTAGACTTTATGCTCAAGCAGCACTTATAAAAGAACATGGTCAAGAATATTTTAAAAAATAAAATCCAATTAAATAGGTAACAACAATAATTGCTTTTTAATTTTTGATTTAAAATTTTTTTAATTATATATATTAAGGTCTTATTGCTTAGAGATAAGAATAAACTTGATAAGGATGGAGTACCTAAAAGCAGAGGTATTGGATTCATAGAATTTAATACACATGAATAAGCACTTTCATTCTTGGAATATTGTGTAAATGATAAGCAAAACTTTGAAAAGAAATACAAGAAAACACCTATTATTGAGTTTTCAATTGAAGATGCTAGAAAAATGGCAAAAAAGAATAAATTATTAGAAAAAGTTAAATAAAAATAAGCAGAAAAGAAGAAAGAAAAGAAAGAATTAACTGAAGAGGAATTAGAATCAAAGAAAAAAATTCTTAAAAATACGAACGAAGCAGCAAAAATAAAGATTTAAAATATTCTTGATTAATCTAACTGCAGTGACATGTCTCTTTATGAGGAAGGCAAGAAATTGTTGAAGGACATAAAGAGTAGAGGTATTAAATAAAGAATGGCCAAGCTACTAAGAAAGAAGTTCAATATTCAAAATGAAGATAATCAAAAGTCTAATAAATTAGTAGAAGCTATTTCCAAACAAGAGGAAAAGATCAAAAATAAGAATTCTAAGGAAGAAAAGAGAAAGCAATTATTGAAGTAGAAAGTATAAGAAGAAAAGAAGTAGAAAGTAGCTGAATAAAAGAAGAAGCAAAAGGAAATCGATGATGAGCTTGATGTTGATGCATCTGAACTTATTAAGGTAAATAATTAAACATTTTACTTAAGAATATTTATTGATTAATTTTAATTATTGTTTTATTAAAGGCTGTCTCTAAAGAATTAAAGAAAAATAAAATAAGAAGATAAAACTTGGAAGACTACGATGAATTAGATGTAAATTTTTAATAAATTTATTATTTTTTAAAATTATTTAATGTTAATAGGATGTAGTTGAAAAGCATATGTAAAAGAAAGTTAAAAAAATAAAGCAAGAAAGTAGTGCATTGTGAAATCATTTTAATCAAACAATAATTACAAATCATTAAAAATATTGAGTTAATATTAGAATTTTAGGTGCTTATGATATGCATCTTGAAATTTAAGTAAAGTTGTAATTAAACGAAAGTAGGTTTAGGGATTAAACTTTATTACTTTTTATAAAATTTTAATTATAGTAAAATTTGATATGTCAATTTCTTCAATATATTGTATTCTAGATATTTTATGGTTTATATCCTTAATTCTTTTTTAAGAACCTTTTATTATCAGCTTTGATAGAAAAGGTATATACTCTTTGCAAATAACCTATCAAAATTAATTAAAAAAGTAAAAATTACCTCAATTAATTTCTTTCAGAGAAATAAATCAAAATAAGTTTTAATTCATTTAATAAAAGGTAAATTGAATAAATAAATATCTATTTATGTTAATGATGAAATATACATTATTCATTAATACAGTAAACAGAATCTAATAATAAACCATCATAGATTTAAGCTGCGTTTATTAAAGCTGGTATAGATTATTTAAACATATTAAGTTTAAATTATTTTTTATTCTTTTTCAATAAAAAGTTGTAATTATATTTTTCAATTTATAATCATGTCTACAAGTTTTATGAATGAATGGCTAAGCAGAAATAAAAATATATAACCTATCATTTTATTTAAGCAATATTACTTAGAAAATCAAAATGGTATCTTATTTGAAAACTATTTAAACAGATGAAAAGATAGTCATCTTAATTTAGTTGTAGATTTAAAAAGCAGATTATTAACATTTGTTGTATTTAATAGCTATTTTTTTTTTTCTAAACGAAAGCATAATAAATAATACAATTAAAAACATCACTTAAGATTTTATTCTTTTATAAAATGGATATTTTAAAATAAATTCTATAAAATGGTGTAAGTTAAAAATTTTAATAATTATTTTCTTCGTAAAAAAAATAAACTGAGATTTATTTTTCATGTATTTTAAATGTTTAATAAATTTCATTAGTAAACGATAAAGGTAGAGAAAACTACCAGTAATAAACTTAAAATTATTTTTTTAAATGAAAAAATTTACCTTTCTATTAAAATAAGTAAAATTTATAACTATTTGAAAATAAAATAAATTTTTTATTAGCAATCACAAACATTACTTTAGTTATCGAACTGAAATTCGATTGGATAAACATAATAGTTTTGAAAAGAATTCATAATAAAAAATAAAGAATAAATAGTTTTTTATTTTAAACTAACTTAATGATAGTTTATTTTGAGAATAAGCTTAATTATTAATAGGCGTGTTTTTAGGGTATGACGAAAGTACATAATTAATTTAATGAGAATGAATTAAATATTCGTCATTTTCTATTTTTTAAAACGTTCCATTTTTATATATTTGTATAAATAAATACCTCAAAACAAAAACAGATTTAAATATTTGTCTAATATTTAAAATTTAACTTGATGGATGGTTTATATATAAGTAAAAGAAAATAAAGAAAAAGTTAGCAAAGAAAAGGGGCAGGGGTAAAGCAATTGATAGGCAAAATCAAATTGATTTTGTTCGAAATTATATTAGTCATGGAATTAAATTTGCAAGAGTATTGACAAAATAATCCTTATTTAATTTAAAATAAATATGAGAAAAGAGTTTTGAAAAATAAATTAAGATCAATAAAAGAAAAAAATTAGTTGTTTTTAAAAAAATAGGGGGTCTTTATCAGAAGAAAATTTAACAACTAATGAATTAATGAAATACAATTATCAAAAAGCAAAGTACATTTATTTTATAATGATAGTAATATTTACAAATAAACAAATAAAGAAACAAACAAACAAAAGAATGAAACCTAAGCAATCTATAGTAAATTATAACTAACTAACTAATTATTAATTTTTATATTGCTGAATGGCTGACTTATTTACTTATCAACTAAATCAATGTACATGCCTCTTAATAAAAATGAATGAGATTCATATTATAAAGGAATGTTTATATGAATGAATATTCATTATTCATTTATTAATGATAAGAAAAGATTAGTTAATTAATTATTTTTTGATTAGAATGATTGATTGATTGATTGGTAGATTGATTAACATTTTGAATCAATTTAATAAAAACAATCAAATGATAAAGATTAGGAGTTTTTTAGAAGACTATAATAATATATATAAAACAAACAAAATAAAAACAAAAGAAAAATTTTTAAAGTCAAAGAAAAAAATTTGCCGAAAAGGAGGAGTTGTTTAAGAGCCTGTGCTATTCCGTGCAATAAAATGATGCGTAATTCTATGAAATCGAAGACTAAGACAATACAAAAGTAAAAGAAGGATGTTCCTTAACAAATATCTAAGAGTGTGACACAAAAAAGAAGGGGAAGACCTCACAAAAATTTACCTATTGAAGTTTTGCCTAAAGAAGAGTCTTGCTCCTTGAAACATTCAAAAAGTGCTGGGATATCTACGGATGACTCTTCATCTAACCATGTTATGACAGAAGAAATCTCTTAAAATAGCTTAGTTGATGTAAGCACCAAGCTCAGACCTATTTCAGACTTTAACTAGTTTCTTGAAGTTCCTATCATTAGGCCTACTATTGAGGAATTCAACGACCCTTTTAGACTTATTGCTAATCTTTATCTAAAGGGATATGACAAGTAAGGGGTTGTCAAAATTATACCACCACCTGAATGGAAGCCAGACTTCTAGTTCTCCAAGATTTAGAGTAAGGTCAATACTAGAGTGTAAGTTGTCAATAAACTGTCTAAAGGAAAGGTATTAATTGCATATATTCATTGTCTTTATTTATAGCTAAAAACAAATTTTAAACCAAAAACATTATTTCTTTGTCTTAGCTCCTAAAGGGATTTTATATTGGATAATTTTTTAAATCCCTTTAAAAAAAAATGTGCAAAAATTTATTTAAAACTATAAAATAACTCTCTAATTCAGTTTTTTATATAATTAATCCTTATCATCTGAGTTAGATAATGAAAAATAATCTAATATCCAAAAAAGATCTTATTCAATTTCTGATTAAAATATTTTCAAACTCTAATTCTCTCTTAATTGATCTCATTATAATTATGAAAAGCCTTTAAAGCATTTAGACTTTTTATTGTTTATCAAAGAATTTAAATCTACTATCAGTTGATATATCTATCTATTACCTAATTTATTAAACAATCAAAAAAAAAAGGGGGAAAAAAAAATTATAATTTAAAAAGTAGAGATCAAATTTCTTGAAAAATTAAGTAGTTAACATTTCTAAAATGGTAAAAAAAAATGATATTTCTACTTTACATCTTTGCGCTAACTTTCTGTGTTTCTCATTAAAATCATTTAAAGAGAACTTTCTAAAATTTAAGTTTTTGTATTACCAATTTTGACAGCCTACGTGTCATATTTTACTTTTCTTCTTTAGGGACTGAGCTTAATATTAAGCTTTTATTAGAGAGTCTTCTCTCTTATGCAAAAAGCTTAGCCTGGCTTCTAATTATTAATTATAAAGAGCGTTTTCTTCTTAGTAAATTAATTTAATTACTATTTAATTGTAAGATAAGAAGAGACTAATACGTTATAAAGAGTCATTACTTTTGGATTTTAATCACCTTTTTCCTCGAACAAGAATATATAAATTTGATTATTACATAGAATTAGTAATTATAATAGAGACTAAATCAATTCTTACTAAATATTTCATAATCTTATTAAATTTCTTTGCTGCAAAGAATATATTCAAACTCATCTAATAATTGTATTAAGGCTTAAGGTGAATAATCATTGAACCTATTTGATATAAATGCTACAATTAATAGATCAAATAATATCTAATGTACATATTAAAATGGTAGCAAAATCACTATTACTAATATTCTTAGATATATAGATAAAAAATTTTCAATGCATGTATATGCACGTTAAATAAATAAATAAATAGATAAATAGATAGATATTCATCAATGAATGGATACTTTATATGATTTTAAAATTAACAAAAGAAATACATACATTGATTTTTGAATATTAAATTGATATACTAATAATTTAGAACAAAGAAACAAATTAAATTAGATTATAAATGTAAATTAAACTAAAATTCTGGCTATTTTTTGAATGTATGTTTGATAAAATATCATTATTTTTAAAGATTGTTAAAAAAAAATAGTTAACTTAACTGTTGTTTAAGGGAGTGAATAAAGAGATAATGTTCATAGAAAATATTTTTTACTATTTTTAAAATCTACGTTTACTAATTTTATTATTAATAAAATAAAGCCATTCGAGCAGAATGAGGAAGGTTTTACTTACAAAGAGTATTAGTAGTATGCTGAGAAATTTTAAAAAAAGTATGATTACTAAACAGAAGAGAGATTTATAGAGAAAGAAAGGCTGAATGAATATGAATTCTGGAGTATAGTAGAGTTTCCTCACCTTTTCAAAGATGTACATTATATTTATAAATATGTTTATTCAAATACCACAATCAAGCAATAATTCAATTCATTCACTTATTAAATGTTTCAAGATTTGTTAATTTAATTTAATAGAAAAATAAATAAAATTCACTAATTAATTTTGTTTAGTAGAAAATGAATTTATATTCAAATAGCTTTCTTGCTTTTTGCTTTATTAATTTATTAATTTTATTTTAACTTAATTTCCTTTATTTTGTAAAATAAGTTTATTCTTTTATATCAGTATATTAAAAAATTTTTGTTTACAGGTTGAAGTAGAATATGCAGCTGATTTACCTTCATAAAAGTATGGTAGTGCTTTTGCTGAATAACCTACTAAGCATGACAAAATAAGCTATCTTCATTCGTTTAATTTGAAGAATATTAATAGATCTCACAATAGTTTATTCCAGTTTATTAAGAATGGTGGTGATATTAGTGGAATCACAACACCTTGGGTTTACCTAGGTATGCTCTATGCTAGTTTCTGCTTTCATGTTGAAGATTTATATATGTACGCCCTAAATTATCTTCATATGGGTGCACCAAAAACATGGTATGATTGTTATACATTCAAAAATCAATTATTCTAAACTATTTATACTATCACACAATGAGATAGATATATTTTAGTTTAATTCAAAATAAACAAAATTTTTACCATTCAATTCAAATTAAAAAGGTATACTATTCCAGCTGATTATAAGGAGAAATTTGAAGAACTATATTAAGAAAAATATAAAGATATATTCTAAAAAAATCCAGCAGTTTTACACCACTTGAATTTATAACTTTGCCCTGCAGAAGCTGTGAAAAGAGGTATTCCTGTCTATAGAACTGATCAAAAAGCTGGTGAATTTATTGTCACTTTCCCTAAAGTGTACCATGGAGGATTTTCACATGGTTTTAATTGCGGAGAAGCTGTAAATATTGTGACTCCAGAGTGGATTAAGTTTTACAAAGAGGCTAAATTTGATTATGCAAGAAAAGGATTCCAAAAGAAAGTATCCTTTTCCCTTGCATGGGTTTTGGTTTCTATCATTTAAAACCTCTAGGACTCCTCATTTGATAAAGTTACCTTATAAAATGTAAAATTATTCGCTTTTTATTTATTTAGAGAATGTTTCTTTCTTACATAATTAGATTAGCTAATTAATTATAATTTCTTTTCTATTTAATAAAATTTAATTAACTTAGATCCTTCATGAGTGGTAAGAAATTGAAAAGGAAGAATTGCATAAAAGAAAAGATTTAATAAATATCTATGGAAAGAAGTTGAAAATATATGAATTTGCTAATAAAAATGAAAAGTATGATCGCCATGTCTGCAAAATTTGTTCAGGTTACTGTTATCTATCTTATATTTATTGCAATAAGTGCTTCACTTAAGGCTGTCCTGCTCATATTGCTCCTTGCGGGTGTATAGAAAGCACAATATCCTTGTTTATAAGATTTAATGAAAAGGTAAAAAATCTTTACAACTTTTAAAGAGAAATATTTTTAGATATTTGTTTGACAACATAAAACATGAAATAATATCTATATTTAAATAATTAGGAAATGCAATAGTTTGGCTAAATCGTAAAGGACACAATCAAAAATAATTTTTGAGATAAAAAAGAATGCATGCTATAAATAAAATTGATTGCAAACATATTTAATTCTGCTATAATATAATTATAAAATAATCAATAAAATAAAATGAACATAAATCTTTAATTTTACACACAATAATTTTATTAAAATAATCAATCTAATTGTAAACAAAAAATGCATTTATCAGCTAAGCTATGAATGATTAAGGTAAATAAACATGAATACATTCAGAAAAAAATAAATATTAACGAAACCTGACAAATAATAAAATAAAATCATTAATTTCAGTAGGCAATTAAATGGAATGAATTTTAGCCAAGACGATTTTTTATTTGAATCTGCATTTAATTAAGTAAGTATAATTGAATAATTAACTAATTAATTAACTTACTATGCAACTAACTAATTATAATATCATAAAATTTGGAATACATTCATACTTTACCATAAACTATAAATTAACTTTTCTCTAATAGAATTTAACTTAACTTTCAAATTAATTACTTGATCTAACATTCTATTTAAATGTTTTCCACTTCATTTCCAATTAACTTACTTTGTATCCTATTTATTATATAATTGTACTCACTTTTTCTAATGATATAATAAATTTATTTTTTTTTTGGTGAGTTTTTTTTCAGTTAATGATGATATTGTTTCAATTACTTTTTTTTATGAAGTTTGAATTAAGATTACTTTAATATTTGTTTGATAAAATTAATTAAAAATAGAAATCAAAATTAAAGATTAACTTGAAATAAATAAATCTAACAACAAATAAAAGTAAATCATTAGCTTTACAAGATTGTTAAATGGATTTTAGATAAGAGGATTTTTGAGTCGAATCTACACATAAAAAGAACAAAAGAAAGTAAAATTGAGTAACAAAGGAACTGACTAACGAACAAATTATAAAATCAATAAATTTGGAACAAATACTTTAAAATAAATTATAAATAAACTTATACCTAATAGAATTTAATTTAAATTTCAAAAAAAATTACTTGATCTAACTTTCTATTTATATTTCTTTCCTCTTCTTTTACTGTTAACTAACTTTGTATCATATTTATATACTTTTTCTTATGATCCTATCTAATTTGATATTTTTAGGTTATGTTTTTTCAGTTACTGATGATTTTATTTATTTACTCTTATTTTGTAGTTAGCAAATTTATATCAAAGAATTTAATTATTAATTAATAGAAAAAGAAGATATTTGAAATGAATGCCTCTTAATCAAACAACCAAAAAAAAACAAAAATCCCAGCTCAAATTGAAAAATTTTCTTTTGAAATTAAACTTTATAGCAGAGATCAAGCCTCATTTTAATTAGGATTCAAAGATTTATATTAATTTTTTGAAAATTAAAATATTAAACTTCTATCAATTGAATAGAAAATATCTAACAAAGCTTAAAATCTTTACTTGCGAAAATAGGGTATGGCATAAAATAAAAATAAACATAGGTAATAAAATATACTTTAAAGGTAGTTCAAGCCACAGTGATTCTGCATTCAGTCATTGTATAAATTCTAAATTACTTTATTATTACTTCCTTAAATTATTTAATTCTTAGTATTAATCATTAGTAGATTGTATTATCAAAAATTTACTCATTTTATGGATATGTTAATTATTTAAAATTACTCTTCAATTAATATTGTTAATCTTTGATATTTCTTTTTATTTCTAAATTAAAAGAACTCTTATTTTATTCTAAATCTTAATAATTACTAATGTAAATTGTAAAATACTCATCAGATTTCTATTTTGATGTTACTTCTTTTTAATATTCTTATTATAATTTTATTTATTTAAATTATTACATTTTAGTACTTAATATCATATCAAAATATTTATCTATCTATGGAATTACTAATACATTGTTATCATTATCTAAACAATAATAGTCTTTATCAATCTTTTTAAAACTGATTATATTAAATTATTTAGATTAACCTTCTTACAATTCTGACCTTATTTAAGATAAATATTTTTACTATTTAAAATTTTTAAATTTATTTAAAATTGAATGATTATATTACTCAATTTAACTAATGTATTAAACTAGATTTGTTGTAATATCATTTATTTTTTGTAATATCTACTCATTATATTATTTAGAAAGTTAAATTTAACTAATAATATCATCATTTGTTCTTGTAATTATGTAATTTAATTGTAATATCTTTTATTTTAATTACTTCTTAATCATTTCAATTTCTTTATTGCTTAAAATAAAGAATTCTTTTATTTGATTTGATACATTAAATATTTACGCATTATCATTTTCTTACTAATTAATTGTAAAATTAAATAAATTATCTTAATTGTTTAATAAATATTAAGCAATTCCATCTTTTTAATAAAATAAATCAGATATTAATTATTTATTTATTTACACTTTTTTTGTTTTTGATGTTAATTAAAATATCACCTGTTTATCTAATGTAACATTGTAAAATATATTAAATACTCTAATTATCTATTTTTTATAAATCTAAAACATAACAAGGTTTATTTTTAAAAGAATAGTTTTTAATAGCATGATTTATGATATTTTATTTATCTTTAATATTAAAACTTATTACTTACCCATAATGTTGTTAAGTTAAACAATTAGACCACAAAGAACAATATATTTTATTTTCTATATTATTTACTATAATTAAATTCTAACTTAACTTTTCTTGTAAAGCTTTAAATTAATTCTATAAAGGTGTTTGTTTTTTTGAAAATATTAGAATCTTTAAATAATTTAATTTAATCTTTCATAATATCTTTATATTAATCAAATGTTAAAATTTAAGAATGGTAAATAGTTATTTCAAATCTTGTTAATTCATATTACTAGTTATTTATTAATAATTATTTTAAATTAAATGTATGACAATTAAAAGTATCAATTAAATGATTATTAAATTTTTTCTTTTAAACATTTGTTAAGCTAATTTAACATACAAACTTATTGTATATTTTATGTCTTGTTGTAAATAAATAATCACTACTTAACCAAGAAATATAATCTTTACCCACAACATTCTCATTATCTAATATTACATTATCTTTTTTTACTCGATAACCTTAAAATGAGAAATTACCAAATTCTTATAAATATTTAATTGTTTACTATTTATCAAATGTACCAAGTAAATCTTATGTAATATCAAATTAAAATAACCAAAATCCTTATTAATTTAATTCTTATTAAGCTAATTTATAATTTTAAATCAATTATTCTTATTAAATATTTTAACACTCTAATTTAACAACATAATAACTATAATTTTACAAATAATCATTAAACTAATATTCTTTATTGTCAATATATTGTTAGTAAATTTATTTATTTAAATGTAAAATTTATCTAATTTATAATTTTTCAGGTGTATCTTTATCTTTATCTTATTTGGATAATCTAACAGGAAATCTTAAATGTTTTACGTCACACATTTTACTATTTGATTAATTATTTATTGAACCATATTTTTAACATTATTTTCTTATTTATGTATTTTTTTATGATACAAATTCTTGTTATACTCTACCATTTTATATTAATTAAGTTGGAAGTAAATAAAAAATAACTATATTATCACAAAAAATTATTGGATCTTTATCTTAAATTAAATTAATGTTTTTTTCAATATAATATTTATTATAATCGACATTTTATATATCTGATACTAAATTATCATTTTACATATTTGATAGTAATATATTTTAAATGATTATTTTTGATAAATCTTTATTTTAATCTTTATTTAAGTTATTTAAATTATCTTAAAATTAAATATCAAACAATTCCTTAATATTAAATTAACCTTTTTTAATATAATAATCTTAACATTATAAATCTTAAATATAAATTACTTTTTGTTTTTAAAATATTTCTGAATTATTATCTTGCTTGTAAGTTCTTCAATATATAATAGTAAAAAATTAAAAAGTTTAAATAGATGTATGCAGAAGATATTTTTATTAATGATTATTTAATTTAAATTATTTATTTGATTATTTTTTAATATATAAATATTTATTTTGATTATTATTTAATTTAATTATTTTTTAAACATTCATTTGTAATTAGCAAGTTAGATATTTTTAATATTAATTTATAATTTATTTTTAAAAGTTATTTAATTGATTGTTTTAAAAAGTTAATTTAATTGATTGATTTTAAAAGTATTTATAGTTATTTAATTAATTGTTTTTAACATTTATTTATAATCGATAAATTGGATAATATAAATATGTAATTAAAATTGATTAATAGTTTATTTTTAACATTTATTTGTAATTGATAGATTGGATAATACAAATATTTTTTTAATTTGATATATATTTTTATTTAATAAATTTTATATATTAGTAGTCGGTAGCGGGTAGTCTTATAGATGGGGGGTGTAGAAATATACCCTAATTATGAACTTATAATAAAATTCCCTTCAAAAAGTGCTCAAAAATTTAGGTCTCTGACTATCTAATATAGTGGGGTGGGATTTATTTAAAAAAATTGATTAGTTTGTTTTGTGAAAATAGTTAAATAATTTATTAAATTAATCATTTGAATATTTTATTTTATTTAGGTATTTCTTAAAGAGGATTGCTGCGTAGCTTTATTTGTGCATAATTTTATAATACTTTTGTAAGTTCTTCATTTTCAGTTTCATATTCTTCTTCAGTTGGCATCATTCTATCAAAGTCCTAGTCAGTGATTAGAGTTTTTTGAGTGAAATTATCTTTTTTGATCTTTGTTGCTTATTGCAATTCCAAATAATCTTTCAAAATATTTTTGCTGTAATCTATCTTCATTCTCTTAGCAAATGTTGGGAAAAGCTCATCAGTCTACTTTTTTAACTCAGCAATTATATTCTTCGCATCTGTATTTTCTTTTAATGAATTGGCTGAAGTAATCTCATTAGATTTTATATTTTAATCATTTATTGGTAAAGCTAAAGTAGTTTATGAAGATAATTAAGACTATTACTTTTAGGATGTATTAGAGTTAGTTTATTTATCATAAAAAAGAATATAAAGATGATAACAAGTATCCCCAAACAAGTTAACTATTTGTATCATCAAGTTATTGTTATCGAAGCTAGGCTATTCGGCTAACTTGCGATATATAAAAACAATACTTCTGTTAAACTCTTAGCTTGTATTTATTAAAGTATTTAAGTTGTCATCACCAAGTTTGAGAAAATCTTCAATTATTCCTGATCTGCAAAACAGCTAATAAATATTTTATCTGGTAATAAGCTTTAAAATTTGCACCAATTTAAATTAGATAAATTTTAATTAATTAAGGAAATAAAGCCTGTTTGTTAAGGCTAGGCCATCATCTAAAATTTTAAGTTAATATTCATTAATATTGCTAGCACTCTTAATAACTTGTTTGTAATTTTTCAGATTACTAAAAAAATTACAAGCTTAAATAGTTTGAGTTTTTGATGATTAGTATTAAAGCTGCTATTATATCATATGCTGCTAGATGTTAGGATTATAGTTTAATTAATTGATAGAATTAACTTATGTCTTATTTTAATTGGCATTAATATTATTGTTATTATTGTTGAATAGAGAAATTCTATTATCTACTAGCTCAGGAGTTTTAATACCATGATGAAAGATCAAAGGAGGGCTTTGCTAGAATTAAGATTTAACATATTTGTTATTTATTGAGACGTTTGAAGAATTTTGCTATATTATCTAGCTTATAATCTCATTCATTCCTTAAATTTTCTATAAATTATTGGGAGAATAAGGAATTTAGCTATGATCTTTGTAAAACCATTTTGGCACATCACCTTTGAGGTCTTCGTCTTCTATTTCATCAAGTGAATGTTCTCTATCATTCAACTAGTTTTCTATCATTTCTTATAAAGGTCCTTACCATCCATTTTTATCTTTATAGTTAACAAATTAATTATTTATTTCTTACAATTAGTATTTTGATAGTTATTAGGCATAAATATCACCAGTTTTAATCATACGAGGCTAGGAAGAGACATTAATCATATTTAATTTATTTTTTAATAGGTTTTTACTGCTGCCTATGCTGCCATCTAAATTTTTTAATCCATTCTATACTCTTTGTTTTATAATATTCTTATCTTCATCTTCCATATCAACAGGAAAACTGTCAGCAGAATCTACTAAATTTTCATCCCCTTTGCTACTTACTTACCCGTCTTCATCATTAGAAGAGTAATTTCCTGATTAATCAAATTCATCTTCCTATTCGTCATCATCTTCATTTACTCCATCATTGTCGTTTTCAGAATCAAAGTTTACTTCTTCTTCATCTCCATATACTTCATCATCGTCATCATCTTCTTCCTTTATTTTGACTAAGTCTATTTCATATTCTTAGTTTTCTTACTTTTTATGATTTTTATTCTTATTTGATTTTTTAGAAGCTCCTTTTTTGTTCCTTTTATTGTTCTTCTTTTTATATCTTTCAAAAGAATCATCTTACTTTTCTATAAATTTATTTTCATAAGCTTCTTAACTATCTTAATAGCTTTCTATTTAAACAAATTTATTGAAGTTTAAATGGCTATTTATCTAGTTTGTTTAAGACAGCAATAAAAGCTTTTTTACAAGAGTATGCTTTTGACAAAGCTGATATGAGAGCTTGTTATCAGATCTTCTGGCAAAGATATCGGCGTTATTTTTGAGAAGTAGCTATACTATTTTTTAAAAATTCATCTCACTAGCTATATGAAGAATTGTAATTCTTTCATTTCCTCCTGCCTTATTGATCATAAATCCTCTTTTATTTTTTTTTGCTAAACACATTCTGTTGTATTCAAATGCAAATTCTACTGCTTCTAAGCATCCTCTTCTGACAGCAAAATGCAAAGGAGACCACTTTTCATTGTTTTCTAAATTAGGATTTGCTCCATTATCAAGAAGCATTTAAGCAATCTTAGACGATTCTTCTGGATTCCTATAGTATTGTTAAAATAAATAGTGCAGAGGCCCATTTCCATCATGGTCTTACTTATTAACATCTGCCCCAAAGCGTATCAAATCTCTGATAAGATAGTATTACATCTTAACCACACCAATAGTAACATTACTCCCAAAAACTCCTCCTCCTACATTAACATTTGCCTATTTTCAATAATTTTTATTTTTTCCTTTTCTAAAAATTGTATTTTCATCTCTTTGCATTAAAATATAAAAATTATTTCCTTAAATCATATTGAATGATCAATTAATTATTCATTTTAAATTTAATTTAAATCATAGTAAAATAGTATCTTAAACATATGAACAAAACTTTACTTTATTAAAAATGAGAATTTTAGCCGAGTAATACTTTTCTTCTAAAATACTCAAAGAAAGAGGAGTTTGTCCATCGAAATCTACTTCATTTACCAAATCAAAGTTTAAATTTACTAAGCATCTTAATGATGATATATCTTCATCTATCACAGCCTAAAAATATAAATGATTAAATATTTATTTTTAAAATTTAAACTAAATTATAACTAAGCAATATTACCAAGTGCATTAGATTTCTACCATTCTTTGGATCGATTTAGTTATACTGAGTATACACTTTTGGAGTTGTAATATCAATGAATTAGGCTGACTTTGGTTGCTCTTCTTTTGATTCTGATATTATATTTTCATCAGCTTAATCAGTTTAATCTAAGTCGATTATTTCTTACTCATCACAAAGATTATCTATCTCATTTTCTTCATTTACTTCGAATGGCTTTTGCATAAACTTTTACTCTCTTTATGAGAGTAATTGGTCTGGAGGATTTTCAAGTTTAATATCCAAATGCTAAAAAATAATTTAATTATTTTTTTCTTCATTTTCTTCTTCAACTTCTTATAAAATTTTATCGAAATTAACATTTTCATCTGTTTTAATTATCTAGCCTGGGTTTTATAAGTTTTTTGGAGTTTTCTTATTTTTAAGTGGATGGGCAGACTATAGATTGTTGCTATTTCTTCCAGTGTGAAGTTATTCTTAGCAAGAACCTAAATCATGATGAGTATGGAGAACTTCTTCAATTTATCCAAAACTCAAATCACTTTCACTAGAGAAGTTAATCAGAGTTTTGCATACCCCTGATGCAACTTATCCACTAATTTACAAATTAGCATTACTTTTAACTTATCTTTTTGAACTTAAAGGCTAGTTGTTACTTGATTAAATCTATTTCAAATTAATTAATTCAACCAGACTTCTGCTATTATCTAGGATAGAGTCTTCTTCACGAGCCTTTTTGTTTATGCACAAAAGTCTATTCTTCTTCTTTTTTAATTCTTCTGGTAAATACTAAATACCATCGTTCTCTTTTGGCAGTTGTGATTCATTTAGACTTGTAATTGTTGTATTTAATAAATTAGTATTGCTAACATTTAAAACAAATCTATTTTCTTAGTTTTATTAATTTGCTAGTATTTCCAATTATTAAAGCCTGTGTTTTCTTTATTCCTCATTTTCTATATTTTATTTTGATTTAACGTTCTAGTTTTTAGAATTTGGTGAAGAAACCTTTTTTTAAATTGGTGTTTTTGGCTTATTCTTTTTGATTTAACTAGATATTTTTATTAGATTTTTATCAGAAAAATGTGTGGTGAATTACAGAAAAGTAACGAAACCAGCGCTGCGGTGATTACACAACAACAAGAATATTTCTTTAAGAACCTACAAGCCTTCATTACCTTAAACAGTGGGTTTTTTTGGAGGCAAGCAATATTTAAACCAGTCGATTGAAAACTCTTTTAGATTAACAAGAAAAATAAATTCAATAGGAATTTCCATGAAATCATTCGAACTAACATTAAGAGAATTAATTCCATCTAAATAGCAAATATATTTCTAAAATGTGTGAATATGATTTCTAGAAATGTTTAAACATTGTAAGTTGTTTTTCCATTCAGTAATTTCATGAGGTATATCTTAAATAAGATTATTTTATACTGAAAATGATTCTAATTTGAGTTCTAAGAATATTTCTTTAGGTAGTATTTTTATAAGATTACTTTCTAATTTCAATCTTTTCAAATTTTTCATCTAGTACAGCTCAACTGGAAAATTAGAGATTTTATTTGAACTCAAATCTAATATTTGTAGAGTGTTTGGATTCATGGTTGAAACATGCTTGGACAAATCTTCTATATTTTTGTTTACCAAATTTACGGCATAACCTAGGCTTTAAAGGGATTTATTTACAGAATATTGACTATTTGCGCTTAATGGAGCATTCAAATTAATACTAGAAGTATTTCCAAAAATAGTTCTTTATGTGTTATTCAAAGAGTTTGATGAGCTTTTATGATTATTATTAATATTATTTCCTAAATTCCCATTTAGTCTACCTCTTGTAGTAACATTTATACCATTAATACTTACTCCAGGCTCAGGAGTTGAAGGGGGGTTAAAAAATAAAGGTTAATGCTATTAATTTTATTGTGATATCTTTTGAGATTAATGATTTGTGTTTTAAGATTGAATTTGCAGTGGCATTTAATGGGGCTAGAATTAACCTATTTAATTTCTAATGTCTTGCTTAACAGCTTAATTATCTAATTTTTAATGTAATTAATTTTAAGGCTATGCATTTTTCAGTTACTGTTAGCTCATAAAATGATGATTGTTTGAATTTGGCATTAAAGTCCTGGCACTTATATTTGGAGAAAGTACATACGTGTTAACTGATTATCTGTCTCCTTAATGCAAGTCTTGATTACTGGAAATGTTTATTAAATTCTCAGGTAACGGAGGAACTACTAAGTTTTTTAACTCTACCTTACTAATTGAAAATGTTTACTTAGAAGTATTCTAAAGAGTTCTCATTTTAGAAGAAACTGTGAATTACTCGCTTTCTTAAACTTCATCTAAATCTTCATTTGCAACATTATTTGCATCAACTAAAACATCTTCTCTACTTAATCCTGATGTGGTATTTGCAAAAGGGTTATTTTAAATCATAAATCCTTGAATTGCATTATTTCCTCTATTTTCCTATTCAAACTTATTGAACTATGTTCTTATTTCATAAATTTTATTAACTTCGTTTGGGACATCTTCTTTTTAAGGTTATTGCTTAAATCGGGGAGCTTATGGAAGTAGCTACTATTATAATAATAGAGTATTCTTTTCTTATAAAAATTACAGACTCTCCCTTGAATATTTATTAGATTTATTTAAAAAATTCTCTATATTCCTATTTTAAGAGCTGTCCTTAGTGGTTAATAGTTACTGTTATTACTACTACTACTGATGCAACTATTATTATTGTTATTTGTTCAAATTTTATTCTTAAGAATTCATTAACGATTTCTAATTATTCAATTCTTATGGTACCTTTTCAAAAAATAATTAACAAAACAAATATCATAAAAAATAATTCAAAAATTATTAACAAAAATTAAAAAAAGACAAAAAGAGATTGTTTTATCAAAAAAATCTTAATAATCTCTACAAAAATAAAAAGCCAGTCTGTTTAAAATTCTTTTTTACTTGATTAAAATTTTAACATTTAGTAATTAAAACAAATATTTTTGCATGAAAAAATTTTAAATAATTTTAAGCTATATTATCTGAAATGCAGTCATTAAAAATTAACACAAAAAATATAGCCATTATAGTTAAATATTTAGTTAAAAAAATTTATAAAAGAGAAATAAAATTAATTATTTAATGACTTAAAACTAAGTTAAAGCATTCATTATTTTGATTAAATCAAATAAATCACTCAAAAAAGTTGTAGTGTTATATCAGAATTAATTAAGTAACAAATAAAAATTTAAAACTATCAGCTAATAAAATAACATAATAAATTGAGTAAAATAATTTATTTACCAAAAAAATATTATACTAAACAGTTAGTTATACAATATCAGCAGCATTCTTTTCAAATGAAACACTTTTTTACTTTAAAAAAAAAGAAAATCAAATAATAAAAATAAATGTAATAAAATTATATAATAACTTAAATCAAATAAAATTAATTTAATAAAATAACTTTGTATCATAAACAAGATCAGTTAATAAATAAAATTTCAACTTAGATATAATATATATCCTAATGTATTCTATTAACACCAAAAATTTTCATTTTTTTAAATTTAAATTATTACCTGTATTTATTTGAATAACTCTTATTTTTTTAGATCTCTAGTATTAATATTTGAAGATTAAGGGTATTTTTATATTTAAAATAAATAATGTGAAAACCTAAAGATCAAAATTAATGAAATAAAATAATTTAATCACTTAAAATTAAATAATTTCATAAAATAATTATTGAATGCTTAACATGAAATAAATTAAAATAAATAAATAAAGGTATTAATTGAAACATATTTATAATTAAAACTAATAGGAAAGTGCTTTATATCTTTTTTACTTTGACATTCAGCAAATAATTCCTTCTATTGAAATCAGATAATTAAAATCAATTTTATCTGTAGATTATATCAGATAAGTTAAAATAACTGATTAAAGCAGATTGCAAATACTAATACTCCTATTATTATTGAAATTTGTTTGAGAGAAAACCTTTCTTAAATGTTTGTTTCTATTTTCTTAGTTGATTTTTATAAAGTTTTGTTAGTATCTACTTTAACTTATTACTTTTATCTCTCTTTTCCTTCATTTTATGAATTTCTTTGATCTTGTTCATGTTTTTTATTTTCCTTTATTTAATAATAATTTTAAAGCTGCTTATTATTTTATAATAAATTTTAATTCAAATTTAATTAATTTAAAATCAACTTTCTTTCTATTTATTTTCAACATTTATTAAATAAAATGTCCATTATTTTAAAACTAAATTTTATTTATTTTTATTCTAAAAACTTTTATGATCTCCAAAAAAATTTAAAAAATCTTTTAATTTTATTTAATTTAATATTTTTATTTTGATTTTGGATAGGCATTCAATCACATATTAATGTGGAAATTTGATTTTGGAAAAAATAACATTTGAATTATATAAAAAATGCTTCAGCTGGTTTAAAACGACTATTTATTTTATTTTTTACTAAACATTTGTATTTATTTTGAAGGCAAGTTGGTAATTAAACAAAAAATGTAGCTTTCAATCAAGTAGAAAAGTATGCAATTAAGTTTTAGATAAGCTAGGTTAAATAGATATAGCATAAAGTTCATAAAGATAGTTAAATAAATAAAATAAAATTAATAATATTGTCTATGAGTTAATTTAAATAATTTGTTTATTATAAATATAATAGCGATTTTATATTTTATTAAGCTTAATTGATTGATTACTTTCATAACTAATTTCACTTCTATATGCATATATATTATCTTCTTTTTGAATATCTGAAGAGCAATTAGTTATTATTTAAGATGCCTAATTTATCTTCTTAGAGAGTTGGCTTTCTTAATTCTACTTGATTAAGCTATCACTCAATCAACTTGCTTATTTCCATACAAACTTACTAACTTAATTAATTTCTTTTTATCTTATTTTTGGAGATTAACAAATAAACTTTTATGATTGCAATATTTAAATTTATATATACACTTTTTAATGTTTTTTGTTTATTTGCTTTTTATTTTAGAAATGTATAAGTTGATAGATTAGTTAGTTAGTTAGATAGATATTTTACTACTTCCATTTAATTTATCAAAATAAAGAGTGTATGTGTATATGAATGAATGAATGCCTTTCATTTCAAAATTTATTTTTTATGCAACATTGTAAAAAATTTTTTAATCTAATAAGAAAATTGAATGAATTAAGATGTGCAATGAAGGAGTTTTGCTGGTAAATATTTAGAATACTTCTGTTTTACTTTGATAATTTTCTTAGTTAATTTCTCTGATATGTGTCCTACATTTTATTTATAAGAAGAAGTGTAAGATAGAGAGTCATAATTATAGATGTTAGTTAGAATTATTAAATTTTAGAATGGTGAATTTAATTTAGAAGTATTAGTTTAAACATTTAATAAGTTTTAATAAATTAATTAATTATAAACTAATTTTTATATGTAATTGATTTTCATTTTAATTCAATTAATTGAAAAGCGATTAAATGATTTTTTATTATATTAGTGAATGAATTATTTATTTTATTTATTTTTTTGATATTGTTATATTGATTAGGATTTAGTTTATATTTTAATTAGTTATTAATTTGTGTAGTTAGTAAATAGTTAATTGATTGATTGATTATTAAAACAAAACTTCCATAATATAAGCCATTTATTTATTTATTTATTATATTATTTTTTGATTGATTTACTTAATTAATTATGAATGAATCATTTAATTAATGAATGAATAACTATGTCTTCTTAATTTTAATCACTTTTTGTTCTTTTTTTTTAATTACTTTTTGGATTTAATATAAATGAATTAATTACTTTCATCATCTTAGACTGCAGTTTCTTGTTCTCCATCAATTTGCTATTCTTGATGCTCTTCAATAATCGATTTTTCTGTAATCTTCTTAATATGTTCTTTTTTAAGGTTCTCTTCGCTTTCTTCAGAGTTCAATTTTTTGCTATTTTAACATTCTTGAATTTATTGTTGCTAATTCAATCCTTTAATATTCGTGACTTATTAAGATGCTTAAATACTATTTTTTGGTTATTATTTTTTTGTTTTTTCTTTAGCTCCTACTACCACGAACCCATCTTCATCAAATGTATTAATCTTCTAGTTTTCATTTATTTAGTGAGAAGGCTCTTCTAAGATTTATGTAGCAGCTACATTTTGTATTTTTTCATTAGAATTTTAGGATTTTTTTAATTATTATAACTATTTATTCTGGGATGACTATTGCTTTTGCAAAGATTAGCTACCTTATTCCTTTTTAGATGGAGGGACTGAAATAATATTAGCATATACATCAACATCTTCCTCTTCAATTTTGCTATTTTAAATTTCCGAATTTATATCCCAATCAGGATACAAGTTTACTTTTTTTTAATTCTGAATATTCTTTCTTTCTTAAGTTGAAATTTTTTCTTCTTAAATAAAATGTGTTTAGTTCAACTAAGTTTTCTATTGCTGCTACTGCTTATTTTGAGCTAATACAACAACAGGAGATTACTCTTTATCTTATTCGCTGCTGACTGAGTCAGAATTCTATTATAGAACTATCTACTCATACTATTCTTGCATTTCTTTTCTGTTGAATTCGTGAGATGATTTTCTCTTTTCATTACTTAATGATAGCTAATTAAAATATAAAACATCATCTCCTTCTTATTATCCTTAGGAGTTTATACTCTCTCTACTACTGAAATTATTCGAGCTACTTTTTTCTTAAGAGTCTTCTTCTTATTCTTCATTAAGACTGTCATTATTTTTTAAATCCTTTCTATTTTTGTTTATTAATTACTTGAAATTAGAGTTTACTTCTTTTCTTTTCAAGACATATAAAGAGTGATAGACAGCTTATAAATTCTAGCCTGTATAATTGCTATCTCCAAGATGCTCAAAACCATAAGCAAAAAGTATGTCTTTAAGTTCTTCCCTATCATAAAGCATCATATATCCATCAGCCGGATGGTCTGGATATTTTCTATGCTGCTCTTCTATGTAAGCCCTTAGCTTTTTATTCTTAAAAGGGACATCATGCTCTCTAATAAATAAATAGCCTTCTATTAAAAGCACTCTTTATATTTCCCTAAGCATCAAATCAAGATGTTCGAAGTGATGAATAGCCATAAAACAAGTGACCAAATCAACACAGTTATTAGGTAAATTTAACTTATTATTCAAATTTTAAAGGTATTTGACTTCTAGATCCATGCTCGGTTGTACAAAATCATCTTCGTCAAACATATCAACTCCATAAACACTTCCTATACCTAAATTTTATGCAATTGTTACTGAAATTTCAGCATTTCCACAACCAACGTCTAAATAACCTATCCAGCGAGCTTTCTGAGGAAGTAATTTCGATAAATGTGAGAGCCTATCTTTATTTCTCTTTTCCTTTTTAGCTTAATCAGTTGCCTACTAAGGTATAATTTCTCCAATTAAACTACCTGTGTGTTGATGACTTTTACTTAAAGTGGTTCCTGAATTTTAAACTCCAGACTAGCTGAGTTAATGCTCAAATTGATGATTTTTTTTCTTAGAATTATGGCTTTCTTACACGCTATGCCACCTTTATTCATCTGAATTTTAACTAAGGTTGTTTGAATGACCATTTTGATGCTTTTTTGAGTCACCTCCTATAAAACGCTTTTAATCGTATTATTTATGTACTGACATTTTAATATTAACTTGATGAAATTAAGCTTCTTTCTTCTTATTTGATTATTTATTTATTTACTTGATTATTTTTGTTCTTTTTAACAAAGAAAGACTCTTTCCTTTTGAAATATTTTTATTAATGGTGAATTGTTCTATTTCAATTAAATCCCCAAATTTTATTATTTTTAAATGATTTTCTTTATTTTCATTTAATATTTTAGTTTTTAAAAGACAATTAGATAGCTATTATACCAATTGCCAAAAATATTTCTTATCATAAAGTTTTTTTGCAGCCTTTGTAATTATATTTTACATGACATATAACTCATCAAAAAAGCTTTGTGAAGATAATTATTTCGCAATATTAAAAGTAGCACTAACATAAAATACATATTATTTGATTAATATCTATGAAATAGATTTAGAATTAACCACTATCAATAATAATTTGATTCAGCTTTCTTTATTAAACTAAAATAGAATTATTAAACACTTGACTTTAAAATATTAATTTTAATTGGATAAATTTTGTATTTTTTCATAATTTAATGAAGTTTATTTAGTATTTTTACATAAAGAGCCATTCATTTAATTAACACCTTAATTACTTGAACTTCTTCAAAAATTAAAATTTTAAAATAAAATAAAAAGCATTTGGGGAGATGGATGGTAATTTATTAGAATTTGCACCAATAAAAATACTATCTATAGCTTAAAGAGAATGAATTTTTATTTTTTTAGTTGTACTTTAAATCTTAATAATATGATAAATAAAATAAATTTAAAATTGAATAGGTTGAAATTTTAATTAAAAATTGAGAAATTAACTTGAAAAAATGTAAAGATAGATAGATAGATGTTTGTAGAAGAAAGATAATGTAAAATTTAACTATCACTTATTTTTATAAAACTTTAATGATCATAAAGGAAAATTCTAAGAAACGATTAATGAATTTATAAGAATAGTTATGAAAAATGACTAAGTTTATCATTTTTTAGAATAGAAATTCTAATATTAATATTAAAATTCTTACATATAGTATTTTGAAGAAGACGATAGACAACCTAAAATACATTATCATCATATGTATATAATTTTAAGAATCACAAAGGAAATTCTAAGAATTTTTGAACAATTTAAATTCCAAAAAAAACTGTTAAATCATAGTAATGAAATATTTATTATTTATTTGGTCATTTTTTTTAGGAATATGATTAAAAAACTATTAAAATATTTGTTTGATTTTTTTGGTAGAAAAGCTAATTAATAGATAAAAGGACAGGATCTAATTAAATAGTACGTTAATATTAAATAAATTGTGTGTGATGCATTATTTTATCAAAAAAATTTAATAATAATAATAATAAAATTGAAAAAGTTAGATATTTTTTTTGATATTAATTAAAAAAATAAGACTTAAGAATATTTTACTATTGAAATAACATTTTTAATATATAAGGAAATACAGATATTTCACCCCAAGTAACTCAAAGCTATTGTATTTTCTTTGGTTTTTAAAATTAAACACCAATTTTAACTGATAAATAAAATACAAGAGTTACTCGGGGTGAAATATCTGTATAAACTATTAAATTAATATTTTTAGATTAATTGATAATCAGAATTCATTATTTATTTTTTATATATATTGCTTTGAATGATTCCAAAGCCTGTTTAATAGAAGTAAATTTGCCTGGATTTTATAAAATCATTTCAAATGCTGGTGTGTATTTAGTAGTTAAATAATTGGTTATTATTTCTTTGCAGTTTAATGAATATTTTATCAAGATTTATCTCAATACAAAGATGGAAGTCTCCTTGAATTTTTGAATTTCTTATTAATCACTAAAATTTTAAATACTTTATTATAAAAATTTATTTAGGTATTATAGTGAGTTTTATTTTTTTTTGTCTAAAGTTAGACATTCAAGCTTATTTTCCAACTCAGGATAAAATTTTAAAATCTTTTTTTATAAGATTGGAACAATTAAAACAAATAAATTTTTGGTTTCTTCAGAACTTATTTTATCAAATTTATTTTAGTGGATAGTTCTTTTATTAGGAATAACTTAAAAGTTTTATTTTTAACTTTATCTACTATCTATAGTTTTAGGTTTTTATATCTTTTTTTATATTTGGATTGGTTAATATTAATCAAATTAGCTCATAGTACTGCGCTACACATCTATAGAATTGAAACAATTACAGCAGAATTATTATTATTATTATTATTATTATTCATAGGTTATTTCATTTTATAAAAATAAAGTACTGTTATTTTCAGGTAAATTTTAAAATGAGGAAGATTACAAAAAGTTAAATTGCTAATCATCTTATTAATTTGGATATAAAAAATTTTAAATTTCCTAGTGTGGATAAAAATTTTAAGTAAACTCTTCTATATATTAATCGTTTTTGAAGCTATTTTCAAATAGATGCCATTATTGTGTGTAGTTATTTAAAGACATTTTTGAATTTGATTAACTTTCTTCTGTTTTTAGTTAGATCTATTTTTATTAGAAAGATTATTTTTTCGTTTTTTGTTTTGATTATTTTTTTATTGATAATCTGCATTCGATTAATATCTTTTAAATCATAGATAAACCATTTAGAATATTAAAGTTAATTAATTTTTTAAAAGTATTTTATTTTTCTTATTTTTTTAAATTTACAATAAATCTAATTTTAAATTTTTTTAATCTAGCTATCCTAAATTAATTTAAATATTGATGAATAAACATCTTTTACTCAATAAAAGCTAGTAGAACCTTTAAATTTTTTATTAATTTGCTCATTTTATATTTTTGCTTTAAATGAGTAGGAATTTAGTTTTTGATATACAAATTCAATCAATTTATCTTTATTTTGTATTTCTAATGAATTTATTTATACTCCTCAATAATACGCATTAAATTTATAATATCTTTATTTATTATTATTATTTTATTATTTAGTTTAATAAATAATAATCTGTCTATTCTTATGCATATTTTCCATTTAGATTATTAATTAATATTAAAAAAAGATTTCCCACTAAAAATTCTAAATAATATTATGGCTCTAACAATAACGGATAACAATTTTTTTAGAAGAAAATAGATAAAAATTATTTAGAATATCTCAATATGTTTCAATACTATCTAATTATATTTAGAATATCTCCTTTATTTATATAAAATCAAAATAATTTAATTAACAATATTTTGTTAAAAAACACTTTTATTTTTTTAAATAGTTTATTTTTTTTGCTTTTATTTTGTTTATGAAGTGTAATTATTATATTTTTTATATATCAGTCATTTACCCTACAAGTTAGGAAATAGAATTTATCAATTTTAGTAATGATACTCAATAAATAATTTAAAAAATGGATAAAATAAATATGAAACATTATATGTCATTTAATAAATTAAATAAAAGATCTTCATCTTTTATTTTTTACATAGCCTTTCTAATAAGCTCAATAAAGCTAAATAATATTTGGCTTAAAGGATAAATGATTAATTTATTGCTCAGAATTTATTAAGTTTTTTACTTTAAGAGTTTCTATATTAATTTTGTGTGTGAAAAATATGTTTTATCTCAAAATAATTTTCAAATTTAAGAGATAGTAAATATATTTATATTTGTTTATAAATTAATTAGGTAAAATATATTTAAGGATTTAATTTAAAAATGTGAAAGAAATTAAGGTAGACTCTAGAGAACTTTTGCCTACCAACTACCAGAGGATATTTTGATTATTTAATAAATGAGTGATTTATTCAATCACCAACCAATAAATATTTTTAATTTTGATAAAGACCAATCAAATAAATTTGAGAAATATCAAATTAATTTCCAGATAATCCATAGATTTTAAGAAAGTATTAATTTTTTAGATTTTCAAAATGGTTAATAACTTTTAATATTTATTATTTATTAATATAATTGTTTTTTCCATTAATTTTAATAAAAATTTTAAAAAAATCAAATATCATTTATTTTTTATTATTATACTGCCTAGCATGTCAAACTATACTAACCTTATGTAAATTAAATTTATAAACTAAATTATGATGGCATACCATAATTTAATCAAAAGCTTAAAATTTAGAATAGATAGGAAAAATTCCCTTTTATGCATGATACAAAAGATAAGATCATCAAACAAAGATTAATCAAAGTAATATTAAATTTAGATTATAAATAAAGCAATATAACTAACTCAGTTCTATTTTTCAATATATTACTTTTAATAGAAATTTATTTATAAATTTAAAAAAAGAGATATTTTAATTTTTTATAAGATTTACTATTTGAATAAAGAAGAACTATATTTGAAATAACTGAAATTAATTTGTCTAATATTTAGACACTTTTTCTTAAAAAAGATAAATTTTGTAAATTGTTACAATCTTCAATCTGAAACTATAAAAATCTACCTTGGAAAAGTTCTAAAAATTAATCGATTAATGAAAAAGATATTCAAATTCAGCTATTTTTTACTGGACTGATGAAATAAATGTAAGTGAACACAATAAGAAATATATCTAAATGTTTAATATTACTAAAAATTTAACTTTTAGAACTAGATTGATTGATCGATTAAATTTGTATAAGCACAATCACAAAGGATAGTATTTAGAAGACTCAATCTTCATTATTAGAAAAAAAATTAGAAAGAAAACAAAGTGATCATTTTTGATAATTTAAAAAATTAAAAAAAAGAATGGATAGCACGCATCACTCATTATGTTAATAGTAAAATATGGATAATATTTGAATGAGTTTGACTAATACATCAATCAACCAATTAAGAGAAGAAAAGTTTTTAATTATAATTGTTAATTTATACATAAAAAGTTAAACTAAATATCCAAAAGGAAATACTCTTAAATTATAACAAAAATAATTAAAAGGCATTAGACTTAGAACAAAATCACAAGTACTGCATTACACACTCGAAATTATTATTTTTTTTGAAGAAATACAATACAGACAACCAACAATTTCAAATAATACAAAAATTAATAAAAATATAGATAATTATTCAAACACATTTACAAAGAAAGAAATACACACATATATTTATAAATAACTTATGATAGAAGAGAATTTAATCTCCAACTTTGAGATATCAAAAGAGGATGATTTTGGCATGGCTAACAATAACAGCTAGCAAAATACAAGGGAAAAAAGAATTTCTAAAATGAATACACATGAACCTACAACAAATTATTCATAAATGAAGCGAGATACTCTTGCAGCATTAAATCTTGGAGATGATGATAATAATAATAAAATTTCTAATAGCAATGTTGACACAATTAATCATAAATATAGAAAAACATTAACATCTGGATCATTAGAATCTAATATTTATATTAAAGGAAATCTCGTTTTTGCAAATGCTGCTGGGGGAAGTAATGCTTCTACACCAAGAAGATATGTAAGCGGTGAATAAGACTATCAAAAAGTTGCATGTCCTTCTCCTCTTAAGCCTGTATATTCTAAGGAGGCTTTAGCTAAATTATAGGGGAAAAAGCTTACTGAGCTAAGAGAGAATGAACACTTAGAAGAAAGTACCGATGAAAAAATACATGATAATTAGAGTCATAGCGAAAGTGGTTCTTAAAATAGCAATAGAGCAATAGATAGTCCTTAGTAGTCTGCTTAAGCTAATTTACCAGTTCTTTAATATGAATAAAACTCTTCAAATTAAGTTGAAGTTAGTCAAAATGAGAGCTTTTTGCATGTAAATAGATCAAATATAAAAAGTAGATTCTCAAAAAATAGAGTTAGTGTTTCAGCCTTTAAGAAAGAAAATAGTTTTTCTAATCCAGATCAAGATAATAATAGTGAACATGACAATTAGAATTCCCCTTAGTCATTAGAATATATATAACCAGGTACTTAAGTAGTGCTTATTCAATCTCATTAGCAGCTTCCTGTATTGTAAGAAAAGATGCTAAAAAAAAATAGTTAGTAAGAGCTTACAGGTAATGAAGTTGATAAGGTAAAATTTTTAACTCCTGCTCAACGAAGAAAGTCCTAATTGAATAAAATGGAAGTAAAATAATTTTAAACATTAGCTGAAAAAAAGAAAGGTGAATTGACTGCTTAAGAACCTTAAAGTCCATTATCTGCTAAAGAAAAATTTAAAATTATAGGTACAGTTGCAAGAACTTTAACAAGATTATAAACAAACTAGGTCAGTAGAATAGAATCAACGGTAATAATATATCATTAAATTACAACAAACTCATTTCACAAAGATAATTTACATTGTTTTACTTTGATTTTAGCAACAATTTTATAATTTTCTTTTTAACAAATTAGCCAAAATTTTATTTACTAAAAAATAAATGAAAAAAACTTAATTTTTTTGCAAAAAATTTTGTAAACTTATAATGATTAATATTGACTTATTTCCTTATTTATTTATCAAAGAAGTTTTTTAATTTGTGTCTTAACTTGCATTCAGTAACTGGCTGAGATATTTGATTTATTATCATTTATTAGTTAAAGTGTTTGTTAACAAAAAAATCATTACAAAATTGAAATTCAATAAATTTTATATTAATTTTTTAATGTAATTTAAAGGAATAACTTGAAGCAGAGATTCACTCTTTGAAAAAGAAGGTCTCTTAAAATAAAGAGTCTGAAATAGAAAATTAAAATAATAATCCTGCCAAAAACAATGATGTAAACAATGCTTTTAACATGGTTAGAATGGTAGAAATGATTTGCGAGTTTTCTGAGAGAGGACACCCTGAAGATATTAAAAACATAATAGATATTCTGTAAAAAGATCCAAAAAGGTAAATTTTATTACATAGAAAAATGATAAAAATATATTATCTGATAAATATATCAAAATAAATTTTCTTAAATTTAAAAATCTTTTGTTATTTAATCAAATTTTATTCTAAAAAAAGATATTTGAGGTCTCCTGATGATCCTTAGCATTTACTTAATAAATTCAATTCTAAGAGTTAAAATGCATCCTACTTAGCTTGCAAAAACGGAAACTTAAATGTAAGTATATAATTATTAAAATAAATAATTTTTTATGTAAGATATCTATTTGTAAACTATTCCGTTAATTTAAAAAGATAGTATAATTTTTGGTCAAATAAGAAAGCAACTTTAACATGAAATCAAAAATTGGGGGTGAAATAGAAGATTATCCATTGTAAGTAGCAGTCAGATGGAATCACAAGGAAGTAGTTGACTTTCTCTTAAACCAAAGAGTAATTAAAATCTCCCAGCAATAAATAGAAGCTGCCTATAGAGAAGCTAAGTAAAACAAAGAGATCAGAAGAATCCTTTCTCTTCATCTTAAGAAAAAACCTTTCTTCCTTTGTTGCTGATAAGCCTTTTCAATAAATAAAAAATACCTATTAACAAATAAATTTTTTCTATCTTATCCTTTTTTCTTACTCAAAAAATTTATTGTTTAATAAGGCTTGCACATTAATTAAAATCTATCAGCAAGTTTGAATAACAAATAATTTCAAAACCAAGATAATAATATAGCTATAATGATAGCAAGCCTATTTTCTGTAAACTATTTGGATAAATATAAGTAAACCATCACCACCATTAACAACAATAACAAACTTACTAAATACCCTCTTAATACTCTTAATCAAATAAAAGATTATAAATTTCAATAAAAATATACTAAATCTCATAAAAAATAAATCACTTAAACAATCTCTAAATAATAAATAAATAATTAAATGCTAATCTTAATCTGTCTAACAAAAAATTGACTAATTTGGTTGAGTAATACTGAAATTAATTTTGATAATTTATAATAATAATTTCTTAATATTATTGATAGAATCTAATTGAACAAAGAAACATACAAAAATATATAGTTGTAAGTTCGTACCATAATATAGTAAGAATTGATACATATATAAAAAATTTAAATGAAAAAATCTCTATATTAATAAAAATCTACAAAAATAAATTAATGTAATTGTTACATACATATTGTACATATAAATCTTATTTATAAACTACTTTTTATATATTAAATTATATACTTAATTTCTTACTTATTTATTTATTTATTTATCTTTTTTATCTACTTTTAATATTAAATTACATGCATATTTAATTTTTATTTTAATTTATTTTTTTACTTTTTAAATAATTTTACTATTTCAATTTTTTAATTAAATCTTTCTCATTAAATTACTTTTTAAATCAATAAATAACTTCACTTTTTTGTGAAATTTGATTTCTATTATTTTTAAGCAGCTGGTATCATCATTTTTTTAGAAACTTCTCCAGATGAATATTCAACTGAGGCTTCAGCAATTTCTATTAATTTAATAAAGTATTTTTTTTTAATTTTTAGTTAATTAAGTTTTAATTTACCAGACATATTTAACATATGCTTAAATTTATTGTATTCCTCTTGCCCTGAGTTATTAAGCAATTATGACTTGTACATTTCGATCACTTCATCAAGTTCTTTGTCTAAATTTTTTCTTGTCAATCTAAAATCATTCTATTTTATTAATAAAAAAAGTCAATCAAAAACTCAAAAAAGACTCTTTAAATACATTTTCTTTCTATTCATTTTTAGAATCTCCTTCTTCTGAACTAACTTCAAAGTCTTCTTCATACTCATTATCTTCTTCAGAATCTAAATAATCTTCTCTTTGAGGAAGCGACTCAAAATCTAAATCATCATCTTAGAAATCATTTATTTCTTCTTAATTGTTTTTTTATATATTTTAAGTTGGAATCTAAGGCATCATTTAAGTTTAAATGTGCTCACTGATTACAGTCTAATATTTAGATGCATCGTCACTTTTATTTGATTTTATAAACTCACTATTCAAGAATTCATTTTTATACTCACTGACATCGCTTGGAGCTTAAGATTTTATATTTTCATGTTCTTATGCTTCTTCATTTTCTATTATTTCTTCGATAATTTGTTCTTTACCTCCACTTGTTATAATTGTGCTTTATTTCTTGGGCAAGTTACTTTTAAATGCAGTGTTATTAAAAACAGAATCCTATTATGCAAATAAATAAATAAATTATTTTGTTATTTATAAATAATTATTTTTGATCATTAATTAACTTAACTATAAATTAAATAATAAACTCTGAATTATTCAATAAAATAAAATTATTATTTAAACAATTTTATTGAATTTAATTTTGTTTAACGAAAGAGAAAAAAAAATTAAAGTAGCTCAAACAATTTGTTAAAATATCAAAAATTACATTAGTTAGTGAGAGATTAAAGGACACGTTTGAATCTTATAGAAGAGAGTTATTTTATCCTTTTTAGCTGAAATGAAAATTTTATTTTTTTGAACTATCTTACAAATTTATGTTAGTTTGTACCTTTTCTGCCTAATTATCAGGAATATTTTTTATCTAAATGTCTTCTTCTATTTGGGTCATTTCAAAATTATTTTTAGAATAGTTAGTATTATACCTTTATTAGCTTTAAGCACTAACAACCCCTTGATTTAGCTAAGTTGGTGTTGGTTGATAATTTTAATTTGAGGAAGCTTTTTAAGGATGGATCAAATTATTTTATTTTTAATTATTTTAAGAGGCAGAAGAGCTAGAAGCTACTTTTTAATTATTTATAGTTGGACTTTTTTTTGGGTTTGGAGACTCTTTTTTTATTTATTCATACTCCTATTTAACTTTATTCATCATTTCCTGATACTTCTTATCATAATCATCTTCATCAATTACTCTTGATGAGTTTTTACTGCTGTTACTTGTTTTACTTTCATTACTTAACACTCCTGAAGAAGGATTTTTTGATATATTTTACGGAGTTCCTACCTACTTTTATGCTATTTAACTTTAAGGTGACTATTTATTATGTGTTTCAACTTTGTTTTTTGTCATAATCTATGGTGATTATTTTGTATGCTTTTCTTCAATCTTGGGTTGTATTTATCGAGAAGGTGATTACTTTATTTTTTAATCATTTTATCTTTATGGTGTTTAATGAGCTGTACTTGACTGTGAAGAAGCTGAAGATGGTTTTGAAAGTGATGGATTACTTGGTGATTTTTAATCTTAAAGATTAGAGGTGTTTGGCTTTTTATTATTACTGCCTTTAATTTCAACTAATTTCTTTTATACTTCGCTTTAAACTTCTTTCATTTACTTTTATATGAGTTCCTCCATCTTTTTAATATCATTGCTATTTTTTCTATTAATTTTTGTGCTACCTACAGATTTTTATTACTCTTAATGTTTCTAAACATTTTGTTAAGGCTAAGCTTTTATATTTGCCTATTTTTGAGCTTAATTTTACAAACTGTTTTTCCTTTAAATTTATTTTATTGAGCTTGGTTATTATTCTTTTTCCTAATTTATTTTCTACTCCTTTTTTATGTGCAACTGAGTTTTTTTAATTGGCAAATTTTTTAGTTCGTCTTTTAATCCTTTAGAAGATATAAAATCTTTCATAGCTTCATTCACAAAAGGAAATGATAATATTTATTTTGTCCTTGGTCTACTTTCTGGTTTTTTTGCTAATAAAATTCTATTTATTTATTAATAATTAAAATATTTAATAAATCTAAAATCTTAATAATATTGTACTAAACCAAACAATTTAGATCGCTTGAATACATATTAGGAATGTTTGGGTTTGGTTCTCTAATAATTTTTACAACTAGGGCCATCAGACTTTCTGAGACGAAAGGGTGCTTTAATATTTAAAATAGAATAAAGTTCAAAAATACTTCAGTAAATTAATTATCAATATTTAAAATTTATTAAATGAATTCATAAGTAGAATCTAAAAAGTTATATTAAAATATAGAATTACTTTCAAAGCACACATTTCAAAAAGCACGCATCCTAAAGCCCAAATATCTGATTAATAAGTATAAGGTTTGTTTTCGCAAACTTCTGGAGATAAATAATAAGGAGTTCCAATTAACGTTTAAGCTTTATCTGCTGTAGAGTGTAGCACCTTAGAGATACCGAAGTCTCCTAACTTTATGCTACCACTAGAAGTTAAAAATATATTTGAACTTTTAACATCTCTGTGCAAAACATGCTTTTCATGAATGAAATCAAGTGCCATTGTTAGTTAAATAAACCAATTTAAAATGATATTTTCAGGAAAGTGATCATTTTCTTTAAGCTTTTGCTTTATATGAAACGAAAGATCTCCTTACTCACAATATTCCATAATGATAATCATATAGTAAGGTTCTAAGAAATTTTCCTTATATCCAACAATATGAGGGTGCTTCAATTTCTTGAGTAAGATTAACTAATTAAAAAATAATTGATAAATATTTTAAGTAAATTGGTGAATCTTTGAAATAAATAATTTTATTTTAAATAAAATAATTGTAGATATTTGCATATAAATTACTTCTTATTCTACTGCTTATCTTTCCTGTTCATTTAAGTTTGTCAAAATAATTTTCTTTGCAATATAAAATTTTTTATCCTATTTAGATTTCACTAAAAATACTGTTCCTGATGTACCTTTACCTATTTGCTCTAGCTCTCTATATTTATTTTTATATTCGCTCTATTTTTTTACTACTTATGCAGCCTAAGATTGATAAGGTTTACTATTCTATACCTAATTTAAATTCTTAGAAACTGAAGGGCTAAGACCTCTTTTCATGAAAGATTATTCTAAATAAAAGTTTTGAAAATAGATAAGTAAGTTTTTAGATTATTAGAAATAATTATTGAATTTAATTGAGGATTGATTGATATTTATCTCTAAAAATCTTAGCTTTAAAATTAAGAGTGCAATTAGAAACATAGATTTTTTAAATCAGATATTTATCATTTTCTAAAATTTTACTATAAAATCTTTTTTAATATTATTCATCTGTATTAATTTTAATTCTTACTGACTTTTAATATTCCATTAAATTTTTTTGGTGTTAATAATTAATTTGCATATTTTAGTTTGCTATTAAACAAATTATTTTAAAAGAATATTTACCTTTAAGTTTTAAAATAAATCAAAGTTAATTTCTCAATAAACACATTAATTTAAAATTAATTTTCTCTATTTTTAAATCATTTATTGAAATAATTTACATCTTGAAAAAATAAATTTAAAAACAAATATATATCCACAAAAATGTTAAAAAAGATCTTAAGTAAATTAAATTAAAGAATTATGTAAAATGTTAATATAAGGGCTTTATTAACAAATGACTTAATTTTTTATTAGGTGTTATTAAAGAATAATTACATTAAAATATTTTAATTATATTTATTATTTAAAAATATCCAGGAGTTAGAATGAATTTAAATTTTTATCATCAATAATAATTAATAATTTACTTAATTATAAGTTATAACTTAAAAATCTAAACAATTAAGAAATTATTTTGATGAAAATAAAAACAATTACAAGCAATTAATTTATTTAATAAAACTAGTAGAATTGAATCAAAAAGTTTAATTAATAAATATTAATAAACCAATCTGAATATTTTTAATTTTTCTTGTTAAGTTAGTTAGTAGATTATTTTGTAATCCATTTAGGAGATGAATAATTCAATCTCACTTCAGACTAAAAATTCAGTATAATCTGTTAATAAAGTTGGATCTCCTATAGGGGCTTTGCATTTTTTCGGAAATGGGGATAATAATAATACGAACCATTTAAGAGTGATTCAATTTGAATATTAGGCTCTTTAAGAAGGCATACAGCATTTAGAAAATATGATATAATATTCAGTAGAAAATCATGAAAATTTAGTTAGAGATAAATTTCTAGTTAAAAAAAATAGATTATCAAGAAAGAAAAGGGAGATATATGAGTAAGAATAGCAACTTCAAAGGCAAGAAATGGAGTTAAATCAAAATCCTCAAATTAAAAAGGCCTTATTTGATTTATCTCAATTAAAAGAGTTTCATGAGAGAAAGGAGAAACAATATTTAAAGATATAAGAAGTAATTAATAAGGAAGATGAGACACTGAAAGCATTAAAGAGAGCTCATGAAAGTAGGATTGATAAGCTTAAAAATTTAATTTCAATCAATATAGAGGCTCAAATGAAGATTGATAAAATGAAAAAATACCTCAAATTAAAAAGAAAATAAAAAAATTTGTAAATTAGCTCCTAACCTAACATAAATATTCATGCTAATAAAGAAGGTTCTATTATAGGAGTTTCACAGTAACATAATACTTCTATTTAGCCTAATAGTGAAATAATGATTACTGAAGCAGCGGTTTTTTAAAAGAACAAAGAATTTTTACAAAATAAAACTACAAAACTATAAATCAATTTAGAATAAACTAACCAAACTTAATTACCGACAATTAACTCATCTACCACATAAAATGTATCAAAAAGTGTAGCTAGATCTGGTATTTTTTAGAATGTGGGGAAAATATTAACTAGCAGTAATTCCTAAACGAGAACTAATAAAAGATATTAAGTCTTTAACTAAAATAATTCAATCAGCAACAGTATATCTGTGCCTTCATTATTGAAGAAATAAAACAAATAAGACATTACATTTAGTTAAAATTCTAGCGTTGTACATTAATAGTAGTAATCTTTAATTAATCCTAATGCAAGCTCTATATTAGCTATGAATGAGTTTGATGATATGGCTTCAATTGATTAAGCTCAATAATCCCTATTTGCAAATGAGCTAGAGTAAATAAAAAAAGAAATACAATAATAAAAAAGAGAGATTGAAAGTAAAAAATAATTTATCTTTAAAAACTGCAGCAGCTAGTTAGAGTTAAATAACTTAGTAAAAGAATGCTTCAATTTAGTTTCTAAAAAATTAGCAAGTACTCTAAGCATGAGTGACAAAAAAGGATTTAAAGAATCAATGTATCTTACTTTAAGAAACAACAGTCTTTTTGTCACCCAAAATGAGTAAATTGTAAGCGATTTTAAGGAGTTACAGCACAACAACAATATAAATATTTAGGATAGACTTCTTGGATCAATAGTTTTTGATTCAATGATGAATATCATAAGAAAGCAAGAATAAGAAAAACTAAACAAATAGTAATACTTTCCATACATATCATACAAAAATTTCTCCCAATTTACTCTAGGTCAATTATTGACCATAATTAATTTAAAACCTGATCTTAAAGATTAGTTATTTTTATCATTTCAATTTAAAAAGTAAATTATTCATCTTTTCTTGGAGGATTTATAGAGAAAATTAGGAAGTTAATATTGAAAGTTTTAAATTATATAGTGGTAGCTTTCACTCATAAAAATCATACATCAATCAATCACAAATATATTCATCAAATACTTACTAATAAAATTTAATTTCTTTTTTAGTATTTCAATTTAGAAAAATGTATTCAAGAATTTATTTATGTTCATATATAAAAAAGGTTTAATAATATTCATATAAAATTATTTCAATTAATTAATAAAATCTTTAATTATATACATGATAAATTAGCTGTAAAGATGATTAAAGGTATTATAGTTAGACATATGAATATGTCTATTATATGAATACATACCAATTCACTTTGTTGGTTTAATTTAAAAATATCTTTAATCGAATTATTGATTGAAAGTTTATTTCTTAAATTTAAGGTAATTATTTATTACTTTTTAGGGAATTGGAAATAATTACTTATACACATATTTATATACATAAATCTATCATACAGATATAAATTATTTTTAATTATTGATATTTTATTGCTTTAAAAGATAATCTAATTGACATTTAGATCAATCACTTTTGCTAAATTTGAGATGACAGCAGTGCTGGATAATTTAATATTTGAATAGATATCATAAATGGTTAAATATGATCTGGTTTTTCTGGAGGAACAGAATCAACTGAAACCTCAGATGGGTAAGATAATCCCTTCATAGCTCCAGCAACTAATCCTCTAATAACTTAGTACCATAAACTGACAAATTCTTAAACTTCGGGAGACTCTGTGTTTGATAGCTTTTCAAACATTGTAAATGTAAATACTTTCAAATAAAATGTTCCTTTGAGATTATGATTAGCTTTATCTACGTCTTTCTAAAATAAATAACTCCAGAAATCTTTGCTAATAAATTTAATTTGAGGAAGACATTTTGCATTGTTCTTTTCTACATCTTCTTTGAATTTATCTAAGCAATTTTCTGTAATTTTTTCAACTACACTTCTCCCAATTTTATACCCTACTTCAAAAAGTGAATTTTATTTAACTTAAATACTTGTAAGCTAATCCTTGCAAGATCTTATAACAAATTGATTCATCAAATGGTAATATCCGAAGAAATCAACTGCGTTTATATCTTGTTGCCTCTAAAAGTTCATCATTTTAAACTTTATATTAAACTTTTATTACTAAGGTATGCTAAAATCAATATAATGTTGTTATTTCTTTTGTTTATCTAATTCTGTTTAACAAATAGTATTAAAAGTGATTAAATTTTATTATTTTGATTTAAAGTAAAAAATAAATATGTTAACCAAATATTTATTGCTTTGCCTTAAGTTTGTAGAATATTAATTTATTATTAAAATCAAAATACTTCTAATTACATAAGCAAATAATTGTATTGATAATGTGAATTTACATGCTATATACAAATATAAATAGATATATTTTATCATATAAAACAATCTCATTTGTATTTTAATTCAGCGCAATATTATTGCTTTCTTTTGTTCTAATTAACTATTTAAATTTGTTAAAAGTTTTATTGACTAGAGAGACATTTTTTTATATGAGTATACCTCCTCCTACTTTAAATTTAGTGTAAAAATCTAGAAGTTAAAATTAAATTGACTAAAATGGTATGAATTAGGCAAACGTTTATAACTGCATTTTCTGTGAGGAAGAATATGTTGAGTAATTTGAAAAAAATTATTATTTGATAAATTATAGAGTGCAATCAATTTTGAAGATAAGCATTTTTTAAACTGAAATACTAATAATAATAGGAGTGGAGAGAGTTAGGAGATAGATAAGGAATTCAGTTAGATAGAAGGTATTGATGGAATAGATTTAAAAGACTATAGGCTCTGCCATGACTGCGTTTAGAAGAAAATTCAAGAGTTATAAAATTCGCTTAGCAACAACGTTTAGGAAATAGGGAGGCTTCAAGAATAAGAGCTTTACATCAATGAGCTTGTTGGATAATCATAAAGTAAATTTACCTAGGAAGATTTCAAACTTCTAGGTGAGAGAGAATAAGATTTAAACTTGAAAATTAAAATTTCTGAAGTAGAAAAAGAAAAATTACGCGTCTAAGTAGTAAAATTGTAAGACGAATATTGCAAAGTGTTAAAAGAAGAGAATATGTAAATTATTTAAATTATTTTAGAATATTTAGTATTGAAGAAATTAAAAAGAATATTTTGAAAACAACAGCTAAATTTTTTCAATATTACTTAAAGTAATACTAGTATTAATGAGTTTCTTTTGAAAATTATTTTTGCAATTTTATTAGAATTTTCGCTTTTTATTAGATAATTATTGATAGATTTATAGAAAAAAACTGATTTATTCGATAATTAGATTATTTTTAGGTTAAATATGATTAAGTAAGAAATAATAAGATTTAGTTTACATTAAATATTTACAAGAGTGTTTAGTTATAATATTATGCTTGTAATCATACAAATTAAACAAAAAAGCAACTTTCAGGAATTTACTTTAATTTTAATGGATTAAAAAGTCTAAATAATATAAAAAAAATGAGGTTACTATAAATTTAATTAATATAAATTCAACTTTTTAAATTACTATTTTAAGGCTGAATTACAGTCAATTAATTTTTTTTTTTCTTTCAAAAAATAGGCTAGACGATGAAATTTTATAGCTCGAAAAGGAAATTTTAGACCTCAATGAGTAAAAATAAATGCAATAAAAAGAACTCCTACAAGTGAATCAATAAATTAAGTCTTTAGAAAACTAAGACTTTTTGAGAGATTAATTCAGAATTGACTGTAATAAAATTATGATAAATGGCTTCACTCTAACTCTACCAACAAAAGATGTATGCATATATAATTCTTTTTAATTTATTTAGCAATCAATTATTCTGAAAATTCTTTTATTTGTTATTTTGAAAAGAATTTACATCACAATATTTTTGTAATCTTAGTCAATAAGCTCATTAATTATTTTTATATTACATCTTAAATTTTGATAAATTGAATTTACAAATCCTTCTAACATTAAGGACTTTAATTTAAATTTCGAAGCAACACCATACAATTTTTTATCTTATTCGATACATATTAGGCCAATCAATCAATTTTCAATTTTTGTATTCTCAAGTTAGAAATATTTAATTGATTATATATTAATTAAATTAAAAGAATTACACCGAATTCAACTAAGGAATGGGACAACTCTGCTTACTCTTTGAATTTTTGAAGGGTTAAACAGAATATGCTTATTAAAATATTAAATTATTTGAATGCAATGGTGCTGTTTCTAAAGTAAAAAGATCATTAGATATGAGTCTAGATTTATACTGTAAATTGTCTGACCAAGATACTCCTCATAGCAAGGGTAGTAGTTAGCGTTTTCATATTCCATTTGAGGGGCTGAGAGAATTTTCTGCAGAATTAATACTTTTTTTTGAGTTTATATTCTCAAAATACTCAAAAAATATGAAAAAAGAAAACTTAGAAAAAATCAGAAAAGATGATTTCGATAGAAGTATTGGAGAATTATAAAATAAAAAATAAATAAAAGAAAATTGGGATTTATATTTTTCTTAAATATTACATCATTTCGATTGTATTTTAGATGCATGTTAGCAATTTATTTGATCAAATTGTTAATTTATTAATTACAAATTGAAAATTTGCATAAAAATTATAATTTTAAAAATTTGAGCAAATATAAGTTAAAGTTAGTAACTCAGATATTTTAATAGAATGTTTATATGTTTTTTTATATCCACAAACAAAAATTTAAAAAAAATATTAATTAAATGTAATGTTTAGCCTTGCCAAATTCTGTTTAAAATTGAATGATTATAAGACTAAATTAATTTTGAGATTTAATAGCTAATTTGTCCTATTCCTGATTAAAGCTTACTTTATATTTTTAAATATATAAAATAAGTTTTACACCATTTTTGGATGTTTCTTACCGAATAATAAATAAATACTTATTTATATTTCAGAATTTTTTATGGACTCTAGAAAATCTGAATTAACAAATTTCTCAATTAACTAAAGCTTATGGTGAAATTTTATCTATTGTTTTTATTTTGATTTTAAATAAATAATAATCATACAGTCAAACAAAAATTATGTGTTGAGCTTTATTAAGTACACATATGTGTTAACTTTTTAAAAGTTTCATAATAAAAAAATTAAATTTTGAGAAGTATTCTTTTGATGACTAAAACTACTAGTAAATTGATGTACTATCAGCATAGAATCATTTACTCATAAAAAATAATTAACTTTACTTAGGATTCGCTTTAGTTATAAATTACCTCCAAATAAGCATGCTAGAAATTTCATTCTTTATTTATTTTTTGTGAATTGGATGTTTTTTTAGTTAAGTGTTACTTTTGATATTATCTTCTATTAGATTAATATTTTGATTTTCATAATATCTTTTTGGAAAAAATCTGTAATTTAGCTAGAAACTGATCTAAGAAAGCTGCAAATTCTGAGTAATTTACACAATTAAATGCTGTTAAGTATTACATTTATGTGAGATTGTTTTATAATTAATTATTTTTATCTATTAAAAGATCAAGTAAACAATAAAATAGATCAAATTTATTAAATTTATCTTTTTGAGTAAATATTTTTTTGGAATAGAAATTAAAATTAGATATCTGAAAGAATGTAAATTTTTGACAACAATTTAGGCAATTAAACAAAAAATACAAATATTAAGATAGTTAATAAAATAAAAAAGGAGGAGAGAAAAAATAATAGGAATGGCTATTTTTAAATTTAAAAAAGTAATTTTAATTGAAAGGTAGAACAAGATGTAAATTGAATTTGCTTAGCAATAGTATATAAAAATATAAAAATATTCGCTAGATTATCCACATATTTAGAAAAAAAGTTATTTTCTTGTTAAGAATATTTTGATAGATAGATATATAGATATATAGATACGTGTTATATTATTTTTAGTAAATTGAAATTAACAAAAAACTTAACTTGATATTACTTAAATACCTTACCCTTTAATAATATTTTAGAATTGTAATTGGCCCCTAATATTAAAATAAGCAGATAAATAGCTATCACATAAAACAATTTAAGTAAATAAAAACTTTAAAGATCTCCCCACAAGAAAAATTAATTTAAATTTACAAAAATTAATAATTTAGTGAGTAATCAAACCTAAATACCAGTGAGCAAGTGATATCTTAAATTACTCTTGATATCAAATTAAATTTTTAGATTCTGATTTCAAAGATTAAAAAATTAACAAATTATTCGATTAGAATACTAACATTCATCATAGTCTTTTATATTTTTTAAATTCCTTACATAAATTAGAAAGTCTTTCATTTCAAATGTTTAGAAATACTCAGATTATTTTTAGCAATCAAAATAATGCTAAATAAGCACATTTTTTTCTTTGCAGTTTTAAAACATAGTAAAACCCCGCCTCAAAAAATCAAACTTGTTATTCCTTAAACATCCAATTAAATGACGCACACTTATATTTATTTGTAATCTCAAATCTTTAAAAGTGTTGCTGATATTTGGTTTAAGAAATAAAATAAAGTTACAATTTTAATAATAATTTTTGTGATTTTAAGAATAATTGAGTTATGTCTTAGATTATTTTTTTGATTGCTTTTTTGTGTAGAGCAACTATAGAGTTGCAAATTTTTTTCAAAAAAGATAGGTCGGTATACAAACAAAAATAAGTTTTTAAAATTAAAAGCTAATCCGATATTTAAAATATTAGTTAATGAAAATTTAATAAAGAGTTAAATAATTAATTGCAAACTGAATGATTGTATTAATAATTAATTCATTCATTAATTTATTCATTATTATATTGGTTTTCTACCTTAAGATTAATTATAAAATCATAAAATCAAATTGATTTACTTCATGAATTCTAAAAAGCAGTAATATTTATGTAAGCGAAGGATTTGCAATTTTTTTCTAACTTTCCTTTTTCCTTAAAATATAAGTAAACTCTCATTTCCTTATTTTTCTTTACAATATATTTTTACCTTTTCTTCTCAAGGAATTTTTTATATCTATTTTCTGATCTTTGTTATAGCTGATTACAAACTCAAATCTTAATTATTTTGTAGAGTTTTTCAATAAAATTACTTAATGTGGTGGTGATAGTATATAGAACTAGTTAAATATTCTCTGCATTCATACTTTACTTGTTACTAACTTTTTTATTACTAACAAAATATTTAGAGTAATCAATTTAACTAATTTTATATAATATTTTATTAATCCAATTCCATTTTTTTAATAGCATTTTTTCATAAAAAATAAACGAAAACTTTTTTTAGAAATAAATGACTGACTGAATGACTGTAAGTTTTTGAGATCAGAAAAAAAATTAACAAATGGCAATGTTTAAAAAAATTCAAAAAAAACAATATTTTTTTAATCCTAGTTAATTTTTTTATAAATACTAATCAACAATTTTGTTTATTAATTGCATGACAATTTATTTAGGAAAAATTAAGCTTTTTATTTTCTCAATTGGATCATAAATACCTCAGAAGTATTTACAAAAATTCTTTTTATAATCTATTCTGATACTATTAACATTTTTTCACTGAATAATACAAGGTGAATGCTTTAAATTTTTAGCATCCTAAAAAATTCATAGAGTAGGATTTAATCCAGTATTCATTTGTAAAAAATTATTATAGAGGTCAAATTACATTTTCACTACTATTGCAATTTTTAATCAAAGAATCTTCTTTATTTTAAAGAGAAACAAACAGAAGGAAATAAATTGTTCTGTCATTAAATAAAACCTTGTATGAATATTTATTAAAGGATTCTAATTATTTTTTTCAATCCTACCATTCTCTTTAGATAGCATTTTTACTGATGTTATAGAAACTTTTCATCTGGGAGTGTTATAAACTAATTCAATAAAAATATTTTTTTTGAATAAATTTTCTAAAATATCTAAATTTAAGATAAATACTTTTGTTTTGTTCGATAGTAATATTGAAATATTAACTCAATATGATATTTGTTAGGAATTTTTTTATTTCTCAGACTCATAGCTTTTATATTGATCATAAACTATTTCAATCATTTATTTGACTCTGTTTATTTGAAAAATAATTACTTTTGATATTGGCAAAAACGCACTTTAATTATCTTTTAACATCATTTCTTAGTATACATGTAGTTAAATTCGCATTTCTAATATTATTAAAGAAAAAACAGATCTATTATAGTCTAGTTTTTGGGAATAGTACAGTATATTAAAATACAGTTAGAGATATTTTGAAATATGATATTATTAAGCTGCATTTGTTTTAAATTCACATACACTTTACATGATAAATTTTAATTTTTGTTTACTATTATCATACTTTAAATAAGTAATTAAATTCTTCTTACACCAAATTACTAAAGCAGCATTTTTTTATCACTGCTTAAAATTTGAGCAAATAATTTTTGCTTTTCTATTAGCATAGGAGAAAAAATTTAATTGAAAAATATGTAACTAAATTTTTTTCCTTTTGCGGAAAATAGATAAGTAGTCTCTTTCACAATTTGATCCAAAATACTTTATTTTTGACTTTTTGCTAATTGCATTCAGAAAAATATCTCAATTTTCTCCGGAAATATTTCAAGACTAAGTAAAATCGGTAAATAGATAAAAATCCTACTAAATTTCATGCTGAATTATTAAAAAGAAATACCTTTATGTAATTATCTCAGAATTCTATTCGGCGAAGTAAAATTCTAGCCTATTTTTGAGGTAGTCTTAAGTTGTTTTTAAGTAACTAATTTTTAAGAAAAGAAATATACAGATTTTATTGATTAGTAGAGAAGGCAGATAGAAGTGAATTGAATAAATAATTGTAATCTTCAGCTGATTCCAAGATAAGGTAAATAAGGATTACAATTTTAATGGTATTTAATTAAATATTTTTTAAATTGTAAGCTGGATTGCTGACATGAGAAGGTTTAACAGAAAAACTTTTGGATATTAAATTCCGATTTTAATAATCCTAAAATTTTATTATTAAGAACCTTTAACTTATTTTTTAAAATTTACAAATCATAAAATATATTGTATTTTTCAAGCGTATACGCTAACAAACAAATAAACAAGCAAACAAACAAACAAAGAAACAATCAAATAAAACAAAAATTAAAAATTTTTGGAAGCAAAAATATAAATTTTTATAATTATAACAAAAATAATGCAAACAAAAAGTAAAATAGAAAAATAATTATTAGTATTAAATCAGTATACCAATACATTTTATTATAATAAAAAGATAAGGGTTTTTTAAAAAGTTTCTGTTAAACCTTTTTGTCCATATTCCTAGTACAAAAGGGCATTAAAGAAAATAGTGTACTTGTTTTATAAAATATTATTGAAAATGGGTAAATATTCATGGTAAAAAGTTGATTTTCTAAGATTTTGAATGGATGTAAGTATTCCCATAATTACTATGTATTTGTTTTAATCAAACTGTAACCTTTCACAAACACCATTTAAATAATCAATATTTATCTGATTATTTGCAAAAAAGAGTTCATTTATTTATTTAATTAAGAAATTGATTGATTGATAACTTTAAAAATTAATTTGAAATCTGCGTTCATTAACTAAAAATGAGTTATTATTAAACAAATTTGAAGGTAGACGTTTGCGTATTTGATTAAGATCTATTTGCTATATTAAATAAGAGATTTTAAAGTTATGTAACTAATATTTTTTTTTTGGCAATAATAATCTAGAATTCAACAAACTTCCTATAAAATTCCTATCAATATTTATGTTAATACAAATTTGTAAGTTATTTGTGAGATCTAAAGTTTTCTTCTCACAGATACATAAGATTTCCAAATATTCTCTGAAATGATAAAATTATTTGATAACAGCGATTTACAAAAAAGCTATTAAGTTAAGTTAAATTTATATTTGTTTGGTTGCCTATTTGAGTATTACTTCTTTTGTAGTTGAGAGTATTTAAAGTTAGAAAATTCTCTCAAGATTTAGAATTTATATTTTGTTCTTTTAGATTGTAAGTGGTGAATCAATAGGGTGGGTTATTTTTATCTTTTATATAAAAGATTAGAATATTATATTATATAATCAACCTATCTGATTGGGATTCTTCAGTTTCAAAAATAGAATCAATTAGCCCTATTACATGTATTTACTACGTCCATGTAAACAATATCAGAATTATAAAGTTGTTAATTTACATTAAAATAGACTACTCATTCACCCATTATAGAGTTTTGCTGATATTCAAAAATAATGAAAAGATTATATAAATTAATTAATTCATAGCTAAATAGAATACATTTATAGAAGATATTAAGGGGGTAATTAAAAAATTAATCATTTTTGATATGTAATATCGAAGTTTGTAAGAAGAAAAAATAATGAAAGAATTTCGTAATATTGTTTTCCATAAGGGAAATAAGGGAAGTGAAGTTAAAAGTATAAAAAAATTAAAAATAGCCCTGCTAAGGTAAAAATTATTCAAGCTTGAAACTCACTTGAATTAAATTTTAGTGAGGTATTAAATTTAATAACAAAATAATAATTTTACTAGGATACTAGTCTCATGGAGATAGTGGCTGGTTATAAATGAAATAGGCCAGTTTTTCCCTTGTGTTAGATTTGGAAAAGTGTTTAAATTTATTAGAAATAATCAAATCAAAAGGTAAAGTTTACTGTAACACAAAATTAAGCTAGCCAATATTTGGAGACCAGGATATTTATTAAAAGTGGGAGATTAGAATTAATAAGTCAAATTTTATTTGGCTTTAAGGTCGAAAAATTAATTTGATTAGTTATTATGTTGGTATCTGAAATACATAAATAAAAATTACACTTATAAGCACCAATAAAAAAGCAAGAAAAATAAAAAAATAAATAAGTAAACATTAATTGCTTGCTACCACATAGTAAATACTCTAAAATTTATTTTGAATTAAATTTTTTCCTAAAAATTTTTTCACTTCTTGTTATTTATTTTAATTTAAGTGTACCTAGTTTGCATTGACATTGGCGAATTGAAAAATATATAAAAACTAAATAAAAAAATATATTAATCGATCAATAAGTCAGTCGGTCAGTCAACCAGCCATGCAAATCAAATCAAATTTAAATGACAAATTTACAACTTAAAAATAATCGGAAAATAAATTATGATTAATTAAAACTATTCAAATCTGCATAAAGTCTTCTTTTTGCAAATTTCTTCTTATTTATTTAGAAATACTTTCTTTATGTTTCAAAAACAAATTCGTATTTGTTCATTTACTTATTTTTGCTTATTAAATACATCAATTTACTTACTTCTTTTCAATAAATAAATCAGAATTCTAATTCATTTAAAATCTATACCTTCCCTCCCTCTGTCTTTCCAATTATTTATAATAAATAAAAATCAAAAACAATTCCAATTTCATAAAACATCTACCGACCTAACTACTGTACTCAGGCAGAAAATAAAAAATTATATATTTTTTCCTGCATTTTTCATCGGAACTTTACTTTATAAATTAAAATAAAAAACCCACTAAGCTTGCTTCATTTCTCCTTTTTTAATAATTAATAAAGAGAAAAATTGCAATTTTATTGATACAGGACTCAGTAAGAGGAAGACCAGCGCAATAAAATTATTTATTAGGATCATCTAAAACTATATAATCAAGAACAATTCATTTCCCTAAAAATATATATTAAGCTAGAAGGACTAAGTTAAATTATTTGTCTGCTAGTAAAATAAATAAATAAAAATTCTATATCTTTGACTGTTATATTGTTTGGCTGACCAACAAACAATTTGTTAATTCGACTACTTTCTTTCTTGCTTGATTGCAATCTGATTAACTTAATTTTCTTCTAAATCAGACTAGTACTAATATCTAGCAACTCGAACAAATTTTGTCAAGAGTTTACAAAATCTATTGCTCCCAATATAACTTCATCATAACTAAATATCACTAACACTTCTAATTCTGAATTTGAAGGAATACAACTATCCCTCATCTAATTTAGATATTTGATTGAAATCTAAGAAATTTTATAATTAAAAGTAGTAAAAGGGGGGGAAATTTTTTTCATCTGACAAGAAAGGAGAGATTTGGTTTATCGTTGTGAACATCAAACATCATCATCCTCGTTACTTAAAACTTTAAATTTACATCACAGAAAGAAAAATTAAATAAAAAATCAAATCAAAATAAGGAAAAAGAAAGTAAAGAGCTAATAAGATAATCAATAAACAAATAATTTAATTATTTTTGGCAGAGAAATTCGTAATAATTTAATTAATTAGTAAATAATAATAACTAAAAAAGTATACTTGATTGATTCTTAATCTATCAATATATTAAATTCAATCAAAAATTGAATTGATTTGACTCTAAATTCCCATATCTATTTGATCGTTCATTCATTAAATCGCTAATTACTTCCCTTTAAATTAAGAAATCTCACACAAGATAATCTAAATTTATAAATAATATTAAAAGAAAAAGAGATTTTAATCTCGTTATTTTGGTGAAAAAAAAAGAAACATAAGAAATAATTATCAATCGCCCTCTTATCAAAAAAAAAAAATTAATAAACTAAACTAGGCACGTCTTAAATAAATAAATAAATAAAAGTAAGAGAGAAATCGTCTAGCCATTAAATCACATATCATAATACCAAAATTAAAAATTAATAAATTTGCATTACTTTAAATCTAGCTACTTAAATAATAATACTTACATAAAATATTGATTAATTTATTAATTGATTGGCAAAAGGTATTATCTGAAGCACGTCATTATTTAAGTGTAATTGTAAACTAAAATCATAATTAATTAATAACCAAATATATTTCATTTATTTGAAATTATAAAAGATAAAGCAAACTACTGAAAAAATAAATATTATGGAATAAACCTCCACAACATCAAGCACTCCCACAATGCAACCTGACCAATTTGCCTCTAATACTAAACTTTAAATGCCATACTTTATGAACACTGAGTTGATTTCATAAATGCGCAATACTTCCTCTCAGTAAAATCTTCCAACTGTCTCTAACTTTGCTTCTAATTCTCGGACTTAGAATCAATTGATCAGCTCTTCTAGTTTAAATAACTAGAACGGTAGCTCAACAAGCATTGCAAACTGCACATCTCTTCCTGTATAGTCTTAAAACTCTATTAATCTCTAATTGAACACTTAGGTTTCTTAAAATCCAACCAACCAAAACATGTTAGTAAATAATCTCGCTAGCCCCAATACTCTTGCTAACTCAAACAGCAACAATAACGGCACTAATTCACCCACTAAGAATTTATTAGTCAATATGAATAACGGAACCAATTAATAAACTCCATTATAATTCTTAAACAATAATAACTTTTTGCAATTCTAAATCCAATAATTGCAAAATTAACAACAACTTAATGCTGCTTTAAACCAATAAAATAATTTAATTGGCTTACCCATTCAAAACGTTCAATAAAATTAAAATCCACAACAGTAATTCATGCTTTTAAATATGATGGAAAACATACAATAGTAATAGCAGTTATAACAAATGGAATAATTCAACAATCTAAGCAATTTGCATTTAATGGCTGCTTAATTGTAATCTTTGCCCAGCATTAAGATACCTTCTTGCCAAAAGCATCAACACAAGGCTGAGCCAGGCTTGAAGTTCTTGTGTACTTCTCCAAATTGCTCTTATTAGTGGTAATTGTTGTGCTAGAATTGCTTGATAGAACACACAGGTCATGAAATTATTGATGCTAGAGTTTTTCTTAACTAGGTGAAGGGAAAAGTAACTGAAAATATTGCTGCTACAAGCAATTAATTTAATACTATTGAGAATCTCTTCAACTAGAATATACAAAGCTTGGAAGGAATGCAAGAACATATTAACAACTTGCTTGATACTCTCAAATCTCTTCAACGCGCTTACTTCATGATGAAATTGACAAGCAACAATGACACCACCTACCTCATCAATGTTTTAAAGGAAATTGAAGAGCCTAGCTCTTGCCTCAATGAGAAACAACTCAACGAAAGAATTTCTTCCATCTCAAAAATATCTTAAAACATCCGCTAAGTTAAGATGGAAAGCTTTTCTCAATTGATCAGTATCAACAATATGTCTGCTAAGGTTGTCAACGATGCAAAGCAATAAATAATAAACACTCAAGGATTAGCAGCTAACCTTTAAGAAACATTTTCTCACCGTATGATCGGTTCTGAAATGAAAGAATTGGAAAAGAAGCACCAAGAAGAAAAAACATTAGAGCATTTCTCCAAGCTATTCCACCTCATCAAAGGTCATGCTAAGAAGAGAGACGTTATTAACTTCCTTACATGGGAACCCCAAACCAAAGAGCTTAAATATTGTAATAATTTAATTTTAATTTAAACTTACTTACAAATTTTTAAACATGATGAAAACAAACAAACAAACAAATAGACATTCTTCATATTTATAAAAAATCAAAAATTTTGAAAAAATCTAAAATCTTGAATTTTCATAGAAAACAAAGTGTATTTTTTATTGATAGAATCAGAATTAGAAGGGGTAGATTACTTAAAAATATGTATTATTTTAAATAATAAATAATTAATCACTTACTCTCCTCACATATAAATTTTTTATTTATTTTTCTATCTTATTTAGATAAAATACTTCATCTGATTCTACTTGCAATCATGAATACAATTTTTAAACTTTATTTTTAAGTACGCTTATTTTTCACATGTATTGATTGTTTATCAAAATACATAAATCAAATCAACAAATTATGAAGCTATAAAATCAAAAATACTCAAATATAGCAGCAAAAAAAAGAGGATATAATTTTAGAACGCTAAAATAATGTGCTTTACTATTTCATTCTGTTAATTAAAGCAGAAAACACCAGAAGAAATATTATTTATATGTAACACATCAGATCGGGCATTCAATTCCATTAGCAAGATTAAATATGAGAAAATTTTTGCAAATTGGTTTACAATTTTTAAGATATTAAAGTTTACTCATAATATAAAAGCATTTATCAAATCTAAATTCAAAATTAAGTTAAGACAAATAGGAATATGTTTTAAAAGAATATTAAAAAGCTACTTGGTAATTGGCTTATACATTTAAAGTTAATTTTTAATGTTTAGAAATTTATAAATTTGACAAAATTTACATTCATTTTACGAGATACACATTGATCATTTAAAACTATAAAGCAATAAAAGTTCATAAAAAAATTGAAAAGAAAAGTCGAAAAAAAAAAAATTATTAAGAAAAATTATTAATAGAATTAAAAAAATACAAATGAAAATTTTATGAAAATTTAATTATTAAATTATCTTGTGGAAAAAGTATAGAGCTTTATACTCAAATAAATAAATAGCTAATAGCAGCTATTACCTAAATTTATAAAATATATAACTACATTAACAATACGAAGCATCATCTCTTTTAATAAAGCTCAATAGTAAATCTCTTCTATTATCAAAGTAGATATTTTCAATTAATAAGGCTATCCATTTCATAAACCTTTTGTTGGTTATGGAGAATTTAAAAAATATATGTATCCTTATTAGATTTGATAAGGAGTTCGATAATTAATTTTTTTACTTACTACTTTTAATGAATCAATACGTATTAACAAAAAAAAGAGCGGTATTTTGAACCCTAAAATACTAGCAAAATTGTTCATTACTTATTTTTCCCTACCCCGAAGATTGTTTTCATCAATTAATCGAATTTTCATAAAATATAATATTTAATTCTGTATGGCAAATAAAATTTTGATTTCAATATTCTAAACTTCTATTTATTAATATAATAGCCAAAGATATTAAGGATAAACACGGTGAACATTTCTACGTAAGCTTTTCCTTGAAATTAAAGAATATCGAAAACATGGAAAATAAAGATATTGATGAAAATTTCATCAACAAAATAGTTAAAGTAGTAGAAGAAAAAGCTCCTGAAATCCAAAACAAAAAGAACGTTGAACGTAAGAAAATTGACCCTAACGGTAAAAAGCGTAAATATTGCAGATTCAATCCTCGTATTGAAATAGATGTCTCTCTTAATTGCTCTGCCTACAAAAATATTAAAATTGAGTGAGTTAAACAAAAACTTTGATCACCTATGAATAAATAAAGTTTAGCCAATAAAAAATATTATAATATCATTTTTAAAACTAAAAAAACGACTGTAAAAAGCAAAAAAAATATTATTATTTTCAATTTCTTCACTTTCCCCATAACTCTATAACATCTCATTAACATATTTCAAATAAGTTAAATCATCAAAAAAAACTTATTCATGCTAAACAAATAAATAAATAAATAAAATTCCTCAGTCTTATCCCTTCATTGAAATTGATTATCATCTCAACTTATAATATCATTATATTAATAACTTAAATTTGCAAGCAAAAGAAAGTATATCGGTTCTATCTATTTAACTAACCTTAATTACAGATAAATAGACGACAAAATAGCTAAATAAAATCATCTCCTATCTATTATCTATCAATCAATCTAGCAAACAACACTTGCAAAAAAATTGTTTGCTTAGTTATATGCTTAGCTCTTTGATGATCAAAATTCCTCACCTTCACCTTAAATTATAATAAACAAAATACAATCGGTTACCTATAAATCTCATTACTATAAAACAAATTAATATTATTATTATTATTATCATCTCACCTTCTTTATTATAAGCACTTTAATTGTCTTGTCTCTTTCTTTGTCTTTTTATATATTAACCATACATTTTACAATCAATTAAACTATAAAATCAACAAATCGGCATGTATATATATTGAAAATTTAGTATTTTTTAAACATAATTTATATTACTTAAAAATAACACTGTATTCCTTGCAAATAGAATTTTATTACCTTTATTCTGAGTAGCTAGCTCATTTTGAATTATGATAGAGAACATTTTTAACATTAATATATCAACTAGAACCACTATTTCTTCAGTTAGTCATTATATTTCTTTAAGCTCGAAGGTAGCTTAAGAAATAGAAAATATGATTGACATCACTACTAGAATAATAATTTTTATACTCTTTAATTTTAACTAAAGAAAATTAAGCAGTCAAAATTTAATGTTTGTAATATTTTCAAGAGAAAATTTTAATAGGTGGTTGAAAAACTAAAAAAAATGTTAATAACTTGCTTTGCAAATGAATGAATATTTATTTTTTGTTGAGCTGGCTTAGTTTTATGGTATATTTTAACATTTTGAATGAATGCATAATTAAATTGCGAACAGTGAAGAATAAATAATTAATTTCTTAATTAAAAGTTAGTTATTTTGATAATCAAAGTATTAGTTAGGAACGAATTAATAATTTTGTTAAATAAAGTAATTCTTAAATGAAGAATGAAGCAATGAAAATTTTGAAATAAAGAAATTATTATTTTTTTATTTTATTTTTCTTTTTAAATATTTACTTTAAATTTTATTTAACTTCGCTTTATTTTTAAATTTATATGTAAAATGTTTGAATTAAATATAATGAAGTAGAAAACTAGTTAGTTAGGAATCAAAAAATTGTAAAAAAGCTTTTTAAAAATAAAATGAATAATTTATATTTTGAAAAAAATTTAGATTACTTACAACTTAAAAGGAGTTTATTTCGTAAGGCATGAACAAAATTAAATTATTATGAAATATTTTAAAAATATTTAGTTAATTAATACATTAATGAAACAGTATAAAAAGTCTATTTTATTTGTTTTTCAAATTTTTTAAAAAATTTAAACACCTTGAATACTTTAAATTTAATGTATTCAATTCATAAAAAATTAAAACAATAATAATACTATTAATGAGTAGATAGATGATTGATTTAATGAACTTTATTATTTTTTAAATGCTAGTATTTTTCTCACTTTTTGGGGTAACATGCATTAAACTAAATATTATCGCAAAAGTAGATTTATTTATGGAATTTTGAATCATAATCACTGTCTTCAGATTATTAAGGTAGAATGTCAAGAGTTTATATTAATTTACTCATATTAGTATTAAAATGTGATAATTTATACTTTTTATTAAAGATCTCCTATTTATCTAGAAAACTCAGGTTATATTTCAAGGATCAAATAAGATTACAAATCTCTTTTGATATCTACGTAAATGTCATTTTGTTTATTCTAATTAATACACACTAACTTTTAAATTATATTCATTTTTTAATAGTAAATTAAAATGATTGGATTTAAATTTCTTATTTTTATAATTACTCTTTCTGCTTTCTATCCAAAAATATTAAAAATAAATATTTATAATATATACTCCATAATTATCCTTCTAAAATTTTATTTATTTATTTATTTATTAGCTATCTTTTTTAATTATTTGTTTTACAAATCTAGAATTTTAATAGCAGAATATTATTTAAATTTAAAAATTTAATAAATATAGTTATCAAAGAATAACAAGTAACTGTAAGTTAAACTTTAAATATTTTTATTTTACCTTTCAAATATGAAATTAATTTAATAGGAATAATTTTGATTTCAAATACAAGATTTATTAAAATTGTTAAATTACATTTTCAAATGAAATATTATTTTTATTTACTACTATCCTCATTAATATGTACATATCCCAAAAAACAAATGCTTTAGGTATTGAATTTAAAAATGCAAAATACTAAAACTTGTAATATTAAACAAGACTTTTTAAAATCTACTAATATAAGGTATTAAATAATATTTATAGGTTTTTATTTTTTGAATTTATTAATATGTTTTTAAGGTGTAAAGAGAGTAGTTATAAAAAAAAGTTTTTAGAGTAATGTTATGTTATACATTTTATTGTAAAGATCTTTATGCTTTTTATCTATTTAATTAACTAAAATTGATTTTATTTATACGTATAGCAAAAATAAATTATTATTAATAGTAATATAAACTTGATTATCTGCTTTTTTTAATAAAAATCAAACAATCGAAGAGAAGTTAGTATGAATTTAACTATTTGAGTTGATATTTAAAAGATTAAAAAATAAGAATAATCAAAAATAAAATGTTTTCATCTTCAATAAATGATATTTATAAAAAGATAAATAAAATTAAAAAGAGTGTATTTATATTGATAATATTATAAATTTATCAGTAGAGATTAAATTTTAACTTAATTTAAGTAATTATTTTATTTAAATAAAGTTTAAATCATAAAGAGAAATTAAAAAAGTATTAATATAAATGATTTTTTTTAAGTTACTTTAAACACTATTAGAGATTGTTTATAGAAATAATTAAAAGCAAAATTGATATTATTAAAATATTATTTATCCTAAAAATATTAAATTTCTATTAAATGAAACAATTTTAATTGATGAGTTTTTATTGTCTATGAAAATTTTATATTATTTGATATTTAAAACTCCATTTAAAAATTAACTGGTTGATTGAAGTTTTATAAATTTATTGGATGGTGAAAATAGATTTTATTTTTAAAAATATCAACTGATTAAAAAGGTCATTTGTATATAATTAGTTGAAATTTACTTGTGATGCTTTAATAAATCATTAAAAATTTTGCTTTCACAAAATTAAAAATATACAAAATAGGATATTTAATTGACTAAGAAGATTGATTTACTATAGTTTTATAATTTTATATATCATCACTGATTTACATATTTATGAATGAATTAATACAATATTAGAAGTAACCATCTATAAAAAGTATTCCTAGATCCTCATAGGAATAAAAAAGATCGTCTGTAATCAGATCTATTTTGAAATCATAATCTTCGCCTAGATTCAATCATAGCTAATAAGTTTCACAAAATAGTTAATTTTAATCAACACAGTCAAGCTTTATTCAAAAAAGAGGAAATAAATCTGCGGAAAGTAATTTAGGAATTAATAAAATGATTTTGAAAAATTAATTTTTATAATTTGTACAAAAAATCAGAAAGAATTCCAAAGTTAATTCTTAATCAATTAAATGCCAATCCTGAAGATTTCTTTATTACTGAATATCACAAGCCGGTTGAGGTTAAAAGAAAATCAGCCCTTTCAGAGTAGCCAAAAATTTAGTTTAAAAAGTAGAAATAGATAGATGTTGTAGTATAAGATGTAATGAATTAATATACAATTGATTGAAGTGAAATCAACTTAACTTTTTTATTTATTTTATGTTAAGAAAAATCACACTATAACTATTTATTTATAAAATCAGTTGAAAAGAGCTGTAAGCTAGCTTCGTAATATTCAATAAATCATTGATGGAAATGATAAACGTGGAACAAAAGCTAAGTAAACTACATAAGATGAAATGGAATAGACAACTCTATTCTTTGAGACTCCAAAAGTTATTGAGACAGTCAAAAATGAATAGAATGAAAGGAATTTTTTAATATAGTAAATCGAGAAGTAAATTCCTGAAAAGAAATATAACACTTACTCTTAGTAAGTAAGTCCTTTGAGCACCAAGCGTACAACAAGATAAACTTTTCATTTTTCAAGAGAAAGTTCTATCAGTATTAACATCCTTTAAATATTATAGAGAGAAACGTTAAATTATATAAATTTCATTTAAATTATTATACAAAAAAGTAAAGTAGAACTCTCCATAAGTTTTATCAACAAGACATATGGGAGAAATGATACTTAAGAAAGAACAATATACAAGTAGATAAGATTAAATCTAGAAGATTCAAGATGTATTATTATTTGGATAGCACAAGCTTAACGTCTTCGCCCCAACCTATAAGGAAAAATTATAAAAACTTTATAGTCTATAAATGTAGGTCAAAAATTTGATGGGTGAGTAAAAATTAATTGAAGAATGTAACTAAAATATAGATTCTGACTTTAACCAGCTTAAGCAAGAAATAGAATAATATGAATAAAAAGTAGATGATGAAGAAACAATAAAATTATCTCTCCAATTTATGATCGAGGTAAGGTCAAATGATTACATGATTAAAAAAGTTCCATATGAAAATGATTCAATAATGCTTGAAGTTCTTAAAAAATTTTTATCTAGTGAATAAGATTTATTAGGTACAGATGTCAAAGCAATCGACAAAATAAAAGTAACTAACACATATATATTTTTCAATTATAACTTTTTCAGAAAACTCTAAAAAAAATAGATGAAAATGATTTTCTTATAATCAATTCTTAATCATATAATTTTAAAATTTATTTTTAATTTTTTTATTCAGAGTTTGCAACTATAAAATTCAAATAATACTGAATTAATTATCAAATATATTATTTTAAGTAAAAATAATAATTACATGTTTTCATATAATAGTAAGAATTCATGAAATTGAAAAGAGAGAGACAGCAGACTTAGTCCAAATAAAATTTACTTGATGAGAATATCAGGGTGAAGGAAAACAACGATGAAGAGGTTTAGAAATAGATATAGAGAGAGATATTATATTAACAATAAATAGAAATTGAAAAATAAATGGAAGAATAAAGAAAATCTGACAGAGAAGAAAACAGAAAAGCCCGATTTCAATAAAAAGTGCTCGAATAAGTTCAAAAAATCAAAGATTATAAATCTTTCTTTGATGAAATTTAAAATAATTTTTAATAGATATAAAAACCTTCTGATATTTTAGATTAATTTCATCATGTTAAGTAAAATAGTCAAAATTAAGTTAAATTTATTTAGAATTATTAACTTATTTTAAAAGGGAGTCAAATCAGTTTCTAAAGAAAAGAAGAGAGATTTTATAAAATAAGATTGCTAATCTGAGAAAAGATTTAGAAGAATAATAAAATGAGTTGCAAATGTATAAATCAAAGGCATATAATGAATCTATATTGGATATTGAAGTAGATTAAATGGTGGATTATGTTAGATAAAAGGAAAAAGCAGAGTAGTAATTATAAAAAGACAAGCAAACAGTAAAATACATTTATTTTAGTTTAAATATTTAATTTATTTTTTAAAAGATTTTTAATAAAAAAATAATTAACTAACAAATCTAATTTTCTATCGAAAATCTCATGAGCGATCTTCAAAATTCATCAATTCAAGAGGTAAATACCACTTTCTTATATTCAAATAATCAATTTTTCTACGGAAAATAATTTAAAAATTAAAATTAATTATTTTAATTAATTTTGGCAATTGTTTGTATAAATCATCCCTTAAAATATTAAAATTTTTTCAAAATATAGATGTAAGATTTTTAATCTCTAAAATTTATATTATTACAAATAACCTAAAATATTTTCTGTTGTTAACTGGTTGTATTAATAAAAATTAGGTATTATTTAATATTTAAAACCAAAAATAAGTTAATCTAATTTAATAAACAAAATATATTATAAACTAATTTATTTTAACAAACACTACTTAATTTTTTATTATTTATTAATTAAAATTAGATAAAATAATTTCATTTTACAACAGGAGACTCTTTATAAAATAAAATTACTAAAGTTATTGAATGCTAAAAATTATTGAGAAATAAGCTATGGAGTGAAAATGTAACAGATGAAGAAATAATATTATTTAAAAATACAAAATGCTATTATTTAAAGAATAACAATCTCAACTAAGGAAAAATTCAACAAAGCAAACATAGTAACGAAAATAGTATAACATATATTAGAAATTGAAAAAGTAATCTAAAATAACTAATATAAGTTATTGTTTCAATTTTCTAATAATTAGATATATATATAAATTAATGACTAAATAAATCAATTAATCTGCTGCTTCAAAATTTAATAAATGCCTATTTAATTAATATTTCAATTTAATAAATATAAAAAGATATTTGAAATTAATTGATTATTGAAGATATCTTTTTATATTTATTTAACTTCTAAAAAGTATAATTTGTGTAACTAAGTAAATTAATAAATGCACATGTATATCATTAAAACATTTCAATAAATTCATAATTTTAATTTTTTAGATCATATCTTATTATTAGTTTTATAAATATTCAGATTCATTTGTATTATTTTTTGCAATTTCATCTGTAAATAATTTATTTTCATAGCATTATTCGCCATCCCTTCAAGCATTTATGTGCTCTTATTTTTATTTTTTTAAGCTTTTCTTGAGTAGTTTTGACCTAAACTTATTGTTTCGCTTTATAAAAATTTAAGCTTAAGGATCATAATAAGATGGTTAGCCTTTTTCAATGCATTCGAGGTCATGGTTTAGATAGTACAGTTATCCATTTTCATAAAATTTTAATTAACCTTTTTACTTAAAGATTACTGCTTTGATGTCGAAAGGATAATTTAAAACTGTATCTAAATCTTCTTTATCTGAATCTTGTTAATACATAATATGGTTATTTTATAAGTCGCAAGAATCATAAAACACAACTATAGGCTTATCTTAATCACTAGCAGTAGCTAAAGCATGTATTAAAATTGTTAAAAATATTATGTATTATTTCATTTTTAGATAATTAATTTCTCTGTTATTTATGAATACTTAGCAAATTTAATTAATTTTATCAAATATTTAGTCGAAAGTATTTATTTCTTAATTAAAACTCTTAAAGGTAAAATATGGGTACTTTATATATCTAATAAAAATAAACTACTCATTTTTTAATTTTTATTAAAATTAATTTAATTTGAATTTATTTTATTTAGAAATAAAGTAATCTATTTTGATAAAAGAAAAATTGAGTGTAAATATTTGTAAAATTTTTAAATTAAATTTATATCACAAAAAATGATTAAGCAAAGTAAGCAAAAAAGAGAGAAATAATTTATAAATAGTATATTATTTACTATATCTTCTTTTTATAAATAGTTACAATTTAATTATTAATTTATTTAAAAAATTAAATTTCTTTAACAAAAATAATTTATATTTTTGTAATAGAATTCAGAATAAAGCAAATTCAAAAAATTAAATACTCTTTATTTCAATTTTAATTTAATAAAGTTGATATTTAAAAGAGGAAAAACTTTTAATGGATAATAGAACCTTTAGCAAGCTTTATTTATCAAAAAATTGACCAATAGAATTAAATTTAATAAAAATAGAGAGAGATATATTAATGATAAAACTTTACTTAGAAAGAATTTAATAAACTTTATCTGAATAAAGTTAACTACTATTAAATACTAATGATATATGAAATTGATCAAAGTTTTTAACCTAATAAATATATAATATTTTTCTATATGTGTTATTAAATATGTTCTTCTATTTGTTATTTCAGAATGAATATTTCCAATTAAATTAAGTTTTTTCTTCTTATTGATTTTATTTTTATAAAATACAAAAATGATTAGATGATATTAGTTTTTTAATAACAAATACAAATTAAAAGAATTAATTAACGCTCATAGTTAACTTTTATTTTTTTTATAGCTACTTACTAAAAATAGGAATAGCTTTAATTAACTAGAAAAAATAAATTATTATAGTAAATTTTTTAAAAACTTATAAAAAAAAATTTTATTAAAATTAACACATTTTTTTTACAAACCTTTTAAATCAAAAAAAATATTTATGGGATTGGAATTCTAATTATTTAATACACTTTAGTAATCATTTTTAACTTATAAAAATTGCTTATAAATGCTTGGACTGACAATTTTAAAAGGTAAAGTTTAAAGATTGATTTGATTTCATTTAAGCATTAGTACAGTTCGAAGTAATGTCCTTGTATAAGCTCAAGATGAATTAGAAATATGGAGCAATAAATTAGCTAAAATAATTTAAATAAATATTAAAAATAAAATTAAATGGAATAGAGCCAACTAATTATTGATTAAGAATTTAACAGAGTGAAAAATTGAAGCTATTCAGAATAATTCATGATTGAACAGAAAATAAAATAAAAAAAAAGGAATTAATCGGTATTTAAAAGTAAATTTATTAACAAAAAATAAGAAGAGATTTAATAAATAATAGCTAGCGCTCTGGTCTTAAAAGCAAAATTCTACTAAAAATATCACAGATATCTTTTTTCATCTAACTATAATTGTAAATTTTTATGAATTTCAGAGGAGCTAGTTATTTAGACATTTTATATATCAAATTAAGTGTATATAAAGATGATTGGGATTTTATCGTATAGCACAAATAATGAAGTAAAGAAAAGAAAAAAGAGGAAAAATAGGTTAGCTGTAACACTTTTAAGCTTTTTAATCGAAAGAAAAGGAAAGCTTCTTATATTATCTTATTAGCAATCATAGTTTTTTGTATTATAAATTTATTAATAATTTAGTTGCAATCAAAATTTAAAAGGAGTGATTTGTAAAAATTATGATAAAAAAAATTAATTATAAAAGGAATCACTCATTTGATAGTTTGTTTGCTTGCTGATCAAAAGGTAATAACTTAGAAATAAAGTATTGAAAAAGGAATAATTATTTTTGCAAATATAATAATTACTATTCAAGAGGTTAATCATGCAAAAAAAACCTAAATTAAACAAAAAAAGTATTATTAATAATTATGATAAAAGAAAGACGTGAGAAAGAAAGAAAGATTGATTGTAAAAGGGGAAGAAGAATTTACAAAATCAATTTGAATTTAATAACCTAATAAAAATCAAACTAATAAATAAACTAAAAGAATATCAAGAATCAATGAATGAATCAATAAATTAATGATAAATTAACTATATATATGTATACAATAAAAGAAAAATGTGATTGATTGATTGATTATTGTTAAGAAAAAAGATAAAGTAAATACAAAAACAAACCTAAATCAAAGAAAGAAACAAAGAAAGTAATTTCCAAACAATTTTTAGAGAAATCAATTTCAAGAAAATATAATATCAAAAAGCAAAGTAAAGTAAAGCGAGTAAATTGATAATCATAAAAATAGAAGACTTAAAAGCAAAAGAAATAAAAAAGAGAGAAAACAAATAAAGTCGAAATAAAAGAAAACAATAGATAGATAAGCAAGACAAAAATTGTTAGAATTCATCATTCAAAAAGCCAAAAAGTAAAGATAAAACAGCATCAATTAGATTACAAAAATATCACATTAGCTAGTCTATCTCAACATATTATTTAACTAATTAGATTGAACAGAAAGGGATTCTAAATTGATTTAAATCAATCATATCATCCTGTCTTTATCAATAAAAAATGAATAGCGAAAAGAGGTAAAAACGAGCAAAGATTTATCAGTCCGAAATAGAGAGAATGTAAGATGATTAATTCTATCAATAATATTTTGGAGCAGAGGATAGTGAAGAGGACGAAGATTATGAAGCCAGCAGTAGTCAGCTTGCTGAATAGGATGAATTTGATTCAGATTTTTCGATGAACTCAAGGGAGTTTCAAGAAATCAGAAATCAAGCAAATAATCAAAACAATGGTGATAATTAAAATTCATAAAAAGGGGTGAAGAAGAGAAAAAGAAAAGATTCTAATGAATCTTCATCTAATTAGAAACAGAAGAGCAAGACAGAAGGAGCTTCAAATAATAATAAATCAAAAAAAGGTTCCTCAGACATCTAGCAAGCAAAAAGCAAACGTGGTAGAAAACCCAAAAAATAACAAGGTGAAGAGGATAATTAATTGGATGCTGAAACAAACGAAAAGGGCCATACTAATTCAAATGAGTAGAATTAGGATGAAAATATGAAAGAAGATGGTTAAGATAGTGAAAGTGGGCACAACATTAGAACAAGAAGTCGTACTGTCAGTGTGAAATTACCAATGAATCAATCTAATTTTTAAATTAGCTAACCCAATTAGTCAGTAGCAAATGGTTAAACTAAAAGCACTAACTAAGAAGGTAATAACAATATCAATTAAGACTACGACGAAGATGATGATGAAGAAGATGAAGATTATGAAGCTTCAGGTGATGAAGAAGATGACGATGATGAAGATGATGATTAAGAAAGTATTGATAACGATGCAGATTAGCATCAATAAATGCAGAGCAATCCAAATCAATAAACTACAAATAATAAGAAAAAGAGTATAAAATAGCAAGATAAAGATATGAAAAATAGTAAATAAATGGATGACTAAAGTAATAATAGTGAAAATGATGAAGATGATTAAGAAGAGAATGGAGGGATGGATGAAGAAGGAGAGTCTGATGATCAGGATAACAAAAAAAGAGATGAATACGATAATGAAAAATCTAAGAGTGATAAGTAAAAGAAATAAAGCAAAGACAAGATAAGTTATGAAGACAAAATTGAATTAGAAGGTATAAAATCAAGCAAATAGCATAAGGGAAATTGTGGAGGAGAATAAGATTTTAAAATGAGAAAAGAGATCAAGTAATATATATAATTTATCTAAATCCTATTATATCTAATTTTTTTAATTAATAATTAATTAAAAGCAAGTGTGATGACTTAAGAAGAAAGAGGTCTGACTAGAGTGAAGGCCGAGTAATATCATCAGGTCCTCCTTCTAGGAAACACTCAAAGCAAATAGTTTAAAACTCAAATAATTAGAATAGCAATAAGTATATTTATTTATTAGTTGTTTCATTTAAATGCAACATAAATTAAATCTAAAACTTAAATCCAAAACAACAATAGAAACAGATTTGAAGATAATGAAGCTATTGACAGTTAAATCGAATTAGAAGAAACAGATGAGCAAAAATAGAGACGTCTCAAGATTTAATCAAGATAAGCTATGTTGTACAAGAATCTATATTACTTTCCATATGTTAGGGCTGTTCACTTTGAAAAAGATATTTAGCAATTTTAACGTATTGATGTAAGCTATGCTGTATGTTCGGGAATTGAAGGGAATACTATTTCGGTTAAGCATCCAGAAATCAACACTTACTGCATTGGGCTCCCTTATAAAAGCAAGGATGACATTATTTCAAGAAATAAAACAGAATATCATGATGTTTTATACAAGCAAGAAGATGAGAGATATAGATAGGATGGTGAAATTCAGTTATTAACTTAAGGTATACGTATGTTAGATCTCTTAAAAAATAAATAATATTAAAGCTTAGAAGAAAAGCAGTGGATTATTGATGGAATAAATTAAATTTAAATATTATCTTAATACAATTCATATAACACATACGTATACAATAACTGCAAGTTGAAAAAAATAAATCCATGCGTTATGGAGATAGAAAAACTTGAAGAGCAATTTAGTGAAGAAGAAATTAAACAAATTCACAAGGAACTTTAGGAGTTTAATCAAAAATAAATTGAAATAAAGCAAGAGATTGTTATCAATCCTGAAGTTAAATCAGAGGATTAGTAAAAGGCTGAAAAAATGATTGAAGAAAAAAATGAAATATAAATAAATGAAAGTTTAAAGAATTAATAGTAAACTGATATTCAAAAAAAAGAAGAGGAAGTAGGTGCAATTATTTAATTAGATACCTAAGTTGAAATAGAGGAAGGGGAAATAATAGATGAGGATGAACTTTCAAAATTAAAAGAAAAATAATAGTAAAAGTAGTAATAATAGTCATAGGATAAGTCAAGCTCACAATAAGAGTAATAAACTAATTAACTCGATAATGAAAAGTAATTGAACTAAATAAAAGAAGAGATCATAAATTAAGATGGTAGTTAAAATTAAGTTAAAGAGGAAAGCTAAGTATAAGTTGAAGATAAAAATTAATAAAACAGTCTTTAATAAGATTAAACTTAAGCTAATTAGGTTGAGATAGATATTTAAAAAACTGAAGATGCATTAAGAGAGATTATGATTAATAAATTCGAAGAAAAAGCTGAATAAGAGGAATTTGACCTTATTTAAGAGCTATAAGCTAAAATGTAGCTCAGAAAAAAGGCCTTAAAAGATTGTAAAGAGCAATTCTAAGAAAAATGGAGAAAGTTAGATTAGCTTTATTATCCTGCCTCGATTGACTAAAAAACTTACAATGCAAAAAAATTAGAAAATTAGAATTTACATTTGAATAAAATTATTTTTAAATTCATTGAAAAGGAAGCTGAAGCTAGAAGGATTTCTAATTAACTTATGCAGGAAATTTTACTTTCAAATAATTAAGGAGGAAATCGTAGATATTCCTTATCAAGTAATGATCAAAACACCTTAAAAAATAATATTCAAGACAAAGTTAGTCCAGATTTAACAAGTTTTTTCAATTTTGAAAGGTGTTTGATTGATTAATCAGCTCAAGAAGCTTAAGAAGTCTAAGATAAAAACTAAAAATTATTATTTTAAGAAATGTAAAAATTTTATTAAGCAAATCATGAATTTTCACTTGATTAAGGAAAAAAAAAGAATAAAAAAAAGTCATCGAGCTAAAAGCATCTCATAGATTTTCCTAGCTTTACATTTAATTTTTAAAATAAAGAAATATTGTAAATGTCAGTTGACTTGATATATACATTTTTAAGAGAGTAGCAGCAAAGGGACAAGCTATAAATAACTGAGGAACATATTAATATATTTTAACAAATTTCTAAATGTATTTTGTAAGTAACTCCATAAATTTTAAAGGATACAATTAATTCCTAATAGAAGCGCTCTATTTTGAACTATTTAAAAAGCTAAAGATTGAATTAAGAAGATTATTAATTAAACCATTTTTATGAAAATATGAATAAAGATATTCCAGAAGAATAGGCCTTCATTTAAAATATTAAAGGAGAGTCTAGTAACTCTGAGAATAGCTTAAAATAAATTAGTTCTCCTACTCACAAATCTTAAAACGGAACATAAAACTTCCATCCTCTATTTGGTAACTCTAATCACTATTAAACTAAATCATCTTAAAAAATATTTTAGTAAAACGGCTGTAGTTTATTTATATCCTCATAAATTAAAAGTATTCCTCATTTCTAGCATTCTAAATATTTCCCAAAAAGCGAAAATAGACCTTTTGCGTTTGGAGGCAAATATTTTTTTTCAATTTTACACTACGTTAATGCTATTTATTAAAGATTGCTATATTTGGTTCTCCTTATCTAGAAATATAATGCCAAGAATGTATATGTACCTGAGGAATTCTTGAGTGAGGAGTTATAAGAGAGTAGCTAAACATGTTTAAACAGTGATGGAAGTATTTCTCTTAAGGACTTATTTATTGGTGTACTTATAGGCCATGTTAAAGATGAAATCGAAGAAATGTCCTATGAATCCACTATGAAAACTTTGGGTGTAAAGAATAGTATATATCTTCTAAATATAAAATATATTTTAAATAACGTATGGAAATCTCTTTATAGCCTTAACAAAGATAGCAACGAATATAATTTATATAATTGCTTATATGAGTCAATTGTTAACAATAACAATTATTTTGATGAATTGTATAGAAGAATTATCTTGCATGCATTAGATGTAATTGAAGAGGAAGAAGAGGAAGAAAGAAGAAATAAAAATTCATTAGAGGAAGATGAAGAATCAAATGAGACAGGAGCATAAAAATAATTTAGCGAAAATTCTATTGCTATGATTCCTATTTGCAGAGCATTCTATGAGCCATAGTCATAAATGGTTTTCATCCATAGCTTACTTTTAAAAGATATATTACCTCTTAACTCTAATTATGCATAAGAAGCTAATTAAGAAGAGAGCATTGAAGAAGAAGAAGTTGCACCACCACCTAAGGTTTCAAAGAAAGAAAGCAGCCAATTAAAGAGAAAAGGTTCTTAATAAAAGGAATCATCTGAACATCCTGAACCTGAACATAGACAAAGGGCTTAATCTAAGCAGAAGGTTTTAATTTAAAAGGAGTAGGAACTAAATAAAGAGTAATCTGATATTTAAGAGGATGAAGATGATAAAAAAAATAATTCTATCGGATAAAAGAAAGTTAATAAAAAAGTAGAAAATGAAGAAGCAGAAATAAAAAGTTAATAATACTAAATTAGCAATAAAATAGATGAAGAAAATATTGAAGCCGATGGTAGCAATGTTAATAATAATCATGAGGAAGAACATGACGAAGAAAGTAGTAACAGCAATAAAAAAGTTAATAAATAAAAAAAAGTAAACAAGTAAATTAAGAAGTAAGACAAACATTTACTAAACAATAATAAGAATGTAAATAACAAAAGCAATTAGATAGCAGATAAAAACAACTCTACAGAAGAAAATAGTAAATAATCTTATAAATTATAAAATTAATAATAAAAATAACAACTATAGATATAATAGCAACATTAAAACTAACATTAGCTATAAATATAATAATAATTAATGTAGAATGAAGTTAACAAACTAAATTTATTACAATAAAATGGTGAAAAAGTCAAAAAAAGTTAGAACGTAGAGGAGGATCAGTCTATTACAGCAAACGCTGCTGTTCCAAGCAAAGAACATCTTTCACCTAAAAAAGCTTAAAATGGTACAAAAATTTTGAATTAACATACAGAGGAATAAGTTCAAAATTAAATAGATTAGGAAAAACAATAAGAATAAAAAGATTTAGATTAGAATCAGCTATAAATATAATAAGCTTAATAACAGCAAGAGCAATTATTATAATAATAATTTTAATAAAATTAATTAAAGTAATAACAATAATTCTTATAATAACAGTAATGGTAATATTAGTAGTAATAATAGAAATAGTAGCAAATTATTTAAGATATTAACGTAAATCCACAGTAAAATCTAACTGAAATTTAAAAATAGCAAATGTTTTATTTCTAATAATTAAATTAATTAAAATAAATGAAAATTGTTGCATAGCAATAGCCTAACCAAGCTTAATAATTGTAGTAGATTGACTAGAAGATAAATGAAGTAGAATAGCAAATCATGTCTATATAAGAATTTTTAAAAATATAATAATAATTAGAAATAAGAAAAAGAGAAGAGTCAAATCTTTCTTCACAACAACAGCAATAGGCTAATTTAGGTGATTCTATAAAAGGAGATGATGAATAAAATGATAAGGAAGATCTGCTTGGAGTTATGACTATTGATCCCCCAAACTTTGATAATTTTATGTGTTAAGCTTCAGATAGCGGAAACAATTCAAACAATTTAAATACAAGATAAAAATCTGGATCAGATCAGTAGAGTGAGAAGGAAGTTTAATAAAAATAAACTAAACACTAAAAGTAAGAAAAATAAAGTGAAGGAAATAATAAGATAAATTTAAGGCTTAACGTGAGTAAACCAGAAAAGAAGGAAGATTAATTAGGTTTAAGTGGATAGAAGGAACCTCAAGCAACTCCTACTACTCCTCAATTCAAATAATATCCTTTAGGACTTTAATAGCAATAACAGCTATAAATTTAACTATAAGGTCTAAATTAATAACAAGTTCCTGGAGGGTTAGGATCATCTCATATATTTACTCAAGACTAACAAATTTAACATTCAAATCAGTAGTTGTAATAAGGATTGCATACCTCTCAAAATCGCGGTGGAAATTTACTCTAAAATTCTTAGTAATTATCTCAAGTCGCTCAACAGCCTCCTTCTCCTTAATTTGGTTCTCAGCAGTCAATTGCCCTAAATACTCAACACAATATTGAAGCAATTAAATAATAAATTATTATAACTTAGATGAGAATGAAAGAGTTACGTGAAAGATTAGAAATTCTCAAAAAACTTGATTAGTTAAAGCAAATAATGCCTGATTAAATTGTTGAATATAAAATATTGGTGGAAAATTATTAAAATGAAGAGTAGAACTATCATAGTTTGATTATTTTATTACAATAATAATAGTAGTAGCACTAAGTATAATAATAATAGTAGCAAATTTAGTAAAAATAACTGCTCAGCAACTCAATATCTTTAGGCGGCGATGCAGCTCTCCTTTAAGGAAATTAGATGTAGAAGTAAATGCAGTTGTAAAAATCTCAGTAACTAGATAAATCTGAAGGTTTGCTTAATAGCTCTAATCATGGAAACAGAGCTGCTACTTCAGCTTAATCCTAAGCTATGAATAAGCAAAATACATCAACAAATTTAATAGATGTATTAAAAAAAAGCTAATAACTACAACAGGGAAGTAATATAGCAGCTTTAGCTAGTTAGTAAGGCTAATAAAGCTCTCTTCTTAACCCAACTTTGGCATCGTCTATTGGTATAAGTAACCCTTTAAATGCTGCATAGGTAAATGCTAATGCTAATTTGTCAGCTTCTGATATATAGCAGCTAAAATAAACTAATCCATAGTTGTATTAGTAAATAGTAATGAATTAGCAGCAATAATAATAGCAATCATTGTTAACTTAAAGTTAATAGATTTAATCATAATAGCTTGCTTTATTGTAGTAGTAATAGTAACAGTAATTAAGGTTCCAGTAATAATAATTGCAAAAATAAGGCCTTTTAGACTCTAGCGGAGTAAATGGCTAAATATCTAACCAATCAATGATACCTGGTTAAAGTAATAATGAAGTAACTCTTGGTACTTCTTAACTTTGGACTAATAACAACCCAGCTGCATCTTCAAGTGTGGGATTATCTACTCCAACTGATCAAAAGGGAGGTTAATTAAATATGCAAAATTTAAATGCTTAGGGATCAGACTAAAATGCTATACAACTTTTTAAATTAGAATAAATGCGTTAATAATAGATGTAAACTAATCTCAGCAATAGTATCCATATAGATAAAGGATAAACTTTACCAAATACATCTCAAGTTAATTTGTTTTCGAGCTAATAAGCAACTACATTCCCTTCCCTAGGAGAATCAGCACATCATCCAGCATAACTTTCTACTTAAATCAGAGGTCAAAATGCTACTCCAACAGGTGGAGCTCCAAACTAAAATTAAAACTTATCATCTGCATTGTAAAGCTTTTTATTGAAGAATGGAGGAATGAACTCTGCACAAGGCATGCAAATAGTTGGAGCTGCAGAAAATGGTTAAATATAACAACTAAGCGAAAGTCTTGCATCACCAAACTTAACTTAAAGCTAAATGGAATAGTTAAACTAGCATTAGTAATAATTATCACTCTAAAGATAATTATAGCACCATTAACAGCAATAGTAGCTATCTTAGCAGATTTAAAATTAACAGCTCTAAAACCTAAATATTTAAAATTAATAAATGTCATAACAGCAGCAAGTATATTAGCAAATTATGCAATAACAATTACTCAAAGAAAAAATGTAAATTGCTTAACAAAGAGCTCAATAAGAGTAAGAATTTCTGCAAAAATATTAGTAGTAGTAGCTTGCAGCCAATCATTAGCTTCTAGAAATGAATAATACTCTTACTCCAAACGAGAAGCTTTATTTATAACAGCAATAGCAATTTTAGCAGAATCAAGGAGGATTATCCTAATCATAGCTAATACAACTTTAGCAGTCTGGAAATAACCCAAGTTTATTCCTTTTATAATAGTAATAATAAAATTAGAGATTACAGCAATAGCCAAATTAGTAATAATTAGCTTAGTAGTCTTAAATTTAAGCTCTCTAGCTATAACAATAATAGTAGCGCTTATAACTTCTCCAATAATAATAGCCTTAGCAAAACTTACCGAACTAACAGATAATTTTATAGAACTAGCCTATTTAAAGTATGTCTTAGCAATAACAATAGTTGTTGATGGCTCAATAGTAATAAAAATAAAATTAACTGTTATTCTCTTAATAGAACTAATTAGTAATGCCTAACCTCTCTTAATCTTAACAGCTGTAATAACTCTAAATACAAAATTAGATGAAAAATATGCAAGCATAAGGTATTTTGGATCCATCTTCTCAAATTTAATTGAACCCTGCTGATCCGAATATTCAAGAACTACTAAATAACGAATATTTAAAACAGTAATACCTACTTTAACAGTAGCAGTAGTAATCCTAATTAATTAATGCTAAAAGAGCAAACCTATTAATGGGTGGTATCGATATTGGTTAACAATATGGAGATAATCTTACAAAATTCAAAAAGATCTGAAGTTTATTTTCTGTGAAGTCAAATAAATAAAAATACAAAGCAATAAATAAATAAATAAATATTAAATAAAACCATACTTAAAATAAATAATAAAATAAATAAATAAATAAATAATTTTTCAAAATAAACTTTATATAGAAATATAATTTATTCCTCTTTTTTGTCTAATATAAAATAAATTAATATGTCCCCTCCCCATCTATTTTTATCGTATTATCTTTTATAAACTTTTTTAAATATTAATTGATTTATTTCAAAATACAATCATACATAATACAACTTTATTTTTTTAAGTCATTTTAATTAACACAAAAATTTTAACAATAATTTAAGATATGCTTCTAAAAAACCTTACAAATACTTAATTTATTTAATACAATATTTTTTTTTAATAAGTAATAATACACAAAATAAATTTAATAAATACGAATAAAACTGTCTCTATTATAATTAAATCATTAGATAAGAGATTAAAAAAATATTTAAAATTATTCAGATATTTAAATAAAGTTTATATTTTTTTATTTATTAGTCTAAAATTAAAGTTAATTAATTATTTATTTTAAAATATATTTCTAAATGTTTGGTTTAATATTTAAATAAGTAAGTAAATTATCTACCTATCTATCTATCTATCTATCTATCTATCTATCTATCTATCTATCTATCTATCTATCTTTCTATTTATTAATTATTCATCTTATAACGAATTGGAAATTAAAATAAAGTTAAAAATGTTAATTGCAAAGAAGTTTTTTAGTTTAAAAAATTTTATCTAGTTAAAGGTTTAAATTATATCAAGAAATATAAAATTATTTTTTTAATTTAGTTATGAATAATTTATATTATATTTTTTAGAAATAAACTGCACCAATTTATTCTATTTTGTTTATTTAATATATAATTTTTAGAATAATTTTTGTTGAAATTTATTGTTATTTGTACAAATTTTTTAACAACTAAATTGTTACTAGGAACTTTTTGTTGTTTTTAATGATAATTAATTTTTCTTTTAAGCATTTGTTTTTCAATTTATAGGTATTTCTTTAATGTTAATACATTAATTATTAAAATACTAATAGTAATTGTTTGTAAAATAATTAAAGTGTTTGTTTTTAATAAATATAATTGGTTGTTTTTATGTTTGTTTTTAATTATTTTAGAAGATGAAATGTATTAAATTACCATCCATCCATTAATTGATTGATTGAGTAATAGCTGCAGTAATAATTTCCCATATTTTATTATTTTAGTTCAATTCTACTAATGCATTACCTTTCCTATTATTTGCATTTATAATAGTAAAGAATTGCAAATAAGCTTATTTATATAAATGTCCTCAAAGGTTGTTTTCTTTTGAAGAAAATTTATTTTATTAATCTCCAAGATCAGATTTTTTTTATTACTTTTTCAAATTATTTGCTGATTATTAAGATTTATTTCTTTTACGTATGGGTTTTTTTAGTATAGATGAGTTTTAATCATCTTTATCGCTTTGATTTATATTTTCATCTTATTCAACACATTTTTTAATTGAAGTTTCGTCACTTTAGTTTTTACCTGAGGAGCTATTGATATTTTGTTGTATATTTATGCTTTATTTATTATGGTTTGAGTTTGACAGATCAGGATCTGTCTCCTCTTATTTAACAGTCTAACTATCGATTTGGATATCAACTTGTGAACCGTTGATATTTTTTCCATTTTCTTTCAGGTCTATAATATCTTCATCTAAATATAAGCCTTACATTAGCTACAGATTTTTAAAATTGCTTTGATTTTCTAAAATTTTTTTACCTTCTTTTTATATTTATTCTTGTTGATTTGAATTTTTGTATATCTTCTTTCTCTTAAACTATCCTTAAAAGTTACGGAGATATTCTTCACAATATTTTCGCTGAGATTTACCTTAGTATCTACTTGTTTGGCTTCTGTCTAAGTATCTATATCTGCACATCTTAGCAGAATCTGAAGAATGTCTTTACTTCTTATAAAATTTATCATAGAATATCTGACTTTGCATAAAATATTCAAAATCTTCTAAGCCTTATATTGTATTTTAAAAGTTTTCTTTTGAGCGACGCATATCTTGAAGTTGCTTGAGAATTTCATCTTTAATAAAAATATTATATATTTTCAAATAATCTTCTTAATAGCAATCAGGCATCACTTGAATTTTACTCAAAGAGTGTCTCTCCAAAGAGACTGAAATAGGTATTTTAATGTTATCAAGCGTTACGACAGTCAAATCAGTTTTATCAATAATTCTTAACTTCATAAGAAATATAATAAAATGGCTTTGTCTGTTAAAATGTTCAATAACACCTTTTCTCATGATAAATCTCACATAAGTTCCCATATCTCCTCCAAATATATCAACGAGAGGTTTTGAATAGCCAAAAGGACCTGAAATATGCTGAATACCATCATCAAGATTGAGTTTGCGGATAGAAAAAGCAAACAGTTATGTCTCATCTCTCGAATCTATTATTTTGTAAGCAATTTATTTAGATTTCTCATAATTTTTTGCAACCATGTCATAAAGGATATTCATTTCATGATCATAATACTTAACTATTCTAGCAAATAAATCTTCTTCTAATTCAATATTTTTTTAGTGCTACTAAAGCAATTAGCTTGCAAACTTTGCGTCTTGATTATCTTTATATTTTTCTAGCTTTTTTATCAAAAATCTAAAATCTTTTAGCAACCTATGTCCATTGTCGTAAATTATTTCAATCCTATTTTTCTTTGCAATCACCTAAATAACAGGTCTAACATCGTTCCAAATAGACACTTTTTCCATGATACACTTATCTATATTTTCTTCTCCTTTTTTATTAAAGAAATCTAAATCTAAAAGTATTTCATCTTCTAGTAAAAATTAAGATTCCTCTTCATCTTCTTCTTCCCACTCTTCTTCATCGTGCATATAATCAGGTGGCTAATCATAATTTTAGAATTATTGTTCAGAATATTAATTGCAAATATTCAAATTGCTGCTGTTTTCTTCATTATTTTCGTTATTCATATGAGTTTTATGGTGGAAGTTATTACAATAACTCTACTCATTGTGCTAATTAGATTAGTATTACTAATTTTGATGGTTATTCATAAACTTATATGAATCGTTCCCAAAATTATGGTAACTCCTGCGCTAATCCTGTTGCATTTTATTACTCAAATGATTCGTTTATTGCATTATTTTTTGAAGCATTTTCCTTTATTTTTTTTTGATTTAATCTTCTTATTTAATTATTCTATTTTCATGCATTGAATATTGCTGAATTGTGATAAACCCAGTCTAAAGCCTTTCTAATCTCCTCTCTTCTTCAGACTTCTAGACCTAGCACGGATTTTCTAGATCGAACCCTTCGAACTCCATACTTATTTAATTTCAGTTTGTTTATTTATTTATATTAATCAGCCTTCTAGTTAGATTATCTTGCTATTTAGCTGATATATAAAAATACTTTATTTTAAATACAATTTTTACTACTTTCTATTAAATTTTTACTATAGCTTAATTTGCAATAATTTTTTTCTTTTCTTGTGTTAATATTAAAATCGTATTCAAATTAAAGTATTTATAATGTTTCTTTAAATCTCGTCGTAGATTAAATTATTAATTAATATAATCAAAGAGTGAGCTGAAATGATCTGGTGTATTTGAAGATTAATTTTAACTAATTTTACTTACAACACTATATATACTTTTAAAAACCAAAAAAAAATTAAATCAATTTCCATACTTTCAATTGATTTTTTATCAAATTTAATCATCTCAAATATTTTGTTATTTTAGTGAATATAAATGCTTCCTTACAAAGTAAAATCCTTAATATTTATTTGTAATAAGAAGTAACGTTTATGAATTAAATTTTTAATAAATTGAAGGTAAAATATAATAACAAATCTTTTTTATTAATTATGATAATCATCAATATATTAGATGATATGTATAAAATAATAAATGCAAATTTTAACTTAAATAAAATTAATATATAGTTAGTTTGGTATAATAGCATATCACTTTTATTTTCTCTAAATTTAACATATTTAATCACTTTTTCCGAATATTTTATATCTAAATCTACCTATTAAATCATAACTGAAGTCTTTAACAGTTAAAGGGATTAATTAAATAATAAATCCTATAATGCACCATGGTTATTTTAATTCTTTAAGACACTCTTGTATTGCTTGCGATTTATATAGAATTCTATAAGGTTTTTAAAGCTGATTTTAGTTATTTTGAGTTGAATTAAAAGCACCTTTAATGATTGTCACAGCATTTAAGCTAGTAGGAATTTAAAATATTTCTACCAACTAATTGTTCTAAAATAATATTTGAAATAAAAAGGAGTTAGATTAAAAAAAATTCAAAATTTTTAAAAACAATAGCGAAAATTACATTTATAACGCTTTACAGATTTATGAACTCAAACTTTGAAGGATTTCTGTTATAAAAGAATTTAACTGTTCCATAACATAAATTGCATCTGTTAATTAAATATGTAGATGATTATAAACTAAAGTTTGTAAATAAACCAATAAAATATAGATATTACAATCCATCATAAAGAAATATAATTTTCCCGTTTTGTAAATATTTTTCGAAATCTTCAACAGAATACTCGTTCATTTGTTATGTGTACTATTAAATTTTATTTATTTTTGTTTTATATAAAAAATACTAAATCTTAGTTGTATCTAAATCTTTAATTAGAATTGCATTTGTCAATTTTTAATATCAATAATAAATAGCAATATAATTATTATTGTTTCATAATAGTAAGTCAAATTCTTAATTTTTCTTTTTCCAAAATCCTATTTATTTTAATTTGTCTCATTCAATATATATTCTAATATTTTTTAAAATAGATTTTTTTAATAAAAATTGTCAAGTCTAGTAAGAAATTAATTTCTATTACATATTAATTCTAATAATTTATTTCACACTAATTTTTTAAAAATACTACAATTTTTAGATTTAAGGTTATTGAGTTGAATTCGATTAAAAATAGACTAAAGCTTTCATCAATAGTGAAAAATGAACAGATAAATTAGAAAATTCCAATAAAAATGTAGTCAAGAAATTTTAACTTGACACTAAGAAGACTGTTAAAGATGAATCTACCTGTGGTAAAATGAAATTTATTAATTTTATAAATATATATTTGTAATAATAATAAATTAAAATAATAGTAACTTGTAAGCAAAATTTTTGAAATAAAAAACTTTGAAAATCTCTTTTTTGAAAAGGAATCTATTTGTTTATCTACTTTAAAATTGGATAAAATTTAAACTAGTGAATTTAATAATATGTAATTTTTTAAAACAAAAAATATAATCATTATGCTTAATAATACTAATTATTTCATTCACTTTATAAAATAAATCTTTTATTTATCTTTTGATTCACATTCTATAACAATATTTTATGAAAAAAAAGATTAATTATTGAATCAAATTTTTGATCAGCTTAAATTATTTTAATCTTTTATATTTTTATAATAAGTCATAGATGTTAAATATTATGAAATGGCTTTATGATAGTGCCTAATTTTGTAACAATTGTTAATAATTGGAAATATTTTTGTCTTTAGGATGACAAATTAAATGGGAAAATAATAACGAATATAATATTGGTTAATTAATTTGACATTATTGATGAAATTGTCAGTTTTTGGCGTAATATCTAATCTAAAGCATCTATGTATGTTAAATTAAATTTTAACTATTTTGTGATGATAGAAACTTGGGTATATATTTGCATATATTAGATGCACAAATGTTGGGTTTAAAAGTACAAAAAATTAGTTGCCAAAAAATAATTATTTAATTAAAAAATAATAAAAGAAGAGAAATTATTTGAATATTCTAAAGAAAATAAATAGATACATAGCAACTTTAAATATAAATGGAGTCTAAAGTTTTAAAAAGTATGATGAAAATCGCATCTCAACACACATTAAACGTTGTTAACAATGCTTTGAAGCCCTACAATGTTTAATCTCCTCCTATCAAGATTTAACCTGTTTCTAACTTAGTTGATGTTGATTACAACACCCCAACTCTCTTGCAAGTCTTCAACCAAAATAAAGATAAGAAAACAAAGCAAGCTTTTGGTTTGGCAGACATTAAGGCATTCTGTCATAAGGTTATTGAATCATTCAATCCTGAAGATAAGGTATTAATATATTTATTTATATTTTTTATTTTCTATCTTTAAAATAGAGATAAAGGTTTAATAATAAATAAAACTTTTTTACAGATCTCTTAAAGCATATAAAACATGAATCTCATTAAGATTTATCCAAAAAAGAAATTATTAATTTGCATTAATGCCAAAAACATCTTTATTATTAGTAAAAATCATATTAATAATTTAAAAGTAATGAAAATAAAGGAGAAAAAATATAATAAGTTTGATTTTTTGCTATTTTTATTCAAGCTTTTCAAATTATTTTTAACTTTCTTTAAGTATTAATAAGGAGAGAAGATCTTCGTAATTTTAAAATGCAAAGCAAAAAATAAACGATTTTATATTAAAAAACTGCTTTTATATAAAATAGGACTGTGCTATCGAAAAGTTAGGTGTTACTGACTAAGGTTTTTTGACTATTAAGTTAAAATAATAAGTTATTGAAGATGAAATTAACAATATTTTAAAGAATGGTTTGAACTACCCCACTGAAAAGAAACAAAAGATTGCCGTTGATTTCTCATCTCCTAATATTGCCAAAGAAATGCACGTTGGTCACTTGCGTTCAACTATTATTGGTGAATCTATTTGCCGTATTTTTGAATTCTAAAACCACGAAGTTCTTCGTATTAACCATTTGGGTGATTGGGGTACTCAATTCGGTATGCTTATTACTTATATGAAGAGAAAATATCCTAATTTCCTCAATGAACCTATTGATTTATCAGATTTAACTATGTTCTACAAGGAATCTAAGAAGTTATTCGATGAAGATCCTGAATTCAAGAAGACTGCTTAACTTACTGTCGTCGACCTTCAAAGTGGTGACCCTGAATGTCGCAAGGCTTGGGAAATTCTTTGTGAAATTTCTCGTAGGGAATTCACTGAAATCTACAAGCGTTTAGACATTACTTTAGAAGACTTCGGTGAGTCTTTCTACAACGATAAAATTCCTGCTGTCATTTAAGACCTCAAGGATGCTGGTATGCTTGTTGAAAGTGATGGTGCTCAATGTGTTTTCATTGAAAAGTATAAGAACTAACCTCCTCTCTTCATTGTCAAAAAGGATGGTGGTTACGGATACGATAGTACTGATATGGCCTGCATCAAGTATAGATTAAAAACTTTGAACTGCAATCGTTTAGTTTACATTACTGATGTTGGATAACAACCTCATTTTGATTATATTATTGCTGCTGCTGAAAAAATCGGATGGCACGTTCCTCCCACTACTCGTGCTGAGCATATGGGTTTCGGTATCGTCTAAGGTGAAGACGGTAAGCGTTTCCGTACTCGTTCCAGTGAAACTGTCAAGCTAAAAGATTTACTTGATGAAGCTAGAGAACGTGCTTTAGAAAAAATTAAAGAACGTATTTCAGGTGGTGCTAAAGAAGAAGGTGCTGAAGAAGATGAAGAAGAAAAAGAAAACAAGGGTAACTACACCAAGCTCTCAGAAGAAGAATATCTTGATGCTGCTGAAAAGATGGGTATGGCTGCTATTAAATATTACGATTTACGTTAAAACAGAATCAGCAACTATAACTTCTCTTATGATAAAATGCTTGACACTAAGGGTAATACTGCTGTCTACTTACTCTATTCCTATGCTCGTCTTTGCTCCATCATCCGTAAGAGTGGTGTCTAGTCTGAAGAACTCTGCAAAATTATCTAAACTTAAGGATTCAAGATTTCTCATCCCCAAGAAAGAATCATTGCTTCCCTCCTCATAAAGTTCCCTGATGTTCTTGACTAGGTTACTGAAGATTTAGCAATTAATCGTTTAACTGACTATATGTATGACCTTGCTTGCAAAGTAGCTGAAGGTTATCGTAAATATCACATCAACAATTCTGAAGATAAGCTTACTCGTATCCTTCTCATTGAAGCTACTCGTTAAGTCCTTGAAAAGTGTTTCTACTTGGTTGGTATCAAGCCCCTTGAAAAAATCTGAAAACATTAATAAATATATTTAATATGAAACATTCAAACAAAAATTATTTTTTTATTTTATTTTACAAACATTTCTATTCTATAAACATCTGTCATTCATTCAATCATTAATTCACTTAGCTTACTCAAAGATAAATATTCGATTATTTCATACATTCCCTTCTTTTAGCTTTAACTAACCCAAATTCTTTAATAAGTTTTGTTAATTTTTTCATTTGATTTATAAATAAATCCAACATATTTTTTCTTTTATTTCAATCAATCAATATTTATGAGTACTACAATCTGATTGCTTATATCTATGAAAATGCATCATATATAATTATTGTTCAATTACCTTATCAATTTTCTTTACTTTAATTTTTTATGATTACAAATTTCTGCTAATCTAATTTTAGAATTTGTTTGTTGAATTATAAAAATAAAATAATAACATTTTATTTATCAGCTAAACAAAATATTAATAAAATTATTCAAAATAGATAAACGCTTTTCATGATAGCATCAATTAATTAATTATTTATTTATCTAATAATCAGATATTTTTTTTAATTAATTTAACAATTTGAATATTTTACAAACAGAATAATACCATAAATTTCTGAAAGAAATGAATTCCAAATTGAAAAATAAAACTTAAATAGATAAGGTACAATTTTATAATAGTAACGTAGTAGTAATATCTTATTAAACAAATATAAAAAAATATATTTTAAAAGAAATCTATGTCTAGATAGGAGGAATTTAAAAAGTATGTTGAAGATTAACAATTAATAGAGTAGTTTTCTGATTTGTTTGTTACCCTATATGATAAAAAGATGCCTTAAAAATAAGACGCAGACAGGTAAGCAAGATAATAATTTTCTGATTTAAAATGTCTTTATTTTTATTCAATAGGTTAGTAAAAGATTTCTTTTGCCCTAAATAAATTGCATAAATGAGAGATAGCATAGAAAATTATAAAAAAGAAAATGAACAACTGAAAAAATAAATTAATGATATGAAATAAAAAATTAAGCTAGTTAAAGATAATTCTACTAAAAGAAAAGTATAATAATCATAAAACTACTATCAGAACTGATTAAATTCATTTGATTGCCAGCCATTTCAATTTTTGTACTTAAATCTATATTTTTGTGTTCATACTTGTTTTGATGATAAAAGATATAAACAAACAATTTTTGTAAAGTAAATTTAATTTTTGTCAAAAAAAAATTGAAGATTATTTTTGATCGATTCATACACTTTAAATACTTTTGATTTTTTGATTACTGTTAAAATTTTAGTTTAAAGGATGATTTTTTAATATTTTTGAAAAGCTGAATAAAAAAATTAAAATTCAATTTTGCCATTTTTGAATAATAATAATTGATATTGCATAACAAAACATAAAATAATATTTTTAATAACAACAATTAAATTTTTTTAAAAATATTTATTTAATAAACTGGTATTTATCTAAAAAATGATTCATTAAAGGTAGTCATTTACAATCTTAAATGCAGCTAACTATTATGCTTTTAAAATCTAAGAAACTAGTATTTTTTGAGCACTTAATGTAAATTAGTTGTAACTTTATTTTTTTAATATTTAAAATAAAATTCTATAAAATATTTCTTAAAGGTTATTTAAATTTAAAGTTTTTAAAAATTAATTACCTTGAAATATCTATGAAAAGAGATTTAAGTTTATTTTTTTCTTTAGCATGTTTCCTAAAATAAGAATGCCTTAATCATTGTGATTATTTACTCTTTTTTATGAATTAAAATTTATCAAATAAAGTAAATAAAAAAGTAAGTAAAACTTTCAATTAAAATTATATTTTTAATATAAAACTTAATAGTTATTTATGCTTTTTTACATCTATAAATTTTAAATTTATTAAATTATTTTACCTTAAATTAAGCTTCAAATTAACTAAGATCTCTAAGTCAGCAATAGATTCAGATAATATTCTTATTTCTTCATTGCCAATTTTAGTAAATCTTTAAAAAAATATTAAATTAATTAATCTATTTGTTTAGTTTTTCAAATTATTACTCTAAGTTGATAATCAAATTTAAGATATTTTTACTTTGTTAAATTCCTTTTCCAAAATCAGCAAAACCTTGTAGACTTATGGAAGATTCACTAAGTGAAAAAATAATTTGTTAAGTTTAATATTTCAAAAATTTAATTAAAGCTTTGTTAAGCTAAGAAATTAACTTTTAAATATAAATCTAAAATGTTAAATTTACCTAATATCAATATCTAAATTTTAAAGATTCTTCAATTTAATTAATGCTTGACTTAAACCTTAAGCTCCTTGATCAAAACAACCAATAGCACTATTAAAAAGTATCATTTAAGAAAATATAATATTAATTTAATTTAATTTATAAAAAAATAATAATTTTACCTAAAATTAATTACTAAACTTGTAAGGTTTAAGCAGTTTTCTAACTAAGAAAATATATGATAAGCTCATTAATTGTTTATTTTTTCATGTGTTTTATTTTTATAAATTAAACGGAATGAGCTAAGATTTATAAAATTTTTCAATCCTAACCCAAAGGCAAAGGTATTTTTATCTTAATCAACATATGATAGTTATGTATGAATAGATAAGCTCTATAGATTTATATTTTCAGGAATTCCTTCTCCAAAAAAAGTTGTTAAATTTCTAATAAAAAAAATTGTAAAATTGCAATAAAAATTAATTTGTTTTAGAAAAATAATTATGAAAAGAAGATATTATGATTAATAAATTTATTACTCTATATTTAAATCTAAGGTATTTATGTTTTAATGATGTCCGAGAGCTGATGCTAAAATATTAGGACCTCCTTCTCTTAATTAAAATCCGCTAAGAAATGACCCATTTAAAAGAGAAAGAGAAACAATTTGAAGATTTTTTAACTTTAGAATAAATTTTCCTAAGCTACTAACTCCTCCATCACTGACATTAGTTCTCCTAATAATCATATTAAAATATTGCAAATTTTTTAATTAAAGTTTATTTTACTCTATACTAAGTGTTAATTTTGTTAGATTCATAAGAACTTCAAGGTTTCTACTCATATTAGATATTCCATCATCTGATATTTTTAGATTTGAGCTTTATTAATTTTAATAATACATTTTTAAGAAATCGAATTATTTAAAAATTTATTTTAATGATAGATTTTTAATTTGTAAATTTATTCAAAAAATAAATAAAATGTTATTTCTATTTGGTATTCTGTAATTCTATAAATAATGTAAACAAATAATTGAGCCAAATAATATTTAAATACCATTTTTTTATTATTTTTAACTGCAATAAAATATATTTATTATAATTTTACATAATAAATTTATAAAATTTACTTTAAGTTAAGTGAGAGATCTTGCATTTTTTGACACCTAGCTAATCCTTATCTTAACTATGAAATACCATAATCTTCAATCTAATTTTCTCTAATATGTAACAATAAAACTGAATATAAAAAAAATTTATGTTATTTGAATATTTCATAAATATTATTATTTTAGATTGACAATTTAGTTTTTTTTTATTAACAAAAAAAGGATTAAAGATAAAATTTACTCTAAATCTAGGGAAATTTATTTTATGTTTTACCACTTTGCTAACCCTTAACTTAATAATTCAATTCCATAATCTCCGATCTCATTTTTTCTAAATTATTTCAGAAATATTAGATAAAAATTTCAAATCAATAAAATTTAAATAACTTTAAATTTGTATTAGCACTAAAAAGGTTTGTATATTTGCCAATTTCATCCCTAAAACATTCACAAGCTTAATTAATAATATAGTTCTTCCTTTTAAATTTTTTATCAAAAAATGAGTAATTTTTTAATTTAATTTATTTTACTCTAAGTCAATCTGTAAATTTTAAAGATTCTAGCAATTTGATAAACCTTAAAATAAATATAAATATTTATTCACTCCAATCTAATTATAACTTTTTATTATTAAAACTACTTATTAAATTTAATATAATTTATTAAATTATGTATCAGATACCTCAAGTCTAGAAATAACTTGGTTAATTTTTTGCAATTTCCTAAATTTTTATTCAACTCAGCTAAGTCAATATCATTCAAATTATTATTTCTATTGAATTAATTTGTGAAAAAATCATATTATTATTAAAAATAATCATTTTTAAGATAATTTGTTTTAACTAAAGTAGATTTATTCTCTTTCTAAATACAAATCTTTAAAAGAATTAAGCATTTTAAAGTTTATTTTAATTATAAATTGCAAATTTTAATTCAATTTACTTTAAAGAAATTCTAAGTTGAATTAGTTTGTTACATCTTTAAAAGATAATGCTTAATGCAGAAATTCCATCTATTCTAATTGAATTACAACTATTTTATAAAATGAAGGTAAAAATGATTTAATATTTATAATATTTTCATTTATTTTGAGAAATTCTTTTTATATTTAATTTTAGAAATTAAAATAAAAAATTAATTTTAAGTAAACTAAATAGATGTTAAAATTTGATAGTTTGATTAATCTAAATAATATTTGTTTCCAAAAAATTTAGTATTTAAAAAAAAATAAAAATTTTTTTTTACAAATATAATTAGTTATAATGTAAAATTTAGTGAAAAATAACAATAGGGCTTCTTTTTCTTATTGATTAATCTAAAAAACGAAAAAATAATCCTAATTTATTTTGAATTTAAATAAAAAAATTTGTAATTTAAAAATAATAATACTAAAATAAATTTTATGACATTTCTTATTTTCAATCTTTATTAACAAATAAATTAATTATACCTCAAGTCAATATTTAAGTCTTCTAATTCTTGAAAATGACTTAAAGCATCACTTAATATCTTAACTCCTTGATTTTCAATTTTGTTAGTACTGAAGTAATTTTTAATAATAATTTTTGTTGTTATTAAAGATATTATAAAAATATTTTACCTTAAATCAAGCTTCAGACCCAATAATTTTTTAATTGGTAAAAAATCTTAGAATAAAAATGATAAAATTTTATCATCTAATCTATTTTCACTTATTAGATAAATTTTATAATTAGTTTTAAAATAATTACATAAAAATAAATTAATTTTATTTACTCTATTTAATATTTTTATTAAACAAAATAAATAGAAATTAATAATAAATTTTAATTAATTTACTTAAGGTTAAGATCTAATACACGGAGATTAACACATTTTTCTAATTTAGATCTTAACTACAATAGATCGCTTTGAGTAATTTTATTTTTTTTACTTCTTTTTCTCAAAAATATTATGAAAATAAATATAAAATATTTAAGTATTGAAATATTAATAAACTTACTAAAAGCTAAGTTTTAGATTCTCAAAATCTTCACAGTGGCATAATAAAAACTTTTGTTAAAGATTAAAAATTTCTAATTTACTTACATAAGAAATTAAATTTACAGTTTATAATTTCGTATATTAAGAGCAGTTTTCTTTATTAATCATTTTTCTAAAATTTTATCAACTTGAATTTTTTAGCTTAATAATTCTTTATAAAATTAAAAGGAAAATTTTTTAATAAAAGCAGCATAAATTTTATATTTTTGAGAACAAATAAAAATTGAAAGAATATATTTGAAGAAAAATCTAAAAATTATTTAATTTATCCATTTTTGCATTTTGGTAATTAGAAATAAATATTTATAAAAAATAATTATTTCTCATTTGTATATATTAAAATTTACAATTCTATTTATGTTATCAATAGATTTTTTTATTTCTTAAAATAACAATGAAAAATAGTTTTTATAAAAATATAAAATTGATTTTTTAAAGGAAGTTAGAATTTAAATACTTTTAAAAATAAATTTTATCAATAAGATTACTTACTTTTAACATATATTTCAATAAAAAAGATTCTTAAAATTTAAAACAATTAATCTTTTAATCTTAATTAATTTCCTAAATATAATCTTGAAGCTATCTTTTTCAATCAAATTTTATCTATTATAAATTAAAATAATATAATAAAAATTTAATTAACATAGAAATAAAAAAATAGCAAGTAGCAGGTAAGTAAAACTTATAAAAACTATTCATAGCAATTATATTTATGAGTAAAATGTGTTGTAATATTTTTACCTTAAATCTAATTCTAAAGTATGTAAGCTTGTGCAGCTGTAAAGAGAATTCAACAATTTGTAAGCATCATAATCACTAAAAGAGTTGTTGCTTTTTTTTTATATTTTAATTTAATTTATTTACTTATTCAAATAAAATTAGGAGATATGAAAAGTAAATCATTAAAATAGTCAAGATTTTTATTTTTTTATTAAAAACAATACTTTTTGCTAATTTGAAATTGGATTATTTAAAAAGCTAATAAACTTCCTTAAAAAACTAAAAATATAAAAATTTACCTTATCTGAAGAACAAATTATTTAAGATTTGCACACTTTTAAAGATTTTAAAGCAGTTAGATTTCTTCCTATTAACTTCTTATTTAGTTCATTCTAAATTTTAAAATATTATTAACCAATTTTCAGCTTCATGAACTAATATATTTTATAATAATTGATTATTTTCAAGTAAGAAAATACCTTAACGACAGTGAAAAAGATGCCAAATTTTTACAGTATTCCAATGTTTAATCTAAATAATAAAAACCTTAAGTAGTTATTTTATTTTAGCTTTTTCATAGAAGAAATTAAGTTATTAAATTCTATTTTTAGATTTTAGAAATTACTTTAATATTAGAGTTAGTGAGCAGAGATTGTAACATTTTCCTATTGAACTGCCAATTATTTAAGCTCCAAAATCTGTAATATGGTTAATGCTTTTTAAATTTATTTACAATTTTTTAAATTTTGATCTTAAAAATTTAATATTAAAATTACCTTAAATTTAGTTTAAAATCATTTAGATTTGTACATTTAATAATTCCATCACAAAGCCCTTGTAAACATAGATCATTTATTTAATTGGAACTTATTTTTACATAAAATTTAACAATTTAAATATAAAAAGTCTGTTTAAATAATTTACGTTAAGTCAACAGATAGTTACTTAAGAGCTTCAATTAAACTAAATTAGTAAAATAAGCATTTCAGCTCTTTCTAACAAAATTCGTTATAGCTTTTTGAAAAATTTTTAATGTGAGCAATAATGAATTATGAATTAATTAAATTAAAAATAATAGTAAAATTAATTAAAAATTTACCTTAAATCTAGTTCTATGTGATTTAAAAATTTAAATTAATTTACATTTAATTTAAAATCTATTTAATTTATCATATTTTCTATTTTGTTAAAGCTATTTTAAAAAATATTTTTGCATTTTAAGCATATAAACAAATTTTAAATTTATTTACTTGATTTTTAATACAAAATTTGTTAATTTTGAGCTTTAATTTATTCCTTAAATTAGATTTATAATTCCTGCTGATTAAATTTTATTATCGCTTTTTATAAAAATATATATAATAAAGTTTTTTAATTATTTAACAAATATTTTATAAAAATTAATTGATTGTTTTTACTTAAGATTTAAATTCAAAGAAACCAGATTCTTAAGTTAGCTTATTTGTTCACCTATAATCAAAGCTCCTTACTCTTATATTTGATTATCGCTTTAATAAATTAAAATTTTATTGCTTATTAGATTGCAGATATATTTGTTTTGTATATAATTTTACCTTAAATCAAGTTTAAGTTTACATAATTGCTTTACTTTTCCAAGCTATGAAAATAGTTGAGATAAATCTTTATCAGAAATTTTAATGGATCTTTTTATCATTTAAATAAATAATATATCAAAATATAAATAAGATTCTAAATTTAATTTATTTTTTATATTTATAATTAGTTATTAAAGATTTTACTATAAACCTAAAAATAAGTTTTTCAACTTATGAAATTCACATAAAGATTCACAAATATCAATAATTTCATGTTCTTCTGATTCTATAAAATTTTCACTTTAATTTTAATTAAAAATAATATAAATATTTAATTCTTTATCCTATTCTAATTACCTTAAGTTAATTGCTAACGAAGTAAGATTTTATAATTAACTTAGAGACTTAATTAACTAGCTTGTATTAGATAAGTTTATCCTGTTTTAACTTAAATTTTTGAATTAAAAAATTTTGTAACAAATTATTTTACTTGATAAAAAGCTAAATAAAAAAAGCAAAAACACCAATCAATCTCCAAAAAATAATGAATTAATAAAACACATAATCATACTATCTATACCTTAAATCAATATTTATTAGTCTTATATTTTTGCATTGTCCAATAGATGTAAAGAGATTTTAAGCCCCTTGAATTTCTATGCAATTTATTCTAATTCGATTTATATGATTAGGTTTAATTAAAAAAGTATAAATTAATATAAGAATTTTTATTACTGAAGTTGAAGAGAAAGTTAAGTCAAATTTTTTAATTTTTCAAAAGCTTTTCCAAATAAAGTGGCATTTTAGTCAAATATCTCATTATAGCTTTTAATTTTATAAATTATTTTTTTAAATAAGACTATGAATTTATTTACCTAAAATCTATCAATAAAGTTTTTAAATTTTAAAATTTTATTACTTCCTGACATATTTTTTTATGAGTAGAGGCAATATCAAAAACATTGCTTTTTTTTAAAAAAATGTCAAAAATTTAATTTATTTTAAATTATTAAACTAAATTACCTAAACAAGAGCTGGATCTTGCTTATATTTTATGAAGCTTCTTTAGATGAATAAGAATCAAGCTTTTATTATTTATTACTTTAAATTTTAATATTTTTATAAATGTTAAGTAACCTATTCTATCTAAGATATAATCATTTTTTATTTTATATTGTTTTATTTTTTCTTTGTTGTATTTTTTGTTAAAAAGTTTTTTAATTTTTAAAAATTCTTTCATAAATCAAAAAAGTTTCTTTTAATCAAATATAAAGAAAATAATTAAATTTGAAATGTATTTTTTTTAATTAAAAACATTTATAGCTTTAAAATTTAAAGATAAAAAAATGGATGCTTTGTTTAGTAAATATTATGCTTATTAATTAAACTAAATAGTAAACTTTAATTTATCAATAAATTTAACTTAATAAATAAATATTCAAAAGCTTATAACAAACATTCAATATTAACTTTAATAATAGTATTTATTAATGAATATGAAAAATTAATTTCTTATAAAAGATTTATCCAAAGATAGCAATTAAAATTTGAATAAATAATTAATTAAAAGGAAGTAATGATTTCATAATATAAATGGAAATTTAATAAAAAATAATATCTTAGCTTATTTTGATATAATTTTAAATTTTAGTTTTAAATAAAAATAAATTTAAATTATTATTGTTAGTAGATTGCTAAAATCTATTTTAATTACAATTAAAAATTTTTTTTTATTGTATTTTTTAAAAGAATTGTATATTTATTGTATGTAACTTAAAAGAAACTCATATTAATTATTAAAAGATCCAAATTATTTTTTAAATAAAAAATAAATTTTATTATACTTCCTTCATCTAATAAATAATATTTTATTTTAAAGAACTTAAAAATGTTTTTAGTAGGTGCTTTTATCAAAGAATAATATAATTAGCTAGCTTTGATTATTGGAGATAGCTTATATAAAAGTTGTTGATATTTATCATAGCCTATTTATTAATTTAACAAAAATTGTCCCCACAATTTATAATTTTGGAAAAGAGACGGTTTACAATTTCTTTGATATTAATAAAAATTTATCTTTAATAAAGAGCTATTTAAATTAATGAATAAAATTGAAGAGGAGTTTATAATATCACAATTCATATCCATCTGCTATGATTTTGTAAAATATGAATACTAACTAAATAAATAGATTTTAATTAATTGCTTTTTTTGTATTTAGATTTGAAAAATCTTTATAAATTTAAGAAGAATAATTAATTAAATTTTCAAAAAAACAAAAAGATTGAAGAAATCGATCAATCTAATTATCAAACAATTAAAAGCAGCAGTAGCTTAAGAGATTTATTCGTTCATATCAAAAAATTAAATTATTAAATTAAAAAAATTATTATTAATTAAGAGTATTTGAAGTAAAGCTATTCATAATTTAATTACATTCAAATAAAAATATGTCAAAGAAAGGTCAGTATAGGGAGGAAGCAATACCTCTTGTGTCATTCAATCCTAGTTAATAGTGTAAGCAAATATAAATACTTCATGTTCAGTTATTTTTTTAGCTCTACCAAGATATATACATTCCATGCCTCATAATTACATAATGCATAGCTACATATTTTTTTAAAATTAGGTTATTAGTTGAATGACGAAGCGATAGATTTTATTTAAAGCGTCCCAGGACCCATAGGAGTTGTTGGTGTAGCTGGTATGTATCGTACAGGTAAAAGTTATTTGCTCAACCAAATGTTACTTAGTAGATCAGACGGTTTTGGTGTTGGACCCACTGTTAATCCTTGCACAAAAGTAAAGATTTGACTTTAAATTATTAACTTAGAAGACAAAAATTATTTTTAAATAATTCTGAAATGATTTAAGTATAAATTAGCCAATTTAAAAAGCATATTTATCAATATAGAGTTATAATCAAAACATCAATTACAGAAATAAATGAAATATATCAAAATTTCAGCAAGTGATATTGTATTTTTAAAAAAGGGACTCTGGGTTTGGGGAAAGCCTCTTTTAGGTTAGAATCAAGATGGTGAAACTATTCACATTTTAATCATAGATTCAGAAGGTATAGGTGCGCTTGATGAAGACTCAACACATGATTCAAGAATATTTGCATTAACTATCCTTTTAAGTTCTTGCTTTATATATAACTCTGTTGGTTCGATTGACGAAGCTGCAATTCAAAATCTCTCTTTAATTGTCAATCTCACTAAAAATATTCACATTAAGAGTGGATAAGACGATGAAATAGATTTCGAAGATTATTCTTAATATCTCCCTTCATTCTTTTGGGTAGTAAGAGACTTTTCTCTTCAACTAGTAGATTAAGAAGGAGAGTAAATAACATCTAAGGTAAACTAGCACATTTTGAATTAATTATAAAATGATAAACAAATATCAACAATATTCTTAATTATTTGATTAACTAGTTAGTAAAAAACAGTAATTGATTATTCAATACTTTTCTTTTAGGTGCTTTTACAACAATTTAAAAATTTTAAAGAATATCTTTTTCAAAATCTAATTAAATTTTGGTATTAATTTATAGGATTATTTAGAGAAAGCTTTGCAACCTTAGAAGGGATTTTCTGACTAAGTAGAACAAAAAAACAGAATTAGAAGACTCTTAACGACCTTCTTCAAAGAAAGAGATTGTGCTACTTTAGTTAGACCTTTAACGAATGAAGAAAATTTGTAGAACTTAGATAAATTAGACTTCGACTAGTTAAGACCAGAATTCTTTGAACAAGTCATTAACTTGAGAAAATCTATATTATGCAGAATGAAATGCAAATAGCTTAGAGGCAAAAATTTAACAGGAGAAATGTACTGTGATTTAATTAAAAGTTATGTATTTGCGATAAACAACGGAGCTGTTCCAAATGTAGAAAATGCTTGGTCTTATATTTGCAAGAACGAATGCCACAAAGCCTAACAAAGCGCAATTGAAAATTATGATCAAGTAATTAATAACAAATATTTAAGAAACACCTTTACACAATTAAAAAGAAGAGAAAACATAAAAATTCAAATTTCGCCTTAAGATTGGAAGAAAATTTTAAAAATTTTTAGTAGATAGAGAAATCAATTAATTAAATAATTCAAAAAATACTGGTTTTTCTGCTATGAAAATTAGAAAAAAATAGCAAAATTCTACTTTCATTTTTTAATTAATTAATTCAGTCTTTTCAATTCAAATTTCTATTAATATTCAGTCAGTCAATTAATTAATTAAATTTTAAATAAAAGGTCTTAAGAGAAGTTTTACACAATAAGATTCCATGCTCTCTTGAAGATTTAAAGATATACCACAAAATGGCTAAGGAAAGCAGTGTTTCCATCTTTAAAAAGAAAGCTGTTGGTGAAGTATCTGAAGAATATCTGAATGAAGTCATTAAGAAAATAAAGCAAAAGTTTAATATTGTCAGATAAGAAAATGAAAGAGAAAGCGCTAGAAACTGTCAATCCTTTATCTAATAAGAATTCCAAAGCATAGAAAGAAAGTTAAAAATGAATGAATATAAAAACTACCCAGAGTACGAGCAAGATTTAAAGCTATTTTACAATTACTTCATGGAAAATGGACCTAAGACTGTAAATCGCTAATAATTTGTTTCTGATTTTATTCATAGAGCAACATCTGATGGTGCATAATACTTCATCAAATAATTCTCCCATGAGTAAGATATTCAAAAAACTCTAAGTCAAGAAGTATAAAAGAAATTAGAATTCGAACTCTAAGAATTGAAGCAACGTATGCATTCCGAAATCAATAATTATGAAATTAAGAAATCTTAACTAGAGTTTGAAAAAACTGAAATTGAAATGCGCGAATAAGTAAAAAAAAATATTTTTAAAAAAATTAAATAGACCAACAATAATTTAAATAAAATTACAGGTTTTAAGAGAAAATTTAGCCATAGTCAAAAGCGAAAAAGAAAAATTAGAGTATGAGTTTAAAGAATAAGCTACTTCAGAAAAATAAGAGTGTGTCAAAGTCATAAATGATCAAAAGTAGAAATTAATCATGCAGGAAGAAATGCTCTCAGAGCTAGAAAGAAATAAAATTCTTTCTTAATCTGAATTTGAAAAAGAAAAGGTAATTAATTATCTATTTATTGGCTAATAAAATTTAAAAAATAATTTTTTAAATAATAATAGGCATTACTCACCTAGAGAATCTAGTTCTATGAGAAGTAAATGGAAGAATTATCTAAAAAAGACAAAGACTAATCAAACGACATAAAGAGTCTTAAGAAAGACTATAACTCACAAATTAAAGATATTAGTAACAAGTAAAACATCTTTAGATTTTATAAAAAAATATAATATTTATTTTTTAATTAATTAAAGGTATGAATCTTTAAACAAATCCCTCACTTAGAAAATCAATGAATTATAAGAAAGAATTTATGAGCTTGAAAATGAACTCACAAATCGTCAACAAAAGTTTGATAGCGAAAAAAGAAAATGGGAAGTTAACGAAAATAACTTGAGCAGACTCCTTGAAGAATCTCAATTGTAAATCCAAAAACTTTAAAACGAAATAAGAGATTTAAGAAATTACGAAGAGTAGCATGCTTAGTTCCTTCAAAATGATATGAGCAAAAATCATACTGAACTTTAAGAAAAGATGGTTTACTATGAAGAGCTCATCAAAGAGAAGGAAGACACCTTGATTAACTTCAAAAATAATTTCTAAAAAGAAAAAGCCCTTCTTTAACAAAAAATAGAATTCCTCCAAGTTCAATTTGAAGAATCAAAGCAATAATTAGAAGAAAACAAAAGAGCTCATGAAGCTATTATGAAGGTATTTGTTTTAATTTTTATTTATTCTCTATAATAATTATTCTTTTTTTATTCAAAAGGCTTTGGAGTCTTCAAGTTTAGACAGCTCTGGTAAATTAGATAATCGTTAATTACAAGAACTAAAAGAAAATCACACTAGAGAAATAAAGGCACTTGAAAATGATTTTGAAAAGGCTAAGAAGCGTTACATCTAATAAATAGACTAATTAAATGAAAAGAACAGTGAATTAGAAATGAGAGTAATATATTTGAAACATTTGATGTTTTTTTAATAATACAATTAATAATTAGAACAAATTTGAAGAAGCTGATTTCTAAAAGGAAATAGAATAACTCAAAGAGTAAGTGTAAGAATTGAAAAATGTAAATCAAAGACTTGAGGAAAAGAACAGTGTGCTTGAAGATGAAAAGCAAAAGAGTTTCAAGGAAGTTGAAGAAAGATACATTAATAGAATTAGACTTCTTGAAGATGAAATTGAAGAAATCAAGCAAAATGCTATAAAGGACATTCGCGAATCTCAAGCAAAGTCTGAAGAAAGTTTAGCCTAACTTAAAAATATTTATGAAATCGAAAGAGAGACTCTTGAAAGGAGATTAGCTGAAGATAAAGAAAAATGGGATAAGAGATACTAGCTATCATGTGACGAATATCAAGAGTAAATTAGAGAAGCTTAACACACTTATGAAGAAGTACTTAATTAATTACTTAAAATAAATTTAAAAGTTAAATAAAAAAATTTTAATTTTAGGAAATAGAAAACTTAAAGGATGATTTAAGAGAACAAGAAGCTCAATACCACAATGTTGTATAATAATATGAGCATGAACTTGCATTGAAGCAACAAACAATTGAAACTCTTGAAAAGTACACAAAGGAAACCAAAGAAAGCTTGCTTAATCTCCAAAGCAACAATAACACAACCTTGGAATAATACATCAACAATTTCAATGCTGAAAGAAAAACTTTCATTCAAAAGGTTGAAAATCTAACTCAAGAATTATCAAAGAAGGAGAAAGAAAACATTGCTCTTCAATAAAAGAAAGAAAATTTAGAAGCCAACTTGAAGAAGAGAGAATCATAATTAACTCAAGCTAAGGTAGAAATGTAATAAGAGAGAACTGAAAACTCAAATTACATCGACGATCTTAAGCAAAAGCTTTAGTAAGCTTCAGATGAATAAATTCAATAAAAAATAGAATTCTCAAGAGAAATAGCTCTTTCAAATTAAAGAGTAATTTGATAAATATTTTTAAATTTAGTTTTTATTTATTAAATTTTTTAAATTTATTAGAATGAATTCTTATCCAAGAAGAATGAAGACTTAGCAAGATAAAACGAAACTTTAATTTAACATTATGAAGAAAAACTTAGTAAAATATTCTTTTTTAAATAAATTGAATAAAATTAATTTTATTTTTTATAGAAATACTTAAATAGGAAATGAATCAAGAGTTGAATGAGAAAACTGATAAACTCTAATAACAAAGAGACCAGATGGAGGAGAAGTATGAAAAGGTTAAAAAAACTCTTAAGGAAATAGAAGCAACCTACAACAAGTAGCTTTCTTAAATTGAAAAGGAGAAAGCTATCTATTAAGAAAAATTAGCAAATATCGAATCAAAGAAATCTGAATTAGACATGAAGTACTAAGCTGAAAATTAGAACTATGTTATGCAAATTCTATAACTTAAGGAGTAATATTCTCTTGAAAAGAAAACACTCTTAAATGAAGCTGACAAATATAAATAATTTAACCTTCAACTAGAATAAGATAAGAATGAACTTATCACTAACTATGAAAGAGATAAGGCTTTATGGGAAGGAAAATTCGCTTTCTTGGAACAATAAAAAGAATAGGTAATATTATTTTAATAGGTTAAAATTTTTAATTAACTTGCTTATCAAAATAATTAAAGGCTAAATAAGATTTAGCTGATGCTTTAAAGAAGTTTGAAATGACTTTAATGCATTTACAAAAGGCTAGAAGCAATGAAAAGGACGAGCATGAAAACAACCTCAATGAACTTCTCATTTCTATGGAAAAGAAATACCAAAACTAAATTAATGAATTAAATGAAAATAACTAAAGATCTGTTTAGGATTATGAAGATAAGGTAATTTTTATCATTACTAAATATTTCTTTAATTGAAATCACAAATTTTTATATGACAGATAAGAAGACTTAATAAAGAAATTAAGCAGTTAAAAGAGAATATGCTCGTCGAAAAGCATGGTAAACTAGGAAATCAAATGTTAAACGAAAAGAAATTAGCTGATTTCATTGAAAACGAGAAGAAATTGCTTCTAGAAATAGAGTAACTCAAAAACGAAAGAGATTAAAAGGTAAATAAAATTAATTCCTTGGATTAAACTTACTCATATTTTTTATAAAAATGTAGATTATAGACTATTAAAGATAACTTGATACAGATAAAGAAGTTCTTAAACAAAAGATAGCAGAAATTGAATAGAAATACAAAGAGGCTGAACAAAAAAGAGGTACTCTTATTTTTGAACACGAAAAGGAAAGAGCAAAGTGGAATCTTGATAGAGACCATCTCCTTGTATAAAAGAATGAGTTACAAGACCACATTGATAAGTTAGAAAAGAAGAAAGAATTGCTACTTAGAGAAAACGAGAAGTTACGTAATGAATCTAGAGTTACTCGTAGATCGATTAATTTAGTAGGAACTGGAATACAATCTAATACAGCCCTTTCTTCTAGTAAATCAGGAATAAAAAGATCTGGAACAACTAACTAATAATAAAGTCCAGTCTCTAACACTTCGATATTGTCTAAAAAGAATTCAATGATCTAAGAAAATAATTAATTTATGAGCAATTCTAATTTAAACCAATAAAAAAATTTAAATGACATAACTAACTTTGCTGGAATCATGCCTTACGATCCCAGTCGTCAAATGAATTAGAAGCTTACATCTTTGAACTCTTAAGAAGATGAAGCTCAATAAAACTAATTTTTATAATATCAATATTTGATGCAAGATTAGTAAAAAGCATAATAGCTGATCTCATCAAATAACATGTAGTATAATAACCCAAATATGTCATCTCCTTAAGCTCCTATGTTCAATCCTAGCAACTATGGTTAATAAAACATTTATCCTTAAAATAGCCAACCTTTCTAGATTGAAAAATTCAAATATTTTAATTCAAATGTTTGATGCTAGCCTATTGACAAGAAGAGCTAGTTATTAATTAATGCAAAAATTTACTTGATTAATTAAAAGAATCTAACTAAAATTGATGAATCATGAAAAATAAATTAACACTATAAATTTTATTAAAAACTTATAATAATTAAATAAATAATAATTAATTAGATAATACAATGAATTTATTATATTTTATAATTAAAATCACCTAAAAATATGCATGTTATAATTTATATATTAGTAAAATCTATCCTTTTAGATTATACTTTTTATACATTCATTATTTATTTTACAAATTTGGCTATTATTATTTCTTAGATATTAACCAAGAATTAATTTTTATAATAAATTCTTTAACCTCATAATTACCAATTTAAAAATAGTCCTTCAGATAAATTATTTTCACAAGAAATAGTATAACATCCTAAAATATCTGATTATAATCAACATAAAACAAATAATTAACATTAGTTTAAAAAGTTTTTGCTATTAATTATTATTTCATTTAAAATTTTAAAATTGAGAAGTTTTAAGGTAATTTTTGAGCAAAAACTAGATTTTGAAAAAATAAATTTCGATTTTAATAATTTATCTATTTATCATAAACTTAATAAATATTCATTTTAAAACAATTAATTATCATCCCTTAAACTTAACTTACATAATTAAAATAAAAATGTAACTAGTTATATTATTAGTTAGTTATTTATTTAATTAGCATTATAATGTTATTTTAACAAGTGGTCTAAATGTTTTTTTTACCATTAAAATTTTAATGTAAATAGGAAAGTAAATTAGATTTTATTATTGATTTTCAAAATAATTTGTTTTAAATAAAATAAATATAAAATAGTAAATAGTATTTGAGTTATCAAAAAATATTATTAACTATATATTTCACATAAAAAAAATTATTAAAAATAATCATAATAATTTGAATTGATTTTTAAGTATTTTAATCAGAAAAATATTAAATTTTGAGATAGATTTTTATAAAAATAATTTTGTTTAATATTTTTGATAAATTTTGAATAGATTCCTTTTTGGGTTTTTAATTTACAAAATTATTAAATTGATTAGGTATAATAGATTGAATAAATTTTTTATTTTGAGAAGAAAAATATTATAGCTAATTTAATCTTTTTCAATATCATAACTTTGAGAATAAATTAAGTCAATAAAAAGTTAGATACTATATATAAATTAACTAATTAAGAAATAAAAATATTCTTGATAATATAATTTATGCATATATATTTTTTATTGTATAAAATAGAATTATTTTTTTTTCTGGAATAAATATTTATTCTCAACTTTATTTTATTTATGAAAAATAGCAAAATTTTTCTCCAAAAGGGAATTTCAATAATCAATTTATTTCTTATCATCTTCTTATTTCTATTAAAAAGATCAGAAAGAAACATACACAGATAGAAAAAATAAAGTGAGAAGTGACAACTATTAACCGCGATATTGCAAAACCAAAGCTATAAGTATTTATTAGAAACAAGATTCTTTAGGTTTTGATTTCTATAGTTAGAATAGCCTGTATGCGTGGAAAAGTTAATTTCAAAAACACAAAAAGTATTAAATAATTGAAATAATTAATTTATAAATAGAAGTTAAAGTAAAAATAAAACCTTGTTAAGAATAATATAAGAAATTGTAAATAATATAAAATGGATAACCAACCTATTAGATTAAAAAGTAAGGAAGGCGTCATTGTAGAATTCGACCCCAAATTCGCTTAGTTAAGTACTTACGTCAAGAATATTCCAAATCAAGATGAAGTTATTCCCACTGAAAATTTAACTACTGAGTCTTTACAATTCATTTAAAAGTTTATGCAAGTTCATGACTACGACGAAAGCAGCATGAAATACACTTTCCCTTTCTAATCTGATGTTTTGAAGGATCACATTGACGAAAAATCTTACGAACTCTTCAAGGAATATAACACTAGTGATATTAAGGAAAATGCTAGAAGATTAGCTCCTCTTTTGGATGCTGGTTTCTTCTTGGATATAAAATTATTCAGAAAGATCTGCAATGTAACTTTACAAGTTCCTCTTTACTGTGGTACCACTGAAGAATAAATTAAGGCCTTCAAGGAAAAGTGGGCTATCACTGAAGAAGATCTCTCTCCTGAAAACCAAAGAAAGATTATGGACGAAAACAAACCTGTCTTCGATGCTATTAAAAAGAGATATCAAGCCTAACTTGATGAATTACAAAAGAAAGCTGAAGAAGCTAAGGAAAATTGAAAAATTATAAACAAACTATTTTTGTTAAGTTTAAATAAATTTATAATTAATTTATATATACCACTTTATCCATTTATTATAATCAACACTTAACCTTAGCAATCTGATTTTCCCTTTTTTACTTAATTTCTTTATTTTATATATGATATGACTCACAAATATTTCTGGTTTTATATTATTTTTGATGAAAATAGCAAAATTTTTATATAACATGCAACAACTAATGATGGAAGATGGAAGTTAAAGATCTTCATTTCGTTAAATTATTTTATTTAAGTTTTTTCTGATGTTATTAACATGAAAAATATAGATTTAATATATCAAGTAAATGAAAAAAATAGAATATCTTTTAAATTTTCATTGATCGTTATTTTTTAATATCTAAAATCTAAGATCTGATGATCAATCAAGCAGTTTTTAAATGTAATAATAGACAAAAAAATTTAAAAATACAATAATATTTTCTCTGATAAAAAACAAATAAACTTAAAGATATTTATTATCAAAAGACATTTAGATAAATTTTATATTCTATTAATAAAATAAAATCTTATTAAATTTTAAAAAAATATAAATATTTTATTTATCTTAATTTTACAAAATATTTAAGTTTTCAATAGAAAGAATAGTTGTTTAAACTATGTTCCTGTTTTCTTGATTGCAATAATTATCTTCAAAATAAAGGGGTTGGGGTTGGGGTTGGGGTTGGGGTTGGGGTTGGGGTTGGGGTTGGGGTTGGGGTTGGGGTTGGGGTTGGGGTTGGGGTTGGGGTTGGGGTTGGGGTTGGGGTTGGGGTTGGGGTTGGGGTTGGGGTTGGGGTTGGGGTTGGGGTTGGGGTTGGGGTTGGGGTTGGGGTTGGGGTT